TAGGTTGAGAATATACTTAACTAGCTTCTCTTCTTCTAGCGTAGTTAAATTCCGCAAGTTGGGCATTATGTTGCGTTGTAGTAGGGTTCCCTTTATTTGCGCGCTAAGTATTAAACGGGGGACTAAATAGATCTTTATAGCAGCTTGGACGCTAAGATTTGGGTCTTTTTGGATAGCCTAGAGGGCTAAGTTTAATCTGTTTTCGCTATTTAGTGACTGCATTATTTGGTTGTAGTAGTGTGAGAGTTGGAAGGTAGGAGATAGGTTAGGCGCGGTTGGGTGGCCAGCTCGCTTATCCGGCCAGCTCGCTTATCAACCACGTTATACCTTAGTTGTGTCTTTATATAAGTTACTGCCTGACTAGACGGGAGCTAACACAAGCGGGCTGGACCTTCTTAGAGTTCACAGATGTACCCGAAGTTTCGGGGCGAGTCAACTTTGAGTGTCCCCAGCTTAGACGGGGCGGAAGAAGGATGAACTGGCTCGGAAGGATATCCGAGGACGTCTTCGTATCGTATCGGGAGTGAGGGTCTCGTACCTTCTTCCGCCAGAACGGGAAAATCCAACCCGCCGACCTTGTGTAGTACAGACACTGTTACACGAGTTTCTCTTTGAGAGTCTCATTTCGTGGTCAAAAGTTGCTTGACCAGGGGCGAGTAGTTGCGCAATCTCGATGACGGAGTTGCGCCAAGACACACAGCCGCCGCGTGATGGTGATATGTGCCAGCCTCATTGACGCACCAAGACGCATGATCTCAGAAGATGCCGTTGTCCGCCTGCCAAGAGAACGATTGAGCAAAAGTTCGACATACGCCTCCACTAGCGACCTGGGTGAGAGGTGAGCTAACGACGCCAAGAACTGACCATCCGCCGGTCATGGACATGTACAGAGTAGCAGTGGCAGCTTGGAGTGGAAACACGCGTCTCGCAGACGAAAGAAGAGGGCTAAGCGACATCGCCATCATTGACATGGCAGAATTGGGGATCTCGGTCCGCTTCAATCTGCTTGGTGCCAAGACATTGATGGGAAAGTTGTGAGGCTCGTTCGTCTTGATCAACGGGCGCAGAGCTAATGATGGGGGCTGGCAGAATTGATGGAATGGGGTCGTTTTTGTCCCGTGAGGCTTGATGCCTGTCTGTTCAGCACAGCATGTGGGCAGCTCCAAGGGCCATGCCGTGTAGGCCGGGAATACGACGATGAAGCTTTGCACAGTTCGTCAGTCAGTTGCATTTGATCCTAGCTTAGAGGCGTCTAGCGTCTTGAAAAATTGTTAAGCACACCGATGTACTATGTAGGGCCAGCAAAAGCTGTCAGGTCTAAGAATATGGCTAATGTCGATGTGCTAATCTGAACAGAACATCCGGGGGATGCGAAGTAAGGTATCGGATTGGCCAGTGCCAATAGGATTCAGTTTCAACTATGAGTTTGGGAACAGACGTTGCGCAGTGTTTCTTGAGTCTTTTCTAAATACAGCAACGTCGAGAAAAGGGGCAGATTATTTTTGGAGGATCAAGAACCTCTTTGGCCATGCAAAAGATGCAGCGCTGATCGAGATAAACAGACACAACGCCAAGAGGTCGGGAGCTGTATTTGGCCCTCCCACGTGGATTAATTAGAGGGAAGTAATTTGCTTCCGGGCGCGATGCGTGAGAGTACGACTCAGTTACAGCTTAGCAAGCATCACTCTACCTAGCATCGGCTTGTCTAGCGTTGTGCCATTGATCTTCTCATCCATGTGCCCATTTTGTTGCTGTCTAATCATCAGATCCTAAAACCAGTTAAGAGAATCATTGAGGGCTCGATGTAGCATCGGTTCATTAGACATTCTTCAGTAACAGTCGGTTGCTGCCCGCCTCGTCCTTGAACCCTGGAAGAATCAACTCCATAGCGGCGACATCCCTGCAGACGCATGCCCATATTGCGGACCGAAGGCCCTCTCGCACAGCTGCGACGAACCAGGACAAGCCAGGCGGCTAAAATGGGCATGGCTCTCAATGATGAACGTGACGGGAATTCTGAGAGAGACATCAAACGGCAAACAATGGCAGATTGTATCCGTAAGTCCGCGTATCGTGAGGAATGCAGGAGTATACATACACGATACTTCTGGTGACTATTCCAGACAGCGGAGAGTAAGGCACCTGCAGATGGGTGGATGGACAACGTGCTGACTGCAGGCTGCAACGCAATGCAGCGCAGCCACCTGCAGGAACTCTGAGCCGGTAACCCGCGACTCCAGCCCGCATGCTTGTGTCTCGGGATACATGATAGAAGGAAACCAAAGGGGACCAAGTCATATCAAATCAAATCATATCACCGACGCCTGGTTCCTTCATCCGCATCTCCGAGACATCGTTCTAGTCCCTGATGGCACATACGAGAGACAGAAAGACGGCGGAAAGGATTCCATGGACGGACCCGAACAGAGAGAACAGTCCAGACTCATTGATCACTTATCACTGCCACCACGCCACATTTCCGCCAAAGTAAGTACCGTACCGTATTGTTCACATAATACAAAGCAAGCACACCTGCGCCCTGCTCACCCTCCAGCCCAGTTCTGCCCCGGCTTCTGTCACTCTAACCCGGACGCGGGCCCGGGAGCTAGCCCCGAGGTGCCACGTCAGGGGTCTCGCTCACCTTTAGCCATGTGTTATGCCCAGCGAGGTGTGAGCCTGACAAGGAGCCCATGGAGCTCTCACATCGCGCTCACATCGAGGCCGCGCGCCACAGCTCGCGACCCATCTGAATAAGATTGTACCAGCGCGTTGGACAAGTCCCGTCGAAGATGTGTACTCAAGTACGAGCATGAATCGACACACCACACACGCAACAAACTAGCAGTAAGGAAACGAGTTTAAAAAGTTCGTGCCCTACATGCAATCGAGATGACATGACATCAAGCTGCCTCTGTGCCAACAGCAAACTGGGTGCCTCCCTGCTGAGGAAAAACGGCGCCCAGGCTCTACTTGTCTGCTCTGTACCAGTCTCGAGTCACACCGCCCTGGAGAAGCCCATTCTGCGTGGGCAGTCTTTTTGAAATCACCGTGGACAAAAAGGCCCTCCAAGCGGGACAGCGAGCCGCCCATCTGATCTTCATCAATCTCCAGGTCTCCCCCAGAAACCAGGGGCCCAAAATGCCTCCACCACATCGACGTTCGAGTCCCTTTCCCAGTCCCTTTTTCAGGGAATCAGAGAGCCCAATCCCAGTTCTTTCACGGGCTCTTCACTCTTCACCACTGCCCATATCCATCCACCCCAGGGCCCCCTCTCTGAGAGCGCAATGTTGCCCTCGCTTCTGGTCCCGTCTGCTCGAGGTGAACATCCGTGCGAGAGGCATGGGAAAAGTCAAAACAGGCCACTTTTCTTGCCCAACGGGCGTGCCCACATTGTGACTGCACCGCCGCGACGTTTCAGGGGGGCAGCAGTGTTGCAAGCAAGTTCGTTGGATGAAGGATGAAGCAAAGCAAAGCGTCCATGACCTCCTCTGCTGAAGAACACCTCGAGCTCGGAGAAGAGGGGCATCTTCTGGATGTACATACAGAGTACTAGTAGGATCCTTCTTGATGAGTGTCCTTTGCTCTGCTGTGGCTCTTCGTTGCTCTCCTTCAGAAAATGCACGGACGAGCGCATGTATTGCCCTTAACTACTTAGCATGGCGCTAGTTTCGATGTCCGCATGCGGTCTTCTACCCACCGACTCTCATGATGGACGAGGTGCGCCCTAGTGTAAAGAGAGTACCAGGGGAGCATAATGGAGGGGGAGGGAGGGGAATGGAGGCTGTTAGCTCGGGTACATGGACATGACCATTGGCAGCTTGTACTTCCCATACGTACATCCAGCATCTTATGTTGCAGTCGGGGACCCTTAGTTCTCTCGGACTTTCTTGCCTTTCTGTCGTCTTCATCATCCTTCTAGCTGAACGTCAAGCCGCCATTCAAGCCAAGCACTCCCATCAGCTCGCGGTGTCTTTGCCTAATTCAACTTTTGTACCCTATCCTACGTACATCCCGTCCCCAGCGCCCCAGTTCAATCCAATCCGTTCCTTGTCTCTTCACCCACATCAACTCATTGTTCGTTCCGTTCCCTGGAGCCTCGACACCTCTTTCTTTCTCTCACTCTGCTTCCCCGTCCCCTCCAAATCCAACCCCCGGTTCCCCCTCGTCAGGCTCTTTCTTCTCAAAAAGGGGTGCTGCAGGATGCATGTATCTGCACCTGCATACGGATACAGATACTTGACTTGAGCACCACCACCACCCCGACCAGACCAGACCAAACACCTCGAGTCTCCGTCCCGATACCGAACATCAATCTTTTCATGATCACCATGGATCAGACCGCTCCCACAGCCTAACAGCTCGATCAATCCATGCGCGCCATGCCCGAAGCTTATTTCCACCTCCCAGGCCCCCCTACAGTACTCCTTCGTACCCAGTGTTCAACCAGGACATAACATATCTTCTACATCCCACTTTCCTCCTTGCCTACTGCTTAACTCCTTCGGCATTTACGCTACTGATTAACGCTACCCGCGACGGTCCATACGTACACTCGTACTCGCCGTCCTACCGCACACACCACACATCTCCCTACTACGACTACGATCACGACGACGACGACGATACGAGCTAAGGAATTCGACTCCAGAAGGAAAGCAGAAAACGAGAGACAGCGATTCAAGCCCCGGACCAGAATATTAATCATCCCGACCCGCCAGCAGCCATCTCGACCCAGATTTCCGATCTTGTGTCACTGTGTTCCCCCACAGAACTCTGTCTGTTGGAGCACGTCGAATGGCCTACCCCACCTGACACTGATTCACAATGGTGAGTTGATCCTACGTGCGATTCCCGTCATCGCCTATCTCCGTCGGCCGCCCGTAAAGGCATGGTGATGTGATGTTTCTTCGAGCATCAAGGTCATTGATGTTGTCTTGTGTCAAGATCGTCGTGTCTCCTCACTCGATCTTGACCCTTGCATCACTCCTTCAGCATGGCACATGCCCAGCCCCTCCGTCGCGCCAGTACTAACCTCTGTTCAGCCCGTTGCAAAGGCTTGCGCGCCGTGCTACTACCAGAAATCAAAATGCACCTTCTCAGAAGGTAACCCGCAATGCGACCGCTGTCTCATGAACGGCCGGGATTGCGTCTTTGTACGCCCCGTGCCTCGCTCCGCCGTCAAGGGGCGCTCCAAGGTCGCCATTCGGAGCAAGATCATGGGCCTCAGCGGCAATGGCAACGCACCATGTCCGACATCTATTCCTAGAAAGCCCAGTATAGCATCGACGACAACGACGACGACAACAACGACAACGTCGCCGACGATACCGAGTACGTTACCGACATCGGCAGTCGCCCGTATGGGCCCGGCGCCGTTCCCGAAACAACTTCGAAAATCCAATGTAGCGTCCCTCTCGAACCGCGTAGGAAGCCCGCCCGATGACGCCTCCTCTGACTCTTCGTCCGACTCTGCTTCCAGCCCGCCGTCCAAGATTCTCGATTCCCTCAGTCCCTTCGGCAGCACGCTGGGCCGCCTGGACCACGTAGAGAGGAACTCGTTATCACGGCTGTTACACAAGGCCAACTTTATGCAGTACTTCATTGGGCCGACATTCGTGGACAGCATGCAGCTCGACATGACGGTGCACCTGTTCTCGATGTTCGACCAGGGCAAGGACGCCTACATTGCGATGTACAGTGCCTTCGCTGCGACGATGGGCTTGGAGACAGGCGAGTACGATCCGGAGGCGAATCTCCACCGAGGAGCGATGGCTGTCGAGCAGCTCAGGTCATGTCCGCTGCCCACACTCAAGCGAGAGGAATTACTGCCGTGGGCCGGTCTGGGGCTGGGCATCGTCTACTTCTCCAACATGGCCCTCGGCACAAGTGCGGCGCCCGTCCGCAGATACGTCCTCAGCCACATCCGTCATCTCCTCGGCACATCCTTGATCTCGAGCGAACGGACACACTACATCCTGGTGTTCATGACGGCCGTGGACATCAACGAATGTTTGATGCAGCGCGAGCTCCCGGTATGCGGCATTGCGCCCCCAGCGGAGGGCCACGTCGACGCGTATTTGGGTGTTTCCATGCCACTATTACAGCACATGTATGAACTGAGCAGGATCAGCTACAGCCTCTACCACGAGGTCGACGTCGATGATCAGAAGCAGGCGCTGGACGATGTGGAGCAGGAGATCGAGGCGTGGCAACCGCATATCCCACCGGATTTTACGAATAGGTTCACCACCGGCGAGGTCATCCACATGCTGGCCCAAAGCCGTATATACAAGACGGCCGCGCTTCTCTTCATCCACCGACTGAGATACAAGTTTGGCGAGAAGGACGACATGGCCTCGGCCATGGCCAAGAGCATCATGTCCGACCTGAAGATGACGTTGACCGTGTCGCAAGACACGCAGCGCTGCGCCAGCTTCCCCTATACCCTCGCAGCCATCGAGGCCCGGGACACGGGTGAGAAGGCTGTGGCGATGGAGGCCATGAAGTGCCTAATCGACAGCAGCAACACCAAGTACCGGAACAACATGGAGGCTTTCCTCAAGGCCATGTGGGATACCAGAGACGCCAACCCCGGCACTTCCTGGCTGGACCACGTGCCGAACCTCCCACCGATATCGGTGGGCGTATGAGCCCGACGGAACCAAGGGCATTGTTTTCGTTCAATTCAATCAGATGATTTTTTTCCCAAGACTACATGTTTTAAACCAGGCGAGAAGGGTCAGATATCACTTTGTTTATGGTAACGGCTGATGGGATTCGTCGAAGCAAGATGAGGATTACTTGCTATCGCACCGTTTTGTTCGTTTTGAAAACTTGAACCCCGGCACGAAACAGGGGGTCTACCCAGTGTGTTCATGTTATCTGCTAGGAGGTAAGCGAAAATGGGTTATGACGGGGTTTTCCGTCGTAGTGTTGAGAGCCGAAAACGGCGGTCTCTTTCTAGAGATCACGGATGGGAAGGTTTCACGTCTGGAATATCCGCTCGAGGGAGAGAGGATGAGCGAGCGGCGACGACTCAATCTGGGAGGAGGAAAATGTGATACCATTCTCTCGTTTCAACACTCAATCAAAGACTCAATTGTTCATACATCTATCTGGTCGACTCGCAACTGAATCCACACGTCAAGGACTCTGGCAAGCCACAGAAGTCAGCTCTGATGCCCAACTGTCACGATGCGCTTAGACGTAGAAGAAGCTTCCCGCACGTTGATATTGACTATGGTGGCACGTAAGTTTCATGCCAGCATCGGACCTTGGTCGCGCCCAGACTTCGCATGAAATCGGCCCATGTGCGGCGGGAAACTTTCTTCCTATGCTGCTCTGCTCACCCTTCCCACCACACGCGACTAAATGGAGGCATATGAGCGCCTTGGGAAGGTTCTTTCGCGGTGGGAAAGAGTGTGTAGAGCGACTCGAACCCGTCCCGCATTGGATGGCACCACATGGCACAAGCTGGGTAGACCTCGCGATTTGCGTCTCAGTTCACATGATGCCTATTCCCCGCTGACTGTCATCTGGTTGCTTAAACATTTCTTGAACAAACAAAAGGAGCAAGTTCGGTCAAAGAGTCCTCGTCTTCCTATTTCGCGGTTCATCTTCCGTGGCTGGGATCTACTGTGTTTGCGGTCGGTCCGACGGCAAAACCCGTGTACACAAGTTGCAGGAAATGGCGACTTTCTTTCTATCATCGCGGGTCATACCGGCTGAGGAGGGGGTTGATGCTACTGTGACCGTTTGGTTTTGTTTTTTACGTGATAACGTCGCAACATTAACCCCGTCGCTTAAGGGCAGGATGGCATCGCAATAGTCCAGGTAGCGATGAATACGTCCCTGACGCACGGGGTAGCCATCGGTAAGAGTTGGTCGCAGCTTTTGATGAAGAATCGACGATGCGCGGCCCGACAGTCATGTGCTGAGTTGGGGTGATCCCGTCCACTCGCGATGAGGCACGCTCCTGCTTCCGTATCTCCCCTCGGAGATTTGATAAAAGAGGCCTGCCGTGACATCTGGGTGTTCCTGGGAAGATGAACCTTAATTCGATTGCGAGGGCTCATCGTCGACAAGCCATGCTCGTTAGTGGCACGCATCTAGGTGGTGGGCAAGTGGTGCCGAGATGCCAGGCCTTTGCTCCGAGTCGTTTTTTGTTCACGGAATTGAAATCCCGCCGGAAGACAGAATGAACCGTTAAACCGTTGAACCAGGAATAGTCAATGGCAGTTCATTGCAACCCTTATCAAAAGACAAATTGGCCGGTGGGAGACAGCAAAGCGCGAGTTAACAGGTATCTTCCACCGCGGGACGAGAAGAAGGGTCCAGATTCTCGCCCATCAGCAGAAAAACCAAAATACTGTGAAGTACGCCAGACACGTGGAGGACCCGAGATGCAAGGTGTTCGACGCATTCGGTGACCACGGGGAAGCTTAATCCAGAGAGCAAAGCTTGTTGGCGCGGACGCAAGCGGACGGAGCGCGCTCCGAGCACGCTACGAGCAAGTCTTAGCGGGCATTCCAAGCGCTGACGACGAGTTCTCGCAGATCGCAAACAGCTTTATCCTCTCAGGGAAGAGGGATGGAGGGATCATCGAAGTGATGACTGATTCAGTCGACTCTTTCTCTGTTAAATCCGAAGACCCTGCGGCGGCGCGTGGGTCGGTACGTCGCGCTTTCGGCCTCGGCGGCGAAGATGACGCCGAGGCCGAAGGATGCTGGTCATGGACATAGTCTCAGTCCGCTCACCCTTCTTCCCAGCCGGACCACGATTTGCTGAAAGCCGTTCAGCCCCAGTCGGAATCTGGATTCGCAAGGAGGCCAAGACATATCGTCAAGTTTGTTCTGTTGGTGTGTGGAAGACAAAGCCCGCCATCACCAGCAAAGCAGTACTGCCAAAGGCCGAAGACATGGGCCCGGACTCCTCCTCCGCTCCGACGACAGGCTCGGGGCTCTCGCCGACAGAAGGCCCCGAGACGCCGCGGCCGGCGAGCCAATCACAGAACAATAACCCTACTACTACTACCACCAACAGTAACAACACCACCGCCAGCGGGAGCGGGATCGGGGCCGGGGCAGCCAGCGGCCGAAGGATAGAACGGTCATGTAACCTGTGCCACAGGCGCAAGATCCGGTGCGACAAGAAGTCGCCGTGCTCGTCCTGCGCCCGCGGCGGGTTCCCCTGCTTCTATCCGCAGGCGGGCCAGCCGATACGCCGGGTCCGAAAGACGACCATCGCCGACGTGGCGAGCCGGATCTCGGACCTGGAGAAGACGCTCGTCGCCGGGGTGGGTCAATCGCAGCAGCTCTTCCGCGGCCGAGAATCATCGGCCACCAGGGAGACTCCGGCGCCTGCGCCTGCTCCTTCTGCGTCAACTTGGACTCGGCCGTCGACGGCCCCGCCGTCCGGGTCGTATGCGAAGAGCCCTGGCGATGAGATCCTGGTGAGGAAAGGGACGTCGAGTCAGTACTTTGATGAGGTTCTCATCTCAAGGGTCATTGAAGAGGTAGGTTCTCATCCATCCTGATCATAACAGAACGATTTTAGCTGAGTCTTTGCTCCAGGAACATGATATCCAGTCAGTCTTGACAACACCCCGGAGCGAGCCCGCTCCGCAAGCGGCACCATCGCCGTTTAATCCCATGGGCATCCTCTCAACGCCGGACCTCAAACAAGACCTCACACAACTCTTGCCCCCGAAATGGGGCGCGATCGAGCTGTGGAGGAACTACACCGACAACATTGAGTCGTGCAATAAGATCATCCACCGCCCGACGGCCGAGGTCCTCATCTACACTGCAATAGACGATCCGGCCAACGCACACCTGGAGGCTCTGGCACTCATGTTCGCGGTGTTCTTCGTCTCGACGATTGTATTGGACGCGAACACGGTGCAGAGAATCGTCGGAGAAGATAAGCCCACGGCCCTCCTCCGCTTCAAGACCGGGTTGGAGCAAGCATTTGCCAAGGCCGACTTTCTCGAGCATCCTTCGGTGAAGCTGCTGGAGGCTTTGGCTATCTATCTCGTAAGTTCAGCTTGTTTCGGCCTCTCATCTGTATGTACTCATGTTCATGCTGTTTTAGGCAGCTCTTCGAATACACAACCCAGGCCGAGGTCTCTGGACCTTGAACGGCCTAGCCATCCGAGCCGCCCAGTCCATAGGTCTGCACCGCGACGGCGCACGATTCGGACTCTCCCCCTTCGAATCCGAGATCCGCCGCCGACTATGGTGGCACCTCGTCGCTCGCGATGGTAGGGCATCCGAGGATTACGGCATCCAGAACCCGACCAGCTTCAGCTTCCCCATCGGCGTGAACTACCCCTCCAACCTCGACGACAACGACCTCTATCCCGAGATGAAGGAACTCCCGCCGCCGCGGCCGGGCTGGACGCAGATCACGCTCGCCCTGATCAACATCCAGATCGCCCGGTCGTGGCACCAGCTCGCCGAGATCGCCTCCGAGTGGAAGGACAAGCCGGTCCCGGAATCCGTGCGCGAGAAAATCGTAAACGACCTGCGGGACTACGCCGAAGGGTTCCTGCGGCACTGCAACCCCGTGATCCCGCACCAGCGGCAGACGCTGCTCGTGGCGCGGTTCATCATCCGCAAGGTCGACCTCGTCACGAGGCAGCAGTGGCTCAACCTCGAACACCCGGAGGCGCGCGAGTCCTTCGCGACCGAGGAGAACCTGAACCAGGCGCTGGAGATACTCGAGGCCGGGATGAGCCTCGCGTCTGACGAGCTGCTGCGGCCGTACCGCTGGTCGATGCGCGCGTATCCGCAGTTCCACATGATTCTCTACGCCTTGTGGCATCTTTGCGTCAAACCGGAGGGGCCGAATGTTGAAAGGGCGTGGAGGGCGGTAGAGATTGCTTTGGATAACGCGAGGTATGTCGGCACGGGCTCCGGGCCTGCGGCGAAGATGACGGTGTTGGAGGCTTTGAGGGCCAAGGCTGTGGCGATTCGTCAAGGTGTGAATGCTGCTGGGGGCGGCGGTGAGAAGGAAAAGGAGGTGTATCCCACGCCTGGGGCTACTGACGAAAGGTCGGAGATCGAAGGGGTGGAAACTGGCCTGGATGGGATGAATGGCGTTGACAACATGGATTGGAACAGCGTCATGCAGGATTTCCCGGACTGGAGCACGTTGATGTCGGAGTTCCAGACGGATGGGTTGGCTTTTCCGAATTACCTCGACTAGAGGACATCGACTGCCGGAAGCAGCGATATGGTTGAGTTGCAATATATGAATTCTCGAATTTAGATGAAGTACATCGCAGTACCTTCAGCTTTTCGACGCGAAAGCCGCGATTCGTTCACTGGACCCTCACTTTCTCACCCCAAATGTCGGTGGATAACTAACGTACAGCATGAAATTGTCATAAATTACAAAGCAGGTTAGATGCAAGGAAGAATTATCATGGCTTCTGTGTGTTTGAAGCGTTGATCTAATTCTCAGATGATTGATAAGTAGTAAAATATCGAGGATGTTTCTCGCACATAGTCAAGTAACACTAGGTTGAGGGCATTGCCAAATTGTGAGGCTCATCCGATCCCAAGTCTGCAAGCATTAGGTTACCACGGATAACTCTGCTTACCACAAATAACCTTACGTCGGAACACGCCCGACAAAGATTTCTCCAAAGGGCGTGAAACATGCCACATTCGTGTCTTCATTGTGGATTGCGATGATGCGAGATCATACCCTGCTTCAGGATTGGCTGCGAGCGATTCTGCACATGCAGGTTTCTTATCTACAGTCCATCATCAGCGGGAAACAGGCTCGGCGTTGGTCGCCAGAGGGTTCGGTGCGGGGTGTCTGACACGGTATCACCATTCAAGGTCTAGATGGCGTCACGCCGGGTTCGGCCCCGACCCACCGAAGCGCAAGTCATCTCCAGCCGGAGCCGATGCGCCCCAGGGACTCCGGGGTGTTGATAAGGGAGTGAGGCCCATTTTGCGCGGGCGTGTCTTGCATTCGTGTGATGTGCTCTCTACAGCTGAAAGTTTATCAAAACCTTCACCATGGGAACTAGCCAGCAACTTCAGGTCGCCATCATCGGCGCGGGTATCGCCGGTTTGACGGCGGCTATCGCACTGAAGGACCATCCCAGCATCAACGTTCAGATCTATGACAAGGCCAAAGAGCTGCGAGAAGTCGGCGCATCGATTGCCCTGGGGCCAAATGGTTTAAGAACGTTGGAGAAACTCGGCATCAAGAATGCGCTTGATGATGAAATTGCTTTTCGCAATAAGTCAGGTTATCCCATGATCTATCGGTGAGTGAGTCTGTTTCTGATTTGCACAACATAATCTGATATGCGGTAGACACTACAAAACGGGCGAGATTGTCTCGACTGACGAGCATCATGGTGACGTTGAGCCCCGTCATAAGACGGCTCGCTTCCACAGGCCGCACTTGCAGCAGGCTCTGCTCAAGCACATCGAGCCTTCGCAAATTCATCTCAACAAAGCGTTCCGTGAGATCGAGAACGACCAGTCCACGCGGAAGCTGACAATCACTTTCACCGACGGCACCTTCATCGAGGCGGATGTCCTTCTCGGCGCGGACGGCATCCACTCCGGCGTGCGGAGCTTCTACGTGCCGTCGTCTCGGTCGAAGTGGACCGGATGGACGGCCTTCCGCGCCGTCTACCCCATCTCGCACCTTGCCCATATTCCCGACATCCCGGACGAGGCGGAACACTGGTGGGGCGTCGACCGGACGTGGTTCATGTCGAAGCTGGGTCGAGATTTGTTCTGCATCGTCGCCTCGCACCAGAGCGATCCGGATGCGAAGGACGCGTTGTACAAGGACACGGTGTGGAACACGGACAGCGATGTGAATCTGCTCAAGGAGCACTACAAGGACTGGCATCGGCTGGTGAGGGAGATCATCGATGCTACGCCGGCGGATTCCTTGAAGGTTTACCCTAATGCGAGCGCGCACGGGTTGGACAGCTGGGTCCTTGGAGAGGGTAGGGTGACGTTTGCTGGCGATGCGGCGCATGCTCACGGTGGTGCGTTTGCTGCGGGCGGCAGTCTTGCTATTGACGATGCGTGGGCTTTCGCGACGGCGATCAAGCATGTGTTCCCTACCGATGCGACGGAACTCCCATCAGCGGGTGACATTCAGAGGGTCTTGAGGCTGTACGAGAAGACGAGAAAGGCGCACACAGACCGAGTTCTCGACACAGTGCACTCGACGAATGCCAAGAAGGTGGAGAGGGTAGGAAAGACTGAGACGGATGAGGAGCTGCGGGCGCGGATGAAGAATCGTGTTGAGCCTGTTTGGATTCACGAGCATGATGTTGAGGCGGTTTTCAGACAGGTGCTGGCTGATGAGAAGGCGAGTGAGTTGAGGAAAGCGGAATCGACTTCGGTACAGATAGAGAGCCGACTCTAGACTCGTAGATGATCACCAGTAGAATACTCACACATGCTTACTGACGAAACCGATTGACCCATCATGTCCGTGTATTTTGTATAAGCTACTCTCACTGCGATAAGCAAGCGCATCTCAATTTCATCTTTCCTGAGTAAAGAGTAGTGAATGAGAAGAGCGTGGGTGATAGACAGCGGCGGTGCAAGAGGGTCGGTTGCATCAATTACAGCCGCATAAAGCTTAAATTAACCAGTAATTAAAGAAACCAGATTCTCCTCGCGAAAGATGATAAATAAGACTCATATCTCAATGAGTCTTCATGTTTGCTCAAGGATGAGCTGAGGTGTTGATGAGTGAGCGCTCATATGAGAATTCCAGGTAGTGAGTGGTCTGTGCTTAATCGCTGGGGTGGGGCTTCACATACCCCATTGATTGGCCAATGGCACATCATTTTTCCATCGCTCCGAGCTAACCGCCTCTCCCGCTGGGCCCGTGCTTTCCAGCCAATGAAAGAACTCGCGCAGCCCCCACCTGCGCCTTCCCGTCTGATGGTGCGCTTTCTGTCGTCCCTTCCCGCCGTTTCCTGCAAGCTGATAGCGGGATGTACCTTGTACCTTTGCTTCCCCAAGCTCCTTCTTGTCTCGTTTCGTCTCGTCACAGCCGCTCTTTTCCCCCTTGCGAGGCATCGGGAGGCTGCATTTCGAGCAGGAAATACTTGGATTGCTTTCTTCTTCCATATTTCGTCCAAGTCGCATCTTGTGTGACCATCCCGTGGCATTCGCGTCGGCTGCCAATTACCCCGCCGTTCTCCCGCCGTTGCGCCCGACGGCCAAACGTCCTCGTCTGTCGTTTGCGCCTCTCGATATGGCACAGCTTTCCTACCCTTTGGTGTCTCCAGGTCTGGCATCATGATCATTCGGGCTGCCTGGTATTTCCACAGCATACAAGGTATGTTCTCTAGCGTGCATGGGTCTTCAGGTCAAGTCGTAACATCTGCCTTACAGATCGCCAATCGCATCATGGCACCGCAAACCAAGACGGCACAGTCTGTCCCGAGGACGCCCAAGAAGTCGAAACAAAACGAGCGAGTGAACGAGACCATCGAGAAGCTGAATCGCGACTATAACCTTGCTATCGAAATCCCCGATGTCACCCTCACACCCCTCAAGATCTCGAACCGCCGCAAACACGATCCTGCCTTTGCCCGCAGTAGCAAGATCGTCAGCGACATCACATACCATTGCCGTCAGCCCAGCCCGATGATTGATAAGATATTGCACTCTTTCCACATGGAAGCTCGTGCCGCAAGCCAGAAATGGATCCGCTTGACCGATTGCTATGACGAATCTGGCCCAGCAACACCACAGCCACCCAAGGCTGCGTCCCCAGGCGAGGTGCTGGACCTGCAAGAAGTACTGCTTAGCGTCCTCGAGCGCGCGGACCCCAATGAAAGGCCAAGGACATTTGCACGCGCCAAAAGCGTTCCAGCCGTCTACCCTTCTATCGAGGGTCCGAAACCCAAGAAAAGACCGCAGGATGATGGCAAGAAGGACTCACCGAAGAGAGTCAAGGCCAGCCCTCCAGACGGCGAAGATGTCGACGAAGTCATTGCCGATGCTCTCGACAAGGTCCCAAGCCGTTCGAGATCCGCCAAGCCCAAGTTGCTCTCAGCCCAATTCTCGACGATCAACCAGGCTAGCCAGAGACATCCAACATCCTTCATCCCACCCCGTACCCTTCAATCAATGCGGCAAAGTGTTTACGGCAATCCTTCATTTGCAGGCCCTTCATTTGCAACGTCGGCCAGTACCAGTCACGCTTCGATCTTTTCCGTTGCGAAAGGGCCACTTCCAAGCACTCAGGACACAGTACCGGCCCCAAGCGCCGAGACAAAGAGAAGATTCGCGCCTTCGCAGGAGCCCAAGTCGTCCCAGTCGCAAGACCTCTTCCCGGCATCTTCGGGCCATCTTGATGCCCTCAACGTATCTTTCACTGAGCACGAAGCAGAAACTTCTTCGAGACTTTATACCCATCCTCCAGGCCTCACTCAACCTCTAGGCTACGTACCAACGCCGGCTGGCGGCAGCTCTCCTGGCCTGACCACCATCTATTCAGAGATCTCAGGCATTGATGATTCGGCACTGTATCAGCCTATATCGAGTCCACTCAAGCGATCCGAGCCGGTACTTCTTCTATCGCGGCTCGACGCTACCTGGCGTGAGTCTTTGGACCTCTTCCCCTAATTGCAGCCTCGTCTATGCCACGAGAATCATAGCCTCCTTGCTTTTATACTGATAAGTCACCAGCCAGATTTCCGGCCTGGCTCAATCGGGCTCCCTTCGCCATTGCGTGGGAGATCACACGTATTGCTCTTCACTGCGGCGTCGATCTTGGCGAGGTGGTCATGAAATATGACGAGGCTTGGATCAATTATAGCAATCTGTGGAAGACACTCCTAGCACATCCTTCTTTTGCCGGCAAGGCATTTCCCGAGCGACCTACCAATGATGCTTGGACTGCGGGTTTGAGCGGATTCAAGTCTCCTCGCGGTCAGCACGTTACTTTTACAGCCTCTCTCAGCCAGTCTAAGAAGAAATCAGGCCCGATGTTTTCTCTAACGATGAATCCGATCGCTCTAGACCAAGGCTGCCGTCTACACCGCCACTTTGGCTCTGATCGCTTCTTGGAGCTCGTGATTCCTTCACCAAACTCGTGGGAAAAGCCGATCAGTAGTCCTGAGGTGTCGCAGGAGGTCGTCAGCTGGTTTACCTCAAGGCTCCACTATCTCGCCGGCAGGCTGTGGCGAGCCTTTTACGCCAGAGATGCCGGGCACAAGAAGCCTCAGACCAACGTGAGCCTTGGCCCCGACCCGAAGCCCGTCTTCCAAGAAAGACTGAGTCTATTCGCGGAGAATGGAAACAACTTTCATGCAGCTCTTCCAATTGGCGCCGGGTCCCTGGATAACCCCCGCGAGCTAAGGGTCAAGTTGGAAGTCCGGGACATGCTGGACTGGCTTTTGCAACTGGACAGCAACGTCTCCCAACCATATCTGAAGCTGTTTGCTCGTATTCAGCTCGGTAGGGTGCAAAGATCCTTGATCGGCTTCGTATAGCTAACAACTCCAGGACTCAGTAAGACGACTCCGGTGGTCGTCCTTGACAGGACCCAGATACGACACCAGGACGAAGACATGTTGTCGCCCACAGGCAAAGTCATGAATGATGGCATCGGACGCATGTCGCGGCTACTTGCGCGAAAGATCAAAGATGTCTTGGGCCTTGCTGACGTCCCTTCCGCCATACAGGGACGATTAGGCCCGGCCAAAGGCATGTGGATTATAGATGTTCAAGACACGGTAGACGATCTTTGGATAGAAACTTGGCCATCTCAACGGAAATGGATCTGCGACTTCCTTGATCCAGAACATCGAACCCTTGAAGTCCGAGCTCACGCCGTAGAGCCCCGGTCCGCAAGTCTGAATGTGCAGTTCTTGCCTGTTCTTGAAGACCGTGCCATCGACAAACGCGCCATGAGGCAGGCTATTGCAGATAACCTTGTGGATGAACTCAACCGCGAACTGGAGGGCCAGAAAAGCGCCATGAAGTACCCGGTGCAATTCCGACTGTGGGTCAACGAAAACTCGCTGAGCAGAAGGCAGCGCCTCGCCAACAACCGGGTGCCCTTTTTAGCTGGCCTGCCTGACTCATCCGAAGAGACGATGAACGTTTTGATCGATGGTGGCTTCGAGCCTTCACAGCAAAAGTATTTGCAAGACATAGCATGGAACCTTCGACGGACAAAATGCGAGAATCTGAAGAAGAAGATGAGCATCAAAATCCCCAACTCGGCTTACTTCTTCATGGTGGTTGACTTTTCGGGCATCCTGGAAGAGAACGAAGTGCACCTGTGCTTTTCGTCCAAGTTCCAAACCGAATCCTTTTCTGATTCCATGCTTCATGCATGTGACGTCCTCGTTGCACGCTCTCCGGCGCACTTTGTGAGTGACGTCCAGCGAGTCAAAGCAGTGTTCAAGCCAGAGCTGCATGCGCTGAAGGACGTCATCGTCTTCTCGGCGAAAGGGAATGTCCCGCTCGCCGATAAGCTATCGGGCGGCGACTATGACGGAGACAAAGCTTGGGTTTGCTGGGAGCCTTCTATCGTCTCCAACTTCAAGAATCACGACGTGCCGCCGAGCCCGGACTTGTCCAAGTATCTCAGAAAAGACAAGTAGTTCTCTGATACACCCCCTATGTCTTTTCACAAAAGTCGCCCAGGCTACTGCCTGGGCGCTCCACTGTCCCTGAGGAGTTTCCGAGGCTGAAGCATCTCTGTTCTCTCATATGGAAAGGTGGATCAAATGATGGAATTTCCTTTTGAGCGTTTTGCGTGGATACCCTTTCGTTTTACTTCGGGCGAGATTTGGCACCATCGTGGTGTTGTGTGGGTGCTTGAGAATAGACTCTGGGTTTGCCCTTGACATTGATGGTCTTTACGAGTCCCTTTTGATCTGCTTGACCGTGTCTGTCCCAGTGGCAAATAAACCACGAGGGTTGATTTATGGAGCAGATGACCATTGAACAGAAAAGTCTTGAACTGTGTCCGCAAGGCGTCCAAAATGAAAAGCTTGATTTCTCAGAAACGATAAATGAGGCGGGCGGCGTTCAATAATTATAAAAGGTAGACGCTTGACACCCCATTCGCCCCCCCTCTCTCTCCTTTTTGTACATCTTCATCTTCTGATTTTGTATTTACGAGCTCAATCTAAGTACAATAAAAGATGCCTCTCCAAGACAAGCACACCTCGCGGGCGAACCTGCGACACCCGAATTTCCAACTCAGACCTACGTCAGCTCCAGTGACTGGGGTTACCAATACCGCGAACGCCTCTGCGTCCTCGTCAAGAGCCTCTCCCAATTCCACCATGGGGAACAAAAGCACGGTGGATCTTACCATCCCCGACGCCGTTTCGGCCCTCAAGGCGAGAATGGAAAGTGACGAGGAGGCCAGACTCGAGAAGCAGAAGCGTCCCATGGCGGAGTCTCGAGAGCTTAAGGAGATGCCCAAGGTTCGAACGGCCGTGAGCGACCGCCAGTTACAGCGCAAGCTAATTGAAAGCAGTTGAAAATTCCCAACCAGGAACCGACGCCCGTTGCCTCTTCGACAACAGCGCCTTTCGATGTCGGTTCGTCGTCCTCCCCGAACACGCAAGGAAACGAAAGCATCGCGCCCGTCGACAACGAGAGTTACAGGGGCAAGTACCTCCCGGAACAGGAGAAGTGGGTGCAGGATTGCTTGGCCAAACGGCGGCAACGGGAAGAGCTTCAGAAACTAAAGGAGAAAAATATCGAGCGCAAGCGTAAGCGTATGCTCGAAGAGAGCAGAAACACGAAGACCGGCCCGAAGCTATTCGCAGCAAGCATCCCGTCGATAAACGGCTCTTCGAACTCACCGCTCAATATGCCTAATCTGGGACGGGATATTTCGGCGAGCGCCGAATCCCGGATAGATAGGGCGCGCCGAATACGGCTTGCGAGAATAAGAGAGGACCGGAGGGACGCGCTCGAAGAACAGGCCGAGATCGAGAAGGCCGTCGAGACCGAGGTCCTCGCCCTCTTCCCCTGGCTGGGCCACGCCGCTAGGTTCGCCCTGAGCCCCACGGAAGGGATGAAGCTCAAGGCGCTGGACTGGTACAACAAGCAGCGTGAGAAGAGAAAGATGGGCTGGGAGCTCATCGATGATGATGAGGAGGAGCGTACGGCGCGGATGAAGAAGATTGAGAAGATGCTTACCGCTGCTGGTGTCTGGCCGCCTCAGGACCCCAAGAAGGACGTCGAGAAGAAGGCCGAGGAGGCTGGTGCTTCGGCACAGCCTGAGGAAGTGGAACTGCAAGATTTGCAGGCCGTCGTCCCTCCTGTCGACAATCGAGAGCCTGAGCGAAAGACGGATGCTCAGTCAAAGGCCGAGTCGAAGGCCGAGCCGGATCGATTCCAAGAACTGGACGCAAAGGAAGCAACCATAACCTACTTTCCGTTACTTCCTGAAGATCGACTCACGGCCGACGATGACGCTTTACCCGGGCCTCAGACTCCGCGGACCTCTGCCGCTTTTGAGCAATGGGAGAAGGACAATGTCACAACTGTCCGCCCTCTCCACCCCGTCGGCAGCACATTGCAACGTCCTCCGACCGGGTCGCCCAGGAATCTGGAAGCGTTTATCTTGCCGTCGGAGGAGGATCAGCAGCAACAGCAGCAGCGGGCAGAGGCTCGCAATATTGAGAGGGTGAAGAACTTCGACAAGATCGAGGCCGACGCCCGCATGCCGACCTCCATAACCTTCTTCCCCGACCAGGTCTTCTCAACGGACCGAAAGGCCAAGATCGAGACCGATCACTCGTCTGCCGGCGTCATCGCTGGTTGTGAGTGTTACGAGTGTTCACTACAATCCAGGCAGAGATTTGCGCCGAAGCCTATGAGCAAAGACACAAAGGGCGCATATGGATCTTTTGCAGAGTTCCGTGTTGATGACAATATGTACACCTTCAATACTCGACCCTACGATACTCAACCTTTAAAGCCCGAATCCTACAACACTCCCGCGACTTCCTACGACATTGAGCCCCTCGGCACTCAACCGTTCGACAGTCCTCAATCAATCAACGCCGAAACCCCCGGATCGCCAGTCGGAACCCTCATGGATATACCGTCGCTCGCTCGTGAATACCTCATGAGTCCTTACAACACGGTTCAACCCTACTCTCTTCTACCCTATTCCGCCCACGATTTACAGCCTCACTTTGCCGGCTCTTCGAACAATTCGAACAAGCGCACTACTCAAACCTACGTTTACAGTGCCAACCGTAACGACGATCGCAAGACATACCCACCGAGCCCGGTTCCCGGCTTGTCCGACACCCGGCCGACGCCCCTCCAGGAGCCGAAGAAGCCGCAGCCCGAGGCCAAGTTCGACTTGGACAAGGCGTACCGGGATCTGATCACCAAGGTGCGCGACTGGCACCTCTCCACCGCGGCGAGCGTCAAGGCCGTACAGGCGGACCTGGACAGGGCCTCGGCTACGGTGAACAGGTTGGAGAAGAAGGTAGAGGAGCAGACGCAGGCTTTTGATCTGGATGTCGTCGACACCGCTTGCAACTCCCCTTCTTCTGTTCCTGACCTTTCCCGCATGCCGGGCGATTCTACGGATTTGCCGCCCCGGCCCGCCCCTTTCTCTCCTCCTTCTCATGTTCTCACCCCTTCCTGTATATGGGACATGGACGACTGTTTGGGTTCGCCTGCCTCAGCCATCCATTGCTCTCCCCTTTCTTTTTCTCCTACCCCTTCGCCCTTTTGTCTGAATCCGTCGCCCCGGCCTGTCTCTCGCTCTCCCCCTCCTCGTTTCCCTACCCCTTACCCCCAGTGGTGGCACGATTCGCCGTCCTGGCCCGTTCCTCACGTGTATCTCCCGCCCGCCGAGCCTGCCACGGGTGTTTCGATCACTACGCCCGTCCCCGTCACTGCGAACGTGAAGGGCGACGAGGTGGAGTCTGCAAAGCCCGATGTGGAGAGCAACGTTGCGAACTTCGTCAAGGATGTCAAGGACGAGAAGGAGAAGACCGAGGAAGCCGATATTGAGAAGAAGATTGAGGAAACCGACGTGGAGAAGGTCGAGGAAGCTGACTCCGAGATCCAGGAAGGGCACTTCGCTCATCGCGAGAACGAGGAGTCGGACTTCGATGCCGACTTCGCCGATGACGAGGTGCCGAACTTGGATTTGTTTGACTACGAGACGGTTGAGCAATACCAGCTTGACGACGACGAGTATGACGATTGCTCGTGACATGGTGGTCGTCGACTTTTATGATGTGGCTGGAGAGGAGTTTATTGTCATGGAGGACTGGAGCATTTGAAATCCGGGAATGAGCCTTCGACGAGCTTACTCGGGAGACCAGTGATTCTCACCCCGAGGTTCCGCTCGGAGTATGTTCACATGCCTTTGTAGAAGTGTTTTATTGAATACGGGCTCGGGGATTTTGGTAGTGCGGTGTTGACACCAAGGATAGCTACGAACTTGTCGATGTAAATGCCGACAAGACTAGAGTTACCTGTAGGTAAAATTCATTCGATTAGTAAGTCTGAAGTGCCCTGAATTGTGATTTGTTTTACTGTTCTTCTACTTTCTGTTACTTTGGATTGAACTTTCTTCATTTTGCAAAACCAAGTATATTGAAGTGCCCTCGGCACCTCTAGACAGACGAAGACGGCAATCCCACAGCTGAAGTGCACAGATGTAACGCCCACCACCCTTAACGCCAGACCATGAACACGAAACCGTGAAACCTCAACCCATCTTGGCGGGATCCTGGAAGAAAATGACCTGCACCGTGACATCATCCCTGACGTTCCTCGCGATGGGGGGATACGCCAGCGCGGCGCCGGTGAACAGAGACCGCCGGGCGCCCCCGAGCGCGTTCTTGATCAGGTGGACGGCGGCGTTGTCCATGTCCTCGACGACGAAGTTCTCGGGCTTGGCCGCCCAGTTGGGCCAGCCGTACTGCATGTCGAGCTCGCTCTTCTGGCCGGGGCCGGCGGCGAGCTTGTCCTTGGGCGTCGTCTTGCCGGCCTTCTTCGCCGCGATCCACCGCGAGACGCACTCGACGGCGTTCGCGGACGAGATGTGGTCCCAGAGGCCGTCCGAGGCGAGGATGACGAAGGAGGGGCCCTCGATCTTGGTCGTCGTGACGACGGGCGCCGCCGTCATGTACGGTCCCGTCTTGGTCTTGGGGCGCGGGCTCGAGCCCCAGAAGTGGTCGTGGACGTGCGTGATGAAGTCGTTGTCCCACTTCCAGCGGTGGTCGCCGAAGGCGCGGGTGACGGCGATGCCGAACAGGCGTCCCGACTTGGGATCGATCATGTCGGCCTCCTCGCCGGGGTGCTCCTTGGCGAGCCTTTCGAACTCGTCCTGGTTGCGGCCGTTCTGGTCCTTGGAGAGCTCGAGGGCCGTGAAGTTGGCGGCGCCGGCGGGCATGGATCCGAGAACGGCGCGGGAGTCGCCGGTGCAGGCGACGCGGAGGGTCGAGGTCGCGGGGTCGAAGATGGAGAGGAGGGCGCAGGAGCCGGCGATGACGGGGGCGAGGGCGGCGGTCACGCGAGAGTCGGCGGTCTCGTAGATGCCGGCTTTGAGGCCGTCGACCGCCTTTTTGGCGCGGGAGAAGATGAGATCGTCAAGATTGGTGAAGGCCTTGATGATGGTCTCATCGATTGTGCTTTCTGGGGCGCCCTTGGGAAGTTGTCGAATGGCGGCTGATACGGCGGGAATCAAGGCCTCTTTGAGAAGAACTGAGGTCGCCCATCCGCTATTTGAGAGTCAGAAACAATGAAGTAGAGAATTTCACAAGTAGACTCACGCATGGCCGTCGTAGACGCCGTTGAGAAGCGTCTCGGATTTACCGACACCAGGAGCCAGGCCATACGCCATCATGTCTTCAACGGGGTGGTTGCTGGCGACTCTGGCAGCGTGGACGTGGGTTTTCTTTCCCTCGGCCGTGAAAGAGCCGACAAAGACATCTTGGCGAAGCTTCGCGTCAGCTTCTCCAAAGCTGCCGGCGCCAACAGGAGATACGGTGAGAGCGTCCAAATCAACAGGCCCGGATCCGAGTCTCGGGATGACGCCGGAGCCGTCGTCAAGCCAGTGAGCCAGCCCAAAGCCACCCGCGACAGAAACCAAGGCCAGGATAGTCTGTGGCGCACGGGAAGGCTTCTCACTCGGACCGGGTGGACGGACGGAGGGACGAGCGGTCGAGTTGTGACGCGCCCAACGCGGTACTGTGCGGGCTTGGACAGCACCCTGACAGAGGCGGAGGCCGGCTCCGATGGGTCGGCATGCAGCGCGCTGCATCATGATTGCAGCGCAGCTCTCTGGTTGTGGAAAAAAGGCAAGGATCTCTCTCTCTCCCTTTGGCGAACGGCTTGGCGAGGGATGGAACTTGAAGTGGTGATGAAGCTGGAAGTGGTGCACGGCGACGTGAGAAGTCGAAGGAGACGTCGTAGGTTTAAGGATAAGCGGCAGAAGAACCTGGCGGTAAGCCGTTTGGAAAGAAAACAAAGCGAAGTCGACCCCTTGCTCAAGCAGAACGAAACGGTGTTTTCATGCGTCTGAGGTAAGACGGGAGATTCAAAGGTGAGATTTTGTGGCAGGTGATCGCGTGTTACCGCCCCGGCGGTTACGGGGCACTTTCCCCAGCCACATTTAGGTGCCGGGCTACGGCACGGACCGCTAGGTAGCGAATCATTCATCACTCATCTCACTCATCTCACTTGGTGAATGAGGGGAAATCATGAGAGGTGAATTGCTCAGTCAAGGACAGAGGCACGGCTGTGAATGAATTCTTATTTTTCCATCGTTGATGAAATTAGATGTCAAATTTGATGGTTGGTGACGCGGAAATGGGGTTATCCGCTGTGAAACCTCACAACGGCGCCTTGTGTAACAACTGGCGCTATGGCAACAGCCACCGAGTAAATAGGTCGACCTTACGAGTGAATTCACATTCACTTTTATTCTACCCATGAAACGGACAGATACGACATGTTTCTAAGTCATGATAAATCTTATTAAAGCCCGTAGCTATGCGTGGCTTACAGCATGATCCATCATTCTGCCAGAGGTGCGGTTCCTCGATAACTGATCCGTCGGCGCTTCCTGAATTCACGATGAACTGCTATGTCATTTAAGTCCTAAATCCTGATAACTCTTTCATGTAGCCATCGTGCTTATCGTCATGGTACCCCAGGATTTCTAATGCACTGCTTGGCTTGTGTTGATGTATACGATACAAATAGTAATATGCGCTGGAGTGTGATCACGGTTGCGTATTCGTAATCAATCAGAGTGAATACCCTTGAATAGCTTGAGTTCTGGATACTAGAATTCAGGGTGGGAGTAAGTGAGAGGTGAAGTAGGCGTGGAAGTAAGGGCGGAGGCGGCTTCATATTGCCATTCACATCAGCATTGAGCACGTACTTGGCCGATCTTGGACAAATCGAAGGACCTACGCTAGACACCAAAGAATTAGAAGAGTTCTCAAATAAATATGACAAATGGATTGTTCTCTAAGAGGTACCAAATTCCCCAGACATTACGCGCAGCCAAACCCCGCCCCCATGTCGGCTACAGTCGGATAGGCCTACCTGTTTTGGCCACGGATACAGCTTGACGGCTTCGAAGTCTATATAACTGCCAGAACTAACCTTCTTATTCCCAGCAGAAGTCTTCGCAAATCAGTGTTCAATGAGAAATCCAGCCTCTTCTCCTCACGCTATTATTCAACCACAAACCGCAAGCCTCTTCCATCACAATGTCCCAGACTATCACCAAGACGCAAACTCCGTTGACCGGCGTTGAACTGATAGAGATTCGACCAGGCTTTGGTGCAGAGATAACTGGTCTCAACTTCGCCCAAGGCGTGACGGACGATGCCTTTCGGCTCCTCGAAGAAGCAGTGACCAAGGTAAAAACCTCCACCGCTTGCTTGCTATCAATGTCAACTAACACCCACCTAACAGTATGGAGTGGTGGTCTTGCGAAGCACCGGCTTGACCGATGAGACGCATATTGAGTTGGCCCGCAAGTTCGGCGAGCTGGACGATGTGAAGCCGTACATTTCTGCTGGCCGGAAGAACCGACTCAAGTACGATGAGCTCTTCGATGTCGGCAACGTCGAGGAGGATGGCTCTATTGTCGATCTTGATAGCCCCCGAGGCCAGGCAAACAAGGTAAGCTGGAATCAGTATCAGCGACTCCTCAAAAAGCTTGAGCTCACATTGCGATTTTCTCAGGGCAACGCTCTTTTCCATGTCGACTCAAGCTTCAATCCTCGCCGTGCTGGTTTGTCACTGTTGCTCTCGCACGAGCTGCCTCCCCCAGGTACGGGTGGCAGCACCGCTTTCGCAGACTCTCGGACTGCGTTCGACGAGCTTGATCAAGAGACCAAGGACCATCTGCTCAAGAACGACTACATCGCCGCCCATTCCATCTTACACTCGAAGAAGATGGCCGCGCCAGAGTTCTTCGCGAACGTAGAACCTGCAGACCACCCAATGGGCCGGCACAAGCTGGTCCAACTGCACGAGAGATCAGGCCGAATGAATCTATACCTCGCAGCGCACATTCACCATATCGAAGGCCTCGAGCCCACCGAGTCGAAGGAGCTCTTTGACAGGCTCTTCAAGCATGCGACTCAGGATAAGTACATCATAGAGATCGAGTGGAAGCAGCCGGGCGATCTTGTTGTCTGGGACAACACGTGCACGATGCATCGGGCTGTTGGAGGAAGGTTCACGACCAAGTATAAGCGGGATATGAGGAGGGCTACTGTTCACGATTCGAGCAGCACGGCATGGGGCCTGAATGAGCATACCAACGTCCGGCAAGGTCTGCCATAGAAGGGGCATGTTGATCTTCTATCTAGCAGTATTTACTTCCATGAAATAGGCAACATAAACCATAATAGACGCGCTGAAGAAAACACCCACCATCCTCTCAATATCCGTGTGATGTATTAATTGCGTGTCCGCGGGGTAGTCTACGGGTATCTGTCGGAGTTCCATTTCGGGCAATTCATTGCCGACTGCAGCCGATGGGACTGCCGAGGGACGAAACATCTCTTCTTCAACCTCCACTACTCCATCATCGAACCATCGACAGCTGAATTACTTCCAGAGAAGCCGAATGAGCTCTTGGTTTAATTACGGAAAACATGACATTGCCGAAAGGCAAGAGATCATACCGGGCGTGTATCCGTTGCCGACAACGGAAAACCCGATGCGACTTGTAAGCATCCATGTCCCTTCATCTGTAGGGGCACCAGGTCATAGAATGCTCATGAATTCTCATCGCAGAGACGGCATCGGTGACCCAAAAAAGCCTCCGTGTGTCTCATGTCACCGTTCAGGGGAAGAATGCGTGCTTGCTAGGTCTTCTCGTGGAGGGAATTTCAGAGCCTACCGACCACCGGGGCGGCTGGGCTCAAATATTGGGTCTGTTGAGACGACCAGTAGATCCCAGATTTCCGTGCCCGATGATATGGAAAGCGCTGCTGTATCATCAACTATCGGCTTTGCCGATCAAAGCGATGATGACATGTCGGATGACTCGTTTGGCGTTGAACTGAGGAACCCGTCTGATGCTCTGCACATACTGGCAAAATCCGACAAGTGTGAGCGGCAAGAAAATCAAACGGAATTTTCAGACGCAGGAACAACAACCCACGAAGCAAGTCTGAGCTCCTCAAATACTACTAAGACAGCTATTCATGGATACGAACTGGTTGAAAAGGGACTGTTAAACTTCGATGATGTCCGGGATTTGATATCAAGGTGAGCGGCGCTAATTTGTAGTGGTTCAAGGATGCTCACATGTACAGATACTCACAACTCTACCATCCATTCTGTCCTGTCGCACCGGCCTATATACTTCAGCAATCAGAACTAGAGAAGGCACATAAGTCAGATCACTTTCTTCTCACTGTAATTCTGGCTGTTGCATCGAGGGACTCTGTCCAGTACTCAGTTGTTCATCGCCATTGTTGGGCATATATCCGGCGACTTCTACTCGACGTGCTACTTGCGCGCACCTGGACTCATGCACCTCAAACTGTAGAGGGATTACTGCTTTTGTCTGAGTGGTTGCCTCACATCCGGGTAGACGATGACGGAGCTCAAGACGAAGAGCCGGAGAGCTTTTTCAGCGAAGACAGGACAGCCTGGTCACTCATAGGTCTTGCAGTGAGACAGGGCTATCTGCTCCACCTAGACCAGGCAGCTTTTCGCAACAATAAGTCCCATGAGGCATCAAAACAGGCTGAGAGGAGGCGACTGATTTGGACGTGTGAGTTGAACACTTGAAACATATATCTAATTGCATTTCTAACAAGTAATCTTTGTAGTTGTTTACATCGCCGATCGTCAAATATCTGTCCGCTTAGGACAGTCCTTCTGGTCCCGGGGGCCTACCCTTTCAGCGCACTTCACAGCCAAGGACTTTTCCAGTCTCAAGCCGCCGCCCGGAAATGACCAAGAAGACTACGCCTCTGTGGTTCAAGCAACTATTGAGTTGACACAGATCTTACACAACACACACGCCATTCTCTACTCTTCACGCGAAAGAACACTGAGCATGGTCAAGAACGGAGACTACGCTCGATGCATTGACGACTGTACCAACTCTGCTTCGGCATGGCAGTCAACCTGGAGGAACGTCTTCGTGACAAAGAGAATCAAGAACACACTCTCTCTTCTATATGAATATCTCTGTCTATATGCTAATGCCTTTTCCTTCCAAGCTGTGTTGACTCGAATGTCCGCAGGCTCGTGGCGGGCGTCTGACAAACAGCGGGCAGGAGAAAGAGTGGCTAGAAGGTCGTTTCCACGGGGGGTTATGTCTTCTCCTGACGGACGCTATGTTTTCGATGCTATCACCGCTGCTATGAACAGCCTCAGGATTCTCAGCACCCTGGACCCAAAGAATGAGCTTTGTTATCTGCCTTCGCGCTATTACCTGTAAGTCAGTTTGAATTATAATGAGTGTGCTCACAAAACTGATGGCTACTATGAAACAGGTACGGCGTATATGCGGCAGTGTTTCTTCACAAAGCCAACAGTGCCGACGCTATTCAGCCCGAGAGCCAGCGGGAGGAGGCCAGACGTTTAGCAATCAGCTTTGCAGACGCCATGGAAGAGGCCGCGTCAACAGAATCGCACATTGGTTCCAGATGCAGTCGTATGCTGAAGGCGCTCTGGTGCCCGCGAGATCGAGGTGTCTCCGGAGACATACACGTGTGTCTGAGTTCTTCGAACACCAAGCGACCTCCTACCCGCGAGCCAAGTCGCAATGCGAATGACTCTGTCCAGATCTCTCAAAGCTTCGAAGAAAGCAACATAATTGATCTGGGCTCTCTTAGAGACACAAATTCAAACGTATTCAATACTCCCGGTCTGGGGCAAGGGTTATCGACAATGGATGAATACATGTTCGCTCCGTTCATGCCCGATTTCAATGACCTGGAATTGGGCAACATCGATGATATCTTGGGGGAGCATTTCAGTGAGAAGCGATGGGAAATGGGCCAAGATGAAGCGGGAACCGGAGAATGTCTGTAGAAGCAGCAGCAACAAGACAGCATTTAACCTCGGAGGTTGTGGACCAGGTTCGGATATTTGGCCACGGACTTTGTGAGCCTGAGCCTCATGCTCATAATGTGAGCATGAGCGAATCAAGATTTACAGTTTGTCGATATAACATATTATCCATAGCCCTTGTCCAAAGAGCTCGAGTGGCTCGTTGTCATGAGAAAGCTTGCTGTTATTTCATTTTCCTCTTTCTCCCTGAACATTGTGCTCTTGATGAGAAATCTATTGCGGCCCACTACATCAGCCAAAGACCGTGCTGTTTCGAACACCGATAAACAATTGCTTCACATCCCAGCAAACGAAAACGACGCGGGGTATGTCGTGTGTTCTGTACGGACTTCGGCTGTCATCGACCCCTCTCTTGTCCAACCACCACAATAACTCGACAGGCATCTACGCGTTTCCGAACCGGCATTCCGTGAAGGTACAGCCGAGTAGTAAGACAGTCAGGAGACATGAGGTAGCAGCGACGCGCAATCTTTGCTACCTGCGGGCGGATGCAAAGTACACTCTATCCGCATGGTCCCAAGCCGTAGCGCACCGGCTTCAACGGCCACCGAGCTTCGAACACTAACGCGAGAAAGACCGCTCCGGGACTTTTCTTACGTTACAACGTGGCTAATATTCATTTTTAATTTGCCGTGGAATGAGTTGCAACCGACTTTGGTGGCGCTCAACGTGTGTTAACCCCGCTTGACTTGCATGCAGTATCAAACCCACGCAGTGATCATGAAATTGACGGGAGGAGATTCTGAAGTAAATTCAGATACTTAGCTCATATGCAGATTCTTCGACAGACTCTTCGAAAATGCCATAGTGTTTGTGGGATCCGTAAGAGCTCATATGATACCTTGCCCCCTACATTGAATAGAACACATATGGGACATGAAAACACCACAGCAGGAGGAGTCAGGACAAAGTGATAGACTCAATTAAGCATTGTCGATCCGTCTGTGCATTGAGTTCGTCCCATTCTCCGCTGATTGGCTATAAATACAAAATGACGGAAAAACACCTTGGCATCTTTGCTGAAAATTGATCAAAGTTTCGCTCAGACAAACGCCGACAGGAGACAGAGTTTCAACCGAACCACCTTCTTTTTCAGTGATTGGGCAACTTAAGCATAGACAGGACAAAAATGGTATCGTTCCAGACATTTGCCACGCCACCAACGGGAGTTTAAACTTTACCTTGAGACTGCAGTGTGATGGCATGCTCCCTCTGCAGGCGTTGGACATAAATTCACGGCGGGAACGAACTGCTCAGGTTGACGTGGCGTTAATCACACCTCGGAAGTTCTTAGTACAGAATGAGCAACACCTGTAGAATTACAACTTCCAGCTATCTGCTATCGTACATAACACCCCATTAAGATACATTAGGAAATAGGTCAGGTTTACAATCTTGTCTGAATGGGTTTCGAGTCGTCAAATCATGCCCTCTTCTATCTTTTGGCGACGGCGTTTGCGCCTCCGCCATAGAGCCAGCCCGATCATCACCAAGATCCACGTCGCCACTATAAGTCCCATGTCAGTGAATGATCATCTTTGGAGAGGAAAATACTGTTTGATATTCTTTTTGTAGTAGAATCAAACAGCGGGCAGTGGCGCGGCAATAAGTATAACACAGAGAAGCTTACCTATTCCTGCCAGGAAGCCAAATACCCCTTCCATAGAGATGACAAAGACGTTTTGCCCAAGCCCAAGCTCAGGTGCCGTTGGCTGGAGCCTTCTTGGACCGCCATCGGTCCTGAGATCGGGGGCTGCGGTGGGAATCACCGCGGCCGTAATGGTCACAGGCGGGGGAGTGACTGTGACGAAGACGGTGGTTTGGGCTTGTGGCAATGAAGTACTCGTGCTCATTCCGGGGAATACGGTCGTAGTAACGACAACTGTTGTCGGGACTGGCGGCGGAGGTGGAGGAGGAGGAGGAGGAGGTGGTCCTGGTGGTGGTGGAGGCGGCGGCGGCGGTGGCCCAGGAGGTCCAGGTGGCCCAGGGGGTCCTGGAGGCCCTGGAGGTCCTGGTGGCGGCGGAGGTGGTGGTGGTGGCCCTGGATAACCAGGCGGAGGAGGTGGTGGAGGAGGTGGCGGTCCTGGTGGCCCCGGTGGAGGAGGCGGAGGCGGCGGCGGCGGCGATGGTGGTGGAGGCGGTGGCGGTGGTGTTCCCGGAGGCGGCGGTGGTGGTGTTCCCGGAGGTGGCGGTGGTGTCCCGGGGGGAGGAGGTGGTGTCCCCGGGGGAGGCGGAGGCGGACCAGGCTCGAACGGAGGTGGCGGAGGAGGGCCGCCAGGAGGTGGAGGAGGAGCGTTCGGAGGAGGCGGCGGTGGACCAGGTGGCCTCTGCCGTCTTTGGTGTTGATGGTCGATGCTGAGATCTAGCTTCGCTGGAGGTGACCTCCTACGAGCCATGGAGAGACCGGCCATGTTGGCAACGTGCTTTCTTCGAACACACTAGTTCCGTCTCAATATCAGCCGTTGTTGCTCCAAGTAATGCCTTGTCAAAGAACGGTGGAGAGCATGAAGACAGCACAGCCATCCTCGACCAGCATCCAGGGTGCAGATTAGTCCATCTTTTGAATCATCACGTACCGTGTTCTGCTACTACCGATGATCCGAGTTGTCAAGTGTCATCCGTTTCTTGTCCAACACCTTGACTGTTGGAAAATGACCGGTCTCGTCGGCTCATGAAGCGTTAGCGAGACCGCTAAACAGGTCGAGCACCGAGACTAGCGACGGATCACGGATGGCGGTAGTAAACCGAGACGGGAATACCGCCATAAATATTGGCCGTTGTTGAGAGTTCCCAGCTTGCGGATCTATTCTTGGCACACACATGGCGGATGGAACGACGTCTGAAGTTCGGTGCGTCCACCTTGCGAATGGTTTCACCTGCACGGGTCCCGAGCCACTCGCACCGCATGACCAGCATCATGTCGAACTTAATGTCGACTTCCGATGAGCGACAGAAACCTAGTGCGAGGCTAAAAACAGGATAAGTTCCTGCGTTGCTATGGAATAATTGAATCTGGCAGACCGGAGACATTCGTCTTTGGCAACCCACTTGCAGGAAGCTCGTCGCAGTGAGCGGGGTATCTCGACAGAGCTCACTCGCTCTCGAGAATAAAGACCGAGCTTGCCTGTGAATCCCGCGATGGTTTGCTCATCCGAACTCGGCAGTCAACGCTCAAGAAGCGTAGACAAACGATCGACAGCGGACGCTGACGGGTAGGTCAGAAACCAAAATAGCTCAACATGCACGTCTTGACATTAAAGCGACCACGACTCATCATCGACTGCCCGCTCCGGCAATGAAAGCGTTTATGACTCTGCGCTGTTTGATACGGGTATATGTGTTTGCCGGATTTGCGGCCGCTGATACGGAGAAGACGAAACAACATGGAATGCCTGTGATTGAACCTCACCAGATGTTTATCCGCACACGACGACGTTTATCCACACCGGAGAAAACTTTGTTCCTGCATATGGCGAACGGGTCTGAGTCGCTTAAGGATCGCTGTTGAACTCAGTCGAAAAACCATGACTAGGAAGACTAATCCCCTCCGATCGGTTTGTGGAAAGCTCCAGGGGGCATGAGCTGCTGATTCACAGAAGTTCAGTATGGATAACCTTCAACTTTGAATGAAGCTTGTAAGCAGAGCTTTCTACACGTTTTAGCTCTGAGATAGCTGGCTGTATTGGCGGGGAAACAATTGGAATTGCTCGGTGTTTATATGAGCGACTGCCGAGATGATGTCGGGACCTCATTATCCTTGATGCTATGTTTTTACTGGCAAGGAGTCTCCCTTTGTGGAGGGGCTCGTTGCCAGCTGATCCATGGGAGAGAGACGGAATGCGAAGTTTCCTTGTGGGTACCCTGTCACGGTTGTTTACATTTATAATGGCGAAATCGCGAACGGGTGGACGGCAGTGATACTCACAAACCTTCGGAATTGCCGTTGACCGATACAGAAGCCGGTTCTGGATTAGCTAGGAAACCGACAATTCTGTGATGCCGCGGGACCATTACAGATCATTATCTTTCGGATTCCCAGCAGAGAATGTTGTCACCGAACATGTGCAATTGCATGCTACTACCGCCTTTGAAAGCTTGTGGCCACTTCAACGAGGGTATACCTGCGCTACCTAGCGGGGGCCATAATAATGATTAATGACAGCTGGAAGCTTTTGCCTCCCAGTACAGTCCTCTACATCCGTTCTCTCGACACGAGCAAAGTTCTCAGCCCCAGAATGACAATGCTGTTACAGTACAATCTCGTTAATATGCAAGAACACCTGCTGGAGAAACTTCATTCCCGTCGAGATCTCAATCTGGCTGACGGCGTTCCCGCCGTTGCCTACGTCATCGTTTTCCCCGTCCAGGCAGCCCAAGCATGTCAAGACAACTTGCGAGTACTTCTCCCCTGTTAACTGTGGTAGTCGACTGCACGCTAGATGCTCAAAGTAGTCTTTGAGGTATTGTGCAAAGCCCCAAGTCGTGCTGTGGCCTGACCTCTGCAACCAAGTGCTGACATCTGTGAATCTGGGGCTGGGCTGAGGGGTTCTTGCCGCATCGTACGTCACAAAAGACTCTTGGAGACCCAAATCGAGAAGACAAACACCTAGGCTGTAGATATCATGTTGCATCTTGTACTTCTCCTCGGGGTAGTCGCTCTGAAGGGAAGAGTGGCAGTCCACGTTGCGTTCCCAGTCCCTAATGTCTGCCAGTTTTCGAGGGCGTCGAAACCAGTCCTATTTCTGCCGGTAAATTCGTAAGTGAAAAAGGATTGATGGCCGGATACATCAATGCCCGTCCGTGGCTCATATGCTTACCACACGTGCTTGGAGATGGTGAAGTGCTTACCCTCGGCTACGGGCATTATGAGGGAAGCCTTGAAGACAGTCGTAAAAGCTTAAATGAGGGAATTGATCAATATAGCCTGCGGTAAGTCCGGCAGCGGCTTCCTTGGTGCGGTAAACAATTGTCGAGATAGCCGCAAGGCAACCGGCAGCCAGTAGGCTACATTGATGTACTCAGAATCTCCACCCACGAAAGCTGCCAAATTCCTTGCACCCCGCTGCCATCCTCATGATGGCATCTTTCTCTTCTTGTCAGGTATTTGTCTCGGATTTGAGCGATCCGGGCTGTTCATGTGCAGCGTGCTGTCACTTGTGGTTCTAGCTGAGATGTTGCCTGAGCCTGAGAACAGCGGCACATCTGTGGTCATTTTCATCGGCCCGGTGCGCTTGCTGTGTCAGAATTCGCGACTATCGATCTGTCGTCGATTTAAACGTCATTTCCGGTGGTTTTGCTACGTTGGAACTCTCTGGCCCCTGATTTGGAAGTCTGGCTGCGTCCCTCCCGTCTGGTGAAAGGAAACGAAAGCTCTGATGCTCCGTGATGAAACAGATCCTCAAAAAGGAAATTAATTCAGAGCTACAGTCTTTACAGCCGCGGGAGAAAGAATCAAAAGGAGTGCCTAACTGTGTCGCCGATATTGAAGTCCCTCGGGGACAGAATGGCGATGTTCATGGGGCGAGCATTAACAAAGATTAAAGACACATTATCTGTAACGTACCCGGCGACATGGATAAGCAATAGGGCGTAAAACGTAGTGCAGTAGGTAGTGATGAATGATATCAACGATAAGCCGATGAGCCGAGATCGGTAAGCTTGAACTCTTGAAGTAGAAAACGGAGAGAAAGAAGGCAAGGACTGAGGCAGGCGGCACGTGAGAGGGCTGATGCTGACGAGGTGGGGGTAGGGAGGAAGAGGGGAGAAATGAGGGGAACCGGGAACTTATGTTGCGCCTAACGCATTGAGATTTTGAAGATCAATCGATCAAAGCCGTCATTCAACACTAAGAACATCCCGCGATGGAAGCCGTGCAACACGAGATGGAGCACGAAGTTGACGTGTTCTCTGATGAATACCTTGAGCGACTCAGCATTTCCATCAGGGGCGACAATAATGATGATCAACGCATTGCGAAAGCCAGCGACGAAGAACACAGGAAGCATAGGCAGTAAAAACACCAGTATTTTGCCGATACTTGGCGGCCTTTCTCCCCAGACGCGCCATTGGACGATGAGTGGTTTATCGTGAACCCAGATATCCTCCCCGAGGACGACCTGGGGTATCTGTGCGAGATGTGTCGACACCTCAACTTTGACGTTTTGTTCACGCGACATGGAGTCTCTGGGAACAACCTGCCCTCGCTTCCCACCCAAATCATTTCCAAAGGTCTGTGGAAGGTGATGGAGCAAACGAATGGCTGCGCTTTTTGCGGACTGATGAGGCGGAAAATACTGGATGATGGATTACTGTCTCAACTTACGGAGAGTGATATACAGCAGGGGGGACTCAACATCAGCGTCATAGACGAAGGACTTGGTTATGCTATAAGGCTGGAAATTGAGCTTGAATGGGACATGGAGACCATTGGGAGATTTGTGGTGCAGCGAGTTGAGGAAGAGGCGCACCAGCCTCTGGCGGGAAGGTTTGTGCAGCAAAATCACGCCAACATGAATCGATTGAGGGAATGGCTGGAGATTTGCAAGAGAACTCATCAATCGTCTGACCAAAGTCTCGAAGTTGTAGTCGATCTGGCCTCACTGCGCGTCATCGATACAGTGACATCATGCGTCCGGGAGGTCGACATGCCCTTTCGGTACGCCTGCTTGTCTTATGTTTGGGGAAAAGGCAGCCAGATACAGTACACCAACTCGACAAGAAACAAACTGGAGATGCCGCAAGGACTGCAGAATGTCGATCTACCTCAGACAATTGCGGACGCGATCAAAGTCACCAAAGAAGCCGGCTTGCGATATTTATGGGTCGACGCTCTCTGTATCCTCCAGGATGAGCCCGAAGACAAAGCAAAGATCATATCGAAGATGGGTCTGATTTACGGCAGTGCAACAATGACCATCGTCGCCTCCACAAACATCGATCCGCATGATGGCCTGCCTGGCATGGGCACCGCAAATCGCCCCGTCGCACAGAACGCAGTTAAGGTCCAGGGCATAACGCTAGCTATCGGGCTTCACGATCCGCGTCAGTCGATTTACGACATCGAGAGCTCAGTGTGGAATTCACGTGCGTGGACATTCCAGGAGCGGGCATTGTCGAAGCGATCCGTTTACTTTACACGCTCACAGATGATCTTCGAGTGTGCCCACGGCGCACTGATGCTCGAGGAGATCGTTCCCGCTACGGACCCTGCGTTTCAACACTCGACATTAGAAGATCATCGGGTTCAGCCGGATCTATTAGCCTTGGTATGGTGCCATACATCGTTAAGGCGCTTCAAAAACAAGGGATTCACAATACGGGACGCGGATCAAGTTATGATGATGTCTGAGGACCTTGACCTAGACAATATGAATCCCGAAGAGCGAGCAAAGAGAGCGCCCGTATTCAATATCACGGTAGACGCAGCTCTCAATTTTATGAACACGCTCGGCGATACCAACGGATCGACGCCATGGGATTTATTTCGCCGTGCAGTGTGCGACTACACTAAGCGGAAGCTGAGCTGGGAATCAGACGCCGTGATGGCTTTCTCAGGCGTAGAGCACATTATTCAGCGGGGTACCAACACCAAGTTCTGGTATGGACAGCCCTCATTCGCATTCGAACAGGCGCTACTATGGCAGGCTGGGGAGCCTCTTCAGCTGCGACTCAAGAACGGCAAGGCGATTTTCCCAAGCTGGTCGTGGGCTGCATGGCAGGGTCACGTATTCTATCGCGGCAGAGGGTGGAAGAATTCCGTGGTCTGGGATCCTGTATCCGTGGTACGTTGGTATGTGAAGGAGAAGCCTCAGTGGGTTATTGATAGGTTTATCGAGGAAGGAAACAAGACAGAAGATGAGGTAGAAGAGTACAGGAAGAAAGTGGGTGAAGCCACCGTGCTTTTGAGAGAGTTGGATGCCCGCTCCCTACATCACTTGGATGCTGTGGGCAAAGATGGTTGGGTCATGGAGCAGGACGCGCAGCATAACCGCCACATCTACACTCACAACACTTACAAAGGGGTAAAGTTCACCTACCCTGTGAGTCTCTTGGGCCAGAGCATCGAAGATCGCCCAGACAGCAACGGTATTCTGTTCTTCGACGCCCACGTAGTCCCCATCATTTCATGCGACATGCAGCAAGCATCTTTTAAGATGAAAATCGAAGATCGTTTCTTTCAGCTCGGCGTCAACGACGAGTCCCGGTCTGCCAACGGCCGCGCGCCGTGGCAGCGGATTGTCTATCACCAAGGGTATCGGGCCGGATATCTTAGCCTCAACACAAGCTCTCTCCCAGCAGAAGACGACGGCTACGAGTACCACCTAGCTGCTATCTCGCGCGGAAGTCTCTCCTGGGTCCCGCCGCCACCACCAGGGTGGGACCTGTATTGGAGCACGGGGCCGTGCGATGTCCAGAAATTCCTCTTTGAAGAGGAGTGGCACACCGGGCTTGGAAATGTTGAAGTGCCGAATGAGACGGTGGAACCGGCGACGGATAGCATGGTGGAGGCGTCGATGAGGAAGCACAACGAGAACGGCGACCCGCACTGGGACATCTCCAGGTTCGGCGGGATAACCGTGTGGGATGTTTATGAGGTGCTTCTTTTGAAGACGCAAAATGAGGTGTCGTGGAGAATCGGTGCCGGGAAGGTCAATCTTCGCGCTTTTGTGGCAGCGCATCCGAAGGAGATGATGGTTCAGCTTGCGTGATGGTATTCATCTTTGTGGATTTATGCACGAAGAAGTACTCAAGCTAATATTCAATTTGCTCAACGAGGAGACCTCCTAAAAGTCAAAGTACTTATTCTCCTGAAAATTAATTCATAGTCTCTTTGAATTATACTATGACTTATATGCAGATAGGTCTATTTAGGGGTTTTGATATCCCTAAATTGCCCGTCTACCTCTACTTCTAGCTTTATATGCTACCCTTTTTATACGTTTATATACGTCACTCACTATAAATCATGTTTAGGTAGACGCCTTATTAGTAAACCGGATATCTTCCTGGAGCTAGGCATATTCTACATGCCGAGACAGTCAAGCGAGTGCTTTAAGAGTGAGATTCCTGATCATTCCATGGAACCCTCGCCCAATCTCTTTCAACGGAGCTTCAAAGGCAATGGGCTTCCAGATCACCATCACGCCAGCGGCGCTTGCGACGCCGTTGGCCTCGATCTTTGACAGAAATTCCATCGTCCTAGTTCGTGATCCATCGTCTTCTAAAACGCTTAGAAAAGTAGATTCTCCAACACCAGATACGGTGACGTGTGTCCACGTGTGTAGTGGTAGAGAATAGTTGAGGGGGAACGCAGTTCCGGCCGCAATGAAGGTGATGTTTGTATGTGAACCGTTTCCAGAAACGAGAGCGGAATCCTCGCTGTAAAACAGCACTCCAGGCGCGTTAGAAGTTGGGTAAACGGAAAAGGAGAGGGCGTAGTCTCGGCCTTTACTCTCCAAAGACGTCTCAACGAAGCAGTTGCCATCTAAAACCAACGTGGAGTTTGGCATGATGCAGCCGCGGGATGCTCCATCATACCCGTTCCCGGACAGGTCCTCGATCATGTCGCTACTGTTTTTCAGAGGAGAGAACTGGTAGTCCAAGATGACCTCTGATATGGACTTGATCCTGCGATCTAGGTTCTGGCCTGGTGCAGCAGCAACCAGCGACTCCAGGACGGCGGAATAATCGTCCTCCTGGAGAGAACCGCCCCACTGCTTGTCTGCTAGAGCTGGAAGTCCACTGCGCCAGCCGCGATATGCCTCGAGGTACGTCGAAGTTGCCGGACCGTAGTCATTCCATTGCGCGGCGATATGACCAACGACTCTTGGATCGTCTCGACTAGGATTATTCGTGGCGTTTTTGACATCAAAGATGTGTGGTGCAAAACCGCCCCCTAGGGGATTTCCATTGAAGATCGTTGTTGTGTTCAACGTTGGCGGAAAGTAACCGTTCCATTTGACGTTGGTGTAGAATTTCATGTCAGAGTTGAGAACATCGTAGCCGTTCTGAATGAAGTCGAAGTACGCGTTGTCCTCATATGGTGCCCAGTGCTGTATGACAACCTCCTTCGAGACGTTGGCCCCGGCATCAGGGGTAAAGGTTCCCCAGATACGCGTCTTCCTACCAGCCTCATTCCACACAAACATGCTCAGTTCGTTGACCAAGTGAGTGTACTCTTGAATCAGATCTTTCTTGTACTCATCTGCTCCGATATGTACTGTCTTGGAGCTGAACCAAGGAAGAAATGTTCGCCAAATGCTCTCCAGCGTAGGCATTGTCTCAGAGTGCGAAATGTTCAGGAGCGTCGGGTCTTCGTCAAGTGCTAAGTGCGGCTTCCATTTGCTGATAGCCAAGGCGTGAGCTGGAGCTTCAATCTCGGGGATGATTGTAACCCCTCGTGCGGCGCATTGTTGTTGAATTTGGCGGAATTGAGTTTGGTCGTATGATTCGTTCCGGAGTTGCGCGAGACCTCTCAGATCTTCATCGTCGGACCAGAGGCGGAAGCTGCTATACAAGGCCCATACTTGCTGAGGAGTGTATAATTCATCGTTGACAAAGAGGTTGTCGCTGAGGTGCAGGTGGAATTCGTTTTGTTTAAAGAAAGAGAGGTAGGCGCACATCTCGATAAGAAATTCCGGGGGGTAATAATGACGGCCACAGTCTAACTACTGAATGATTAGATCTATAAACAAAAGGCGCCGAAGGCCAAAGGCCTGAGATGACATGACTTACCATAGCACCTCGTGTTGCCCAGCCAGGTGCATCATTGCCCCGACCATGCGGAATATTGCCATCGTTGAGCACCACAACCTGCAAAAGAGTTCGAGTGCCCCACCATGCTCCGAGAGCACTGGCACCGCTGATGACGATACCTGCTTCGCTGCTTACCAATGAATAGCCTTCCGAAGTGTTGCGTCCGGCTGCGTCGAGGTAGCTTCTGTTTGGATCAACCGTGATGAAAATAGTGTCTGCCACTGAGAAATTGCTCGCGGTAACAGGAAGGTCTATTCCTGTGACCGACAACAAATCTTCACGGAAGGTTTGAGCAAACTCCTCCAAGGTTGGGGGAATCAATGTTTGGCCGTTTTCGTTGACTGAGTCCGCGTAAGGGGCATGGACTATGATGCCATGAAGCCTCTGCATGGAATATGCGCCAGACCCTTCGTGTTCAAATGGAAAGGTCGGGACAGTCACGAGTCGAGCGGAGACTGGCAAAACGTAAGCTCCTGGAATATAGAAGAATCTATATGAATAGAATACTTACTGCTGACTGTGAACAAAACAATAGCGATGAGCATGATTGCGAAAATTTGTTTCATGATGTTGAAGGTAGTCCACAAAACGTTGCGCACTCGATCTGCGAGGTTATGTATCCATTTGAACGTCGCAAGGCGCATTCAAGCTGAGGAGACGACCGGCTGCTCTCTTTGACAATTTGGAGGTATTTCGGGTGCGCTAGTTCGCCTGAATTCTTGACAGCACCAAAGTACGTTGCCGAAACGTTCAAATGGATAGCCGCTGTCTCGTCAACGACTTGCTTGCGATGACTGATTACTCATGTCACGTTGCTATGGGAGTATCAGTCAAGTCGCGAGAAAACGTGGTAAACCCCCCATGATATTACATACCTTGACTCTAGTATCAGTTTGTCACGTTTCATAATATGTTGATTCTTCGGTTGCGATCTTGAGAGCACAATGTTGTAACGTTGCTTTCCGACAGACCCGATGACCCTTCACTATCTTGTGTGGGGTCATGAGCTGATCCAGGGACTGGGTCAATAACTCTGAGAAAAGTAGTTTAAGCGCACTTGCCAGCCGTGTTGCCTTGCTATTGCCCATAATCTTTGCAGCTTTTTTAGACTTCGCCTTGTTTCCTAGTAGTTCAGTTCCAAAGTAGCTATGTTCTTAAGGCTGTGTTTAACGTTCTGGTCACAGTGGTTGAGACTACAATCCGTTCTATGACCTGATTTGGGTAGGGTTACGTCCGGACTGGTATCAGGACCTGTGAATGTTGGAACTTGCTGTACCTGAATCTTGTGTTTGAATTGAATGTCACTTTGGGTAGGCAGGGACTGAAATCAAGCAGAATGAGCGCTGCTGTGGTGGAGCCGCGTTGGCTTACTGAGTCTGTTAAATAAAGCAGAAAATATCTATATGAGCTATGTAGGCTATCCTGTTAAGTCTCACTACTTAGAAGATGATGTGATTACTCAAGAATTTGTGACTCCTAGACTATGAAACGAGTGTCCCATCCTAGATGGTTCTCATTCAAGGGAAGAACTCGCGGTTGTTCTTTTGGCTCAAGACTCTTGGGTCAGTGAACCTCGCCTGCTCTGTCTGGTTATGACGGAACGATTTCCCGAGCTCGTTCATGACAGTCGGGCTCGTGATATTCCCCCACGACCCCGTCTCTAAACGAAAGAGGAGAGCTTGAAGAGATGCCATCATCTCCAGCGTATTCCATGTGCAATGACCGGGATAATCAACCACGGCTTGGCGGTAGAGCTCACCTTTGCCGTTCTTCTCGACTCCGGCCGCATAAGCTGCGAGCAGCGCGGACGACCTTGTAGCGTCCCCGACAGTAGTAACTTGCAGAACAGGCACGAGCGGGTTTCCGGTGAGGGCGCGTTCCGTCCAATAGGCGATGGCTGTCTCGTTTCGAGGCACTCGGGGGTAGGTTTCAATGGCTTGAAGGTCAGCCGCAAGATCTAGTCCGGCTTCTTTGTAAATGCGTGCGGTGAGTTCGCGCTGCGTAGCATCAGCGGTCTCGAAAAGGCTGGTGTAGTTGATACCGGTATTCCACGACATGACCCCGGCGGGACTGTCGTAGAGGTATCGCACACTGACAGCCGCAGCCGCGCTGTCGGTTGTAGAACGCAGCATCGCCTCCAGGACGGCATCTTCGTCGTTCGGGTCCGGCTTGGCCAGGTACGGTTCCGCAGCTCCGCCCCATTTCGGCACCTGCGCAATGGACGCGGCGACCAAGATCCGAGCCCGGCCTGCGGTTGTGTTGAGTGCCTTGTCGAGGGTCTCGATCCAAGCCTGACCGGCGCTCTCCCGCTCCTCATAACTAATCCCCACCAACGGCAAGCTGCTGTTCGGGGCAATCAGAGCCTTCAGCGTGAAGAGGAGATCCAGGCGCTGGTTTGCCATGACGAGTCCCTCTCCGCCGTTGGCGGATATGGCTCCGTCGACAAGGTCCGGGTACGCCTCGGCCACGCCTAGAGCGACGCCCCCGCCGCCGGAACACCCGAATTGGATGGTCGTCTTTGGGCAGCCGAACTCTTCGGCGAATAGTTCAATCACTTGCGCCTGTTGGTTTCTCTCGGCGCGAGGGTCGAACTTGGTGATCCGGTCGGCGCGGCGACTCGTGCCCGAGAAGGCGTAGCCATTTTCGGTCCAGATGGCAGCCTGAGAGGTGTTGTAGTGGAGGTAGATGCCGGCGTCGAGGTCGTTTAAGAGCACGCCATTCCAGTTAGCCGGAACGCGAATCCAGTACTCCATGCCGTCCGGGAGGAGGCCATGGCGATTGACGATGCCGTCCGTGCTGTTCGACATCCCCGACCATGTGCAGACTAGCGATGCCAAACAGATCAGAGTTGAGATTATGGTGCAAAGGCTCCGCGAAGCGTCCATTAGTTGGTACATATCGGATCATACGACTGACGTCTGTTCTGGCTGAAAAGGACAGGAAAGTGGATCAAACCTATGGCTCAGTAGGGCCTCCAGACTTCTTCAGTGAATCCATCCCGCTTTTGTATCGCTTGGCTGACGTAGGGTTGGAGACCGGGGCGTCAAGTCTTCCTTTTGACAGGGATCCAATATGAGAGAGGAAGTGGCAACGTTACTCAGACGTTGAACAGTTGGCATGGCGAGGTTACCATACCTGTTCGTGAATGCACATATTAGTACGGGATTATCCTCCGACCCTAGGTCAGTATGCCTATCTTGCAATTATGAACCCCGATGATGATATCCAGACGCAGCACTCAATACGCGTATACAGCGATTGGCAATTGGAGTGGAATACGAGACACGAGGGCGATGGACCATCATTCAGGTTGTCAAATGAATTGGACGAACTACCTTCACATCGCGGGATGTTTATGCTTTTTAAAAGACATTTTACTCACCCTGATATCTAAGCTTTCAAGCTTTTATAGTTCTATCACTCATAATTAATAATATTATTTATATTCATCTACATGACTTAAATATTCTTAATCTAAAGCTACTTTGGTGAGTTTCAAAAGCTTACAAGAGACTTAATAGTAGTATATATCAATGATTATGAAATATATTCAATGACTGCTAGGGCAGCTCTTACCGACATCAGCCAGTCAAATGAATGTTCTATCCAGATAACACTTTGTTTGTTGCTGCCTTAAACGTGGCAACCGGGAGCCCTGGACGATCAGTCACATCTGCGAGGGTTTCCGGTTGCAGGAGGATCGGAAGTCTCAGCGATTAGCACTCACATCTTTGGGCAGGCTCTGTGCGGTTGATGTACAACTTAAAAGCAATTCGCAGTAGCGCTCATGCGTTTAACGCCTGAGTGACACATCTTAAGCGCAAGATGTTAAGACAGAGGCTGACGGGGTGGTCAGCTTCACAGATTCGGCATTTCGTAGCAGCCGTGTAATATATACGGGGGGATTAAGAAGTGAGTGTGGTTTTACAAGACGAAGATGTGCTTTGGCGTGCGGCTTCAGCAGAGCATGTACAGTTGAACATGTACAAGAGGGGAAATGTATAGGTCAATGTGGAACATGCGTAGTTCAACGGGAGAGCGCACGCTCGTCCACGTTTGAGAACTCGTGATCTGATGTTTCTTGGAAGCAGCTAACTTATTGGGCTGTGGCGAGACAATTGTGTTGACCGGGCACAAGTGCACCTGCAACAGCTCGGCCATGGCGCTGGTGTCCAGTTCACAGTCACTTGCTTATTTCCTTCTGAACACCCAACGACCCATTCCATTGCCATGATACTTCATGATGCCGAAAACGGACGTTTCTCTCGTTTAGCTGCGTTGCATGTCGGGTAGCACCACTTCAACCTGCGCAACTATACCATTTGATTGAAGAACGACAACTACGTATTGTGACGTGTCCAGAAATAGCCGGATCAAAGTTCAAGATCTTTCATTATAAGACAAGACGCTTCTGACTCTGTCATCTTGAATCTGAAGTGGCAAGTTCAGGACATCAATAGAGCCGCCAGTCATATTCATTATTTGGACCGCCCAGCTTCAACAATGTTCACGATGAAACTCATTAGTCTGCTATCAGTGATAACTGGCGGCAACGCTATGGTTCTCTCTACGGTTCTACCTACGCCCCTCGCTACCCTGTCGCCACGACTCTCGCTAATTATCGGATCTCTGATCTTTGCATCGGCGCCGGCCCTATACCCTCCAAAGTAAATCACATACTCGTTATATGGGGTTCTTTTATACTATTCATTCATTCGTCGAACTGAACAACATAGGCTTGTGACTTTATACCTTTTAATCATGTTTGATTTTAAAGATCTATCGAAGACATTGTAAATTATCAGTATCTTTCGTATCAACCAGCACGATGGCGCAGAACGGAAAAGAGAATCACAGACGAAACATATATCCAATAGGTCGCTGACCACAAACCAAGCAGGAGAGAAGCGCACGAGACGCATAAGGCTAAGTCGGAATGCCTTTTACCACTTTACAACAACACTTAACCCCAAACAAAAAGATGACATGCAACACCGGGCATTCGCCGGTCGTCACCGACCCGACTACTACTCCGGCCCTCACTGGTTTATCGATGGGAGAGCGGACGGGATCCCGAGTTCTCCAATGGGTATGGTCGCATGTGCTGGTTTTAACGAGAGAGGCCTCTCTTATTGTGACGGGGGTGACACTCATCGTGACTTGTTGACGGCGTCGTGTTCTTCTACGTAAGAGTCTACAGGTAGAGCCTTTCATAACATAACTCTATGTATCCTGTCTCACACACCATCTCTCTACTGGTTTCAACTTACAACTTCAAGACACACCACTATTATCAGAATGACTGTTCCACGTCGCTGCCAATGTTTTCAGGTGACATCGAATGCCATCTCGCCTGCCGTGGATCCGGGGAGGTACTTGTGCGGTGTCCACTCGTGATGGGTCCGAAGATGAGCGGCGGACATAGCTCAGTTGGGAGAGCGTCAGACTGAAGCGGATCTCGATCCGAGAAACTTCATTCTATCAATCTGAAGGTCGTGTGTTCAATCCACACTGGCCGCATCTTCATTTTTTGCCATCGTGCTCATTGAAGGTGGTCACGATGAGTTTGTGTTGTGGTTGAGGCCGTTTCCCTTCTTCTCGGTTCAAGGTTCCCATGTGCTGCAATTTTTTCTTCGGGTAACAGCGCTCTTCGAGACACGTAATTAAAAGCATGTTCTTGCCCTTATTTGTCTTTTGCTACCAATATCCATTATGCTGCCCTCTATTTCTCTGTTTTTGTAGGGAGTTCCGAGAGCACATATCAGTTGTGATGTCTGGTCGGAGACGTGACAACCAAGAAAAAAACAAAAAATCGTCGGCCCGCTCGCCACTGCTCGCACCTGGCAGGACCCGGCAGGGCCGGCGCCGATTGACGCCGACCTCTGACGTATCAACTCATCTGCTCGCTCGCCCATTCGATCCTTCTGGCCTTCTCAACCAGACCACACTGCCCATAACCGGGAAGCTTCAATACGGCCAAATAGAACTTTATTCTGAGCCCAACGATCCCGTGGCGCCGTATTCGACTATTGTGAAACCGACAGAAACCCTTCCAACTGTTAGATAATCTACCTAATGCTTTTGATCTCAAGCGACGCTTACTTGACTCAAACTCGGGTGGTTTTGTGCACAAGACTTCGCCTGTAGAGTGTCTCTTTCTCGTCTTCCAAGTGCAACTTGTGTACAAAAGAAGAGGTTTACGCTCATAATTGTGAATGTCTCGGTCACCTTGTGTCATTACAGAACGCCATAACTCTCTGAACTACCAATTGCTACTTTTGAAGGCCATTCACAATTTGTAACTTCACGTCATGCGCGTAGTGAGAGTCTCGGATCAGTGATTCATGTCAGCTTATCAAGCTGACATGCTACGCCTGAGTGCAACATTCTATCGTGTAACTCGAATAGGGGAGGGAACCTGGGACAAATCTCACGATCTGTCGACACAGTCAATTCACAGAAAAGCGTACTTCGCGTGAAACGTTGAAATATTTGATTGGTATTGGGGCTCTGCGTGAAGAATTGGCTATAAAAGCCGCGCTCTATATCCAGTCCGATTTCAAAATCAAATCATCCAAACTCAAGTCATCAGTTTATTTAACATAACTCATTCAACAGCCAGCTCTTCTCCCATAAACACCATATACCTCTTGACACTCAAGATGTACCTTTCCATCTACCTCGTTTCTGCCCTAGTCGCGGTCTCAGCCGCCTTCACTCTCCCCGAGGGCACCACCGACGGCTTCTATCTCGCTTACTACAACGAGAGCGGCCACGAGGTCCACGTCAAGGCTCCGGACATGTCCTATTCCCCGGCCGACCTCGCTCCCAGTAAGCCGGCGATCCGTCAGCTTCGCAGCTCCGACAACCAGCTTCTCCCGCGCGGTGGAGGTACTATCTGGTGTGGCTGCGATTTAACGATGGTCAGCCAAGACTGCGATGCGGCCGTGGAGGACCTCAAATCTCAACTGACCAAGTCAATCGTGCCCCTCATCGGAGCCGGCAAGGCGTGGTACTCGATTCGTGGGGGCGTTGTCGCCTTCATGTGCAACAAAAACCTCATCTTTCCCGCTGGGGTCGGTGCCTCCCACTACGGTGGAGATCTGGCAGAGATCACGAAAGCCTGCGGGTTGTACGTTCCAGGGACGAGGGAGAGGGACGAGGGCCTGGATGTGGGGTACATGAAGATGCATGAGGGCCTGGACTTTTGCGGCGTTGCTCGGAGAGGGGCCGCGCACCACTGCTGATATGTTGGTTTCTATTGCCTACTGTGGGAAGAACTCGAGCTGGAGACTTTCATTGAATTGGAGGACATGGTCTTATGAAAGGACATAGACGGATGATGCAGTAATAGCAACATGGTCTACCAGGAAGAAGACTTGGGAGCTTGCAGACGCATGGTAGATGTATTCACTAAGACGCTCATTCAATCGAAATTTCAAAGTACTCAAGATTCCGGGAAGTCCTCATGAGAGCGTGAATCTGGTTTGCATCATGGGATTTTAACACACAAAGACTAGGGATACATTCTGTTATAAGTGTAGACTCTGCACGCGTTTGACGCGCATACAACAAAATAAAGAGTTAACTTAACTCGTAAACATAGCACACATAGAAGACCCAGGTTCAGTCAGAACCTAGAGCCTATCTCTTCCCTTAAAGTGTCAAAACCTTCCCAACTAGTCTAGTATCAAGAAGCATACTTCCTAAGTCAGGAAGTACTAAGTAGGCAACTCTACCTCATAATGAAAGTTCGTAAATGGTCTAATCTATATTAGTAAGTCCTCCCTATTGTCTATTACTTATTCATAAGACTTCTCCTCTTAGAATTAAATGCTCTGTTAGGAAGGGAACGCTTATGAAGGGAATTAACTCCACTTTAGGAGGAAATTAAAGCTGACTTCCCCAGCATTTCGAACACGATCTTTACCTAGTTAAGAGCGTTTACATCAAAGATTCAAAAGAGTTCTGGTTGAGTGGCGGCGCTTTGTTGTCATTATCATTATCGTCCTAATTGCGATGCCGCTGGTTCAGCTGAACCCTCTTCTGTACGGACCGATATCAGCCCTCTCCGCTCTGTTTTCATCTGGGTTTCTTGCTCGCATGGAAGGGTTCGTGTCCAGCGGAGCGTCTCCTGCCAACGGCTAGGCTCAGGCGGGTTCTTACTCAAGTCAAGGGGTAAAGACAAAACAGCGGCTAAATTAGGAAGGTTAGGCTTATCTAGGTACCTCGTAGGATAATGGTATAGAGCCCGCGGATCCCTCTTCTCGGCACGAAAGTGCATATTCTGCATCTCTAGTTTGTTCAAGTTATGACCGCAAGTAGCGGCGCAGCATATGTAGGAATGACATGAAGGAGGTATAAGAAGCAGCGAAACCGAGAGTCGACACTTCCCAAGACCCTGATTTCTGAACCAGGAAAGGGTCGCCGTCGGAATAGGCATTCTTCGCCTGCAGTGAAATATGGTCCGGTTCGCAGAAACCTTGTGGAGGCTATCATTTATCTGGAGCCGAGATCCGGGGTTGCCCCGCCTTGTGGCATGGATTGAGCCGGCCGTCCTCAGTTGCTGAGATTGGTTCGGCCGTTGAATCGTCCCGGCCCTGGGTTACTCGGTCTTTGAGCGGGTTGAATATGCGCCGGTCCAGTTTCCGAGTTGCTGATCGCGGGTCGACTATTGATCAAGACGATGGGTACCTTAGGCTCGTGCTCACTTGTCCATCTTAGAGGCTGAGCGGTGGCATTGTCTGTTACTTTGCAAAGATCATGGCTTTGCATTCTTATCAGAAAAGATGGTTTGATTGTGGTGTGGCATCGAATGTACAAGACTTTGGTTTGCAATTGTATTTTATCGACTCTTGCGTTGCGGAAAAAACTAGTCTTGAGTCTTCAGCCTTCATGAAACGAACAATCCATTCGATCAAATAGGTAGGAAGAAAGTTGATCTGCATCCAGGCCTTTTACTACATTCCCTGTCATTGAAAGTCTACGGGCATCCGGGAGCGCCGCTGCCGGTGTTCGCACCGGCCGGGTCGCAGCAGCCCTCGTCCATCTGGAACATGCCGCATCGTCAGCAAACGTGTCCTGCGTAGAGCCTTGATGCGGTACAGAGGCCTCGGGGTTACTCACGTTTCCAGGGCCTAGATAGTTGCAGCACAAAAAGTATTCACCCCACTGGGTTGCGAACGGGTAGGGGTGATCGAGGGAGCCCCATTTCTCGCACTCGGGGCTGACCTGGCGCTCTTGAATGGCGGCGCCGGCGACGAGGGTGGTGAGCAGGGCGGCTGCGATTGACAACTTCATTGTGAATGTGTCGATGGATGCGGTCTGAGGCGGTGAGTTTAGGAAAGAGCGAAGTGATTGGAATTTGTTCATTGAAAAGTCCCGAGCGGATTGAGCTTTCTTATGTACCCGCGAGGCAGATAGAGTGTTTTCTTCTTCCTCATCCCCTGGATCATCTCCTGTTCGGATGAACGGCTGCCACCGAACATGCGTCGCCGTGCAGGCCGTACCCGTGGAGGTTGACCTTCGGCCGGTAATCAGGTGCCCCGGGGCTAATTGCCCGAATCGGACGCTCCACGGAGGCGGATCCGTCGCATAACGTGCGAATAGATCACCCACGTTCACCTCTTCTCAGAAAACAAATGCAACATCGACACTCCTCCATTCTTGTGGTTAAGCGAGATCTTGGTATCCCAGCAGACCACTAGCACTGGATGTCGCGGCGCCTTGGAGTAATATCCCCAAATCTAATGACGCACGGCAGGCCGATCCTGGCCAGTTCATACCTTACAGGGGCCAACAAGTAGACTTGGATATTTGGTTCTAACAACTTCTTCTTGCTGAACAGCCTTTCTCATAGGTTCTTCGTGACCTTGCATTTGGCGACCCACATCTCCTGGATACGGACTTGCCAAACTGAAGGATCCAGAGCAACTCGCAACGGCTCTGGAACTCGCTACCAAAGTTTGATTAGTCCTGCACGCCATTTCTGAGTTGCATCGTGCTGTTTCCCGGAACCAGCTAACTAGCGGTTGCGGCCGGACCGAGGGAATGGATACCGAGTTCTTACGCAGTCTTCCGAATCAGGTCCTCTAGCTCGTCTCCTGAGCACTCGAAGACCCCCAAGACAGCTCCCAGAAGTCCATGCCGCCGTATCCCTCGCCGTACATCATCTTGAAGTGGTACGTGATCAGCGCCGACATGTCGCCCCTGGCCAGCTTCTCGTCGGCCTCCTTGATCATGTCGTCGACCTTAGATAAATGAACAGTGGCAGAAATAGTGAAGTGTACGTTGAGAAAACTCTCACTGGCCCCCTTAGGATTTGAGATTGATGATTTGTATACTTGAATACAACGCCGGGGCAGTATTGAATGACCAAAGTCCGCAATGGCCCGCAGGTAAAATCGGGCGGGTGATTAAGAGAAGAGCCGCATCGCGCCGTGAAATACCGTACTTGTCCGGGAATTCTGCCCCCGCCCGTGGATCGGCTACCAAAAAGTGCCGGAAAGTGAATCAACCCCGTCCCGCCCTTTCCGGCGACGGGACGGCCCCACATTCGGCATCGGTCGGAGCCAGGTAGCTGTGTCAGCCAGGAGGCCCGTTAGTCATTCCTTCGGTCTCCGTACGATATCATACAATGATGTCACCAAGACGACAGAAGTTGGTTCACTTTCTTCTACAGCTGAAGAGCCGTATCACTCAGCTCTCGCGGTGTGTGATCCATCGCTGAATGAAGACAAAACGTTCTAACTACCTACTTTGTTTAGCAAGTTTAAAGCGCTAGCCCGGCGATGTGAGCTTCTATCTACGTTGGAGTGAAATATTCACAAAATTCGTCCTCTACTTGGCTTGAACTTTTCCTTGAAACTAGGTGAACTTGAGTCATTTTATGAGGGGGTTCCTTAATACCGTCTGGGGCAGTGGCTGCTCGAAGTGGGAGACGAAGATCGAGCGAGTTTGTCTTCGCAGGTATCGGGTTACCAGGATAAGAAGGTGTAAGAATGCAAGCGTGGGAACGACCCAGCGGCTACGCCAACTATTGGCGTGAATATGCAGCTCGCATTCGCATTTGCGGGGAAACGTGCCGAATTCGCTGGCTGCTGTTATACATGTATTGGGAGGGAGCTTTGGGTGGCTGCATTCGATCAGGCTCACATACATATTGGGGTTCTTTCACAATTTTATTCATTCGTCACACTCAACAACACGTCAGGGACCTAATGCCTCTTAACTGTGCTTAGTACTTTAGTAGTTTTAAAGATCTGCTGATAATATTCAACACCGTAAGTGTTGTTGCGAACGCGGCTAGCAATAACTTCGAATTGACTCGCTTTTCATTAACCTGAACGATGGCATATAGTAAGGAATAGTGTCAAAGATGGTATTTAATAGGTTGCTTACTGATAAGTTGGGAAATATGTAAGTAGAGAAGAGCGCATAGAGACATATAAGACTGTTTTGGAATATTTCTTTAACACTTTACAACAGTACGTTCAACTCCTCCTCCGCCAAGAGCCTATCAATTGATGCAATCAGCCTTGGCAACCCAAGTTGGGTAGGACTCTGCATAAGTTATAGGGGCGCTCCGAAGGCCTACATGTAGTCAGCTAAGTCCGAGGCGTCAGCTGACAATGACTTCGAATCTAATTAGCCTAAGCGATCTGAGAAAGGCATTGGCTCTCCTCCACTGAGAAGGTGTTATAAGTGCATGAGTCCGAGGCGTCATGTCTGCGCCAAGGGCCGTGCCCACGATGGCTTCACCTCGACTTCTTCCGCCGAGAGACCATGAATGCAATCGACCTTAGCGACGCAAGCAAAGGAACGCATTGTAACCTCGTGTCTATGGCATTGCAACATCGTGCTTATGGTATTGCAACATCGTGCCTCATCTTCACATTCAAAGGAAGTTGGTACATACATGCACTCTCGCTTTCAGCCCCTCAAGCCTTGGAAACAATGGATTACACGAGAAGCTAACCGAGGAGAGTAGCAGCAGACGAGACTGGGCGAGAGGGCGAGATGAGACGACGAGATGTCGAAGACTCTGTGATGGGAGTCTCCCAGAAATGCATAAAAGGCTCGCTCCTGCCTCTGTCTGGAAGCTCTTGAACCCATCTCCATCCACCTCATCATCTTCGGCCTCTCAGCAAAGAAACCAGTCCAGCATCAAGCAACCTGCACAACTTCACTCTCGAGATCAAGTTCTCCGTCTTTACCAAGCAAAATGAAGTTCTTCGCCGCCGCCACCCTCGTCTCGGGCCTCTTCGCCACCGCCGCCTCGGCCATCGACCTGCACCTCGAGTTTGCGGGCGGCTGCAGCACCAGCGGCGGCGGGTATATCTGCCGGGGATGGAACCCCAACACTTGCTGCAGCGTCAACGCGGGCACCTATTTCGGCAGCGGCTCGTTCAGAGCCATCCCGCGCAACTGGAACATCCAGGCGCGTGGCCACGCCGGGCCCAACTGCGGCTCCATCCGCGAGCAGCAGGACAGCGCCGGCCGCGACTACGTCTGCCTCGGCAACGGGCCCTTTGGCGGGCTGGGTTACGGCTTCAACAACAAGAAGATGATCCGCGGCGCGACCCTGGACGCCCGCGATGACGAGGAGACCGAAGGCTGCGCCCAGCCGGACATCCTGTACCTCGCCGACGGCACCCAGTACAACTACACCGCCATTGCCGAGACTGGCCAGGCCACCGAGGAGGTCGTCTCGCTTATTGAGGCCGGTGCATCGGCCGACGACATCCCCAGCTTTGAAGCGTTCAAGCTTGAGGAAAAGCTCGTTCTGTGAACATCAGACGTAACCTCAGGACGCTTCCCGCTGTCACGCCGTCCCCAAGCCTTGCCCGGATACCCTATGGCGAGTGCTTCAGCTGTCTATCCAGGTTACGATGCGGAGTATTGAGCCGGTTCATACGTCTCTTATCCTGTGATTCGTCCTTTTTTGTTGGGGGGTGTCTTTCTTCTTCTTCTTTATATACTCGGCTTGTCCGGGTATACTTAAACACTCTTTTTGAAAATTGCGGTAGATTAAACTTAGGTACCTAGGTAGTAAAAGACAAGACCTTCATTGCTGCAAGTACATGGCGTATGTTGACTATTGGTTTATTAAATATGCCTTGATGCATCTTCTAGCTATAAATACCATTAGTGGCAAGCTGCTGCAATAAGCACTGAATGAGGTGAAAGGGAGATTGGAGAGTGACTTCTCAACCTAGAATGACCGCAACCAACTCTGCTCCTCTTCCCTCGTCGAAAGTTGAAACCTCTTAAAGCTAGTTAGCCAGTCAGCTCCTAGATACAGTCTTACTACTGCTGCAGGGACACCAAAGAGCGGCCGTTGCTTGCGGAGAACTCATCGACGTTGCTGATCGGCCGCTAATACGGACGGCTAGCTTCCCGTGCTGCTGGAGAGACACAACACCAACGCGTTCGCTTGCGCCAAGCGCCGCTGCTAGCACATGTCTTACCCAACGATACACTAGGAATGTTTATCGTGCAGATCTACGGAGACATTTCTCCCTTAGGATTGTTGGTCAAGGGAGATAACATCTATGTCAAACGCGGCAACACTCCAGGTCACCATCCAGCGACTTCAAGTTATGCTTTGGAGAACTCAGCATGCAATTTGTATGGACTCTAGTAAGTTAAGTATGTTCGTCAAAGAGCATCGTTAGATTCCAAGCGGAGAAGATATCTCCAGGTGAGAAGAATTGGCTATGCTGGCATGTGCTCGTACACATGTTAGACAGCATAAGGTAATTAGCACTTCATCCAGCTTGTGTCTGACCCTGTAAGACATGGCTATCTCGCAAGCATGAAAAAGAGAGGAGACGACCAAGTTCACGTCCAATTACAACGGCCGAGTATTCGATTACGGGCCGTCGCGGCTGCACGATGCTGTGGCCGGTAAGACAAACAACAGCTAGCCTGAGACAGTTGACGCGAGAACGGATGGACGAGGAATCCGACAGAGACATGGGGTCTCGATATTTTCTCGCCGGCATCTATGCCTCTATTTCCTATATAAGTAGCAATATTCTTTCCTTTTATCAGCCAATACTTCGACCGTCAACTTCCAATTGTCCGGCACCGTGTCACTTCAGAACATCAGGATGTCGCTTGTGGGGATTCCCAGAGCACCACCAACCTTCCTTCTGGGAAACTTTCCGGATCTGGTACCCTCAAACCCCTGGCCGTCTTTCAAAAAGCTCCAGGAGAAGAACGGTGAAATCTTCTACATCAAGGTCCCATTCAAGCCTCCCGTTGTCTTCGTTGCCAGCGCCGCCTTGCTCGGAGAGCTATGCGACGAGAAGCGCTTCCGCAAGCAGGTCACGAAGCCTATCCTTGAGATCCGCGGGGCCGTACACGTCGCGCTCTTCACGGCCGGCTATGAGGGCTGCGAGCAAATGGATTGGGGCATCGCCCACAGGATTATCCGGCCCCAGCTTACGCCTCAGGTCATCGCCGAGAGCTTCGGTGATTTCCTCAGCACCGCCGATGATCTGTTTGATATATGGCGAAAGAAGGGCCCCGGTGCCGAGATCTTCCCCATCACCGAGCTTGACCGGCTCAACCTTGAGGCGACTACCCTGGCGCTCTTCGGCAAGAGGCTCGACTGCTTGGAGAGATCCCACGAGATGTTGGGGGCGATGGCTACAGGAACTGGCGAGGCCACGCAGCGGCCAAACAGACCCTTGCCCTTTCAGAACTGGTGGACTAAAGGGGACTGGAAAAAGTCCATCCAAGTCATGAGGAAGTACGCCCAGGATCTCGTCGACTACAGACGCAGCAACCCGACAGACCGGAAGGACCTCCTCGACGCCATGATGAACGGCACGGACCCGAAATCCGGCGCGAAGCTGGACGACGAGCAGGTCGTGGACGAGATCGTCTCGATGCCCATCGGCAGCAGCACCGCGCCGTGCGTCATCGCCGCGGCCATCTACTTCCTCCTCCGCAACAAGGAGGCCGTCGCCAAGGCCCGCGAGGAGATCGACGCCGTCGTCGGCGACGACGAGCTGGCGTACGAGCACGTCGCGCAGCTCAAGTACGTCGAGGGAATCATCCGGGAGGCTCTGCGTCTCTCCTTCGCGGCGCCGGGCTTCAACATCGAGCCGATCCACGAGAAGGACCAGGACACGGGGCCCGTTCAGCTCGCCGGTGGCAAGTACCAGATTCCCTACAACCAGGGCATGATCGTTCTCTTGGCGGGCGCGAACAGAGATCCGGCGGTGTTCGATAAGCCCAACGAGTTTAGGCCCGAGCGTATGGTGGGCGAGAAGTATGAGCAGCTGCCGTTGGGTGCTAGGAGGTACTATGGCAACGGCAAGAGGGTGTGTGTTGGCAAAGATTATGCTTGGCTTTGGAAGATGGTTGTGATGACCAAGTTGATCAAGGAGTTCGACTTCGAGGCTGTCGATAAGAACTACGAGCTGGAACAAGAGGGCTGGTTCAACATGAGGCCAAAGAATTTCCGGGCCAAGATCAAGCCGAGGACCGGCACGAAGGGCTACCCGGTGTAATGAGGTTCCATGTCATCACAAGATATCTCAGTTCAAATCGCATTACTGTTCGTCATGAAATTACGTTATTATTCATTAATGTGATCCACCAACTATCGATCATGCGATGGTGAGAGACAGCGAGGCCTCATCAGGCTTGCTTCCCCTCTTGGAAACACCGCCCTGGGCCAGGGCGATCTCGTTCGCAGCATCATCCGCCGCGAAGAAGGTAGCAGTGGCAAAGGGCGCACCAAGCATGCAGCCGCCAGTGTCGATGTTGAGCGCGCAGAACTGGGCTTCCGCGTCCGCGTTGTTACGGACGTAGTTGCGCAGGGGGATCTTGATTGTGACCTTCTCGTCACCAACACCAGCGAACTCGAGGTCGATTGTCAGGTCCTTGGGAATCGAGTCGCAGGTACCGTTCCAGGCGGTGTGGCCGATGGAATCGCGGGCGAGACCGGCGGCGCCGTAGAAGGCATCAATAGCGTCGGAGCTGATGGGAAGGTCATCAATCTGCGTGCCCGAGTCGATCATACACGCGTGGGAGCTCAGGTCCTTGTTGTCGAGGGTGACGTTCTTGACCTTGACGGTGGGAGGAGCAACGAAGTAACCGACGGAGGCACCGAGGCGGTCGTTCTTGATGGGGGGAACCTTGACGAGGTCGCCCGTGTACTTGGAGTGGTCGATGGCACCGAAGACGGCGTTACCGGTAAAAGTGCCGTCCCAGTTGGCCGGAGCCTCGTCAAACCAGATGCTCTGGACTGGGGCGCTGATCTCGCCGCGCTCGAGAAGATCCTGACGGACGTGCGGCCCGGTGGTGTTCCACTCCTCGGTGCGGTAGAACGGAGCAACGCCGAGAATGCCGAGATCGTACGCCGCCGGGGTGCAGGTTCCGCCGTCGGGCAGGCGCTGCTGCATGTAATCGGCGATGGCGACGCGAGCGGCTACGGTCGAGGTCAGGCCGGAGTCGGAGGCGAACAAGAAGGTGTCGTTGACGGTCTCGTGGCCCTGGACGATCTTGGTGTAGGCGCCGTAGGCGAACTGCGAGGGGAACGACTCGGGCTTCTTGGCCGTCGGGCTGTTGGGGTAGTCGTAGAAGGGCTCGGCCGTGGCGTTGCACTGGCCCTGGCAGAAGAAGCCGGTGCATCCCCAGTTGTTGATGGCGTTGGGGCCGAAGACCCAGAAGTTCTCGGAGCCCTGGTCGAAGACGACCTCGACGGACTTGTTGGAGTTGGGGTTGACCAGGTTGGTCGCGATCTTGTGGCCGCCGCCATAGTAGTAGTGCAGCGGGATGTTGACGGTAGGGATCGCGGCGAGGGCGCCGTTGGCCAGAGCCATCATGGCGAGGGACTGTGTGCGCATCCTGTCGGTTGGTGGTGGGAGTTGAACGAGTGAAGGACGGGTGCGTGAAGAGAAGGGAAAGCCTCTCCATTACGTTGCGGACTTGGAGATGTTCTTATTGTTGATTTGCGCCGGGGGCCGAGGTGCCCAGTCCGCGCCCTACATGATCGCGGCCGGGATTCGAAAACCGGGGAATGATCATGCTATTTTCAGATGAACATCCATGGATGTGTACGGAACCGAGGCGGAGATGCTGTTATCATCTGATCTTTTCTCCTCTCGTCGACCTGCCCGTTGTGGGTGCTTGATTCCTCGTAACTTGGTCGGTTTACCTAACACCGCCGTCGACCAACCTTGACAGTTCGCATGCAAAAGAACCTTCTTCGTATTAAGATTGTGACAGCTCTCAAATAAAGTGCTTCGATGGGGTTGCAGTGAGGTCAGTGGTGGATATCAACACCCTTCCTAGCGGCGGTCCAAAGCGAAATTGGCTCAATGCGCCGGTCCGTCCAGCAAGAAACTTGGGGCGAGATTCGAGAAGAACAAGGGCCGGCAGGGCCGACCGGTGGTCCCCCCGGATGGCCCCCCCTTTCTTTTTCTTTTTCTCCCGGGTTCGGCAGTCGTCCGATCTCTTGGATACGAGATTTTTGATGGAGGACTGGGGCGACCCGGCCATGGGACCCCGGGATGTTGGAGCAGTCCATCGTGATGCCAAAATTTTGAAGATGATGCTGTTGTTAGTCGGGTATGCGTGCCGAAAAGCTTGTCTTGGCCCCCCTGGATCTTGGTATTAGACGGCAGACGTCTGCAATTCCAGTATCAGCGCCATCCTCGCTCTCAATCGGCCGAACCAGACGAGATCCCGATCAAGATGAGACTGTCGTTGGTTGCAAACGTCGGCGCTCTGCTTTTGAGCGGTCCTGCTCTCAGTCACCCGACAAAGAGCGGACAGGCCGTACACGAGTCCGTCTCTCAGCTCCCTCCAGGCTGGCGACATGTCGCACCGGGCCACGAGTTCCTCACCGTCCGGCTCTCCGTCGCGTTGAAGCAGCCCGGCCTGTCTGAGCTGAAGAAGCGCCTCGAGGATGTCAGCGACCCTGCTCACCCCGAATATGGCGCCCACGTCTCTCGGGACGTCATGAAGGCCTTCCAGGAGCCTTCAGAGGATGCATACGCCGTCGTTTCTTCCTGGCTTCAGGCATATGAGATTCACGACTTCAAGCAGGACGGACCTTGGGTTCGCCTGAACACCACCGTCGGCAAGGCGAACCGTCTTCTGGACTGCAAGTTCTCCAAGTACCAGTACAACACCGACAAGCCTGTTCTCCGTGCAAAGGAGTACACCATCCCTGCCCGTCTGGCAGAGCACGTTGACTTCGTGTTTCCGGTCAGTCAATTTGTCTCTAAACCGCCCAGGCAACAAGACTCGGTACAAGATGTGACCAAGGCAAAGAGAGCAAGCACCAGTAAGTCTAATTGAGTTATGGCTTTGATGGAAACGAAGCGACTAACACATCATAGTGCCGGAGAGCTGCTGGTCATACACGACCCCTCAGTGCATCGTTGATCTCTACAACATCAACTACAGCCTGCCCGATGGCCCATCGCCGACGGATTTTGGCATCGCCGGCTTCTTGGAAGAGTACCCCAACGTGCCCACGCTCCAAGCCTTCCTCGCGTCGTACAGCCCGCGCAGAAACGCCACCAACTTCTCGCCCAGGTACAACCTCACCGTCGAGTCCATCAACGGGGGTAACACCACGACGGAAGGCGGCGGTGTCGAGGCCCTCCTCGACATTCAGTACAGCATGCCCTTCATCCAGCCGATGAACGTAACCTACTTCTCCACCGGCGGTCGCGGCCCCGAGATCGGCCTCGACGGCAAAGAGAAGACCCCGGAAGAGAGCGGCAACGAGCCCTGGATCGAGTTCCTCGAGGCGCTCCTCGCCCGCGAGTCGATCCCCCACGTCATCTCCATCTCGTACACAGACGACGAGCAGGCCATCCCCCAGCCGTACGCCCGTCGCGTCTGCGATCTCTTCATGCAAGTCGCGGCTCGCGGCGTGTCCGTCCTCGTCGCGACCGGTGACGGCGGCGCCGCGGGTATCAGATCTGGTAACTGCGTCTCCAACGACGGGAAGAACACGACCAAGTTCATCCCCACGTTCCCCGTGGACTGTCCCTACGTCACCGGCGTGGGCGCGACGGGCAACTATGCACCTGCTGAGCCGGCGTGGTACAGCTCCGGCGGCTTCAGCGAGTACTTTGAGCGTCCGGCCTGGCAGGAGTCCGCGGCCAAGGCGTACATTGACGGCATCAACGGGTCTCATGCCGGTTGGTATGCGACCGGCGGCCGTGGCAGCCCGGACATCTCTGCCATCGGCTCTCGGTTCTTGATGCAGCCCGGCTGGACGCAGAAGGGGACCTCCGCCAGCACGCCCGTGGTCGCCGCGATGATTGCGCTTGCCAACGACAAGCGGATGAGGGAGGGGAAGCCTGCTTTGGGCTTCCTCAACCCTCTTCTCTACTCCGACAAGGTCCGCGCTGCTATTGATGATGTGACCAGCGGATCTAGCGGCAGCTGTCCGATTGGGGATCAGGTTGAGAGTGGATGGTCGGCTACTGCTGGATGGGATCCGGCAACAGGACTTGGAACGTTGAACTTTGCCAAGTTCATCGAAGCATTGGCTTAATGTGTAATAAGAAGTCATATTATGAGATATTGATAAAAGTTTTCTTTGAGCACGTTCTGTAACCAATTCTTCTCTACTTCAGGGCTGATTAATCTGCACCAGACTGTGAGTCTAAGCCGTGCAACATTGGCAACCCTATGAGCAGAACGGCTCTCAGGGCAACCAAGAAACCTCCAAGTAGCTTTCATATTCTCCTCCCAGGTGCAAGATTTGAGGCGCAGCCTTCGCTGGTTCCGACTTGAGCATTTCAAACTCAGGCAAACTCATGTCATGACCCGAAATCTTGAGCACCAGCTGTTCGCCCGCATCAAACTGGATAGCGGTTGGCCAGATCCACACGTTAAGCTTGAGAATCTCTCCCGGCGCAACGGGATTGTCGGAATCATGAGCCAGCGTCTCCCAGTACTGCTGCGACAGCTCCGGCGCCACCTTCCTTTTCGACGCTCGTAGTCGGCCTGTAGGCCCGAGATACTTCAGCGGGTTGATGTTCGGGACCTCCTTTGCGGTGGCGACTCCGAGAGCCTCCAGGGGCATGTTCACATGTTCCAAGTCGTTGCCGTTCTTGTCACGCTTCCGGAGTTGCGCGTAGATGTCAAAGTCTGACTGCGATGGGCAGGATGTGTGGATCACCAGCTTCGAGGGACCGGCTAGCTTTGTCGGTTGCTGGAAGGTGTATGCGAACTCGGCCCGTTCGACATCTCTGTACTCAAGAGTCTTGTACTCGCTGCCGTTGGTATGTTGCAGAGACTTGTCTGAAGCCAGGAAGAGCTTTTGTGAATTGGGATTCGACAGCCACGGAAGGTGATCGAAAGGAAGGTCTAGAATGGGCGGCTTGTTGTAGCCGAGCACAGCTAGCCTCACCGCAGGAGTCTTCTCCCAGTCATTCTCGATGCCTTTGAGATAGCGGTCGAAGAACTTTCGCAGGTCATTTGTTCGTGCCTCGCTGTAAAGATCATACCACTCCTGTGTCGCGTGGACGGCGATCCTGTTGCAAGTCAGCTCCCATCACCACTTTGTTGCATGCGTGCGTAAACCTACCATTTGTTACCATGTGGTATCTCTTCAAACCCCCTGAAGCTCCCCAAGGTATGAAGCATCGTCGAGAAGCTTGCGAGGATGTACGCCGGGACCTCGATTTTGTTCATCTGGGCTCTTTTGTCGTCCCAGTATTCCCTGCAATTGGGGTATTTTTCGAGCATCCCAATGCTGTCTTCTTGCTCATTGCGGCCTGTAACAATTGCATGAGTACTCCGTGAAGAATGTCAGGTACAGGATTAAGAGGTGACAAGACATACCCACGAGGAGATTCTGCAACATCTTCATGAAAGGAGGTGCCGGTATTCCTCCTCTAGATAACGACTCACGTAGATTATCGCTGGCACCTTCGAACGGTGCAATGCATGCCAAATGAGGAGGCCTCTCGACGGCGATGTACCATTGGCAAATGGCGAGCCATGAGTTACCTGCTAGAGAGATTTTGCCGGTACACCACGGAAGCTTGGCGATCTCCTCGACGGCGTCGTGGCCGTCTTTGCCCTCGCCGGTTCCGAAAGCTCTCACGTCTCCCTCAGAGTCGTTGATTCCTCTGGCATCGATGTTGACCAGAGCATAACCATGCGGAATCCATTCAGCAGGGTCGAGCCTAGACCGATCTGACGGTCAGCCTCAATCACAACCACTCGTCAGTCATGTGGATGAAAACATACCCTTCGAAGGACTCGTATCCAGAAAGTTGGCTCAAAGGAACACCAGCCCTCAAAGGAACCTTGTCAAGGTTGAGATTGCCTCAAAAGCCCCATGTTAGCTGCCGTCCAACTTGATTCAGTCGATGGCGGTCGGCCCACCTTCGCCGCTCTTCCCGTATGGCGACCACATGAGGACGGCCGGGACCTTCTCCTCCGTCTTCGGCCGATAGATGTCGGCTCGGATGCGGACGCCATCGCGCAAAGTCAAGAAGTGATCCTTTTCAAGGATGATGTCGCAAGGCAGGGGACGAGCCTCTGGGGTCTTTCTGCTGCCGGCGGGTAGATCCACGCGGGATGGCTCCTTGGGATGGTCCCATGCCGGGCGGTTTATGGGGCATTGGAGCACTTTGATAGAGTTGACATAGTATGGCGCCATTGTGAGAACGCACGTATCTCCTCAATCACTCTTTCAAAACCTAATGAGTAGATTGAACAGACGACGGCCGTAATCTGACGTTGATTTCGCTTTTATACAATTCTTGACGTTTGACAAGTGATCCACCTCCTCTCCGGCTCGCATCACCAAGATCTACAGACACATGAGCGGCGCGGCCCCTCTCAACGGCAAACTACCGCGGCATACCTCTGGACCATTCAGAAAACGCAGCCTCGATGCAAAATTCCCTCATTTGGAAAAGGGGACGAGGCATTCGTTCGAACCGACCCTCCCAAAACATCAGCTGAAGTCTGAGCGGCATGGAAAGAAAGTCAGCGGTTCTCCAGATTACTATTCATCCCCGCTGACAAAGTGCGTGGTTGGGCCCACGTTGCGAGGGCCTTGGGGTGTTTCGGAGTCTTGTTGTTCGCCGTTCGCCGATTACTTCTCTAGCAAGATCTGAGAGGAAGTCCATCATCTCCAGTGAACATGCCACGCGATGATGTTCATCCCCTCGTTTAGACTCCATCTCGTCGACGGATTTATGTTGGACGGATTTATGCCCCGGAAGATGGAGTCGGTATTCGGGGACGTGGACACTAAATAATTCGGGCATTTTTGCCGACACACTGTTTGATCGACCATACAGTCGAATGGCAGCGTTTATTTGAAGTACCGCTGCGCATCTCTGGCGGCATTGAATGGCAGTTGTTTTTGCTCTTCAATTGGCGTGAAGTCGTCATTTCACCTGTCGTGTTTCTGTACAAAACCATTCGCGATTAGCCCGATCACATAGCACCGTCATGTCTTTACCATCAGTCTCCAACGCGCCAGCCCTCTTCGTCGACGATGACTGCAACTTCAAAGTCATCCGCTCCGTCCCAATCCCCGAGCTCGCCCCGGGTGAGGTCATCGTCAAAGTCTCGTTCTCGGGCGTCAATCCCGCCGACGTGAAACACGGCCTGCACCTCGGCGTTCGGAACACGGTGATGGGCTACGACTTCAGCGGTCGCGTCGTGCGTGCGAACCCCGACTCCGCCTTCAAAGTCGGCGAGGTCGTAGCCGGCCACGTCCCGACGGGTGTCGGGAAGCCGTGGAAGCACGGCGCTCACCAGGAGTATCTCTCCTGTCCCGAGGAGATTGTGTTCAAAGTCCCAGACAACCTGCCGCGTGACCACGCCGCGTGCCTGACCACGGTTTTGACAACGGCTGCTGATGGATTGTACAACATCTTTGGATACCCTCTCCCCGGCGAACAACCCAGCAAAGGGTTCAAGCCCGGTCCGTTGCTGATTTGGGGCGCGTCGACGAGCGTGGGGTTGTGCATGCTCCAACTAGCACGGGCGAGCGGCGCGTTTCCCATCTTCGTCACGGCATCGCTGAGACGGCATGAGCTGTTGGAGAAGCTCGGAGCGACGCGCTGTTTCGACTACGCTTCTCCCGACGTGGAGTCCCGGATCCAGGCCTCCGTGGCCGAGGCTGAGGCGGGGCCCATCGCGTACGCCGCCGATTGTGCCGGAACGATGGGGGAAGTTAGCTCTGCGGACCAGATGTTGAAGTGTGTCGGCGCCGATGCGAAGTTGCTATCTGTGGTTGGTGGGAGGGATCGGCGGTTCAAGATGCCGTTGGCTTCGGCGCACGCTCCGGTCAAGTTGGCACTCGGTGGTCGTGTGATTGAGTTCCCGGCGAGACCAGAGGACTTTGGGCGGATGTGGAAGTCAGTCATATGGGCCGTTGAGAACTACGGCGATGCGTTCTCATTGCCGGTTGTTGATGTCTTCAAGGGCGACGCGGAAAAGGCTCTCGAGGAGGTAAAGAAGGTTGCTGACCAGGGCAAGTTCGGGAAATTGGTATTGGAGCACCCGCTACAATGAGATCGGCTTCCGTCCTTGCTTATCATTTGGAAAGATAGCGAAACAACAAGCGATAGTACTCAATAGGTATCCCGCGGCGCATCATGCATACCGTGGTTTTCCGAGGATAGCTCATCACATGTTTATGCAAATCATGTATCCAGTACATCAGCAACAACACCCAATATCAGAACGAGAACATAAACGATAACATCACAACACAACCAGCACGACTGCATGTCTTAGACACTGCCCTCCATTTTGTACAAACCATTCCGGGATCGGGCCCTCCCGCGGCGGGGCACCATCCTGCCGGGCCCCTCGGCAGCGGCAGGCCGACGATAAGCAGCCATTCCCGGACAAGCTCCGGTCCATCGCCGGTTTTGTCTCCGGCTCCTTTATCTTGGACCTATCGGCGTCTTCCATTGTCATGAAATACCCACAAATTCGTTCCCGGTCGGCAACATTGAACGCCGCGCTCGGCTCCAGCTTTGCCTGCATCGGCTTTCTTCCTCCTCGTCCCACACGCCCGCCACCAACAGAAGCACGCAGAAAAATTGCAGCAAAGAAGACAGAAGGAGGAGAGACGGTTGGTTCGTTCGTTCAAAGTCGGTCAGTGGCGCTCCACCACGAACGAGTTCACTCCAAAGCAACCAAGCAAGACAGAGGACACACCCAAAGGCGGAAGGTCCATTTCTTTTCTGACGCAACAGCGGGGATTCCGCACGTCTTTTTTGCAACGGTGCTGGTCTCTCGTTATCCGGGGAGAGCCAGAGGGGAAAACAGTCGAGGAACGATACCGATTTTCATCCTTTAACCGCCTTTCTTCCTCTCATCCTTCACCGTTTGCTTCCCCTTCCCCCTCCCTCCTCCACACCCCTCTCCCGTTTGAACGACGACCTTCCCGGTTCAGTCAAACTCTACTTGAGCCTCTCTTGCGTCATTGGCGCACCGTAGATCGTTGGAAATCTTGCTACCGTTATATATCGGGGAGGAAAGAAATCAGAAATGGCCGCAGATGAACGGACGCCTCTCCTCAAATCCGGCGCCGGGGCCGTGAAGCGGGTCGGCCGCGGCCTGTGGTCGCCCGCGAACCGCATCCTCTTCGCCGGATTCCTCGTGTCGCTCACCCTCGGTCTCACACAGGTCCCGTACGTAACATCATATCCCAACTAGACTCAGGTCGCTCGAGTTATGTGAACATGGAATTGACATGAGAGCCCCCCCCCGGGGTGCACGCAGCATCATCTATGTCTTCCGCGTGATGGCTTGTGAGGACTTCTACAGCACGCATCCGCCCTTCGACGGCCCCGCTTCGGAGCAGTGCATGCGTCGCGAGATCGACGCCAACACGGCGAGGCAGGTGTCGATCCTCGGCATGACGACCTCGATATGCGGCATCTTCAACCTCTTCATCTGCGGCGACCTCATCAAGCGCTGGGGCACGAGATGGGCCCTCATCAGCCAGACCGGTCTGCTCGGCATTCGTGTGTCGTGCCAGATTCTCGCCGTAGGGACCGGTGGTAAGAGGGGGATTGATCTGATGCAGTACACCCAGCTGATCGGCATTCTCGGAGGGCCTCGTGGCTACATGTGAGTTTTGAAGTTCAGTTTCGCCAGAGACGCGGGCGCTAATGCGACTTATCTGTAGGTTGGTCTTGAACACTGCCGTCGCTGAGGTTGTCGAAAGAAGAAAACATACGGGCGTCTTTGGTCGGCTGCAGGGTGCGGTCATGATCGGAACGGCCATTGGCTACCTACGTAAGTGGAAAATCAAGACCATGATGAGCTGTGACTGACGAGACATCTAGTGGGAGGAATCATTGGTGATGTTTTCGGCATCGTCAGCCCATTCGTCTCCGCCGTCGGCTGCTTCATCGTCGCAACGACCTACGGTGCCATCTTCTGGCCGTCATCTCCTGCAGAGGGCAACGAAGCAGACGGAAAGACGACTTCAGGAGCCTCTGGCTTCCTGGCCCCGATCAAGGTCCTCATGCCGCAGAAGTACCGACTGGACAACGGAAAGGTGATCAGGAACTACGGCCTAGTCTTCCTCGCTCTGGGTATCTTCTTTGGTGTAGTAAGTGTCTCCAAGTCTCTCATCTGAGCATGGTTTTGCTGACGGTGAATCGCAGTTCGCTACTGGCTACGCCCCGATCCTCATCCAGATGTACGCCACCTCCCGCTTCCACTTCGGCACCACCGAGAACGGTATCCTCATGTCCGGCAACGCATGGATCCGCGGCATCTTCTTGATGTTCATCTTCCCCGAAATCATCGATGGAGGCCGACGGTGGTTTGCCTCGACGACTCACGCCGGGCCACTCCACAAGACTCTCACCGAGGAGGAGCGGAATCTGATCCCGACCCACGCCGAGGACATGGACCCTGCCCCTGGCCTCATGAACGCGATCGAGCCGACAAAGGCGCCCCCTGAGGAGGAAGATGAGGACAGTACCTTTGACCTGTTCTTTCTGCGCTGGAGTTTGGTTGTCGACGGCATCGTTACCTCTCTCGCCGCGTGGGCGACTGAGGGCTGGCACGTTTATCTCGGTAAGTAAACCCGATCTCATGACATGTCCATGGTCAAGGACTAACCCTCAACGACAGCCGCCTTCTTGTTGCCTTTCGCATCCGGCTCGGCTCCGGCCGCGAAGGGTGTGATTACGGAAATGTGCCCTCCTCACCAGCGGCAAGACGCCCTGAGTGCCATCACTCTCGTCGAAAGTGCTGCGACTCTGACGACTCAGGGTATCTTCGGACTCATCTTTGCCAGTCTTTCAGAGATTGGCAAGCCGAATTTGACGTTTTTCTGTAACGCGGTGAGTATCGATGCACACAGAATCGAATCGTTCATTGACTAATTCCCGCCTAGGCTCTGGCTGTGATTGCCGTTGGCGTCTTACTACTCGCACATTACCCCCCTTCCAACAGTACTCGAGTCGACGAAGAAGTTGAAGAAACGAGTACACAAGAGTAAGCTTTCACGGGTGACAAAGAAAGAAATATTCGAGCCTGAAAGGGCGTCTTGATCAATATGCTGGTCGTCCGGCGCCAGAATGAGTCTATCACTACTCGCAATGAAGAAGCGAGCGCTCTTCTCACAAACTCCACCCTGTACTCTCACCCACAGCATCTCAATAGTCATCATCCAAGCATTGGCCAGTTGAGCAAGTTGTCGGTGAGTTGGGAGTCTTGTACATTGGAATAACTCACCATGGCATGTGTGGATTAGATGTATCTCTAGATGGGCACATAGGAAAAGTAAAAACTGATTTCAAATTTCACAATGCGACCCCGGTACCCAGCGTCCGGTCAATTACGTGTAGAAGTCGATGTCCGAACGGTCTGGACCGACAAGTATCACCAAAGAAACCCATCCCGCTGATAACATTGCCGATGCCACTCCGGAGGGGTTACGGCGGGGGTGGGGCCTGCCGTCGGTCTTGGCTCGGGCTTCGAGTCCATGACATCAGCGGCCGGTGGCCAAATGTTCGCATTCATCATCGACTGAGTTCATGCAGATCGGTGCTTTTGCCCCGAATCTGGGGTTTTGAAGTATGTCGGCCAAGCTTGGACATGGGATTTGGAAATGTCGATGAAGAAAGATGGATATTCTGGAGCTGCAGCTGAGCAACCGCGCTCAAGATTCCGAGCCGTTCCAATGCCACTCCCGGTCTAGCCAGCGTTCATCTCACAGTCCCCAGCCCAGCCCAGCCAGCTTGACAGTCGGACAATATTTGCCCCCCGCAAGAGTCAATGGATCTCTTGATCAACTATGCTCTTCACCGGGTCAACCAGGTTGTGCTGAATGCCGATCTTCTATCCGACAGTCCAATTCCAAGCTAGAGCCGAGCACCAAACACCCGAATTGTCGAGCCTCCGTTCCCAGCGTCATTGACTTCATGGATCCGCTTGATCTGTGGCGTACCCTAGAGCTACTCTGGGGAAAGCCGCCACGCCTTTGCAACACAATGACAGCAGTCCTGTCTCACCGCGGAGACGTTGATGTAGTAATCTCCCACCTCTGATTCGTCCCGGTTGTCGAAGTGTTCGGACCGTACTCGCCTGCGTCATGCCATTGAGTTCCTAAATTCCATCCATTTGGTGCCTGCATAAGATGAGGCCCGGCCCAGTGGCGACCCGCGTCTTTCCCAATCTCTTGATATAAGACCTCAAAGCTCACCTCCAAATGGATACAGTCCAAAGAATCGTCAAACATCCCATCGAAACCGCCCAGAAGACACTCAACATGGGTTCCTCCGACACCTCATTCGCGGCCCACACGGCCAACCAGTTCAGCACATACGAGAAGGACAGAACAATGGCATCCAAGCACGCCGTCTACACGACGAGCAACGGCGTGCCCATGCCCCATCCATACGAGACGCAGCGGTGCGGCGAAAACGGGCCTCTCTTGCTCCAGGACTTCCACTTGATCGACTTGCTCTCGCACTTCGACAGAGAGCGCATCCCGGAGCGCGTGGTGCATGCTAAGGGAGCCGGAGCCCACGGTTTCTTCGAGTGCACGAATCCCATTCCGGAGCTCTCCCAGGCCGACATCTTCTCGACCAAGGGAAAAAGGTGCCCGATCACCGTCCGCTTCTCGACAGTTGGTGGAGAGTCGGGCTCGCCTGATCTCCAGCGTGATCCGAGAGGTTTCTCGGTGAAATTCCGCACGGAGGATGGAAACTGGGACATGGTTGCGAACAATACGCCCGTGTTCTTTTTGAGAGATCCCGCGAAGTTTCCTCACTTCATTCACACGCAGAAGAGAGACCCAGTAAGCAACCTTTTGACTTATTTCAAGACCATCGTCTGATTTGCCCTGCAGCAAACCCACTTGAATCACAACGATGATTCATTTATGTTCTGGGACTACCTCTCTCAAAATCCAGAGTCCATCCATCAAGTCATGATCTTGATGGGAGACCGCGGCATTCCCGACGGATATCGCTTCATGCACGGCTACGCTGGGCACACCCTCAAGCTCGTCAACAAGGACGGCGACTGGGTTTACGCCCAGATCCACATGAAGTCCCAGCAGGGCACCAAGTTCATCACACAAGAGGACTCCCTCACCATGTCCGCCGACTACTCCACGAACGACCTCTTCCAGGCCATCAAGAAGGGAGACTACCCCAAGTGGACCGTCGAGGTCCAGACGATGACGCCAAAGGAGGCCGAACAGGCGTGGGAGAACGACAAGATCAACGTCTTCGACCTGACGCATGTCTGGCCCCAGGGCAAGTATCCATTGAAGAAGATCGGAGAGTTCACCCTGAACGAGAATCCCATCAACTACTTCGCCGAAGTTGAGCAGGTCGCGTTCAATCCGGCGCATATGCCACCTGGCATTGAGCCCTCAGCCGATCCCGTGCTGCAGTCGCGTCTGTTCTCATACCCAGACACTCATCGCCACCGCATCGGCGTGAACTACCAACAGCTCCCCGTCAACGCCCCGCGAAATGGCTTCAACGCTGGCAGCTTCCAGCGCGACGGCCAAATGGCCTTCTTCAACCAAGGAGCGCGACCGAACTACCTCAGCTCCATCGACCCCATCAAGTTCAAGAACCGCACTGTCGATCTCGACAAGGCCCACGGGCACTTCACCGGTGAGGCCATTACCTTCCTCTCGGAGATCCGACCGGAGGATTTCAACGCGCCTCGCGCGTTGTGGCAGAAGGTCTGGGACGAGCCCGCTCGTGAGCGCTTCATCAAGAATGTGACGGGCAAGATGGAGCTTTGCAAGGACCAGGAGCCCTTGAAGCGGCAGATTGCCATCTTCAGAGAGGTCGACCCAGAGATTGCGCAGAGAATTGAGAAGAGCACTGGAATCAAGGGATATGATGGCATTGCCAACATGAGGTTCAACGGCACTCACAATGGGTTCGCCAAGGATGAGAAGAACAAGTACGCCAACGGTATCAATGTGTCGCAGGGGAAGAGTGTGACAGCCAACAACGGGGCCCCGGTAAACGGCACACACAAGAGCGCCAGGTAGATAAGGCTGTCATTCAGAGTCATATTAAAAACATTTTCTACTTCGACTTGGAATTATTGTGCCGGCCAGCCTGTCATGTGTGAAGGCGGAGCTCATGGTTGCCTGGGCCTGCATATTTGATGCATGTAATGAGGCAGTGCACATTGTGAGTGATGATTGGCGCTTGTAAGCTGCGCCGGTCCGCCTTCAGTCCGCCTTGCAGTTTTCGCTGCCCGTTGGACATAGGGTAAGGTATGAGAACAAACATTCTACCGCCAAGAGTAAGTTGTACTTTCAGGCCCAGAACACGTTCTTTGAGCGGTTTTTGTTGTACTCTTGGGCCAAGCGGTTAGACAAAATATGGGTAAAAGGGGGTAAAGATACATATAGTACTTTTGCTCCGAAATAAAGAACGCTGTTCTACCAAGGTATGCTCACAAAGGTCTGCCAAAAGTACGTATTTTCTCGTACCCTAGTTGAACATCATCCCCGAACTTTCAAACTCGTACTTAAGACGCTGATATTGCGATCAGTTTCAGAAGATTGACATTAAGACTTCACTTCAAACTTGAACATCATCCTCAGACATCTCACTTCTATCACCACCTCTCAACTTCTCATATCCCTAGGAATCATGCAAATCTCACAAGCTTCGATCTTGAAAAGCCTCCAGGGTGTAGCCGAGGTAACCAAGTCTCCTCAAGAAGACATTGGTCCCATTGAACAGTTGTTCAAGTCACAGGGCATCACAGCGAAAGATGGCTTTCCATTCGACAAGTGGCAGAGAATCATCCAAGAGACTCTCGAAGAGTCGGATGAAACAAAGTTTCATATCGCCAGCCTAGCCCTCTCCGTCTCCTTTCTCCGCGAAACATGCCGCCAGGAACAGCAAGCTTCCCCGCAAGACCTCGACCGAATTTGGACCATCGTCCACAAGGCACTCACAAGCAAGAACCTGTCACCCAGCCTGTTCACTGCGAACCGTAGCGCGCAAGGCCTTCTAGCCGTACCTCTCTGCAGCCTGCTCCGAGACGGTAATATCGACGAGCTCTTCCGTCTGCACGTATGGATGCCCAATGACAAGCGCGCGAACCCGGACTTCGCAATCCACTCTCACCAGCCGTTCGCTCAAAGCTGGATCCTCGCCGGCAAGGGGGTCGACCATGCCTACCAAGTCGACCCGGTCGACAACGTGGACAAGGCGACTCACGCCGGGTACGCGCTGGCCTGGAACGACGGCAAGGGGCAGAACGCGGATTACAAGACGCACCAGTCCTATTCGGTCGTTCAGAACACGGGGAAGCTGTTCAACGCGGCCGAGACGTCTACGGAGAAGCATGTTAGGAACGATACGTATTCGATCGCGGCGGCGGCGTTTCATACTTCAGAGGTTGAACCGGGTCAGCTGCACGCTACGCTGTTCTTCTTCGACGCTCATCGTGGGTTCGTAAAGGATGCTGGAGTTCTTGGGCCGAGGGATGGGGAGTCTTATCAACAGTCCCGTGATCCGGCGGGGATCACGCCTGCTGAACTGGCTGAGGCTGTTGAAGCTGAGAGAGTTGAGGAAGCTAAGAGAGTTGAGGAGTTGTCGTGATGGCTTCACTCGTCGCTGCAGCCTCCTGGTGGATCACGATCCCACGTGACTACTCGCGTAATGGCTCGTATGTTACGCTGCGCGTCCCACGCCTATTCCAGATAGCTTCGTACACTTGAATATACACTTTTGTTTCCCTGGTCCTGCGCGCTCTAACTCACCAGAGGAGTTAACAGCTGAGAATGACACGGTCCAGTGATGAGAGGGTGCCGAGACTTTTCCGAGGACTGAGTTGACGTTTCCTTGTGCTAAACAAGACAAGCAAGCAACTGAATTTCGTATGCATCGAGTATGCGTTTTAGGGAGTTTTGATACCATATGAAAGAACATGATATTTCTTAAGATTTAGGGATTGCGAACTCTTGACCATTTCCCACCCTTTACTTCTACTACGATACCTGATCTAACTCAATGAAAAAGACATCCTTGCTTTTAATAATTCCAGAAGTCAGCAGTGATTAGCTACTCGTTGACCACCTCAACAGAAAGATCCTTTGGCCAAAATGGCTGATCAACACCGTTTCCTCTGGTTCCGACGTTGAACTTGGGCTCAACCGCGCCGTCATTGTACTGAGCGATAGGCTTGACGACCATGAAAGTTCCATTCACGGCCTCAGACCTGCGGGTCTCGAAGAAGTGCTGTTGGAACAGGGTCGTCACGTCGTGAGCGTAGAGAAGCTTGGAGACTGTTGGAACGGTATACGGCATGGCATGATAGTGCCTGAAGACCGGCGAGCCGTGACGATCCCAGAGTTCCTTCCACACCGGATCCGGATACATGCCGCACGAGCGGATGAGCCATTGGGTGTAATAGTTGAGGGCGACCTATTTTGATCAGCAAGACGAACCGTATTCTCGAGGAGAAACTCACATCAACGCCGTAACTGCCTCCGTTCTCTGCTCTCTTCATCAATGCGTCCAGGACACCGACGCTGCCACAGATACTCGCACTACCTGACTGTCAGCTGTATCATCCAGGACAGAAACATGGTGCTTCTCACCCATAGTCAGCAACGGGGAATGGAGGCGTCACGGCCTCGTTGTGGCCCATGGCCTGACCGTAAGCCATGGAAACTCCGCAGCACTTAAGATAATGAATTAGCACGATCCTGCGCCGAAGGAGTCACCTCGTCTTACCGCGTCGCTAACCTGCTGCCAACCGCCGCGGTTCTTCCACGGTCCGTGCCAGCCGTAGCAATTCTCTCGGACGTGAACGATACCCCGATCGCGCGTCTTCACCAACTCAAAGATATCCTCACGTCCGAAACCATGCTTCTGCATGACGCCGGGGCGGTAGCCATCAACAACGACGTCCGCATCCCGAATGAGTGCTCTGAGTTTCTCCTTGTCCGCCTCGTCGTTGAGGTCCAGGTGACAGTTCCATTTGCCCCAGTTCAGATCCTGATGCAGGACAGACATGTCGGTGACGTTGGGGGAAGTGACGCGCATCACGCTGGCGCCGAGCTCTGCGAGACCTCGGGATATCGCGGGCCCGGCGATGATGCGGGATAGATCAACGACTCGGAGGCCTGCAAGGGGTCTCTGGGGAGATGAGGGGAGCGCCTCGTTTTCTGGCCACCATGATGCTGGCTGAGCGTTATTGTTCGCTTGGTTGAGCTCGTAAAGCCCGATGTTCTGCACCGCCTTGCCTTGCTCGCTCGCAAAATACTCGTCTGAAGACCATGCAATCACACCGGACTGGCGATGCTTCTCGTTTAGGAGCTCGTCCAGGTCTTTCCAATTATACTGACCCACGACCTTCGCGAACCGCTCTACCACCGCGTCGTAGGTGTCGATGGGCTCTCCGTCGGCCGGCAAGCCCAATGCCTTGAGAATGGGGTCCGGGTTGATGCCTCCTGTCCGAATGTTAAAGCTGTCTTAGTACGTCTGGTGGAGAACGACATACCATGCATCTGGTAAAGTTTTCCATCCTTGGTCTTGTAGATATTTGTCGGGAGCTGGCGGTGAAGGCTTGCTGAGCACCTGTGCAAGTCCGTGTCGGGAAACATCTTCATCGCGTCGGGAAGGAAGCTTGCCACAGCCATTGGCGTAATCTTGCCATCGTCTCCGATCAGGGAGGCCACTAGAGGTGAGAAGCAGAACAAGGCCGCGTGGTCCCTAACCCAATTCCCGATTAGCCTCGAACTCAATATCGTGATCTTTCATAGTGAGAAGACTTCTCAGCTTACGTGTTGATAGTAACGTCTGCTGGCTGAGCATTGTACTTCTTCATGATCAGGCGGTTGATCAGAGTGGCTTCGAGAGCCTTCAGAGCCGCGATGCTCTCGGCGAACTTCCAGTTGACAGGAACGCTCGGCTTGGTTGAACCCTCGAATTTCACCTTCTGTCCAAGAGATTTGAGGTCGCTGGGCAGGTGGTTCATGAGCGGATTTTCCAGAATACCGGTGATGAAAGCGGCCTTGGCTTCTTGAGGCACCGAATAGTCGGAGAGAGAGCCCATGATGTCCGAACTTTCGCGTATTCTATTATCACAGGTCTTGGGGGTTGGATACGGCGGTTTATGGCGTTCGGTCTGATTCAAGTGATAAGCGAAGTAGCAGGTTGAACAGCGTTCAACGGGGATGTCATCTGGTATTAATCCTACTATGCCGCTCCCTCCACGTGTAGAGGCAAGGAACACATCGAGAAATTTCGATTCGTCTCATCTACGGCGCTAGATACAACAGGGTGCCGTGTGTCGGAAAGCCAGTTTCTGGGTTTCTGCTGTCGTGAGATTAGTTTCACGGGCCCTGTGAGATGCCTCAAGAGACCCTCAGTACTTACTGCAATGCTTCGGAATGAGACATGCAGCGTTGGGCTTTGCAACATGTCATCCTATGATGGGAGCAGCTTCTCTGCAAGGAAATGAAGCAACCAGAGGTTTGGTCTTCAATTCGCGTCGCACGGCGACATTCGCATGCAAACATCTGCTCGCCTTTCACTTTCACGTCTGTAGGGCAAGTTAGCCATGTGAGTCCAGTCATTGCGAGAAAAGGTCATTATTCAGAGATTCAATCCAACATCGGGAACTTTGTCGAGCCCGTGATCCGTTCACGCGGAGTGAAGGATCAGAATCCCGCCCGTGCAGAACCGTTTAGGCTGATGCACAGCTCGGTGATGGCGTGTCAGCTCGTGCATCATTGTCAGATGAAACCTAAAAGGCACTCGAACTCTTATCGAAACACCTTGGCCTTCTACTTCAATAGGTGACGACCAATTCAGAGGCGCTCATGGGGACGTCAGCGGTGCCCCATCGTCAAGAGTGGCACCGCGTGCGCATGCGCGAGGTGGCAGTCGTGCTTGCATATGTGCTGCCCATGTGATCAAACCTTGCTCTTGATTGTATGTTCATACGTTTTTCAATGTTATTCTTTATAATCCAAACTCGGCGGCAGGCTTCTCCGACTTCTCGAAGCTCTTCATCGGCTCCAAACCCCAGCGTCCAAACATGGCACCGTCCTCGTCCCAGTTGTTGCAGTCCGTCGTCAACATCTTCTCTCCCGTGAAAATAGCATTGGCGCCAGCCATGAAGCAAAGAGCCTGCTTCTCTTCCGACATCGTCTTCCTTCCGGCGGCGATGCGAATGATGGTCGACGGCATGATGATCCGCGCGGTCGCGATGGTCCGCAGCATGCTCGTGAACTGAATCGGCGTCCTGTCGCCCAGCGGCGTACCCTTGATAGGCACCAACGCGTTGACGGGGAAGCTCTCGGGATGCGACGGCAGCGTGGAAACGGTGTGCAGCAGACCGATGCGGTCGTCCGACGACTCTCCGAGTCCGAGGATGCCACCGGAGCAGACGTTAATACCGGCGTCACGGACGTGGCTCAGCGTCTTGAGACGCTCGTCGTAGCTGCGAGTGGAAATAATGGACGGGTAGAACTCGCGGCTGGTGTCGACGTTGTGGTTGTAGGCCGTCAAGCCGGCCTCCTTGAGCTCCTTGGCCTGCTCCGAATCAATCATGCCGAGGGTGACGCACACCTCCATGCCCATCTCCCGAACACCAGTCACCATGGCCTTGATGTTTTTCAAGCTGTTTTTGCGGCCGCGCATGTCGCGCCACGCGGCGCCCATGCAAAATCGCGTGCTGCCATTGTCCCTGGCGGTGCGGGCCGCCGCCAGGACGGACTCGACGCTCTCGACCTTCTTCGCCTTCAGGCCGGTGCCGTCCTGGTATCGGGTAGACTGCGCGCAGTAAGAGCAGTCCTCGGTGCAGCCGCCCGTTTTGATGTTCATGAGCGTGCAGAGTTGGACCTCGGCCGGGTTGTGGAATCGGCGATGGACGGAGCCCTGGACGGCGGGTTGTTAGCCGGGATCCTGTTTCCGAGTTTTTGGGCGTAGCGAACTTACGGCTTGGAAGGCCAGCTCCATCAGGGGTTGGTAGTAGATGGCGGAGATCTCCTCTCTTGTCCAGTCATGCCTGACTCCAGTCGCGTTGACTGCTTTTTGGAGAATCTGCTTGGCCTCGAGGGCTCTTTGGGTGGTGCGGATGTTCGGGTCCTCAACCGGCGGAGGCGGAGCGGGGGCGACCACGACGGCCTCCGCGACCGATGACATGTGCGCCCGTGACACGGCCGGGAATACATTTCGGTTGATTTGGGAGTAAAAGGTACCGCGTTCAAGGGCAGTTCGTCGGAGACTCCGAGAGGCAGCACTTCTAGCCACCGCCATCGCGTTGGCCCTCATTTTGATAATATACTTTCGTCAGGTACGGGGCACCTTGTTGACGCGGCGAGACTGATGGCGGATCAAGGGTCTGGAGGTCGATGTTGAGCAATTGATTTCTTCAATAGCTAATTCCGCCAGTTCTGAGTTCTTCGAATCTTTTTCAGCTTGTGTAAATAACGCCGCATACGCTCAAAGAAAGCTCGAAATCAGAAAGAACATTCGTCAAGACCTCCGACTCAACACTGAGATGAGGGGTGAGGGGTTTTGTAGCTTGCTTCAGGGTTCACGCCTCGGGGTTCGGTCCATCAGCAAGCTCAGTCACTCACTGATTGAGCCCCTTGCCAATTTCACTTCACATCACATCCCGAGTAACCGGCCAGCCAGCCGACCGCTGGAAAGCTAAACTGGCGGTTACCTACGGTTGCCGCATATGCGCGCATGTCTGAGTCAACTCAAGAAACACCTTCAGCTTCGGCCAAGCGGATGTGGCTCCGGGGATTGGTGGAATCGGGGTGGAGAGGTTGAGGTAGTGTACATACATGTAGTAATGTGAGGGGCAGGGAGGACAGGGGAAGTTGCAGATGCAGGCAAGGCAGGTCATCCCGAAAAGAAACGTTTCCATAGGGTAATTCCGCTCTCACAAGCTCATTTTCACCATGTTCCGTCGGCCTGTTGATGTGAGGGGTGGAGCTGCGACTCGGTGAGGTGTTACTGTTGACTTGGTCGCCGCCCCCAAACCCCAACAAAACTCCCGAGCCCCCGCGGATCCCGCGAACTAAATACTGGCTGCTGCTGTTGCTAAAGCTGCCTGCTCATTTCGATCGTCAAGCTGATCTTGGTTGGGTAAACATACGGGTCATTTCTCAATGGTGAGGTGAAAAGCACAGCTTCCGCAGTGAGCCACGACGCCCGCGTACGTCATTTTCATCCATCAGTAATGGAGACTTGGAGAAGCTGGATCCTTGCACGGGAGAGAGCTTCACTAACAACACGTGGGGCACTTCAAACGATTTGGGCACTTGGCTCAATGTTTTAAAACGCTCATCGCCGGGAGCTGATAGCTGGTTTTCTATTCTTAATCCAGTGGAAATGTCCCAGTCCTACCTTACGAGACGTTCCAACTCCACGTTATGAATAGAATTCAACAGAACATAAGTGGGTAGAACCGCAATTTCCTTCGCGATATTTCCTTTGCTAAACACAGCCCGCTGCCCTTTTGCCAGCTGTAGAGTAGTAGTATCGCGCATCCAAGAGACACCAGCCGTGTTATTATTCAATCAGTCAGCGTGTTTTTGTTAACTTCTGCAGCTTAGATATTCTCTCTTCTTATTTACGCAAACGAAATTTCACGACACCAGAAGGAGTTCCATCGGCAGGTCATGATACATCTGATAATCCAACTCCTGACTCCATTCCAGCACAACAAACTTAGTCAGAGCAACGATGACGTCCACCGATAGCCCAGACTCCGAGACCTCCTCAGATTCCCAGTATTTTCCATCAACATCACCCCAGAAATCAGTCTTATCCAGGTCATGCTTCCCGCGCACAAGTATGAAGGCGGCCTCCGTGAAAGCTCGGACAACATCGCCACTGTCGCCGGACCCTGCCATCACCGTGGCGTGAACGATATCCGGCATGCTTCCTTTCACCATACTACTCTTCCATCCTCGAGATTGAAGAAGACGGCCGTTGTCTGACACCGACTTTCGAAGCACGTCCGCAAGGGCGGACCTATGCGAATCCATGCGCGGTTTTCCGTAGGCCAGCAGGATGTCACGCATGCCGCGATGCATGGACCACGAAAGAGTTGTCCACGGCAGATTGTCCAATACGTTGCAGATGATGTCGATTTCCGGCTGACGCGCGTACAGCGGTACTGACTGGTCGTCGGTGGGACTTGGGAGGTCCAGTCTCAGGGTGCCCGATTCCGATCGTACCAACTCCAAGGCATCGTCATCAAGAGCTCTTCGATGCAGGAGATCAACATCGTGGACGCAACCGCCCACCATGTTGTACAGGTGACGGCTTCCATGAGAACCCGCAAACCCCCTACTTTGAAATTCAAGAACTGCCGGTTTGTCTTTGCGCCCGGGGAAGGCGACCAGAAGGCTGTCCTCCCCCTTTTCGCGGCTGTTGCAGATTCCGCAGAGCATTTCGATGCATCTGTCAACGCGCTGGTGAATCGATGCGGGGTACACGTCGGATCCAGGCGCCTTCAGAATATCGTGAGGCGACAGCTTGACGATTGCCGGCGTGCCGATGGCCCATTCGATTGTCCAGAGTCCTGCGTACGAGGGGTATGATGCTCGATAACCAGCATCGCCAGAATACCGGAAGACCGACCGCGCATTTGTGACGCTGAGAAGAGTGATCAGAGACGCCCTGGAAATGCGCACGCAGATAGCTGCTCCATGGCGAACCAGCGGCTGCACATTGATGTGAGCCCACCTGCGAGCCTTTGCATGGTCTGGTATCCCTCGATCAGTCGAGATGGCTCGACCATCTGCGCCGAACTGCGGCGCGGGATTTTGAGATTCTTGGTTCAGGATGTCCATCAGCACCGCCCATGACGCTTTCCCGGATTCTTCTCTCGCTTTTCTGGTTAGGTGAACATCGTTGACGCGGCAGAAGCCTGCGAGCGAGGCGATGATTACAGGTCCAAGAGGTGTCGGCTTCCAGAGTTGATTCCACGATCGCTTTGGCTGTCGTTTCGCCCAAGGACCGAGGAGTTCCGGGTCCCTGAAAATGAAGAAAGGGTCCAGCTGCTCCTGGATGACCGTACCCTGAGCGATTAAAGAGCCGAGGCCGACTGCAGTTGCAAGGGCCCCGATCCAGGAAGCAACCGCACTAGATGCTTCCATTGATGGACAGTCTGATAAGAGTTGGATGATGGGTTAGCAGACTCGAAAAAGCACAACCAGAAGGTCGACGTCTCAAGAGGCGTTCACAAACAGGATATCTCAGAGCAACATAACGACGAAGGTCATGGCGACTCGCACTTTAAAATAATACAGGAGGCTTCGCAGCCATCCCTGAGGGTGTGTCGCGTAAGACATGCTTATCGGCTGTGCATCGCCAAGTATGAAGCATCCTGTATTATGGCAGGCTGAGCAACGATCGAAGTCGGTAAGCCAGGCAGCCCCGAGTTTCTCCTTTGGTGAAGGCTCGGGGCGACTTGGGGCAACATGCTGCAGTGTTCGGACACGTGCATGCACACATGTTCATGATGATTGCGAGAACAACCTCATAAAAGTCAAGTACTTCTGAAGAGACTCTAATCGGAAGACCTGAGGGCTAAGTTACATCTCTTCGGCAGGCTGAGAGACCGTATGTCCACAGCTTCCTTGACAGAGTCAGCGGTGCGATACCGGCAGCCCGGTCTTCAAGTTGAGACTCCGGGCAATTGTGGCGGAAATGTGTATAGCGAACACACTGTTAGAGCGGGTGGAAACGTACGACAGTTGCATGAAGCACGCCCAATGACTGATGTTGAATGACTTGTGGCTGCATCTTCATGGCGCAGCCTGCTCTCCCAGCTGAGCATCGCCCACCACATCGACATCCGATGGTCCGACGCCAATCTTGGCTAGAACACTCGACAACCATTTCAGGGCTTATCAGATCTAGCCCCAGTTCTGAGGGCCACTGATGAAGAATACGACTCATGATAGTTATTGGAGACATCCCATCAGGTTCTGCGGCGCGAAAGCTCAGCAGACACTAGCACTCGCTGGTCTTTGTAAAATCCAGCACATACTGAAAAAGTCTGCGTACTTATTCATACAGATTGCCACTCAAATACTTCAGCCCAGTATCACAAGCAACCGTAACAACCGTCTTTCCAGGGCCCAGCTCCTTCGCTAGCTGAATCGCGGCAACTACGTTGAGCCCCGTTGACGTTCCGGTCAACAAACCCTCCTCCCTGGCCAGCCTACGGCACATATCGCGGCCCTCCTTTTCCGATATCGCGCGAGCCTCATCGTAGAGCGTGTCATCTAGCAGGGGTGGCAGGAACCCGGGGCTGATGCCTTCAACGCTGTGCGTTCCTCCTTTCCCTGTCGTAATAAGAGGCGAAGATTCGGGTTCCAGCACAACCACGCGTGTGTCCGGCTTCGACGCCTTGAGCACCTTGGCCGTTCCCATGATCATGCCGGCCCCGCCAGCAGCGCCGCAGAAAGTGTCGATGCCTTGGGGGAACTGGGCCAGGAGCTCTTCGCCGAGCGTCTTATACCCGACCACCCCATCCGTGTTCCTGAACTGGTTGGCCGGGTAGTAGGTGTTGTCGCTCTCAGCAAGCGTCTTCGCTCGCTCAACCATCTTTGGAAACAAGTCCGGCGTGATCTTTCCACTAGGACTGTGGACGATGTCGACAACAGCGCCGAAGGCTGCCATTGAGCGCCGCTTCTCAGCAGCGATCGCGTTGGAGCAGACGGCGCGGAATCCGTATCCCTTGAGACTACAGATCATAGCGAGGGATGAGCCGGTGCTGCCACCAGTGGCCTCAATGACAGTCATGCCGGGCTTGAGATCTCCCCTTTTCTCGGCCTCCTCGACGATGGCTTTTGCCAGACGGTCTTTGTACGAACCCGTCGGGTTCATGTACTCGAGTTTGATGTAGACGTCGGCGCTACCCTCTGGGACAACATTGCGTAAGCGGACGCATGGTGTGTTGCCGATGATGTCGAGCACGCCGTCCACCGGAGGCTGGGGGGCAGATGAGTTGGACATGTCGGTGTTTGAGGGCGTTGATAATGACAGTGGAGATATAGGTAGCGCAAACAACAGGATAGAAACCAGTGCAGATGATGTAGACTTCTACCCAGGTATTTACCAGGTTTTATACTCCGCTGTGTTACTTCATGAGAAATGTGAGCAACAATGCATCAGTGGATTCAAGTGTGACTCTTACCAACCTCAACTCCACATTGGTGGCTTGCGACGGTTGCATGGTTCGCCCATTACCCCGAGCTTCTCGGAGAGACGGTCTTATTACAACACCGGCCAAATGTGACACACGAGATTGAGTCACTCAAAACACCTAACCAGGACTCCAGCCATACGGTCATTCTGAATACAAGAAAGACTCGAGGCTTGTGTAAGTCGATCATCAGTGACATGAGCATGCTATTCATGTTTCTTCCATTTGTAAGGATTGTCTGAAGACTGGCCTTGCGCAAGAGATACGGGCTTCAATATCTGATTCAATGATACTTAGTTTTATATCAACGATGCAAGCTCTGCTCAGCATGAGTCGGCTAGAGGGGCCAGCCTATGGGAGCTCCAGTCCAACATAGGATGAAAAACACAAAGCTTCCGCCGTTGGATGCCGAAAACGATCAAGGTTTGATTGCAACTTCGAACGAATGGTAGAGTGTAAATGTCATAATTTTGTATCGTCTTACATGTACCAAGTAAATAATACAACGAATGCTGTTCGACTGCTAACACAAAACTGCTTGCTCAATGCTTACTGCTCCCTGCCTGGTGCCATACGCTCAAACTCCAATTATACCAAAAGAATGTCTATAAATGCGGGAAAAGACATTGCGTTTTTCTCACATAACTCATGAATTCAAAAAGTCGAGGCTCATCTTCAAGGAGTCTGGAGCTGCGAGGTAGAGTCGTCCTGAGACGGCTTGTGAACTTGGGAGGGCCTCTGGTTAGGCTGCCACTTCTCAGAGTCTCCAAGGCGATCAACTGTGATTCCGGCTCTACCGGCGGGGTTCATGCCGGCTTCCAACTGTCTCTTGTACGACACATTGCGAAGTCTCTCGGCCTCGGCTGGTGTGAGTCTCAACTATGATGACAGAGTCAGTGCTAGAATCTCATGAGGAAAAAAGTGCGACTTACGTAAATCTCTACACCGACAGCATGAATAGTAAGAGCAATCCAGAGAGCCGTTCCAAATGAATTGCCGAGGGCAGCTGCAGCTTCGGCTGCTGATGTGGCGCCGTTCAGGTTGGCATGGACGACCACTTGCTGCGCCGGGTTCTCTCCAGAAAAGAAGGAGGCACATTCGGGGTACAATTGCAGGGTTCGGTTCTGGTCATCGATCATGAACGCAACCTGGTCGCATGGGCGTGCGACAAAGTATGTGCCCATGCTGCTCGTGATAGTGACTGAGATGATTTGAATGATACGAAGGGTAATGATAGACCCGGCCTGGGGAGGAAATCAGTCAGCACCGCGACTTTTTGTCAAGTTCAGTGTCAACTCAACTCACATAGAACCATGCTCGCAACATCCAAGCTCTGTGCTGCTCGATTTGCAGTCTCTTGATGTTGATGTAGGCCATGATCATGGACCCAATGAACGCGATCGACATCACGCCGACACCTGCTTGAGTGTCGATTCCGCCTCCAAACGCGGTGCGCAGGAACATGAAGACTCCAGCCGTGCTGAGCAGTGAGAGAAGGACGATGATGTAACCATTGATGCGATGGAAAAGCAGGACTTTGTGGCGGATGACAGGGACGAACTGAAAGCATGCCAGGAAGGAAGCTGGCAGGATAGTTCCGAGATGCATCTTGATGCCAATTTGCTCGACGGTCCTTTGGTAATAAAAGCATTCTCCCGGCCCTGCGTGACCAGGTGAGCAGAAGAGGTTGAAGTTGAGATATTGGAATCTGGCGAGTGTGAAGCCCATCAGAGCACCGAAGAAAATGAAGAAAAGGATAAAGTTGTAGCCCTTGGAGAATCCGAGGGGATTGTAGACTTTTCGTGCTACTGCAACGAAACCGTTGGCGGGAGGGCGAGTTGGTTGGACCATGTTCGCGATTCTGAGTCGAAAGTTGTCAAATTGAGTCTGTTGTTCTGATAGAACTTGGAGAGTCTGAGTGAGACTTGATGATGTTAAGCTGTTGTTTGAGTTTGTTTGAGTGGTTATGGTTCGAAACATCAGTATATCACGGACAGAAAAGCCAATCTTATATCTGCTGGCTCTCTTGAATTGTCATCGCGATCCGGTCCATAGCTGTGACATAGCCTTGCACATTCTTAGAGCGTACATGGGAGGATCAGCACGTACGCGTCTCTAGGGCTGCGAGGCGCCTGAACGGTTTGGGAAACAAGACGCGCGATAACGTCTCGTGCGGTAGATGCCGCGCCTCAAGACAAGCAGAAATGAAGAACAGTTCTGCCGCCCTGGCGCCCGTCTTGGCATCTAAGTTTCCCCCCAACCGCGCATCACGAAGATCACTGAGCTTTTGCAGACGACAATTGTGTCCACGGCGCGCGGAATGGTTCCTGAAGAAGCTTAGTGGTGGCTTGGATCCCAGCTGTCTAGTGGATCGTTTAAAGAGGCTTGAATCCTTCGAGCGTTTGCAGGGCTGGACTTGGACCAATCCTTCGTCCTCAGCAACAGCGCGGAACGCTTTTCTTAGTAATGAATCTCACTCAAATGTCGTCGTCATGGATCTCGCGTGGCATTCTGCTTGCATAGCCCAACTGTCGGTCTAATGATCCTCTTGAGCATTCGCTGCGTCACTCGTTCAATGTTGTCAGCCTCCAGGATCTACCGCTGCATCTTTGTTCTTTAGACAAGGCTTGGCCCGAGATCCGATCAAAAGTTACCGCGCCGCCGGGAGATATACGTTTTCCCCGATCGCTGTCAAACCCCCCGATGCTCCGCAGTTATAAACGGCTCTGGCGCCCGTGGTCTTAACCATTCCCGAATCAGCAACATCTCGCGCCAGGTGGAAACCCTCACAGGGCTGTGCTAGCATAGGGCCCTTTGGCGGTTTCCAATCTCGTTGACAACATGGTTGGGGTTCCCGGACGGTCCAAGGGCTGCAACACATGTCGAAAACGCAAGAAGGGAGTAAGTGCGCCGTAACCAGAGTATTTTTACATCCACTCCAGTATCCGCAGAGCGGTTGACCTCGTCTTAGTGCGACCTTCAACGTCCGTCATGCGGGCAGTGCCTGAAGGCTGGAATTAAGTGTGCGGGATATGAGCGGAAACGCATCTTTGTCATCGTCTCGCCCGACAAGAGCTCAAAGAGTGGTGTCTATATCCCGGCGGCGACCTCCATCATCCAGGCGCCGTCCCTCTCACGAACTGCGTATGAAGAGAAGATATTGGACATGTTTTGGGATGGATACATGCCCGAAGCTCCTCTGTGCTCTACGGGAAGTCCTATCGTGAGGTTTTCGCACTCAGATTGGGCGACGACAGTTCAAGGTCTTTATCGAACCGACCCCGCGCTGCGGCAAGGGTTATTGGCCATCAGTCTGGGAACCGTGGGCCGTCGAGACAGAAAGCAGTGGATGATAGACGACGGGCTCAAATTCTACTGTCAAGCATTGGGCGAGCTCAACTCGGGCCTGCGACACCCTACGAGATGGAGGTCTGACGCATTGTTGGTGGCTTCGAGGATCCTTGGCTTGTATGAGGTACGCCACAACTCCCGTGCATCCACTGCATCTGCAGTCAAACCAGCTAACTTTCCACAGCTACTCTACGGCGCAGACGACAGAGAAAGACGAGGTATCTCTCAGGCCCAGAGCTGGGAAGGTCATGCCATGGGAGAGATGGCCTTGATGGTGCAGCGGGCCCCAGAGAACCATCTCTATGGCGATGCGCATCAGTTGTTCTGCTCTGGACGAGTTCACTTGGTACAGATGATGCTTCCACTGGATAATCTTCATGCTAACTCTGACTTTCAGGCGATTTCTCACATCAAACAACGACGGAGATGTCCCCTGAGTCATCCTATCTGGAAAACGGTACCGTGGAGCGTCATCCCAAAATCTTCCAAAGACGCGTTGGTTGATGTTTTTGTGGATATCCCGGGTCTTCTAGAAGACCTCGATCGGTTGCGTGACTGCGAGCCCGGAAAGGAGAAGGAAGCAAGACGCAGGAGGCTTGTCGATGAATGTTGGCGTCTCGACAGAGAACTAAAATGGTGGCTGGACAACTTGGGTCCGACGCAGGAACTCAGGGATCTCCAGGCGAAGGGATTCGATAACCCGACAACCTGCGACGTCGTTGTGACTTCAATCATGACACTATTCTGGACGACTTGTATCTTGTCGTATAGCACTCTCCGTCTCGCCCTTGGCCCGAAACCAGACTTAGAACTTCCCGAAAGGACAAACCCACGGATATACTGCACCAAAATCGCCAATTCGGTTGAGGTTTTATTCCACCCGATGGCAGGGACTTTCGGTATTTCGAACGCCCCATTGCCGATTGGCATGTCGCTGGTGTACTTGAACTCGACAGAGGAGGGTTTCCACTCTGCAGATAAGTGGAAGCTAGTGAGCTTCTTCGGTAGACAGGCAAATAACGGCATCGGAATTGGGAAATTTCTAATAAGCACACAGAGCGATGGAATAGTACCAAGAGGCTCTGTTCAGATTCCATCACCCGAAGTCATTAAGGCCAAGGCGAAGAGGTGGATGGGGGCTGTGGAGTAGAATATGGTTACAATATTGATTTTCAACTTGGCTTCCAGGTTCGCATCAATTCCAAGCCATATCTCACAACTTCATCAGCATAGTTTAACAACTTAAACAACGTTTTTCCTCCTCCTATAAATCCATTCAATCACTGTGCTCTTTCGTCCACCAACTGGTGTGCCGATATGTGTTAGTCAGGGCTTCAATAATACTCCACATGTCAGCCCACAACCCACACACAACCTGAACCCTACCTTCATATTTCTGAACTCCGACTGGATCTCGCAACAACAACAAGGCATCGCCTCGTTCTTCCTCATCGCCCTGATGGTCTAGCGGTATGATTCTCCCTTAGGGTTGTCTATAAGACAATTCATTCTGGGAGAGGTCCCAGGTTCAATCCCTGGTTAGGGCCCATTTCACGCGTCGGCGCGTGTGTCTTTTGCTATTTTTCTTTTTAACCCTAAATCGTTTGTAATAACCCGTGTTCATGCTGTTATTTGGTATTGGTTGTGTGTTTGGAAACAAGCAATGTTGACGCTTTGTCTGCATTAAGCCGTACGATACTAGAATGACGCGATCTACCTGGATCGGCTGGCTGGCTTCAACATCTTGAGCCAGATCAGCTGTGGAGAAACTCAGTCTCACAATGTCATGCACAACTAATTTCAATCTAAACCTGAGAGGCGTAATATCTGACATGGTGGCTTTTGACGCTGTGAAGTGGCAGAGAGAAAGCATTTTGGCGTTAAGCCCTGGTCAAGTAAGCGCAACGACTTGTCCGACCTCACCAATCACGACACGATCTACGACCCTAAACAGACGGCCCGTTGCACTACTTTCAGCCCAGCGACGTGCCTGCCAAGGCGAGAATGATAAGGATCAGTTAGGCACCAGAATTAAGGATTCTCTTGCAGGGAATACTAATGCGGTGACGCTGGGTAGTGCATGTTAGACGGGCAGCCTCCTCGTCAGTATCCGTCCAGGGAGGTTGTGGCTGGATGCCACAAAACCGCTGCCGTTCCTTCGAACGCGAGCTGCAGCGTGTTGATGTCCTGAATATCAATCTTTGGATGGGGAGCGGGGTTGTTGTTCTCTTATTATGGCATCCAAGGTTGAATACAGTTCTCTTCAAAGGGATGTCGACGAAACACCGACACCGCACAGCGGCCTTCCGCCGCACGACGGCCACCGACAATACCCATACTCCGGCTCGACGGCCAACCGAATGTTCGAGTTCCGCGATTTCAAATTTCTCAAGATTTACATCGCATGCATCTCGATCTACGTCGTCGCCGCCATCGCCGCGGTGGTCTGGACATACCAGGGCCCCGTCGTCGTCAGCAGCGAGTACACGAGAAGCAGAGTCTTCCGCACCCCGGACGAGCTGAAAGTCAACCAGCTGTACTCCGGTCTGGCTCTCTCTGCACTGCTCGCGCCTGCGGGCATGCTCGTGCAGTGGATCATGCACGATTTCCGACAGTTGCGGCTGTTTGCCCTCACAGCTCAGAGACCTGTTCCGCTGGCGGATTTGGACAGCATCGGAGACGATTCGAGCGCGTGGACGCTCCGCGTTCTGGGGAAGTATTCGTGGTGGTACGCGGTTATGCAGGCGGCGCTCATTGTCATCCGGACGAGCATCGTCCCCGTGGGCACTTTGATGCTCACCACCGGGGTTCACCATGAGAACAGAGATGGGACCGGTGTCGTTGGCTTACCCATCCTGCCATCCGAGGACTCGACTGTTCGAAGGCTGGCCAACGCCATGGGGTGGGATGGGCAGGGCGCTTTCTCCCAGACACTTGATGGAAATGACACATTTCTTTCTCAAGCTGTTTACACGTTTGTCGGCAACATCGTTAGCCAAAGCGCCCTGGTCGACGTTTTCTCCGGCGTCATCGGCCCCATCCCGACGCACAACCTTACCTTCAACACCAACACAACGTACGAGGGTCTCGTGCTGTATCACTGGGACGCGAAGTGTGAGGCTGCGCTCGACGTGCCTTACACGACGTCTCTGAACGGATCGAGCGCGACGTACGTCTTCACGATGCCCGACTCAAGCACCGAAACCATCGACCTCGGGCGCCTGAAGCGGGATTCTCAGTCCCTGCGGTTGTGGAATAACAGAGCCAATAACTCCATCAACGGCATTCCCATCGGCGGCACGACCTACTTCATCTCGGGTACCTATGCCTCTTCCCTAAAGAACGACTCGGCCGTGGGGCGAAACGACAGCAGCTTGACCAAGACCGAAGAAGGACATTGGATTTCCCGCACCCGGTGTACTCCGGAGTTCAGGTGGGAAGTAGGTTCCTGCACTTTCAACGGCACGCTTATGACGGCTTGTGAGGGCAAGCCGGGTACCAACACCACGGCCTTGGACACCGCCGCGCTGGACAGGTTGAATGACTACATGACGGCAATTCCGCTGTGGATCTCGAAAGAAAAGCTCTCAAGTGAGATCATCGACAGAACCCTCGACACGCTGTATTCCATCCCGACGTCCCAAGACTGGGGACACTTTTACGGAAATATCGCGCAGTCGATCGCGGCAATCTCGACTGCTGGATACTTTGGAACGGCCTCGGTGCCTGTGGTAGAAGTTGTCACGGAGCAGGTTTACATTATGAGGACGGTGGTGTTGTGGGTAGTTTTGGCCATGTTGTTAACCGTTCTCATCTTGAGTTGCCTCGATATCTACCGAAGCAAGTCCCGAGGCTTGCCTTTCAGGACGGCCACGTTCTTGGCCATAGCAAACGCCGTCAGTGGCCCATGGTGGGATCAGGAATTATACGGGAGCTGTGCAGCTACGGAGATGGCCATGCAGAAGCGAAGTTCGTCGTCCGTCATGTTTGGTGTGGACGCGAATAACCCGTACCATATTGGGCTTCTGCCAGCAGTCTTGCCGATTCAACGCGACAAGTCGTATTTTGGATATGAGGAACGCGGAGTGGCCAAAGTTGAAAAGAACGTTGTCAAGTTAGAGAACTAGCGCAGCCAAAATGCTGGATACAAAATCTGTAAGCCTGGATGGGTCTTCTGCCTCAACTCATGAACTGGTGCAAACTCCATGGGTAGTTAGAAGAAGGTCTACGAAAGCCTGTTCTAGTCTGTTTCTTTCGGGATTTGACTCGGAGATCGAAGCTCGGCGTCCGTTCGTTTGATATCTAGATTTACCCCGACTATCGACATCATCAACGCCTTACGCAGGCGCCTTATGAAAGCGCCCTATACCAAAGTCAATACGGGTGGATTAATACAGCCATTTACGACAATAAAGACGAATGTCTTTGTAATTATGGATTTTTCTGATGTCATCGCATCAGAGCTTGTCGTTGTATCTGGGTCGATCAGAAGCAATTGAAAAAAGCGGCAGAACGCCTGCATCCAACTGTCCACAGGAATTCGCTTCACCTACAATATCGTCTATTTTCACCCATTTTAATTATTCTCTTTAGCAATGGCCACTGCAATTGTTACTGGCGCGACGGGTATGTATTCAGCTGGCCACTTTCACATTGGTGTCACTAATAACCAACCCAGGCATTCTCGGCCGCGAAATTGTCAGAGAACTGAGTAGCATGCCGGACGAATGGTCCAAAATCTACGCTTTGTCGCGTTCCAGGAAAGAAGTGTTTCCTGATCATGTCGTCCAAAGCCATCTAGACTTGTGCGGCAAGCCTTCGGAGATGGCAAACGAGCTTCGGGATATCGAGGCAGAGTATGTCTTCTTCGCAGCTTACTTGGAGCAAGATACGGAGGCAAAGAGCGCCAAAGTCAACGGTCAGTTTTTGTCACCCAGCCGGCATCTTTCGTCACACTGACAAGACTTCACGTTAGGCGACATGCTCGATTCGTTCCTCCAAGCGCTCGAGATTAACGGCAGCGTTTCCAAAGTCAAACGGATCATCCTGATGTGCGGCGCAAAACAGTACGGCGTCCAGCATGGTCGGGTGAAGATCCCCATGGAAGAAACTGACCCCTGGTAAGTATCATGCCGAGCCCATCTCAGCCAGCTACTGTTCTGATCATTCCGTCTAAGGCTTCCGGAAGAAGAGCTGTTCGCTCCCAACTTCTATTACCGCCAGCAACGCATCCTCCACGACTTCTGCGCCAAGCACGCCCACGTCTCCTGGGTCGTAACTTGCCCCAGCGAAGTGATTGGCTTCGCGAAAGGCAACTTCATGAACATCGCAACAGCAGCAGCTATATACGCGGCCGTCCAACGCGAACTCGGGTCAGCTGATCTCGTCTTCCCCGGCGCCGAAGACGCCTACACCAGGGTCACCATGTTCACAGACGCCCGCCTCCACGGTCAGTTCTGCCGCTGGGCAGCTCTCGAGCCCCGCGCCGGCAATAACGTCTTCAACATGGTCAACGGCGACCCGACCTCGTGGCAGGCCCTCTGGCCGCGCGTCGGCCGGCACTTTGACCTGCACATCCCGTCGGACCAGTTCACGCGTCCCGCCCCGGCGGCGTCGGAGCGCAAGCTCGCGGCCCGCACGCCGTTCTCGCTGGCGGCGGAGGCGATCGGCGCGCCGTTTGGTGCTCGTGGCGAGCAGTCCGTCATCCGACAGAGGATCGACCTCGTGGAATGGAGCAGGAGCGGCGAGGTCCAGGAGGCGTGGCGACGGCTCGCGGAGCGGGAGGGACTCGAGGCCGACGCCCTCGACAGGGCATCGTGGGCGTTTGCCGGGTTCGTGTGGGGTCGCGACTACGATGTCGTGATGAGCATGAGCAGGGCGCGTAAGCTGGGGTGGACGGGCTACGTGGACTCGTGGGACGGTTTCGAGACGGTGTTCCGGCAGCTCGAGGACGCCAAGGTCATTCCCAAGCAACGGCGGCAGTGGTAGTGCGACGGCCGAAATAGCTGTCGCGTCCATAGTGACTTGGGAATAAGTATCGTTGCATTCTGTTATTTCGACTCTCGTGCTTTCACACTTGGCCTTCTCCAACGCCGCGTACGCACTCGAGTTTGAGCTAGCACAGACACCGTCTCTGAAGTCGAGGAGGGTCAATAGACGACGGTCTCCATCAAAACATCCATCAAAGTGTGTCGGATGATGGACCGGCAGTTGTCAGCATCACGCAACTTTGCCATTAGCGCAATCAATCCGAAGGGGTCAAGCGACGGCATTAAAGCCTTAAGCTTCGGCTCGCTTGTTAGCGGGTTCCATCGCGAAGTCCGTTTTTATCAAAAAGAAGCACGACGAGAGCATTCGGAGTCGTCGCCGGTTAAAAAAGTCCACGTCCCTCCAGGGATCCGGAACAAGGGCCCGGAGCTGGGTCCGGCGACCGTGAGGTAGCACGGAGAGTGGGAATGAAGCTGAAGACCAAAAGCCCGTTCAACCGCCGTCATCAATCCGAAACCGAAATCTCCTATTCTGAGTGGTATCCTCAGCCATCGTGGCCCGAGTTCTGCGCTCGAGTCGTGAACACCGTTTGATCAATGCCCCCCCCCCTCTGCGCATCTCGAAACACCAGACGACCACGATGGGCTTCAGCTCGCAGAGCAGAGCGCAAGCTTCGCGCGTCTAGCTCGCTTACAAGGTTACATTGCGTGATCGAATCGTGCCGCCGCCGGGGTTATGCGCGCGGGCTGTGCTCTTCCTGCGCAGCCCTTCCTCTGCCCTACGAGCAAGGTGCACGAGTCGGGAGCCATGTTTGCCCATGCTCGCCTTGTCCGATTCATGGCCTTTTTCGATCAGCCTGGACCCTTTTTTGACCCCGTGGGATGGGACGGTAAAACGCCTCCGGGAGTAAAATCGCATTATCTGATGGCCGCTATGATAAGTTGCTCATGCTTTGACACGCAGACGGGCGAGTGATATGTGGCCAGGCCAGGCACGTTGGTCTGAAGTTCGGGACACATTTCCCTTCAGGCAACGATATTTCCCACTTCGGGCGGGAGTCCACATCTAATGCCAGAGATGGCTGCTCTTGGAGACACCGCACCGTCGAACGGGCAGGTGGTAAAATCGCTCACTCGACATGTCCGCGGCGCCGAGATGTCAGTATGCTTGCGCCGTCGTGTGGCCCGCGTGGCTATATGTACCTCACCCATGACCTTAGGACCTCGAAACAGTCCGATGTCGACGGGGAGGCTGACGAGCATGAGCACCCCATCGGCCGAGCCTCTTGGCCCTGCCAGACATCGGTGCCAGATAGAAGGAAGCTGAGCGGGACACTCTATCGCGAGGTCCAAAACGAGAAGAAGCTGAAAAGGCCGGATGCGACTTGAACCTTCTCGCCCTCAATCGCGACGGAAATATCTCTCGCGCGCAAGGTGGTCGTGGGAATGGAGTCAACCCCACCGGCGATGAGCTTATACGAGGAAAGCCGAGGGGACGCGCGCGAATGTAGCTGCATGTACTTTTGCTTTGGTGTCGGTGCAGCTTTCTGTCAGTAGAAATGATAGACAGTGATCGCCGGATAGCTCGTATCGAGAGCCGAGATTTCGATTGGGAAAATGTGCTCTCGACAAGATAACGGTCCAATCGGGACGAGGAGGTTGAAATGACAGTCAGCGGCCTTTTTTTGCGATCATAATCTAATACACGAGAGACGTCCGTCGTGTCCCTTGTGTTGCGCCATTCATCACGTCGAAGTCGCACCAAGGGGGATGCGAAACAACACGACAAACTTCACCATTGATTGAGCTTGAGGGAGCTTCAAGACAGCCAAGCGTTCGAATTGGCAGCAGGAGAGAGAGGGGGAGAGGGAACTTGGGGGCCATTTCGTGCTTGTCCGAGATCCCGGATGGCAGCTTAAAGGACCAACTCAAATTGCTCGCAAATGCAGCCCTGAGGGGGCCGCTAAAGGGATTCGCAAATCACCAAATTGGACCCTGAAGCTAAGAAAGCCGTTGATCCATCGAGAGTACGGGTTGAAGTGTGGTGAAGAAAAGGCGGCGATGGGAAAAGTGAAATTCGTACGAGAATAGAGTAGGCTCGTGTTTCTGAAACACCGTCAATTTGTTCTAGAATCCTATTAATAGCGGCGGCATCCTTGGAGGCCACCTTCGAAGCTTTGAAGGCATTTCCTTTGAGCGTGCTGTTGGCTCCAGAGTCCCTGAAGTCCCTTGGACAGCCCTGTCTGTCTGGTCTTACGGGAAATGGGGGAAGGGAAAAGGAAGAACACAAGTGACAATGCGAAGAAGATGGACAAACTTTCAGAGGCGGAATGATCCCTGGCTAGTCAGGGACTCGGAATCGATTTCAGCGAGCGAGCATCACGCAAAAGAGCAGAAGCCAGAGTCTGATCCGTCCGCCCCTCTTGGCCTGGGAGTGATTGATGGTCGAACCAGTTGAAGGACAGATAAACGGACAGGCCAAACCCGGGCAGCCAAGAGCAAGACTGGCGGAGATGGCGAACAGGACCCTCAATTGAAGGTGTTCTTAGTCATTATGCGACTCTGCGGTGCGCTGGGCACATGCGATCCGATGCAGACATCTTAGAAAGAGGCTGGGCAGAGGCTGCTTTTGCTTGACACGCCGGCCTGGGCTGGACTCTGGACTGTTTGACAGGCCCTCCCAAGCATTATTATTCCATTTTACTACCATACCGCAGCAACGGCTCTGCAAAAGAACCCAAAGAAAGTCCAGAGCCCAGAGCCCAGCAGAGGGCTAGAGTCCTTACTAGAAGGACTTCCGGCAAGGATACATCTGGCTGCTTCTGGTTCTGGAGCACTGGTCAGTCTCTGGTACAGCTGTCCCCTTTGTCCCTTGCCCATTTTACTCCACATTGGCGAGCAGCAGAGGGGGGAAAAGGACTGACCCAGAGCTCGCAAGGACCGGCACCTACGGACAGACTAGAGCTAACTCGACTGAAGTGACTGACTGACAGACGCACGGAGAAGAAACGAGAAGAGAGGCAGAGAGGAAAAGAGAAAGAGAGAGAGAGAGAGCCACAGTTTGAGACTGAACCCACAGTCCAGGGACTCTGACTGGAGATATCCACAGTCCACGGTCCAGCCAGACGCCCGTCCAGGGCGAGCCGGACGCCGTGGGCCCCTCTCCAAATCTCTCTCGCCAGCCATGGGGGAGCCGTGGGCAGAGTGTTCTTGTCCTCCTCCTGGTGGTAAGGGTCAGGGACTGAGGGCGAGGAACTGCGGCAAGGCCCAGGTATCTGTAGAGTGAGGTAAGGCAAGGCAAGGCAAGGCAAGGTCATGTAATGTAATGTACACATACGGATACCGCATGGACTGGAGCCTGGTGCTATGTATGGAGGAGGGTACGGTAAAAAAGGGCGAAATTGAATGGGCGAGGACGTGTAAGGCAACTCGTTCATTGTCCCGTGGATGCCGTGCCGTAAGATGATAAAGACCCTTTGAAATCCCCTCCATTCCCTCCCGTTAGACTTTTGTTGCATCTGCCTCGTCTCGTCTAGGACATTTCTGTTTGCTTGCATTTCCTCTCTCTCTCACGTACTCTCCCTCCCTTTTTTCTCTTGGCCTCCTCTCCAAAACCTAAATATCCCCTCCGTTTCCTTTCCAGACCAAGCTCCGTCACCCGTTCCCCCCCTCCTTCGGACGAATTTCTCACTGCATCATCGGGCTCCCGGAACAGAGACACACCCATTCGATCGATACGTTTTAGTACTGCCTGCTAGCCGGAGCAAACTGGGAGAAGACTCTAGAACATTTACAAGCCGTCGGAGCCGCCAGCAACGACACATCAACAACACAACAACCCGACAACATCGCCGACCGTAAACAGTCCGACAGAGACTCGTAGAAACATCAACCTCGACGACAAAAACACGCACAACAGCGACTTGACTCCGTGACCCCGTCAGCGCCGCACATCGACGACACACAGCATCGTCGATACCATTCTTCCCATTTCCCCAACTACCACCGCAACACCGTCACCACGGCTTCTCCAGCGATCGCCACCATGGGTTCCCCGAGTGGACCCCTCCGCCCACGGGCGTCTTCGAATTTCATGGGCATCCGCGCGACCGGCTTCCCCCTATCGATGACGCCCCAAGAGAAGCACCTCTTCTCCGACCGCGTCAACACGGCGACGACGCGCCTGTCCAGCACCATGGCCGTGACCGAGAACGGCGGCGAGTACGCCTTCGTCGTCTACTTCCACAAGAACACGGCCGCCGACGCCCTCGCCCTGCTGCAGGCCGCAGACATCCGAGTCAGGGGCCACGAGATCCAGTTTTCCTGGCACTGAACTCGCCCTCTGCCAGTCATTGTCATTGTTGTAGTATTCGTTTGGCTGACGAACCGCAACATGGTGATCCCTTATGCACAGTGGTCTGGGTCTGGTCTGGCCTGGCCCGGTCCGTTCTGCCAGCTCTGCGTCTGGCTGGAACAGACCGAGGGTTGATCCTTTCTTCTTTCAATTTCCTCTACAGCTTCTTCTTCGTTTTTTTTTCTTTTCCTTTACCGATACCCCAATTACTGTTAGCACCACATTCACACCCGGCAGACCAGCATCGCCAGCGGAAGCGAAGAGGAGGAAGAACGAGAACGAGAACTGGCCACCACGTTCCCCATCATTCCCATCTTCCCGTCCCAGCAGCCATAATTCATCCATGATCGAATTCATCCCATCCATTATCCATCCACCCCCCTTACCCAGGCGGTCGTCCTCCAATTCCCGCCCGACCTCCCCGGGAGCGAATCCTTCAGCGATCCGTCGTGCCCCTACCCCCTCGGCGATCTGCAGGTCTAGGCCACCCTAGACCCCGTCCTCCATGGCAAATCATCCATTGCCCCCTCCACCCATCTCACCTTATCTCATCGAGAATCACGCAAGAATTCCAAGTACCGCATCTCTATTGTTCCATCAACGGGTTCGGTTCATCCCCTTTATCCACATGTCGCTTCGCTTTCCGCGACCACATGAAAGGGGGTGGGTTGGTGGGTGCGAGTGGATGTACGTCCCACGCGAACAGAGTCGTCTAAGCTGTTGCAGCGAGTGACAGAGCATGTGTGAGAGAAATTCTCGAGATGAGAGGCAAGGCGAAGGTGACGCGGATGGATGGAGTTACGCGGCTGGGCTCGTCACCACCGGGTTTCTTCCTCAGGTCTGCCGGTCCACCCACCGCAATGGCACTGCACTCGATCCCTCTCCGATGCAACCTCTTGCCGGGGGGTGGATGGTGTGTGGATTGCGGAAGAGGTCGAACGGGTTCGCCATTTGCTCTGATCAAGGGTCGCATTTCTTCTCGGCAATCGGACCCAGTAGGCAACATCAGTCCTTTGTGTTGATGTCCCGACCGCAGAAGCGAACGAAAAGCAACACCTTAGATGAGACGCGCCAACGCAATCATCGCCGATGCGCGCAAGAGTGTGTGTGTGTTCCCACAGATGCACGCGGCCGAAACCCGATGGGGCCGCCGGAGTTGCACGCGGACCCGCGCGCGAGAGCGGACGGGATGAGACATGGTATCTTAGGGAATTGGAGAAATAGATGGAAAAATTCGACAATATAGTATGGAAATTTCAAACAAAAAGGTTCGTGCAAATCGCAATCATATTCACTTGCTCTCAAACGGCTCCAACGGGTCCTCCCCCTCCACTCCGTCCTCTTACACACACACACCTTCGGTCTCGCAAGGACTTTTTTTTCTCTCTTCCCACTTGGCGCGGAGAAAAGAAGGGAACAGACGCACACACTACGACAATGACACTTTGTCCTTGCATACAAACATCGGCTGACAGGAGTTCCAGACCAAGTTCGATTTTGATTACCGGCCCGACGTGGGGGAGCATGATGAGGGGACCGGGGTTTGCAGACTTGGAGGGTTGAAGGGAAGACCCCAACAGTCGTCCGAGAACACTTCTTGGACGCCGTTTTCTTCCTCTCACTGCCTCAATATCCCCTCTACTTCGTCACCTCCGACAAACTAGAGTTTCCGCAAGATTGTTTCTTGGAGAAAGCTCTGCCTCTTGGCCCTCCCACGTACCCCGCTCGTCATCTCCCCGTCGTCGCCATCAATCACTTCCTCAATTCATGCTTCCCGTTGCCTCGTCTTCGCATCGGGCGTCGGGGCAAGACGGTCGTACTCGCACCCGCGACCTCCGGCTCCATCTCCCGGACGAGCCTAATGTTTGACGGGCGGACATGCGGAATGTGACGGGGCGAAAAGAAGGGCTGTGTTGCTGACGGTGTCACACAAGGTGACCAGTCACAAGATGACTGTTTGTCACTTTTCACTTGGCCTTTGTCATCAGATCATGGAGAGTACGCGTGTTCCTCTTCACCCGAGGCAATCATGCCAAACCAACAAACAGATCAGAAATCAAAATAGAAAACAAAACGGTCACCAGGCCACATATCCCAAAGTCTAAATCCCGTCTTGAACCGTCCTCGAAACGTGACAAACAACATTGAGGCTGTCACCATTCACTAAAGCCATCGAGAAAACCCCTACCCATGAATCCCGCCGTACTAGCCCGTTTGCGCTATCCCGTTTAATCTCCGTTTCGTGCCATGAATATATAGATTGGCTGATTCCCCCGAGACCACCTCCGCTCTTCCCCTCAAGAAGCGAACCGTTGCTTAAACTGAAACAGGGGAAATCTTTTCCATTGCGCGGTCCCGGCCCCGATGGTCCGGGTTTGTCCCTTCAAGTTCCTTGTTGCACTGCAAAAAGACGCAGAAGAAGGGATGCCTCGAAGGGTTGCCTTGCCCGTGTGTTACGCCCAATCCCCAACGCTCCGCAGAACGAGCGAACGGACGACGGCACGGACCCTGGTGGACTGGGTTGATTGCGTGTACTATTTATTTCCCGTCCGTGTATGTACACGATGAGTCTTGGCCCAGAATCGCGCAGATCCATGGGCGGCAGCAGGGGAGGGAGGGTCAATCCCGGTTCCGGCTTCCGGATATCCCGCGGCGAATCTATCCACCGTCGGCCGTGATGCCCAGGGGTTGGCCCGGCGTCGGAGTCGTTGATTAAGCCGTCTGTTCCAGAGTTTCGCGGCGCGGGCCCCGAGGTTATCTCTCTCGGATTAGCCCCATTGCGCTCCGAGGTTCAGACGGCGACGCGTGAGATGCGGAAGAAGGGTGTTCTAGATGCCGGCCAGACGCCAGCTTGATACCGCGGTTCAAGGTTTGTGTGCTAGCTGCTGAATTAATGCCTAGCGATAGAGGGGAGAAGGAATAGCGAGTATTCTTCGCTGTGCCAAACCACAGGGAGTTGACGAGCACAGGTCCGCGTCTCCGTCAACCGATAGATGGCACCGCTATGCCTTCAGGCATTATGTGAAAGAGACTATACTAGAGGATCTAATTGAGCTTTGAACAGCAGACTAGCTGATGTATCTTAAGACGATTCAGTGGAAGACATGTTGAGGAGGGGTTTGCGAGGGCGTCTATCAGCGGTGAGAAAGGCAGATTGCACAGCTCAGCCAAGCTGCGGCAGCAGGTCCAGCTGCAAATCGGGTATGCATAAGTATTGGGAACGGCGCAGAACTGACCGACGAAGGTATCACGGCCATGTTACCGAGCGAAACAGATACCGGTGGCTGGTGTCGCACATCCTGCCTCTCAGCCTGCGCCAACAGCCTGCGCAACAGCGAAGGGCTAATGCGAACTGTTAGACAGAGCGGTCTTACTGAGACACAAAGTATTGTTATGAGCCGACTTTAACGCCTTGTGTTTTCAGCTTTTGCTGTATATGTTGCGGCGTCCCCCAATCCTTTTCCTCATCCCGTGTAGCTCATTCTGATGCTGTTTATCTGATGCTGTTTATCACCTAGTTACCCAGGCAGTCACACCACTCCAGTACGATGCAGAACTTTCCTGCTATCCGGCGCAGCAAGACCCGAAGATCTGAAGTCAGCGATCGACAATCGTCGTCTTTCAGGGATTCCACGGCCTTCGAACTGGAGCCGCAAGGTTATCAAGCCAATGAGCTCAAACCGAACAAATCCCAAGAAGTGCGGGTTCATGACGAAGTTAGGCCGGAACCCCACGACGAGGCTCGCCTCCTCGAAGATACAAATTCCCCGCATAACGACGAGAACACACCCTTCAATCGCGGCCAAACCAGAGCATTTGGCATCTTGGGCCTCTGCATTTTAGTACTCGGAACTCTTCTGATTGCTTTGGCGGTCGTTTTCCTAAGCTACTTCTGGCACACGTCGATACGCGCAAGAGATGGAGAGGTTGAACACTCCCAACTCTGGAACCGCATCGTCTTCTCGAACTGGGCATCTAGAGTCGTCACAATCACCGCTGCTCTACTACGCGTGTGCCTGTCACTGCAGATGGGTATTTTCACAGCAATGATGGCATCTCTAATGATCGAAAGGGCTGGGGTTCCTCTACACTCAGCCCCCCTCATATCGATGCTTAGGGCTGTATCCGCCTCACCATACAATCTCCTTACGGCGTTTGTAATGCCATGGCAGAACAGACTGGTTTATATTGTCGCCCTAGTTGGGTCGGTTTCTTTAACGGTCGGTTTCCAGTTTGCATCCACAGTACTACTGTCCGACTTCGACGCGGTGAACGTTACCTCGCCAGGGACGGTCGCGGACGTATCGCTTCACGGCAATCCTGAAAACAGGCGTACCTATCATTCCCTCCCGGGTTCGAAACTCTGGAACTCACAGCCGTGGACTTACTTCCGATTTGCGGAACACCCCCGAACACCACCCGATGTTGAACAGCTGCTTGACCGCTATCAAGACACTGGCCACATTCTGCGGGCAGTCCTTCCTTTCGAGACTGAGGCAAGCCGCAGTCGATTACGAAGATACCAAGGGCACGCGGCGGTCCTCGACTCTAGGGTAGTCTGCGTTCGACCCAACATCACGAGCAGTGTTTTCTCTATCTGGGGCACACAGGTCAGGGGCGAAGGCTATTCTGCTGCCGAAGAATTTTTCGTGAGAGGCGAATTCGGATTTCTGGACGATTATAATGGCTTACCAATCCATAAGAGTTACATGAGCCGGAACACGTGGCCATTCAAATGCGTTGTGCCTGCCGAAAGAACTCACGGCGGTGTGTCGATATGCGCGCTTGATCGTAGCGATCTCGTCGGCAGTTTTGACATTTACCGAAGTATGCCCTCACTTTCCAACACATCTTCGGAAACGACCATCTTCCTCGTATTCAAAAGTGTTGGATTTGCACCTGACTGGATAAGCATGCTGAGTAACCTTGGGAATCTGATCGATCAGGACGCAGTCACCGACATGGCCCAGTGGGAGGCTGATGCCATTGACTGGCCAGCATCCGCGGATGGCATCTGGTCACGCGTTCACGTACCGGATACAAACCAGAGCATGTCAGTTAGCGCATGCTTTACCGTACTAGAAGGCGCGTATCTCAATGTCAGTATGTCCAGCGACATGAATGGACCTGAGCCTAGGTTGTCTTGGGACGAAGACCTCGCTCTTTCTAACATCGATGTCATTCGGAAACAATATTGGAGTTCAGGAAATCAAACCCATACTATGGACTCACGGGGTATCCTTACGCTCGATTCTTGGGAGAATAACGAAGCTCCTGTCCAAATTCGACTTTTCTCTACCCTTCCTTTCCTCGATACGTATAGATCATCTGATTCGGGGAGTGTCTTGCCGTGTGGCATCCTGGGGGCAAAGCCTTCAGGCAGGGGATCATCACGCGCTTTGCACTATGCGCATTCAACACTCTTTCAGAATGTCATGAACACCACAGGTAGCCTAGCGGAGGCTTTGCAGGCGGTCCTGATGGTCACGCAGCAAATGGAGTACTACGAATATGTCCCTCAGCTTCGGGATGCATATAGATCGTCGGCATCATATATAATGGCTGAAGAGAGAGTTATCCCTGTTCAATGGCTAGGGTTTAGTATTGTCGTCAGCATGGTCGCGGTTCACTTCCTACTATTGGCTACTACAACTGTGCTTTTCCTCATGTTCACAAAAGCAAGCTGGATAGGAAATGTCTGGATGTCATTAAGTCAAGTTGTCTCAGCTGAGACCGAGGACATCATTCAAAAGTCTACTCACAAGGGTGACGATAAGGTTAGGAGTATCACGAAGACAAGAAATGCGTCTGAGTTTGGCTTGAGAGAGCGGGTGAAAGTAAGGAAGAATGAGATGAATGATAGACATGAGATTGCTTCTTTTTAGGGAACACTATTATATAGCCTTATGATTCTGCACTGCACCACTGACTGTAAAATCACAATAACATCCAACTAGATCAATCGACCCAAAAGTGTCAACGCCAGGAACCGAACCGAACCGCTCTCCACCCACTCTTTAGCTGAGAGCCATTCAGAATTTGCTACCAGTCATGAATGGTAATGTGGTTGGCTTTCCTTCTGTTGTCTTATCTGGATGAGTTGAGCCGCACGTCCACTCATCATCTTTGAGCAGTCGCCGCGTTAGCCTTTCTGAAGAAATCCTCACGTTGTCTTGAGCAAATGGTGTTCTGGTATCAATATTGCAACCTCTTGAGACCTCTAAAGAAGTTGTCAGTTTGGCTCCAAGATTTATATATAATGTATTTGGGAAGTTAAAGCGACGTCGATGCTCGTACTTTTCCCCGTCGATCTCCAGCCCGGTCTAACAGCCGGACGCCGCTTTAATATGAGTACGAATATTAAATGACGTTTCTGATTAATGCCGAGCGGCTAAGGGCGTGCAGCTGTGTTGATCTGGTGCAACATCCGCCGGTGCAATATCCAGAGGTTTGACCTGAATCGTCGGTGTCCCCAGCAGACCGCACCTCATGACCTCCAACAAGGCGGCAGAATCTCTTTCGGGCTGCGCCGCCCTCTTCGTCTGGGTCCTGGGATAGGACGCACCGGTGGACTGGACGTCGCAACCCCTGTTCGGCTCCATCCGGGATGCTTACACCGTTCGGCGCTTCTGGGGCGTGTTCTGGCAGCGGTTGCATGTGATGCCCTTCCGGATGCCCAAAGAGCTCCGGGCACTTTGGTTCTTCCTGCTCTCTGCGGGCTGTCACGCTCTGGTGAAATGGGTACGGCATGGCCGAGCGTGTGCCCTGTCCGAAGTGCGCTTTTTTGTTGCCAAATGGGCCGTCTGTTGGTTGGAGACGATATGCGGGCTGAAAACCCACAAGGCAGTCGCCAAGTCGGGCACAGCCAGCGGCAGCGGCATCATGGGGCCGGCGGGTCGTTGGACTTGGCTTCGTTAGGACCTTCTTTTTTGGTATGGTTCCTGCTTGGCAGTACCCCGTAGTGTTGGCCAGCTTTAGAGGATTCAAAGGCAAAGAAAGCACTTGAAGCGACTGCACAGAAGATATGACAGTGAATGTAACATATATACGGTGAAACTGCGCGTGGAGGGTGATCATAGAGGGCATTCGAGGTACAGTGTTATAACAATCGTTTGTAAGAACCGGAAGGGATCGGAGCGGATGTATACGGGCCCATGGAGCGGAGCCAGGGGCGGTGCCGGAGAGCCGGGCCGGAGAGCAACCAACAGCGGGCATGACACGATTTAACGAAAGTCACGCGTATAAGACGCATGCCTGCTGCACGTTTCCATAACAGCCCACTTGCATTGATTCCATGCTCAACCTTTGTGATTGACTGCTCCTCTTTGTAATCGAACACCATGTCGGAAACCAACGAGTCAAATCAATCGCCTCTTCCTTCATATGAGGAGGCTTCATCAACCGGCGGCCAGGACAACTTGCTACAGCCCACAACACTCGTCCTAGATGGCCAGACGATCCACGCATTGACGCCAGACTCGCCGGCCCTGTACCGCCTTAGTCTAGGCATTGCGGACCTTTCAGGAATCACCAAAGAGGTGGAACTGTCGCGTGTCGAACCCAACAAGAACGGCTCGGGGCGCAAACGCCATATCTACGACCTGAAGCACCAGAACGCGACGCCGGGCGGCTACGATAGGCTGCCGTCCGACTCGCCGCGGTACTTCATCCACCGCGCGAGCAGGCGTCTCCTAGACCCCGCGGCCCTCGGCATGAAAAAGGGCAGCGCGTTGCTACCCGGAAAGGCGGCGCTCTCGACCGCCGTGCCCGTCGACGTCTCTGGTAAGACCAGCAAGTTCGGCATTCCCAACTTTATCAAGGACGCCGCCGCCGTCTTCTCCACCAACGGACGCGAGTGGTCCGACGCGCAGGGGAACGCCGTGGCCGTCATGCACGATGACAAGACGGACAAGCGACACAGCCTGATTGTAACGGCGGCCCTGCCGCGAGGCCAGTTTGACATGCTCGTGGCCCTGTGGTGCTGCCATGTATGGGAGTTTGGCGTGGCCAATGCCCCGAAAGTGCATGAAGGGATGAGCGGAGGTAACTGTCTACGCCTTTAACTGGCTGCGCTTCTCGTCTTGGTATGAGGGATAACAACTGACTTCTGGCGCGAACATTTAGTGGCAAGGAAGATGAGGCTGGCCAAAGAGTTTGGAATGGCGGGGACCTGGGGACCAGGTACGGATTCATCTCTCTCCGTACATAATTATCTTGCGATGATCGCTGGCTAACCACCTTTTCCAGGCGCTGGAGGAGCGTCGTTTTAAATCCGGTCAGTGCGCCACTTCTGAAGAGTCGCTGCAACGTCCAGGAATCTTGCCTCGTCTCCCTCTTAATTGTATTGGAGAGAAGACGGACATGGGGCTGCATTCAAACGGTAAGCACATGTTGTCTGAAGCCACGGCTACGGCGGTTCCCTCAATGAAAGGGAGAAAGGGGTACTGGGGGACACATTCCGGCCATGATTAGCAAAATCTCTTAAGAGAACTCTCCAACAGCCTTGACTACGGCAGCGGCAACTCAGAAGTTTGGTGTCAGCTTTTTCATATATTGCGACTGATGTATTGTTATTCCATAAGCTTTGAAGTCGCTTGAGTTGAACCACTTAAGGATATGAATGCAATGCGTAACAAGAGCCTAGGAGAACCCATCTGACGTCTACAATTTAGACATCGTTCTTTAGTCCCGTTTCCCTCCTTCCGGAATGCCACCGGCTTACATCCCCATCCCCAAATCCAGCCTAGCCCACCGACAACCACTCCGTCCCAGCGAACACCTAGTTTTATTTTGGTGCACGATGGCGGCTCGGGAACGGGTGACTCAAGGCGCCGCGCCACAAACATGCAGCAGGCTTACAAGTCTCACCGCCAAAAAGGGCATGGTCGGCACAGGTGAACTGGGCTAGGAGCTAGCCTCATGTAGACGGCTTACAACCACGATGGCCTCATCCGTCGATGAATGTCCCGAATTTTGCAACCTGGCTTGACGAAGGACTGGTTGTGTTGTTGGAATGGGGCTTGTGGATGTCTTTGGGGCGATGGGGCGGGTGAATAACGTCGCCGACGGTGCAATTTGGATTTCATGCCCTCAATTCTGATGATGATGAAGCTACTGAGTAATAACTGTACTCAAGAGCATCCAAATGGCACTATGTAAATGATATAAGTATAAAGGTGTCTGCTTCAATACAAAAAGTCAACTCGCAACTCGAGCCAACATCTCAGTATCGTGCAGTCTCTCAGTTTCAACCTCTATCTCGACTCCTCAAGCAACACCCCAAAAACATCGTCATCTCTCATCCTGAAATCATTTTCATTGGAGGGGATCAACATCCAAATCAAGATATCGTCAGATTCCCAGTCATAACCAAAGTAACTCATAACCGCCTTATCTGGTCTACTCTCCTACCTCGAAATCGCTTCCACCCCGATGAATATCAACATATCATCGTAAATCATCACGATCGCAACGAAGACATTTCCGAAGTGTCACAAACAAAATCTCGACGAAGACGTGACACACACCGCATCACCATTCACATCCCACAAACAAGCCACCAATATGCCATCCCTCTTCGTTTACGAGAAAGACCTCGTCGATCCGACGCCCGATATCCCATCGCTGGAAGGAAAAGTGATATTCGTCACGGGAGGCAAGTCTGGATCTCCTACGTCCATATCTCACTCACCAAGTCCCACTTTCTTCCCGGACAATGATTACACAGTCTCCTTTTCCCCCAAGGTCCTGTATCCAATACCAACCCTTTCATTACCCGACTTCTTTCAATTACAGGTAGAGTCTGAAGCAAGTATGCCTCAGGGAATCTCACGCGTCTACAATCTCGCTCATATGTACCTATCTATCTGCTTCATTTTGACTCCTGCTGCTTACCCCCCGAGGAGCGTAGAAGATGAGGACGAAGACAGGTTAAGCCCGCAAAGACACTCTCCACCCTGTCCTGAAGCCCCTTCAACCCATTCACACGTCTTCACACGGCTTCTTTCTGTGTTCTGGGTTCATGTCTAAAGCTAGACCAAGAACTCATCGGATTCAACACCATGCCCCTGATCCTGGCAGTACTTCGATATCACCACACCCACCCTCTCCCACCCTTTCATCTCTACGAGACCACCTCCCACTGTCCCCCAACTTCGAAACCCATCACTAACACCCGCAAAGGAACAGCAGGCCTAGGCAAATCCACAATCCGAACCCTCCTCGCCCACAACCCATCCCACATCTACTTCTCAGGCCGCTCCCTCGCCTCCGCCGAAGCCCTCATCGCCTCCGTCACCCCTCACCAACCTTCTACCTCCCCCACGAACCTCGACTCTCCGTCCCCATCCTCAAACACACCCTCACCCCCTCCCCTAACCTTCATCCAAATGGACCTAACCTCCCTCCCCTCCATCACCACCGCCCTCGCCAAATCCTTCACCCACGCCCGCCTGGACATCCTCGTCAACAACGCCGGCATCATGGCCGGCGGGCCCGGCCTCAGCGCCGACGGCTTCGAGATCCAGTTCGCCACGAACCACCTCGGCCACGCCATGCTCGTCCGCGCCCTCCTCCCCGTCCTCCAGCGCACCGCCGCCGCCGCCGCCGCCGACGTCCGCATCGTGAACCTCACCTCCGTGGGGTACCGCGGCCACCCGTCCGACGGCATCTCGTTCGCCACGCTGAGGACGGAGCAGAGAGGTCTCCCCGTGCTGGGGCAGTGGATTCGTTACGGGTATGTAGTCGAACATATCTTAAATCTCATGTGAGTTGCGACGCCGGGCTGACAGAGTCTCCAGACAGAGTAAACTCGCAAACATCCTCTTCACAAAGGAACTCGCCCGCCGATATCCCGCCATCACGAGCGTCGCGGTGCACCCCGGCGTCGTCGACACGGGCCTCGTCACGAACCAGGGTTATCTCAACCGCCTCTTCGTCTATGCTCCGCAGAAGATCATGGGCGCGACGGTGCTGACGCCCGAGCAGGGCTGCTGGAACCAGGTCTGGGCGGCGGCCGCGGCGAGGAGGGAGGACCTCGTGAACGGGGCGTTCTACATGCCCGTTGGACACCTGGCCGACCATGAACTGGACTCCTGCGCCACGGACGAGAAGTTGGCCGGTGAGCTCTGGGCGTGGACGGAAAAGGTGCTGGATGAGTTTGACTGAGCGTTCTGGGCGCGTCGTAACTTTACGGACATAGACCTTTGTCAGCCGGCTTCTAATTTCACGAATGTAATCTGCATGCTTGAAATCAGAAAGACCCTGAAAGACGAATTGTGGCTTCAGCCACGTTCGTCGGGATAGATGCAGGCTTAGTCGAGTCTTCGAGTCTTCACATGTGCTACGCTTGGCATTCCAAAATGACAGACCACCACGCCGCGCGCTTGCGGCTATCGATCAACCGGCCCGATAGGTGGACTCAGACCGGACCGCCGCCGACTGATTGTGAGCTGCCGGCGGACGTATGCCCGTTCCGCGCCGTCTCATCTCAAGCGTTGTACGACATGACCAGACGGGACGATGATACTCGACCACCCAGACGTCTCACCGGCGCGCGCATCAAATGTCACCTCACGCCATCGCGTCGCCGACGCGCGCCATTCGTATGTTCGCGTGTTCCCACCGCCTAATATCGAACCGCGCGCCCAGCACACCGGTAATGGCAGGAGACCGTCTATGCAGTTAATCTCCTTTCTCTTTGTGACGTTCGCCTCGCAGCTGTCGAGCTAGGCTATCCCCAAGGCAGGCCTTGACCCCTCGAGTCGTGTATCTGCCGACGTCTTGTAAGAGTATAGCACTATTGCAACCCCTCATCTTAGACGCCAATCTCCCAGAGGTTACCGGAGTCGGCCTGCAGCCGACTCCGGCTTACCCCGCCGTACACCACCACGGCCGACGCGGACCGCGCCTCATACCGCGTCGACTTGACGCATTCCGGGAAATTTGTAAACAATCACGAGAGCTAGGATATCGCAGCGAGCGTCGTTGCTGGCACGAGTCACTCAGCGCAGCTCTGGAGATAAACCTATCGCTTGCGACCTGCAGCACGCGGATCATCGCAGACGGTATCAAGCTGCTGCAAACCACTCACACAGCATATGCGATGGCCCACGTCCTGCAGCGAACGGTTTGAAAATAATGACATCAGCAAGGAGGGTCGAGATGGCTGCTCTTCAAGACACGGACGCCATCATGCGACCTCTTTGTCACCGGTAGTCATCAGCAGATCCTCGGGCCAGGGGGAGGACGAATTCCAATCGAAATCCGCCGCCTCGGGTTGCATTCCTTAGGCCAGGGGAAAAACAAGCACGGTGGCGACACGTGGAGAACGAGATTCTCGTTGCCATGGCCTGTTGTTCTGCAAGCATTTTCAAGATTTCCAAGATTTCCTTACGGTCCAGACTTTGTCCAAAAACTTCTCTGCGACGTCGAGTCTCCATTTGGCACCCGTCTTCCGTGATCAAAGTTTTCGTGAGCCCCAGCCTTTGGTCCGCCCTGCTGGAAATCGGGGGCGGCCCAACCGGAGGGAGAGCTGCAAATCGCGGAGATTGCGGGCGGTTCAGCGTGGTAGGGAAGCGAAATAACGTCGAGGTGTTAGCGCCGACAAGGGGGCCGGCCGGTGATGTGACGACGATGACTCCAGCTGCAGATACAGGCACTGGATCGAGCGGTCCGTCGTCCGTCGAATTGCGTTTCTGTCCGTATGCTTAGGTATTATGTCGTGACTCGTCTGCAATTGCGGCGAGTGACAGGATGCAAATTGTAGTAGTGGAGAGTCCGATGACCTCGGGCGTTTTGGCCATATTGTTTGATGTTGGTTCATCTCAAAGTCTAGAGCTCTCAATCGTGATTGATGGACCGTACGGTACCAGGTGGACCATGAAGAGATGCCAACAGGTTTTGGTTGCTACTTGCAAGTGAGTTACTTGTGGTCTGACAAGGACTGTCGACTTGTCCGGCGTCCATCACCGTAGGAAAACTTCAACAGACGAATCCTGCTGTGTCGCAACCGAAGTCGAAGCCGTGATCGCCACAAAGTCGTCAACACCCGACAGCTACTCGGAGGCCCGGCACGTCTTTCGTTCAATGAACCCATCGTCAATTCGTCTTCTTCTCCACTTGAACTGCGCGCCTCGAATCCCCCAAGCCATCAGCCCTGGGAAAACCTTGCCAACAACGTGCCGTGGTGTGGACCGTGGAGACGTCGTTCTAGTGCGGGAAAAAGGCTTTGGACCGTGAAGACAACTGCAAAATCTTAAAGACTGGGAACGGCCCGGCTGTTGCAAAGGCGAGCGTCATCATCAGACGAACTGCGAACAACGCATCGTTCGCCGACTCCATACTTTTTCTCCATTCACTCAAGCTGCGACAACCTCAATCTGCGGCTCTACCGGGTCGTCTGGACCCAGGTCGACATCATTCATGCCGTCTGCGGCGACTGGGAAAGACCTGGACCGCCGCGGGGAAGCGGTTGGCTGTTTCAACAAGCGGGAATTTTGTCCTCCCTTGGAAGATTAAAAGACTTGCATGGCTGAGTCGGCAAAGTGCCCAAGCCCACTTCTTCCGTCAAACATTGATTAACAATGATTGCCTTCGATCTCGATGTACCTTTTCATGCTTGGCTGACGTTGGGTGCAAATGGCAGGGCTCAACCTCGCACAAGCATCCGCTATCCGCCTGGAAAGAGGCTTTGCCAATCAGCCGAGGAAAACTTCATTCACTTCCTCAACTGCCAAGAAAGTGTGAGTCTTTATTCCAATGTAAAGTTTGATCCCGGTTCGGGATCTCGCTCCACCGGGTCATTGAGATGGCCTGGACAACAACCAGCAACCTGGGACTGGGAAGGCTGGCTCTCTTCACCAAAACAGCCCTGCGTTCGCTCATCCTCATGTCGGAACCGTTGTGTGCCCTCCCGGCTCCGTTGGGCGGACAGCTTTGGTTGGCACGGCTGGGCCGTCGACGGTAGGCCTCGCCGTCCCGACGATCGAATATTCAGGCAATCACCGGTTGCCGGGACCTGAAAATGAGATCTGATAGCCGCGCCTGTATTTCGCGTGGGCACAGCGGTGGCACGGCGTTCTCCGGTATGGACTCGTGGAGAGAACCAGACTGTGCATCAGCATGGTTAGTATCCGGTGGCTTTCGACTCCCACCGGATGAATTGACCTGCTAGACTCTGTTGCCACCCAGCAAGAATCTGTACAGTATTCGTACAAAACCCTCGGCCCCTTGTCGCGAGGGCTCGAACCGTTGCCCGCAGCAATTGTCAAGACAGCGATTGAGGGTAACAATCGGGGAGAGAGTTAGAAAGCAGACAGCGCTTTCACATTTCACACATCTCGTCCAGTGTGAAATGTCACCCTCCACCTGCAGTCAGGGGTAGCACGTCCGCCACTAGGAAGGGGAAAGCGCCAGGCACAGCTTTTCCATTGGCCGCGGAACCACGCGGACGATCCGCAGGGATGCATCGGGAGAGACTTGTGTGTTGGAGTCCTGGACTGCCCCTCCTCAAATTTCGAAAAAGGGGGGTGGGAAGAGAAGAATTCCATTGCACGCTTCTGACAGAGAACATGGGATCGTTGTCTCTTATGCAGAAGCGACACACTGCTGAATAGCGTTGAAGACTCGCGTAGTTTAGCAAAGTCGATGATCTGTGCCGAGATGGCGTTCTGAGTTTACGATTCGCAGACGTAAGGGCGGAAATGTTTTCGCGACAGAGCCGTCGCTTTACGGGCGACCTCCTCGTCAGCTAAAACAGCTTGACGAGTCTTAGCCGGCTCGGCGCCATCACTCATTGTGAATCAGTGTGTCTGGACGTTTCTTGGCGACTGGCAAACCTGCTTCGGTTTGTAACCTTGGGGCGATCATAGGCATGACCATGACAACAAAGAAGCGTCTGCAGTGAGTGTTGGTTTGCGACCGAAGTATCGGAATTCGACTTGTGCTGCGGCTGCACCTGTGATGTCCCATTGCTATCAGTCAATCGACGTTTGCTTCCTCCGGTCCCGGACGCCATACAACGGAGGTTTCTTCCGTGGACAAGACGGAGGCAGATCGGAGGAAAGGAAAAATTGGCCAATCTCCCATGTGAGACATGGTCCACGCAGCCCATTTGCGAGAACGAATCGTCGTGGCCAGCGCCGAGACATACCGACGTCGAAACAAACGCCGATCCGAAACCAAACGGTGAAAAAACCCAATGATTGATTCATGGACAGGCCTGGCGACTGAGGCTTTGTTTTCAATGCGGGTTTGGCGGAAGCTTTTTGCTTGAGACCTTCTCAGAGCTTTCAGCGACCAACGCGGAAGAGTAGTTGATTGGACCGAGGTCGAAACACGAAGCCCAACGCCAGCTGACGGAAACGCGGGGGTTGCATGGCAGCGCGGGTGATTTGCAAAGTGGGCGCGGGCCAATGCTGACCTTGTAAAGCGTGTCGGCATTGTCATTCGAGGTTTTGGGTACCGCAGTTGGTATTTGTGGTGGTCAGTCGTCGAAAGACTGGCTGTCAAGGCAACAAATCCACTTGCGTGACCGCAGTCTAATGCGTGTTACTATTCGTATATTCATCCCTTGATGTCCACAGACGCAAGTGGCGATGAAGCGCATGCGCTCGGAGGTCGTCCAAGGTTAAGCTCAAAAGGGGCCGGCAGGCGGGACAGGGCAAGCTTCGACTGGACCTCGCGTGACTGCCAGGGAACACACACAGGCCAGACTCGTGTTGATGATGATGCAAACTGACACAACGGCGAGATTGGGAATGCAGTTCCTGCTGCCTATTGGAGATGGAGGCGACCGAACTTTTGAAGTGCAGGATCAAGCTGGGTTTGTCGGTGGCGAGCATATGTTTCATCGCATTGGTGTAAAATGGTACTGCAACGAACCACAACCTCAGATGAGCTGAGGCTGAACCAGAGGCCCAGATTGAGTGTGTTGATAGGACATACGGATACTGATTGACGGGCAGATGCGTCGCTGCAGTCGCCCTGCGCAGTTCAGCTGAGCGGAAAGGGTCCAAGGGTCCGGGTCTCGCACGATGCGGTCAGGTTCCTGCGTTTGCTTCGATGCATTGAACAAAGACCCGGAGAGTTGGAGTCTATTGAAGAGAGTCGAGATGATATGCGGCCTGCTGCAACTCTCAGCAGCCTTCAGCCGAGCCGCTTGCGCTTGCGCCCGCGGCCGCGACCCCGGCCGTTCGGTCTGATTTCGTGAGCCAGTGAGTCCAGACCAACTTCTTTCGAGCCATCGCGATTCCGGCTGGATCAAAGTCAGAGCTTGCGAAGCGGGAGACGATACGGCGAGCTTGCAACGGCTGGCGTGGTGGTTCGGCTGGGTGGTGAGACAGTCAGAGAAGGTGTGGACTGCTAGCGAGCCCCTGAATTCTTGGTATTGTTGTCGGCACGCCCCTAAATGCGAAGTCCCTCTGATTCACAGGTGGCCGCCAAGGACTTCGTCTATTCCGCGATTGACATGGCACTGTCATCGCGGACAGGCCGGTCTCTGCGAACGCATGGCTAGCACGAGGGTAGAGGCATTGCGAATGCCGTAGAGCAGAGCAACCATCTATTGCTTGATTCCGGTGAGCTCTGCTTCTGCTGGTCATGCAGCTCGGTACCCGGTGGGAAGACAGAAAATGGCGCTGCGAAGGGAACTGCTGAACCGTGTACTGCGCACAATGCCGAAGCAGTAGCCAAAGGCTGGCCTGAGATGACGAACTCAATGGCAATTTGGCGGAGCGGCAAGGCATGAATTAGCATGCAGTAAGGTGCGGGATGCAGCCAACTCCCGTTGGAGATAGACACACGCCTCCCCCTACGAGTGGCCGTTTGGACGGGAGGGCGGCGAGCAATCTGCGGGAAAAAAGCTTTTTCGGGCAGCTCTTAATGCAGGCGGAGCAGATGCCGGCGGAGAGCGGAGAAGAGGAATTGGATAGCGGATGGTGTTTGTGGTGGCAGTGGCCCCAAGGCGCATCCGTGTCGAGTAATTGTCGAAGGCAAACGCAGCGAAAGCATGAATGGAGGCGGGTAGCTAAGGCATGCGGAGGCCATTGTTGCTTGCGAGACGGGAGGTCAAATTCCGTGGATTTGTTGTTACCGAAGATGATTTGGCGGCGGGTTGTTTCGTCCGTTTGTTGATCAGACAGGCTGGAAGAGGCGCGAGATGCGCATGGCACGGCATGGCCTCGCATCGGGAAGAACAGACCGTGACAATCTTGCAGTAGGTAGAGGGAGTTGCAGTGGCTCGGACGGTTCTGGAGCGATGTGATGACCCTGTGAGCGCTTCCGCCGTGGTCTTGGGCTCCGCGTGGGCAGATTCTGCGTCCCTATGCCGAGGATGGCAAGGCTGTCAGGCTGTCTGTCGTTTGGTGATGGAGATGGTGTTTTGGCAACCTGGAAGAGCATTGAAGACGAGGTCGAGGCCAGACAACAGTGGCGGCAATCGTGGCCAAAACAACGAAAAGCGCTGTCGATCGAAAGAGGCTGGCATTGAACGGTGGCATGCCGATGATGATTTGAGGAGTGGGTTGATTTGTTTTGATGATAATTTCTTGTTCTGGTAGTGCGAGTGCAGATTGGAATGGAAGAGCCTGCTAGAGGTAGAGCGAAGTGGATGAGGTGACGAAGACGAGGTCAGTTAGTTAGGTGAGAATTGGAAGGAGGAATGGCAGGAGTGGCTGCTCTTGCCGCCGTCTCGTTTGAGAGGCCGGAAGGAGCAGATGTGAGGCGGAAGGTGCCTCCTGCCGCTCCTGCCAATTGTGAATATTGAACTGGAAGCTGCTCTGGTGTCTCTTTCCTTCCACAGTATATGATGAGGTACCTAGATTTACATACACCGGCAGGTGAGAAACCAGGTATCCACGTTCCTGCCGCCTCCGGTGAGAGAAGGAGGTACGTACTGCCTAGTCGAGTATCAGAGGCAGGAACTCATAGTCATACCTGCCTCGTGCCGTCGTCAGAATCATTTGATATGAGGAAGGAAGAAACAGGATGATAGAGGGTTAATGTGTCCTTGCTCCTTCCTCAGGGTCTTGATATGCATCTTCCTGCATTGCAGCATTGCACTCTGCAGATGAGTCGCAGGCGCTTGCTTTTCCCCGTCAGAGTGAAGATGCCCTGTCTGAGTCCAATTGGTGCCGTGGCGGTGGCTACTCTCTCAGGCAAGACCAGCGCGGAAAAACAGAAAAGAAGGAGCTCTTGGAGCGGAAGGCCCCACCTCAAATTTGACAATTGGTGAAGTGGGCGTCGACGGCACGCCCCTCATTTTACACCCTCCACCCCCTGTCACCCCCTCCTCCGGCCTGCCCACCTAATCTTAACGCCCTCATTGGCGGATCTATTATGTAAGCCAAGTACGTACCTCCCAGCATCAGTTAGACAAATGAGGCTATTCCCACCAGTAGCACTAACAGATTCCTTCGGTCGACTCAACACCAAACGGCGCTCCCTGCCGTGGGCCAATGACCGGGTCCCGTCCCTTGCAGATGAGCGAGAGACCAGACCAAAGCCAGACAAGCCAGGCACAAGGCTCCAGGGGCACAGGCGCAGGTACTCAGGCACTGGAGGGAGGTGGTGCTACGGTACAGGGCACAGGGGGTCTCTTTTGAGAGCTTCTCGCCAGGGGGCCCTTGAGGGGAAAACCGAATGGAAGATTGGGGGGACTGGAGAGAGAAGGGAATTCCTGGGCTCAACCTAAGTCACTCTCACTCGCTCACTCACCACTCACCACTCACTCTCACTCCTTTCTCTTGCCGTCAGTGTCACTCTCAATTCCAACCTCGACCTTCCTTTCCACTCGCTCGCCTACCATTCCTTGTTCTCTCTCTCAGACTTTTTGATCAACCGCACCCAAGTCACTCCCTTTCTTCTTCCTGGGTCGTTTTGTTTGCCTGTCACGGAAAGAAAAAAACAGATTAGCCAAGAGGGTCGACGGTAGGAAAAAAATAAACCAGAGAGACGACCACACATATTTTCTCTTCTCTTTTCCCGTCCGTTTCTTCGACCACCACCACCAGCATCTCCCTCCGCTCAACCACCAGCGGCAGGACTGTCGACGACGACGACGCCGACGACGACGACAACACCAACGATTTCCTCCTCCGAGACCCAAAAGAAACGACAATCGAGTTGTTGGCCGTGCGAGATCCAGTATCTCTGCTACCGTACCTTTCGCCCCCCCCAGTTCTCCGCCCAAAAAGGATTCCTCGACCGGGATTGTCGAATTACCCCCGACCGCACGACTCCCTTTTGTCTTATCAACGCACGATTCAGCGGCTTCACTTCACTCATTTCTCCCTCTCCCACCAACTTCGACCTCGGGCTCGGTTCCTGCATCTCCGGCAGTCCCCAAGTCTCAACCTCCCAGCTCGACGCACAGCTTGCTGCCGCCAGCCTATTGTGCAGGAAACCATTGGATTTCTTGTGCCACTGGGACCTCGGAACTACCGAAATATTCTTCGTCTTCTCCAGTCGGGCCACTCGACCGCCGATATCGACGGATTTTAACCGGATTTCTTCGCCTTCGATTCGCCCCTTTTTTCCGATCACGAACCCTCCAAAGGATCGACGTCGACGCGACTTCGAGGCTCTCGAGAATACAAGTCTACTTGCGACGTTGACAGCCCAGTACCAACTCCATCTTGCTGAAACACTCCCGACACAGCGCACTCAGTCAACCAGGTATGTTTTTGACATGTCTGTTTCCCATCGTGCCCCTGGCCCTCCGCAAAATCTGCCCTCCACCTTGGACATTCATCGCATTCCCGTCAAACTTCGGGCCCTTCCTTCGTCTCAATCGCCTGGCTGCGACGGGGCTCAAGCACAGCTTCTGCCTCTCCGACGCTCGCTGAACTCAATCGCCTCTTCTCCACGCCAGCAGACGTCTGGAGCTGAGACCGGAACGTGCTTGTTTGTCCAAGGGTTCCTGTCAAATCTTTTGCTGACCACTATGCTATTTGTGTCTAGGCATCCCATCTTCAGACGCTCGCTTGCCCAATCGACTCGAACCACTTCGCCATTTTCAAACAAACTTTCGCCCTTTCGTCCCAACTTCTCCAACTCCCATCCCTACCACCATTAATGGAAGCTGTTTAATCAAAACCGACCGACCGACCTCCCCCGAGCTCTCTACCTCGGCCAGTCAGAAAAGAGGGGCGATTCAACCAAGTCTTGCCGCTTCTCTCAGCCCTTCGAGGCTGCCCGATAGTCACAATGAACCGTTTCCGCACAAAGAAGAAGACGAAGGAAGATGCCTCTTCCACACCCAGAGCCTCTCATGAATCCGAGTCTCCGGCCCCTTTCCGCTTGTTCGGCAAGGGAAAGAAGTCCCAAGAGGAGGAGCCCAAAAAGGAACTCGATCTCGAGCACGCCTTGCCATCATCCGACGACTTCCGCACAAGTTTGTTGATGACAGGACTTTCGGCACGCTTTTCCATGCTGAGAGAACAGGATGACCCGAATACCAAGATCGGCAAGGCGCTTGACGACAGCGTTCTGTTCCCCAAGCGACAATCCAGGATGGACTTTGGTTTCGGCGCTGGAGCTGGCTTGTCTGATATTGCCGAGGTTGAGTCCATCAGAAAGGAGGCCCCCTTTGCTCGCATGGACCGCATGGACTCGTTCCATTCCTCAGACGGCAACTCTTTGTCAGGGAGCATCATGGACCGAGCAAAGCCCGGAGAAGGCAACAACCTGTTTGGTGGACGACAGAAGATTTACAAGATTGCAGCAGGAAATGCGTCGAACAAGAACGTTGACGGTGGCGGTATGAGCCATCGTGCTCTGTATGACGACGATGTCGCAATGTCTTCTTTCCAGAAATGGAGGCAAACAGAAAAGGCCAAAATGTCGTTTGACGACGACCAGGATATGGTTCACTCGACATCCAGCCTCGATTTGGCACGCACCGAATCGCCTCCTCCGCTTGGCTACAACAAGAACCGCGAGACCAACTCGACCACATCCTCCACACCATCACTCGGCCGTAACTCGACTGCGGCAACGTCTGTCATGTCCCAGCCGACATCCTCAGTCAAGGACTGGCAATCCACAACAACGGCACCTAGCTCCGCCGCAGGCACCCCTCTCCTCGAGAGAAGCATGACCCGCACAAAACGTCTCTACGAGACTGGCCTCAACAACGAGCTTCAGGAGCAACAGTCTTCCGCCCTGTCCCGCATGGATACTCTTTCCAGACAGCGCACTCTCGGATCCAGGACACCCGAACTTTTCCAGAGCGGTCCGTCGCCGACCTCAACCCTCTTCGCAGAGCGATTCGGCGAGCGCAGAATTTTGGCCAAAGGCAGCGCCCCTAACCTGCGATCTATGAGTCCACCGACAGTAGGATCGCCCATTGCTCCTATGGACTTGGGCATCAGAAACCAGGATTCAAGGACTGGCTATCCAGGCTCGCCGCCTTTGAGCCCGCCTATCAGCGAGGGCGAGGAGAACTCCATCCTCCCGAATGACCGAGGCAAGGCCACGGCCATGGGCATGTTCCAGAAGCCGCTGCACTCCTACGACGAGTCCAGGTACGCCCAAAGGCAACTCCAACTTCAGCAGGGCCGCGAAACCCCGACAACTAGGTTCCGAACGGAGTCCAACGCATCCCAGACCACGGGCCGCTCAAGGTCGTCCTCATCAGCCCAGAGACAGCCGATCGAGAGGTCGGAGCCCATCATCCAAGTTGAGCCTACCCTGAAGGAGGAGGAAGCCGGCTCGATCTACTTCAATGACAGGGACGAAACAAACCAGAGGTCACCTGTTGCAACCAGACGTCCCGCTGACCGCGATCATCCGGCCTTCAGAGACTCTGCTTTGCCAACCCCTCTTTCCCTGAGTGGCAGAGAGTCGGTCGAGCCGTCGCCCGTCTCTGATCAGCCTTTCCCAGTGCCCGCACCTGCTGAGCAGTTCACCGCTCCTCAAGACTCGCCGACGCTACCGTCGTCTGCGGGACTCAGCGGCATGGTTCGCGCACATCTTCGGACGGACAGCAACACTTCATCCATTTACGGTTCAGCGCCACAGACGTCGACGTTTGCTTCCAGATTTCCTCTGGACCCTTACGACCCGTCGTTTGGCGTCAGCTCTAACCCGTGGGAAGTAGCATCGCCAGACTGGCAGTCCCCGACGATCCCAACTTTCAACGAGCAAGTGAAGGACACGCAAGAGCCCGAGGAACCTAAGGAGCAGCAGAAGGAGCAGCCTGCCCCCACATCTGCGCCGGCCCCTGCTCCAGCTCCCGCACCTGTTGCGAGGGAGGCTCGGTCGACGGAGCCGTCGGAAAGAAACACCGGCTCCAGCACTGAGATGGAGAAGGAGCACGACGAATTTGCCAGCCAGCTTGCGAGCGCTCAGCGCCGGGTTCGCGAGAGACTCACCTCTTACGTCGAGTCAGACCGTGACAGCAGGTCTCTTTCTCGATCTCTGTCTCCTCACTCGTTTGAGCGCACCCGAGAACCTTCTATTCCTCGACCCAACCCTCTGGGAATTCTCAGGTCGAAGACAAGCAGAGGTTCTTTGGCGGACCGACCAAACCGCGAGAACAGCCAGCACGCCAAAGCAATCAAGATGCTTGGTCTGGCTACCTCGACTATCAGCAGTGCTCCCAGCCCGAACAAGACCAGCTTTGAGGGGAAGGATTCTGAGGAGCGTGAGAGGCCCGACATTTCGAGGGCCGAGAGCGCGCCAGCTCAGGTATCTGCCCCGGAGCCGCCTAAGGAGGACGAATCTGTGCACGCTGGACTGCGGGCTTTCAGACAGGCGCGTAAAGAACTCCAGAAGTTGGAGTCACAGCGGAGCCCGACAAGTGCCTCAACGCCAGCCGTGCCCGGTCCCTTGCCCGGCGCTGCCATCGGCGCAGTGGTCGGCCCCCCGGCATCACGCACGGCGCCGAGTCGTGACCGCACTCCTGCGGCACGCTCTCCATCTGGAGAGCGTCGTCCGCCTCCCGTCACATACCAGCGAACGCCTAGTGAAGAGCCCCAGTCCAATGCCGGACCCGGCAGAGGTGCCTCCCGCCCTCCTTCCCGCACTGAGCGCGATCGCAGCGGTTCGGAAGCCAGCAACGGCGAAAGGTCGAAACGTCCTGCCAGACTGCGCACCGTTTCATCTCCTCACGACGAACGAGGACAGGCACTGGGCCCGAACGGACCTCCCCCCTCTTCCCGGCCTCCCATGATCCCGTCTCCTGGCCTGCCTGGCACCAACATCCGGCGATCACCGCACATGCCTCCCCAACCGTACCCTGCGGCCGGCGGCCCTCAGCCTATTGACCGGTCAGCCTCCTCAGGTAACCTGGCGGTTCAGTACCGTCGTCGCGGACCCGACTCCGGACAACCGTCTCCTGTCTCTCCTATGGCTCCTATTCCGTCGCCCTCAATCCCTGTGAGCCAGTCGACTCCTACTTTTGGTCCTCCGCCTCGCCGGCCCTCTGCTCCCCCCGTGCCGTCTCCGGTGGCCGAGTCTGCTCCTGTCAACCGCCTTGACGAGTCGATGAAGCGTGTGGTCAAGAAGAAGGACATCTCCGAGCCGACGTTTGTGTCCTCCACTTCACGCGTCCCTACTGTCGCTCTTCCAGAGACATCGGAGAGCAGGTCGAGAAGCGGATCCCGTTCGCGCTCGGGGAGCATCCTGGGCGCTGCGGCTTCGACACCAAACCTCCATGCCCACGCCAACATCAACGCTCCTCCGGTGCCTCCCATCAACCCCAAGCGTCGCAACATGATTGGCTCTATCATCGGCCGCAAGACAGACGACGAAAACGGCGCCAGCTCACCTCTCCCTTTGGCGCCGCCGCCCATTCCGAGTGAGCACAGCGGTGACGGCCACAGTGCGTTCTCGGTAAGCGACGATGAGGACGCCCCGGGACAGCGACGCAGACTCCGGAAGACAATCAGCGAGGCAAACGGCATGAACATGCGTGCCCGTCTCAACCGAGGTCCTAGCCCTCCCAACATGCCCGCGCCGACCGCTATTCCCAGCGGTGTGCACAACAGTGCTTTGCCTGGTGGCATGATCTAAATCAACGCGATCATCCACGGCATCGCCATTTCACTTTTCTCATTAACTCCCTCTTTGTAAAGGATGGCTGGAAAAGGAGAGGCGAGAAAACGGTCATAATGAATCTACGAAAACCCCTTCTTTACCCTGTTTTAGTTTCTAGTTTTACCCTCTCACCGGTCACGCGACCGTGTGGCATCTACTGTATATTTCTTATTTTCATTCTCTCTCTCTCTTGTCGTCGCACCTCCGTGGACGGCTATTGGATCTTGACTCCTGGAGAGACCTTAATAGGGCGGGGTCCTGGATTCGCGGTAATCGGAATGCGTCTCGGTGGTGGGCCTGGCGTCCGCCGCGTGCAGGATCTCAACAAACCTTTTTGGAAGGATGTGGTGGTGGTGTATGGCTGTTTCAATTTGAAGAATACCAGAGTGTTTCTATGCTGTATCTGGGCTGCTGGGTAGGAAAGGAGGTGATATACCACGTACTAGGTAAAGAGTGCACAATCAAGAACATTCAGGACTCGTACATCTCTGCTCGTAAAGTGTCTTTATCTTGCTTCTGAGTACCGGAATGAGTGCGTGACACAGGATGGTAGGCTGACTGCCAAGGTAGGGACGGCGGATAAGGTGCAGTGCGGGGGAGCCACACTCGGCCCGGAATGCCGGCCGGGTCGACGGCCAACTCAAAACGGTTGACCTTTCGCAAGTAAGCAAACTTGACGTATGCAACGACATCCTGCTTATCTTGTTCGAAGACTGTCCGTTACACCATTTCTCTCATCAAACCTCCATCGTGTGCTTTTGTCATCTTCCTCCGAGCCCTGTGCGTCTCATTGTGAACAAGTCAACCCCGCTCGTCCTTTCTCCTTCGTCGCGCACGTTTCAAAGCACACGGTCTCGTCAATATCCAGCCTCGTCAAGAACTCACCATCATGGCCTTCATCCGCGCCTACAAGCCCTCAGACTTTGAGGATACCGCACACATCGTAAGCCTCCCCACCTCACCTCCCTCTCACCCGGCAACTCACACATCCCCAAAGTGCCGCGCGACCCTGCCCCCGTCCCTCGCCTCCTCGGAAGCGGGCCGCCTGCTCGCCCCCTACATCTGGACGCACCAGTACACCCTCCTCTCCCCGTCGACGTGCCACGTCCTCGACGACGGGACGGGCCGCGTGGTCGGGTACTGCATCGGGTGTCCCTCGGTGACGTCGCTCGCGGCGGCCTACCCGCGCTACGTGGCCGAGGTCCTCGAGACGGTGCCCGAGCTTCAAGGTCATCGGCCGCGGAGCCTCGAGGCCAAGGCGAGTTGGAACTTGCCCTCGGGGGAGGTGAACGAGGAGGCGTTACTGCAGCAGGCGTGGAAGGCGGAGTGGCTCGTGTTGGGGGAGGAGAGGAGGGGGTTGTGGGAGACGTGGAGGGGCACGATGCATATTGATCTGTTGGAGGGGTGGCAGGGGAAGGGGTGGGGGAGGAGGTTGATTGAGAGGTTTGAGGGGAGTTTGAGGGAGGCTGATGAGAGTGAGGGTGAGGGTGAAGGTGAGGGTGGAAGGGAGAGGGTGTTTGGGAAGGGGTGGCATATTGGCATCGGAGGGGAGAATGAGAAGGTTGTGAGGTTTTACGAGAAGATGGGATTCCGGGTCTGGCCGAGTGCTGAGAAGGGGTCTATTTGGATGACGAAGGATATCGAGTAGACGGTGAGTGAGTTGCGTCTGCAGTCTTGTTTGTAAACTTGAATTATGCTTATTGAGTATCAGGTAACTCACCATCACCCGAATCACCGACTCATTCGTTCAAACCCATCCAGACTCATCCACCGGAAGGCTCTTCTCAACATTCCGTGACACCAGCATCTCAGTGACTCAAGCTTCTCATTCACAGGAGGTCATCTACACCTGACCTTTCAGTACTACGGTCATTGCCGTGTGAGCACCGAGCAATGTCCCTCGTGGCCCACCGTCCCCGTCGCCCGGCGGGCCTCCTCGCCAGGGGGTCCTTGGGCGACGCTATCGTCGTCTCTGTCAAGCCTTGTTGGCTCAGTGGTAAAGCGCCTCACTAGTAATGAGGAGATCGGGCGTTCGATTCGCCCACGAGGCAATGTGATGATGCGACAAGCATCTGAGTTCATTTTTGATGTTTTTTGCTGGCGTCGCGAATTTCGAGCTCAGTTATGTGTCGATTGAAATGAACATAACTTGGATTATTGTATTCTATAAAAGTCTCTCTCATCTTGGCATTGAAAAATGAGTTTCTCCATGGCACAAGGAGTGCCGATGAGTCGTGATTGACAGCCTAGATGAGCGCAGCGAAACACAGGCAAGAGACTCCGACGACCCCGAGGATAGCGTCGGAGTCTCCTCCCGTGTTTCTAAATACCGGAGTCAGACGGTGGAGATGGTGGAGTAGCGGCATCGGATCACCTCATCTGGGGTCTTCCTTCATGCGGGGTTCATCACTTATCATTCACGTATTAAACTTCCTCGCTGCCCCCGGATGAAAGCCGACTTCATTCCGATTCTTACCACCGGTGTATAGATTCGTGAAGGAATACCTGGAGAAACATAAAACATGTCCGCCGCCGACATCGACCCCGCCCAGCGGCTTAAGGACCGCAAGCCGATCCCGAAGCCCGTCCCGGCCTACCTCCCCACGGCCGGGTCACCACTTACCGTCGACAAGGCCCTGTACGAGTCGGCGCAAAAGGCGCCTCGCGTGCTCGTTGAGGAGTTCACTCTGCCGATCCGGTCCGGAAAGGCGTGGAAGGCGCCCGCGGGGTCGATTGTGAGGATCAGCACACCCGAGGGACCTCAAGTTGGTAAGTCCATCATTAACTCTGTTCAAGAGAGAAGAGTCTCCAACCGGTTTACTCAACATAAATCTCACACAAACACCAGGCGACCTCAACATCTGGAACGCCCACAACCCGCGCGAGCGCTTCTGGGCCTCGCGCACCCGCCAGCTCCACGCGAGCCACGTCACGGTCGGCGACCGCCTGTGGTCCAACCTGCCCTACATCCGGCCCCTCGTGACCATCGTCGCCGACACGCTCGCGTGGTACGGCGAGGACGAGCACGGCGGCCGCGTGCACGACCTGCTCGGCACCCGGTGCGACCCCTACATCAACTCGATCCTCAGCGGCGGCAGCTACGACTTCCAGTGCCACTCGAACCTGACGCGCGCGGTGCTCCCCCACGGGCTGAACGAGGCGGACGTGCACGACGTGTTGAACGTGTTCCAGGCGACCGGGCTGGACGAGAGGGGGCGGTATTTTATGAATCCGTGTCCGGCGGGGCCCGGGGATTATATCGAGTTTTTGGCCGAGGTGGATGTCTTGATGGCGTTGAGTGAGTTTGGAACCCTGTGATCGTGGATCGTGAATGGCTGGGACTGACTTGTTAGGTACGTGTCCTGGAGGCGATCTGTCGCTCTGGGGTTTCGGCGAGGATAGCGAGGAGGAGATGATCAAGTGCTGTCGTCCGCTGAAGGTCGAGGTTTTCAGACTCGAGGACGAGGGGTTGTTGGAGCGTGGCGGGTGGAAGCCTGCGGAGGTGTCGCCGTATCAGGGACGGCATGGCATGACCATTCCCTTGGGGGAGGTGCGTAAGTGATGTGAAGTAGGGAGTAATGGGTGCTGTGGGAGAGCGGTAGATGTGTGATATATATATTAGATCGCAAAGACTTCGTGAGAAATCCAAGACAGACTCAAGCTGTTACCTTCGGTGTGGTGGTTCAAGTCACAGATCAAGGATCCTTCACTCCACATGAAGCTTGTGGCAGGTTCACTGACTCACATAGCACCGAGCCAACTTTGACAAATTAAAGTAACATTAACTCCTAACTCCAAATTTTGAACCTCAAACCTGTGACTAAAACGCAGAGCATCTACTAATTCGCCACCTTTCCATCCTTCTGAGCGTCGGCTCTCCTCGCCGACTTAAATCCCCGAACAAGACCAGTCTCAGGATCTCTGTTCACACCGCCTCCAGTAGCAACGCCATTCCTCCGGACGCCAATCTTCCTCAAACCCCTCGCCACCTTGTCATAATCCCCAAAGAACTCATGCGCCCTCGCATCATCTCCCGCGACAAGGCCATGACCCAGTGTTACACCCCAAACACCCGCAACATTCACCGCGTGCGCGTTCACGTCCCCATCCGGCTGCAGAAGAACAGAGTAGATGCACCCCGTATACCTCACCGGCCTCAGCGCCACATCAGCCGGGAACACCCAGCTCTTCCCGCTGTCCACCGAGACCGGGTGCCAGGGCGTCACGACCAGGTCGCCGACGCGACACATAACCTCCCTCGAAACAGGCGTCTTCAGAACGGCGACGACGCGTCTGGGACCCGCGGGCGTCTTCACCGCCGCGCCCCTCCTCAGACTCTTGACCGGCACCTTGCGGCCGGAGGCGAGACGGACGGGCGTGGACGCGGTGAAGCACACGCCGGACGGCGTGTTGTACGACCTCATGCTGATGTATCCGTGGTGCGTCGCCACGCGCTGGTTCGACGGCGTCGGGGCCGGGAGGTTGTCGAAGGCGGCGTCGAGCCTGTCCCTGCAGGCGACGAAGAGGGGGCTCCCTGCGCCGTACTGCAGCGGGCCCGGGTCCTTGAAGGTGTTGCAGATCTGCCGGGTGTGCGCGTTGAGGAGCGAGGGGAGGTAGTGGACGCCCCATTTGGAGTAGTATTCGGGGTTCGACAGGGCGAGGGAGATTTGGCCCTTTGGCTGCTTGCCTGTGAGGTCTTCGACGAGGGACTTGTTCTTTGGGTCGTCGGGGAACTTTTGGGACGGGAGGTTTTCGATGAGGGATTTGAGCTGCTCGGCCTTTTGGGGGGAGATGTCGTGTAGGGCCTCGTGCTCGCCGTCTTCTCTTATGGGGATGATGGAGGACAGGTAGGAGCAGATCTGGGAGCGGGAGAGGTGGTATGCGATCTCGGACTCGGGCAGGGTCGTGGGGGTCTGCAGAGATTGTTCGGTTGCTTTCCTGTGGATGACGCTTGTCATGCGGGAATACTCCAGGGAGGCGATGATGTTAGAGTCTTTCGAAGTCAAGTCTGCCGGAGCCTTTACGCGGATGTAGATGTCTCGAGACTGGCCGTACTGTAGGTTGCCGAGGGAAATAGAAAGCTGTTTCGGCTCCTCTGGCTCGTCGGGCAGGGTCAGGACCTCCTGTTTGTCGACCGAGTCCCCGGTTGTCTCTTCGAGATCGAGGGCAGCGGGGAAGGTGAGGCGCAGTGTTGCGTTGATGGCGTATGTTGCTTGCAAGTTGGCCACGGCGTGGACGAATACGGTGCCCTAGATCCAGTCAGTCACGTTCAACACTAACATGCATGTCAACGCCATGCAGAAAGAACTCACAATCATGCCGGCGTCGGGGATGAAGGCGTAGTTCCCACCGCCAATCTCGGCAATGGACTTCAACAAGCCGGATCTCAGAGAATACCCGAAGCCGAACGTATGCACCGACGCAGGCAACTGCTCCATGGCGCGCAGCTTCGGCACGTACCCCTGAACCGGGCACATGTGGTTCGGCATGCCGTCCGTCAAGACCATGATGGCGGGGACCCTCCCGGTGTTCACCTCGCCGCCCTCCCTGAACAGCTTGACGCCCTCGAGCAGGCCGTGCCACAGGTTCGTCGCGTCGACGGGCTTCATCCCGTCAATGTTCTCCCCGGCGAGCTTCTTATTCTTGTCGTCCATGGGCAACAGCGCCTGCACGACCCTGGCCTTGGACGCGAACGTGACGATGCCGAGCCTGTCGCCGTCGTCCATGGTCTCGAGGATCGTGCGCGCGGCGTGCTTGACCAGGTCCAGCACCGACAGCCCGTTGTTCTCCGTCTTCTCGCCCGGGTTGGCGGGGACGGGCGCGTTGCCGCCCATGCTGCCCGAGACGTCGATCACCAGGACGATGTCGCAGGGCACGTGGGCGATGGGTTTGGAGGGGGCTTCCGGGGGTGTGATTTTGGCGATGAGGCCGTCTTTGGTGGGCAGGGGGTGGATGGATAGGGCGACGCCGGTTGACGAGGATGCGGCCTCGGTGTCTGCCTCCACGGTGCTGCTCGTGGTCCATTCCGAGAACCCGGATTTGGTGGAATCGGTTCGGGAGGCCGGGGGCGAAGGGCCCTCCATCGAGCTTCCCAACATCCACTTCTTGACCTGAGTGAGACATGTCAGCATGGGATATCTCTGCCTGATCGGGTACACTAACCATCGTGAGAATATGCGAGATAGATCAATGTTGACGGTTACTGGTTGTTGATGATGAGACAGGCGAGGATATGTTCCGAAAGTGCAGATTCTGGGTGTCACAGATATATCAAACATGGCCATGGGGGCGCAACTCTGAGATTTGGCCTCAGCTTCTGGCTATGAAAGGATCTGGCAACGAGGGGTAGTCGGTGTGGTAAGATGTTTGCCGGATGCATCAGACCGAAAGTGTCAGCCTACGCGATGAAAGGACTCGGACCCAAGGGATTATCCATCATCCAATAGGAGCTACACCATCCCTCCATCTCAGCGCCTTTCAGTCTGTTGCCTAAAGTAAAATGGTTAAACTAACTGGCAAGATCCCTCGACGATGAGCAGTAGTTTGTCAAGAATTGGAGCCGTCAGAGGCAGTGAAGTAGAGAAACGATTTACGAGCATTTATTTGTGGGCGGTTGTGGGGGAAATTGACACTTCGCCGCCGCCGAGACTCGGATCCGGCCCGGAAGACGGCGCCGGGCGGGACATTGGCCGGGCGTTTTTGGCGTAGTGTTAGTGTAGGCGTTCTCAGGGGCATGTCCACGGTCCCAGTGGACTGGGAGCCTGTGGAATGAGAGGGATTCCCCCTGTCTGGCGAGTCCGGGGTCGCTAAAGGACTGCGCCTCACCTCGAGATTCCCTGCATCGGTGAACTCCTGCTTGCCTTTTGGTGTTGGGTGAGTAGAGTGTTGCTGTTGGCCGTCGTACGGGTTCAATAAAGGCCTCCCTTTCCCCCTATCTACCAAAACTCACCAGGCTTTACCAAGAACCATCAATGAGCTCTGTTTGCTCCGGTGTACCGCAGTAAGGTAGATCAAACGAAGTCTTTCTTGACTGGTGCCTTGGTGGCCTGTCGAAAGCTCACTGACTTGACATCCGAGCGCTGACGGGGAGTGACTCAGTCACCGCCGGCTACTAATTCCAGCTACGGTAACTAGCCAAGGCAGCACCATCGGCTGCTTTCAGCGTGGAAGTTTTTCAACTTTGTTCATCGTCTCAGGCCGGTGACTCTATCACATGTGCGGGACAATGCACTTCCATGTTCCATGGACATGACGTTGGAAAAAGTCCTCGCCGTGTAGGCCGTCGATGAGGCCCGTTCGCCGTGGAGACATAGCGTCAGACCGGTTAGTGCCTAGGCGGTCTGGCAGGCTGACAGGGTCCTCGACATACCCATCAGATGCATCTGCCAGGCCCTGAAAGGCATGGCGCAAATATGTGAACGTCGTCGAAGTTTGTTTCAAGAATGATTACTCTATAGAAGACGAGTATTCAGTCTTATTTGATCTGCGAGCAACGAGCCAGCGGTCGCTACACTTGGACATGAAAACGTAAGCTCTCGAGAACCGATAAATAGTTCTCTTGAGAAAACACGACACTGATGAACAGAGCAAGAGACGCAACTTTTATTCTCGTCTCAATTACTACCTTGTTGACTTTTGATTCATGTTAGCAGTCTTATGGGCAAAGTCATAGATGTGAACATGAGTCTCTATGACCCGTCTTGTTAGTCAAGTTTATCCGCTACGCTCCTTGAATATCTTCCAACTCGAATTTTTCTTAGGTTCGTATGATAATTCTCGTCACATTCCGTCACAACGTTTGGTCAACATGGTGTTCAAAATGCGCCCCGTCTGACTGCCCTGGAGGTTCGATCAGTTACTTGGATGCGAACTCAGGTAAACATACAGACAAAATGAAAACGCCCGAGGAAAACCTGCTCCATATGGGCTATTTGCTTTAGTTTTTTTTTACCTTTATTTCCATATGATATACTTACATCATGGCGGGCTTCAACCTAAGGCAGCCTCAGATGTCATCATTCAGTCTTGACCAGCGCGTAATCTGCGAATTTCGAAACTCAGTTCTTCATCTGTAACTTATCTTCAGTCACAGAGACATATCATGTTGCCTAGCAGGCTGGCAGCCTTACCAGTACAACGTCTCTGGACATCCACCCCGTGAGATGTGATTCAACGGTCGCGGATCTCGCTGGACGGAGAGCAGAAGAGATGGAACGGGACAAATATGGAAACTTTCAACCCTTCTGGGGTCATTTATCAGGGTACAAAAGTCTTGGGGAGTACCGATTACTCTCTTGGGATATCAGGCTGAAGTCTAGGTTCACGTAAATCCAAGACCCGCGGTATAAAGACTCGCGAAATTCAATGTGAATATGCAAAGAGGCCTTTCTTTTCAGCTTCTATATTATCAAAACTACCAGTATCACAGTCGTCGTTCGCCCAGACCTTCTCAAGTATCTAGATTTTCTGTTCGAGACCATGTAGCTCAACAACCTGATCCTCTCTGCGCCTATCGCCGCTGCCACCGCGGTTGTTATTCCCGATCACTCCGACATCTCAGCCATCCCCAGAAAGATTCGAGACAAGAGCGATAGCTATGAATGCAAGGGTAGCGGTGGGTGCAGTAGCCTGCCAACCAAGGCCTGCGATACAGCAGTCAACTCGGTCATCGAACGCAACGACGTCATCACCTATGAGCTCCCGGGTAAGTTCTAACAAGAGGCACTCAGATGATACCACTTGGAAGGCTGACGACGGATGCCTCGATCTTGGGCTTTCCAGAAGCGGAAAGGCCAAAACTGGCGAGTGTTTCTCTACCATTCAACCCTTTGGTTGCGGTGCCTTCGTTCAGGGGCCGGCGCACGCGGCACTGCGTCCGCAGTGAAAACCAGATCTGGGTTGATTACCAGGATATACACAAGAGCGGTGGCTGCGGCAAGGTATATGAGCAAGGAAATAGTTCTTCAATCTAGTTACTGACCTTTTATGTGAAAAGGTGTGGCACTACACACTGAGGTCTGGTGATGGCTGTATGGCGACTATGAACTACATCACCGGCTGCCCGGTGTAATTGTTTTGCACTTTCTACTAAGTCCCCCAAGGTAATCATGAAAATTTGTGGACAGTGATAAGGACGACGGGACCAGTGGATGCTTTTCATTCCCTTATGCCAGAGCAGAAGTCTAGGTGAACGATGGCCAGTCAGCCTTCTTCTAGTTTCAATATCAAACCAAATGTAGAATATGATACTAGAACTAATCCAACTTTCTACGTACGTAGATCTCGACGCCATCACCAGTCCGTCTCAACGTTATTGGGTTAACAAAAGGCAAGAAAAGTGTCTCGTGATGACGTTTCCCTACTTGAGCCCAATATGCTGCGTTTCCTCGTGAAATCTCTCAGACAACCTGCCCTGACCGAGAACACGGCATAAAGACCACAAGGTTTCGTTTCACATCTCGTGCTTAAGTAATACTGCAATATATTCAAATGATTTCGTGTGTAAACCTATTGCTTGCCGACATGGAGTGTTTGTCTACTGGACGGAACGGTTTTGTGAGAGGACCCTGAGAAGGTTGAGATCAACCCTCTGGAACCCTTGATGCTGAAAGACTCATTCAGGTACGTGTTCGGCAAATCAAACAAATGATCGTCACATTGTCTCTCTCGACCGGAATATCATTCACCGTCGCCACTTAGGGGTCCCATTCGCCATCATCCAGGATATCCGCAGGACGTCAATCATGCCTGCCAGTTGCACCGCCCCGAAAATGTCCCAGCAGTCAGCAGAGTCACATCCGATGGATGGTGTTGGAACAGGGATCGCGCTGTCTGCTGCGCTAACGCCTAGCGGTCTACATAGCAGCTGCACCACGTCTTTTCCCCCACGAAAGAAGACCCTGCTGCCGGGCCCCTTAGAGTTTCACGTGCGTTCACGTTCAAGCAGAAACATTTGCGTCATAGGTAGAAGAACGAAGGGGGCTGAGAGGTGCTGAATGCTCGAGGGCCGCCCTTGACCGAGTTCTTGGCGCCCAGCCGGCCGCGGTCATGGCCCTAACCCATCGTTTTTTTACACCTTATGCGAAGCCACTCTTGGTGACTGGACGATGTGCCAGGACTCGGACGTGCTGAAGTCAATACTGTCGTGGTGTCGTCTGTGTGAGTCCATCTTGTAAGGATGAATGTCAGCGGCCTCACCGTTGAGACTAGAGCCTTTCCAGCCCCTTCTGAATACTCACTCTGTTCATTTGACATCATTGACGTAGAAAGGATTCGGCGTCTCCCGTCAGTCCGCAGACGACTAGGATCTCAAAGGAAGTGAGGCCATCTCGCTTCCTTCACCACTGACTGGCCTCAGCAAACCACCGGCCTTCAGCAAAAACCCGAACATCGTCATCAGTCTGTGCCGACCGCAACTCACAGCCTCACAGCCTGGTGCCAAGAATTCCCTCGACCCTTTTTCCAAATTCAAAATTCCCGTCGGAAGTTTGTCAAGGGCAGTTACTTTTCAAGCAGGACCGGTGGCGCATGGCATTTGATCCCAATGACGGACGAAGCGAAGCCAGACCCCCCCGCTACCGAAACAGGGGAAAAAAAGAACAATTCGGTCGCGAGAATTCCTGCCGACGGGTCTGTGGTTATGACGGTTGGTCTCATTTGCCCACGGCCTTTTTTCACGAAAATACATCGGCTTGAACAGAAATGTGTATCCATCAGCATTGCTTTTCGGGGTGCCCTCAATCGTCTTTTCTTAATGCTCGGGCTAATTGTCTCGAGAAAGACAGCGAGCGGGCCGTTTGATCAAGAAGGCCCCATTTCCATCGGACTTGGCCGGATTTGCCGGGAACTGTAGACCTATTCCACGAGTCGTGGAGTCGTGGTCAGTCGATTTATTCGCGTGAGCCGACGCAGGCCGCATTGATTAGCCCCATCTTCTTTGTCCTTTTTATTTTTGGTCATCGTCGAGAGTAATTAATAACCCCCCAAAAATTGGCTTGTCTCGAGTATTACTGGACTCGCGTGTGGTGGTGGTGGTGGTGCTTCTTTTTTGGTGTTTTCGTCCTTCTTTGTGTTTCCCCAGATTATTTCTCTCACATTTTATTCCGTACACACCCTCGGGGGGTTTCTTCTCGTGGCGTTTGCTTGTAACCCGCCGCGGGTTCGGCAGCTGGGCGACCGAACGAGTCACAGCGAAGCTACCCCAAAATGTATCCCGTACTCACGGCCCAATTCAAGATGATGTAGCTTCGTGGCGCGGACTGATGCGACCTTTCTTGGCCCTTTTGCCATTTTCTGCCTTATTTCTAGGCTGGCAGGCTTGGGTTCTGGCGATGTTGCACCCCTCCCTCCGCTACCGCTCCCGTTCCGCCCCCCTCGAATGCGTCAGACCGTTGGCTGAGAGATCTCAGCTCTCAGTCGATCTTGCTCATCTTTGCGGGGTTGGCCAGAGAGACGCGAAGACAGTTCGAGGAGGCGACGGTTTAGAATTCCTCGAGGATGGTGATCATCTCGGGGTAGCAGGCAGAGAGACACCTTCAGATCGCCCAGTGTGTCGCCTCCATAGTGGCTTGTCGGATGAAGGACTGAACACATAGCCAAAGTCAAGCTCGCAGGATAGAGGAGGAGGAGGAGGAGAAGAGTCAGAAAGTACTGTTCCCGTCACCGCGGGTGTCCAGCCCGAGTAACCCGGTCTTCGCAGCGTCCAGTCCGAAATCCCCATGCCCCCTGGACCGCATCATCCCGGTTCCTCCACAATCCATTATCGGGGCCTTTCCATTAGTTCGGTTTGCATTTCCATTTCCCCAGCATTCGCATAATGCCTCGCCCGTCCAATGGAGGGCGAGGAGATGTCGGGGGGTCCCCGCGATAGTTGACCCCCCTCCCTCCGCGTCGAGCTGCCTGCAGCAGGCAGCGCAGATGCAGCAGCTTGTCGTGCAGCGAACATGGACACTTGCAGGGCCGAGCGAACGTGGGGGGGAGGGAAGCGAATCCCGGAACGCTGCGAAAAAAAAAGCTTGTGAGACGAACTGAACTGTCCGTCTTGATGCCTGAATGGCTGGCTAAGTTGGCTGTACTATGTAGAGTACCTTTTTACCCTCTTCCAATCGTCATCCACACTACGTTAATACTTGGGGCTGCATGCATGAGGCGGCGCGGGAGAGAAGGGAATGACAAGTCGCCTTTCCCCCTTTTCTAGAGGCCGGACACGTCGGAGCTCGAAGGAGCTACGGCAGCTGTTGGGAGCTAGCTGTGAGCTGTCTCGGAGTAGGTGGTGAGAGTCGAGAGAGAGAGTGAGAGGCTTGAGGTGCGACACGAGCTGGATAGCTGCGTTTGGAGTTAGTGCCGTGCCTCGTTCCCGCATTCTCACTCACAATTCGAACGAAAATGTGATGGTGGTGAGGATGAGGAGGTGATGAAGAAGGGATAGTCCATGGCAGGACAGCCGGACGGTGGTGTTGCCATCCCACCACTCGAGGGAGAATCTCATCTGTGCATCTCCAAGCGCTGCGTTTCAAGCGACGGACCCCGGAGCCTGCCGACATAGGAGGAGGGGTTCTTGGCAAAAAGTAAAGGCCGTTGAGGTTGAGTCCGTGGTTCGGGTCTTTGTGTGAATGCATTACTCCATGGCTGAGGGTAAGAGAATCATGGGAATTTGCATCCCAATTCTTTTCTGCTCTGCCTACGCAGCCTGCAGGGTCTTGGCTCTAGCGCACGTACATTACACCTACGTCAGGCCTCATCGGGGGTCAGGGTGTGTGCGGTCAAGTCGGGGTGTCATTCGTCCGCGAAGTGAGATGAAGAGGAAGAGAGAGAGACAGCAACACCACCACATTCAATGGGAAGACGAGGCGGCAGTGAGACGCACTACCTTCTTCTCTTCTTTTTGAGTTCTCGAGTTGTAATAAGGCCCTGTCACCTTTTGAACTAACCCCGCATTCGATCGGCGCCGATTTGCTGGTCCTCTCTCGCGCGCGGCCACCATCTCATTCTCAGGGTCCAACCAACCATGAACCATGCCTTTCCTTTTTACTATCCCTACACCATGCCACCTTTAGACCTCTCTTCCTTTTTGACGCATGTTGTACCACCTCGTTGACCACCACCGCCATCCATTCACGCTACGGACAGACCAGGGGTCCAAGGCTTTCCGAGAGGGCTGGCGGCTGCTGGGTCGAGGGTTAGACTGACCGAGAAAGAGGAAGAGAGGGTCGAGTTGGAAACGTCTATAAGTTCTGCCTTTCTCCTCCGACTTTTCCCATGCTTTTCCTCTCTTTCTCCTTCACCATCCTCGACAACAAAGAACACTTCGACAAGAACCGTTTCAGCCTCGAGCAGGACCATCTACACCACAAACAACCACTTACACCAAAACACCACATAACACCACCGTCAAAATGCCCGCTGCTCCCTCCTGCTGCAAGTGCGGAAGCATGATCGTTATCAGCACCTCGTGCCCGTCCTGCGGTCACCACGAGTGCCGCACCTGCCTCTAAATAAGCAACTCGACATTCAACAATGAAAAGCGAGACGCACGAGAAGAAGATGACGGCGCCGGTGGTGTGAAAACCTCTTGCGTCCATATTCTTCTCACTGCTCCATCATCTACCACGCCGCTTTTTCATTACACCGAGAGAGGCTCCGACACTCATCAACCAACCACAAACCAAAACTACAAATCAAATACGCACCAACCCACCTCCAACCAATCGGGACGGACGACATGCATGCCTCGCGCTTCGGCGCCAGGCTGAACAGGCGCCGCCCCCACGTCGAACATCGACTCGACAAGCCGATGTATTCCGAGATTCGCACCCTGAGGTGTTGAGGCTCCGACGAAAACTTTTCGGCGCCCATTTTCTTCAACACCACCATTATCCATTACACGGCCTCGCCGGGTGTGTTATTCCCGGTGGCGAGATGACGGAGATGAGGTGGATTTGGGGCGGACTGCACGGCGCTCTGGATGGAGTTTGAGAATTTTCTGCGTTCACGATCAATACCCCCATACCCCCAATTGTTTAGTACCGGCGCTGGTTTGAGGACTGAGAAGGGTGGATGGCTTTTGGTACCTCTTTGAAAATTTCACCGAACATGTCACCGTTCAACAGGTCATTCGAAAAAACACTCATAAAACCAATAAACATCTTTACTCTAAAACTCATCTCTCAAGTGACCGAACGCACCTCTCAAGTGACTTGACACAGCCAACCCTCATGAGCCCGGCCAAGCCATTGCGCCCGGTCAACCTTGCGGCCTGTCACCGAAAATGTGGATGAGACGACACCCGGAAAAGGGGCTCACACGCAGCGATACTAGCGCCGGAAATTTGTGCCTTTCTGCATGCGACCCGGACGGGACCGATCCACGGACCATGAGAGTGAGTGGGAAAAAGCGGCGGAGAAATCGCATGTTTTCGCGATGGACCGTTTGACTGACCACCACAATGTAAAGTCGACCCATCGTGAAACAGCCGTGGCACGTTGCGGTCGCCTGCATGGGCATCCAGGCCGACTCTGCTGAGTTTGCGGTGAATACCCGGTCAGCGCGTGTCCGAAGACCTGGTTTGGGCAATCGTGGATATGTGCATGCGGTTCGATGAGGTGAAGCGTCAAATGAATACGGATTATGAGGAGACATATTTGCGCAGGCGATTTATGAGGCGTCGGGATGTCTTACACCTGGAAACTTTGGTGTTTTTCGCTTCTGATGCGACCCAAGCACCCCGGAAGACAGCTGAGCACCCGTGATCAACGACACCGCGAGCCGGGCGAGATGAGAATCAACGATAAGCGCTGCAACGAATTAATTTCTATTCTCAGAATTCAACAATGAGTACGCCAAGACTTTGGCGTTGAAAATGAACGGCAATTTGAAGGGGAAATTTACTAGTTATGATAGTGATTTCTTTCCAATGAGATGATTCGGCGATTCTTCGCAGCTTGCCAGGGTCTCACAGGATCTCTCCCTACCTTGTCGGTCATGTATCAATTTCCAGATTGACTCTTGTGAGAGACATGAGATGCCAAGGTAAACAAATGGAATCTACATAGAAACTTTGCCTCCATGACGCTCTCGACGAATCTCAACGGGAGTCTGTAGACTACCTACCCATCTACGTACGATGAGAACCAGTTTTACAATCATCATAACCCCATATATGACAAATAAATAACGTCGTGTATAAGATTCTCCCAGGCGCTGTCGTGCGGTTCTCACTAGGTACGCCTCCCTCTTCTTCTTTCTTCAAAAAATGGCTACATCGCTACCTCATTCTTAAGCGTCTCCTCTTCGAGCTTCGTTTTCTCTCCGCCGGACCTCATTTTCTGCCCACCTCTTCGACTTTGGCCCAGAACAGCAGCATTGATCGTCCGACCTGTTGGCCCAGCGGAGCCGCCTCCTCGGGGACGTATCAAAGACGTAGTACACGGGTTATAAAGAGCAACGGACCGTACTGGGGAGCCTTCTTTGCTGTAGTGATTACAAACAAACTCTGGTAAGGTAATCGGTCGAATTTACTAAGACTGATATGAAAGCTCTGGTGATCATCTTCCCATGTAGCCTGGTTCCAACGTTTTCTGTCCATGGTATTCCTCGGCGTTCCCTTCAACGCAATACAACTAATCCGCCGTTGGCACGCCCCTCCATAGAGCACCTGGGACCATGGCCTAATCCTCTACAAGTGGTCTGTCATGTTTACTGGCCTCAATCTTCTGCAACCTCGTAGTGTGCTTTTTGTTGCGTCCATTACCACCACGTCTTGGATGTCTCTGAGGTTAATGTTAGCCACGGTCTTTTCCTCAGGGCAGATAAGAACAGGAGCAAACCGTGAAAGACTGATGACAATGATGGATCACTTCCGTGGATCCTCAAGGAGGCGATGAAGTACGTGCACTCTGAACTTGAATAGCTTAGTCCCCAATTTGCCCATCACAGCGGCTTTGATACTAGACGCTAGCATCTCGGCATGGAAGCCTCCGGTTTGGAAGAGATGGACATCGAATGTCTCTAGCTGTGGAAAGAAAACTTGTGCAGCAGTCTCAACGAAGGCAACCACGTCCTTGGTGGACGCCACAGACCAGTAGCTTAAGGTGAAATGCTTGAGGCTCTTTGGGAGGTTGTTGATTGCCTTGTTGTTGGCCCCTTCAAAGTCTCGCGGGAAGACCTTGAGCTTCTCGAGCTTGGTGAACATGTGGAAAGACTCGTATCCACCCGAAGTGACGACTTTAAGTTCAGGATAGGTGAGACGGAGGTAGATGTCAACTAGGGTGCTCGAGTGCTGCTCCAAGGCCCTCAGACAGGCATTTGGAGTGACAGTCGCGGAACTCCAGGAGGTGTACGCAAAACGGTGTAGGCCGTGGCAAGCATCCATCAGGAGTCCCATGGAGCTGTCGTCCAAGGAGACGTCGTACAGAGACACATCTTGGAGGCTGCCGAAGCAGAAGACGTCACGATCTAGCAGGCGGTCGCATCGACGGGTGACAATTTTGGCCAGATCGGTCGAGAAGTATTCCAAGAAGTTGGAAATGTGCGGGGTATACGTGTAACCGGGATTGAGCGAGAATCTGGTGAGGTCGGAATGGTATACGTGCAGTGAAGTAACGCGTTTAGCCATGGACTTCGCAAAGAGGTACGAGGGCCCGGCGAGGTGTTGAGTCGGAATACCGGAACCGTAAGAATATCTTCCAATTGACAGATGGACTATGTTGAGTTTTGGTAAATGGGCGAGAAGCAAGTCGACCAAGGCTTCCTGGGTTCTCTGAGGGTCATTCGTCCAGTTGGAGCCGACAGAGGAGCGAACGGATTTGTTCCAGGACCATTGCCTGGTGATATCCAAGAAGGTGGCCATGTTGGCTCGATCAATCTCGCCGGGGCTCACGTACGGAATACAAACGTCGAGCTTGAGGTCTCGAACGCGTTCGCCGAGATCGGGGCGAGAAATAAGGGTGCGAAGGAGTGAAAGGTATCTGGTGCCTGTGAGGTTGTGAAGCGAGACGTTGACCTGGCGATATAGATAGGGCTGCACCAGTTCGTAAAAAGCCTTTGAGGCTAGGCAAACGGCGAAGAGTTGTCTTTGAGTCCGGAGCCAATCCTGGGCGTAGTCGATCTCGGTTTTATCGCGGTAGAAGTAGGAGCAGATCTCTACAATGAGCTCTGACGGCAATGTGGGCGCGGTGGACGCCATGGTTTCGATTTGAAGACACGCAGAGAGCCTGGGGACAAGTAGACGGCATACAAGAGCAAGGGACGACAATATTCGAGGGAAAAAATGGAAAAGGGAGAATAGTAGAAAGTCGAGTGTTTTGAGAAAGGAATTGTGTTGATTTCAAAAAAGGCTACAATGGAAGGAACGATGCCTCCAATGGGTTCTTGCCGTTTCTCTCTCTCGACTGAGGAGGAAGGCGCGGCTGGCTGGAAGCCCCTTCCTTTCCTGCCTTTGCAGAGTTTTCTGTTCTTCTCCGTCACCTCGATCTTCATTTCTCCTCTTTCTCCTCCTCCGCCTCCTCTTCAACTGAGCACGCCTTCTGCGGTCTTCTTCTCTCCTGCCGCCTTCTCTACCTCTTCAATCACCATCTCGCGTCCATTGAAATGGACCTCGCGTCTCGCGCCCTAGCCGCGGCGGTGGCGGCGTACAATCGTGTTATACACGAAGCCAGTCAGTATCGACCAAGTCTGAAGATGTGATGAAGCTGACAACTGTTGCAGTGCACCAGCCCTTCCCACCGATGCACACCCGTCGCGCCGAAGGTCAGATACTTACTCTCCCTCCCGAGCTTTTGCGACAGGTGCTCGAAGACTTCCGCAGCTCCGAAGAGGTCGAAACTTTAGGAAAGGACTGGGTCCTAGAGCAGTCATTTCTTGCAAGCCTGTGTCTTGTCTGCAAGAGCTTTCGGTCGACGGCGGAGCAACTTCTCTACCGGCAGGTGCACCTGGTTGACTGCCCCCCATGCGACCCTCGATTTCTCTCCTTCCTAAAAACTACAATCTGTCGCCCCGAGCTTCGCAAAATGCTCCGTCGAGCGAACCTCGAGATCGATTCAGACATGGACGATGAGGACAACCGCGTCCCGACGGCGGATGTCGAGTTGATCAAAACGAGCGCCCAAGAACTCGGCATCACTGTCGTGTCAAACTAGAACGATGACAAGACGCTGCGATACCGACTTCTCACCAGACTGCTTTCATACCAGATACGTTGCGTCAAAAGACTCCACCTGAGCCTTCCGGGCCAGTACGATAACGCCGATATTCAGACGAACCAGCATCCCGGCCGAAAGCCGTTGTTCTTCAACTTCGCCTGCCCTGGCTCAGAGGAGCATGGAGAGATCTTTTTCTTTCCTAACTTGACACATATCAGTATCAGTCTGTCGGCCGACCCCCCTTCCTCGGGCCCTCCCTTCGACTTTGCCGACTTCGAAGAGCTGTCAGGCATAGCGCCACGGTTATTGAAGATTCATTACGACACTGGAATTTTCAGAACAATAGAGCCCATCAATGTTGTCAGTCTGGAGTAAGTCCATTTATCCATCACTGGTTTAAGCATCCTTTTGTCCGCCATTGTCGTCTTCACTCTGCAAGATCCTGGAAGCTGCCGATCATGAGTACTGACCATGTTCTAGATCTCTGCATTTGACCAACACCAACCTCCTTGAGGGGGACGCCGGAAAGCTCATGGGGTCGATTAGAGATCTGAAGAAGTTCCACTACGCAGCTGGTGATCGCTACCTGGCCCGGGCCCAGTCAGAACTCGTTCGGCCGGATGAGCTATGCACTGCTTTGGAACGTCATTGTCATTCTCTGGAAGAACTGAGTCTCGACTTTTGGCCCGATGACGATCAACCGAATATGGATCAGTTGCTAGAAAGCCTCGAAAAGTTCAAAGAGCTGAAACGGCTTATCGTGCATTACAAAGATTTTGCATACAGCGGCATGGAGGACGAATTCAGCTCGTTCATCACCACGCTTCCAAGATCGCTCGAAGCGATCTATATCTGCGGATGGGGCATAGCCCTGTCGGAGACCATGAACTGGCTTATTCGAGCGGTTAAACAGGGTGACTTCGAAAGCCTCGCGACAGTAACAATCGGCTGCCCAGCTAGTGAAGCAGATCCTCTCGTACACTTCTTACAGGGAGCTTTGCACGCGCTTCGGGAAACCAAGCTGCGCATCAACGTCGCCATACATTACAACTTCTGTGATGGAAACCATTGGGCTTTGTGATTACTTGGGGACGGGTATCCCAAGACACCGTGGTAATAATCGGTAACAGGATGCCCGGTCATACAAACATGGATCAACTTGGGCGCGGATTACCAGGGATGGTCAATACTGGTAGAAAAGATTGGTAAAAATCGAGTGTGAAAGGGAATACGACGGAATAGAGCAAGACTGCCCGTGAGGAAATTGGACTTCATAGTTGCGATGCCTCCATGGCTTACCTTAGTGGAAACACCGCCGCGTCATTGCTGGAGTCAAGAACCTTTCGCAATACCGTCTCATTACATCTGCATGCATGATGTTTGTGACAACAGACCAAGTCTTGATGTGTCCAGGATTGCACAAAAGTGCCTTGCGAGTCCGAATCTTTCCGCTCTCTCTGTCCCGGCGGTAACAACTTCTATATTCATATGGTGGTAACGTCGCTGAATCTAGGAGTCCAGGGCGAAAAGAAGCAACTCTCGCTGGCGAACGTCGGACAACGTGTCAAAACCACTTGGTGTTTCTCCAGTGCTCAGTCATAGTGAATGGTTGGCAATCATTCACCATTCCATGGTTGTTGGTCTCCTTATGCGGTATACCTATGACGCCTAGCATTGGTGTCCCGTCAAATCCCCTGCCGGCCCTATGGTAGCTCGGGCTCAAGATCTGGAATGGGTGGCCTTTTAACACGAAGGAGAGCTATATGTGAGCGTGCCAGTCGATGTGTAATAGATGTATTGACTCGTCCTTACTAGGCATCTCTGCACACATGTCCTCCGACTACCAACTAAGGAGGAATCAGGCAATCCACGATGGACCAGACCGATTTGGTTATGTCGCCGTCACACTTGATCTCATGATGTGCCAGGAAGCTTCTGCGGCAGTCAAACTTCTGAACTCCATCGCAAGAGAATTCACCGGCGGAGCCCTTGCTCCTAGCCTCACTCCCAGGCGAAATGTACTGGCAGTTCTTCCGCCCAAAGACCTTATTGCCGCGTTTGGCCTTCATGTTTGGGGGAAGCTTATTTCCACCGACCTCGCCGCTCTTGAAATCGTTGTACACTTTCCAGGATATCTCGTCCGCCTCGCAGACCTTGAACTCGGCGTCGACTCTGGCGGGGAACATGGTCCACATGGACTGCATCCCGAAGGCTTCTCCGCCGATGCGGTCCTCTATGTAGATGTAGACTGCCTCGGATGCTTGTGGCGGGGGCGGTGGGGGAGGAGGAGGAGGAGGGGGTGCTTTGGAAGTCGTGGGCGACGGTTTGGAAGTCGAGGACGGGGTGGAGGTAGTTGATGGCTTGGACGTTGATGTGGGCTTAGAGGTAGTCGATGGCACAGAGGTTGATGAGGGCTTGGAAGTAGTCGATGATACGGTTGTCGAGGACTCCTCAGATGTAGTCGATGGCACAGAGTTTGAAGATGACGTACGGGGCGAGACTGTAAGTGTGAAGTTGATAGATATAGGAGGGGTTGATGCCGACGCCGACCAGGAGGACTCGTGACTCGTCGTAGATAACATGGAGATCTCCGTTCCTGAGCCCGTCGCGTTGCGTCCTATTGACATCGACATCGAGGTGGACGGCGTTGAGGACGCTGGAAAGAACGTAGAGCCGGCAGACATGAAAGTCCCGTTCGTGCCTGTCGTTGAATTTGCCGGCACACCAGGCGTTACCTTCGCGGGCGAAGACGACGGTGTCATCGTCACATGCGGCAGCGTCTTATTGCCCCAGGTACCCGATGGTCCTGACCCGAACGACGTGGCAGTAAGAGTGTGCGTCGATCCGCTGGCGTCGACCGAGTGGGCAATGTCGGGATTCGGCCGCGGGCAAGATTGCCTGCGGGCTGGTCCGGACGGGGGATCCGAACCTTTCCATACTTGGCCATCCTCCGGCGTCCATTCCGCTTCGCCGATATCCAAGCTAATATCGCTCCAAATACGCCATTCGGCTTTGCCATCGCAGCCTTTGGCCGGTTTGTACTGTAGGAGCACCTTTCCACGGTAGCTCTCGCAATTCACGTCGGCGAGTTCGTCTCTGAAATCCTCAAGGACCCGAGTGCCAGCTACTAATTGAGCGTATTTGGACCACGGCAACATGCGCGGGGGATAATCTGACCACCGGATCGGAGGGTTAACATGGGGCCTGAATATCTCTCGCAGATCGGCGCCGATCCTGCGGAGCGCTGTTCCGAACCTCCAGATGTTGTCGTTGATATCGAGACTCTGAACAACTTCGTCGGGAAGCCGTTGGCCTAGTGCGCTGTGGTAAGGTGGTCGTGGTCGAGGTGAGACTATGAACACCTGGATATTGAGACCCGAGCCATTCTCGTTGGGATCGTCCTTGTCGCCAAACATGACGCCATGTTCTCCGGCGCCAGGGTCATGCATGAGATTCTCGAGGCCGTACTTGTTGAACCTGGACATTTCCTGCTCGTGTTCTGGATCCGAACCGTAACGGTAGTGTTCAAGCGCTTCCCCGAGAAGATCATCTTTGTATAAGATTGCCTCCCAGAACCAGGCGGCCCAAGCCCCGCGATTGGATACCACGACGATCGCCGTGCAGCCCGCGAGCCCTTCGATAGCTAGTGACTCTACCTTGTCCTTGAACAAAACCCATTGTGTAGCTATGTTATATTGCTGCGGTCTTCTCGGGGGAAGTTCGAGGAGCTTAGGCTTGTAACCACCTGGGCGTTCCTCATCAGGCCCGAAATGTGCTTTGCGCGCATCGCGTACTTGTGCTGGCATGAATTCCTCGTAGCCGCCCTCGTAGTCCTCGGGGTCGGGCCACTCGCCCTCACCCGGATTGCCACGCCTCTCCAGCATTCTGGGGGCCACCTCGGAAGCCGGCGTCGCATTCGGGGCGGAGCATGCCCCGGCGCATAGTTCAGGCCCGCAAGTGGGATGCGGGAATTCAGTAAAGGCCGCGGTGCTGGTGATCGTGGTTACGGAGTTGAGTACGCTGCAACCGGTGACTTTGCTATAGGCGCTCGTCAAGCATGTCGTGCTGGCACTTGTGTGGGTGTGAGTCCCCTGGGTAACAGCTGAGGAAACAACATTAGCCTACGTGGTTGAGAAAGGTGATAGTCGGTGGTGGATCTAACCTTGTGTGACGGAGCAGTATACCGTCCCATGAGTAGCGGTGACGGTGACGGTGCATGACGAAGATGACGAAGATGACGAAGATGACGACGTCTTCGATTGAGAAGAGGCCGTATTCTCGGGTTCATCGGGCTTTTTTTCGTCGTCGTTATTATCCCCGCCACCGCCACCCTTTTCCTTTTCGCCCGAGGGACAGTTTCCAATCTTGAGCCCGAAGATCTGAACACAAAACTGGGGTACTTTGAGAGTAACTTTGACTTTGGGGGGAAATTGGATGTTTGGAAAGCACCCAAAACAGATAACCGGCACAAGAGGGGGATTGGGGATATCAGGTATCTTCGGCAGGAAAAATACTGTAGCAGATTAGAAGCGTGAACTCGGCTATGTTGGATCATGGGTCTTACTGGGGACGACGATGAGGTCGTCACTTCCCTTCCTTGTTGTTGTGGTTACCATTGGAGTCGTGATTTTGGTGTCTGTTAAGGTTATGAAAGACGCCTCTGTGGGCATTTCGGTGATCGTGGTTCCGGGTTCCTCTGTGGTGGACGACGAGGAAGGTGAAGATGAGGCAGATGAGGGCGTCGTGACCCAAGGAACAGTCCATCGATCAGGCGAGCCACTCGTCGATGTCGGCATTGGAGGAGGCAGAATGACTGGGGGCGCTGGAGCTGTGGCGTTGTTGGAAGGAGTTGCCGTGGAAGGTGCCGTCGACGTCGTTGATCCAGAATTGTCTTGTGTTGACAGACTTGAAGAGGAAGTTTCAATCAACTTTGCCGTTGAAGTGGTAGGACTTTTTGGGGCAGAAGGCTCTGGAAAAGATGATGTTGAAGTGTCTTGCGTGGGTATCAAGGCGGTCGAATTGCCTCGCGAACGCTCGGTGGAAAGGCTTGACAAAGCATATGTCGAAGACACCGCAGTTGTACTATTGACCCACGGAATGCGTGTTGAAATCTTCTCCGAAGGCACCGGAGCTGTAGGCACCCTAGTCGACAACGGTGAAGTAGTATTCCGCCAGGAAGGTGAAATAGTACTTGACGAAGCCAACAACGATCTACTTGTCTGTCACATGTTAGTACCATGTCCAGAAATATCAAGTTCTCTGGTTTCACTCACGAACGTCACAAGATTCGAGCCACACCGGCTGCTACCATCATCGCAAGTCGGGCGCGGTGATGCGGTTGAGATGTTTTGAAAATGACCGAAGTCGTTGTGGCTTTGTACTGAACTCTCCAAGGCGTGAGCGAAACCAAGGGCCCATATGAGGGCAATGAGATGTCCTAAGACCATGTCGACTTGCACGCAATGTACAGTAAATTATCACCGTCGTAGAATGCCTGGAATGGATGACGCGTCTGCCTCCTTGTGGTTCTTTCTGGTGCGGGGAGCCCTGGAGGTTTCGTTAAACCAAAACATGCTGCTAATGGCTTCTTATATATATCGATCAAGGGGAACAGAAATATTAAGAGACTTCGGCATTTGATTAGAATACGCAGTTTGGCGTCACGGCATGATCTATGCTGCATGTTGTCAACAGTATCAATAGGTAGAGATTCTTCTTCGCTGCAACTCCACATGGCAGAATCGTAGTATGATAATGTGGATGCATCGCGTTCTGGTAAGAGATGTTTTCTGTCGATCAGAAATGCAGCTTGTTAGACGACGTCCCACGAAAGGGAGATGCTCCTCAATACTTTGTGATACTCATCTACGGGGTTGTGCAACCTCGACAAGCTTGGTGGGACTTGGAAAATCAAGGCTCGAAGATAGCAGTGCTTGCCTTTGCTTTGAACAGAGACAGTGTAACCTGAGACACAAACACAGATCCATGGGACATCATTCCAGTATCGCAAGTCGAACCTCAGGACAACCAATAGGCCACATCACCAGTTTAAGACCGTGTGAATATATGAACGAGCTTCTGTTTTCTGCGGTCATCTCATCTAATTGTACATAGTTGATGGGCGTGGCAAATTTAGATCATGTCAACATGATTTGTGACTCGTGAGTCCATACCAGATGTGACAGCCGCTGCCGGTATGGGGATCTGGTTGGTATCACAGCATACCTCCACTAGTGCCTTCTTTGATTATGAGTCTCATTCATGCAGGGGGAAACACTCAGACTCTGAGACTCCTTACTTGGGGGCTTCGGTTTCTTATATTGGATGCAGCTGTTACTTTCAGCATCTCCATAATAGCGAGCTGATTTGAGCAGCATCTGCGTCATAGATTCGACTCCTCCATAGGACAACAATCTGGAAGTGGCAACCGCGAGTGTAATAGCCGTTGGCTGTCTTGAATCCAGTGGTTGAATGAGGGACGTATTGTACTGCAAGTCTGGTTCTCATGTTCAATGGGATTAGCAAGCGGGGAATATTGTGGTCAGCAATAGCCGATGCAACTGGTCCAAGTAGGCCCGAATTCATGCTGTGCATGAAGGTTTTCGGGTTCGAGTAGCGGTGAGGTGGGCAGTGGCGATGTAGATAATATCAACATGATGATCTCTGTGGGCAAGTTTACAATACTGACCTTATGCACGTTTCGGCATTTTCAAGACTACTTGCGGTCTGAAGTAATGTTTTCTCTTTTAATCTTGCCTTCTGAAGAAGAAGAGGTGATCGCCAAACACAGCTCGCGCCAAACATGTATAACGTTGCGGCGTGCAATAATAGGAAGTAAACTAGAAGATACTCTTACTTACAAGTGGTTTATACGCATTAAGACAATCAAGAGATAATTCTCTAAGAGATTTGGGGGCTATTTAACCACTTTGAGATCCATTCGTGCAGGGCAAAAATTTGGAACGTGGATTTCAGACTTAGAGATATCAAAACAAAAGTGAAAGGCCCTAACCAGGGATTGAACCTGGGACCTCTCCCAGAATGAATCATCTCGTAGATAACCCTAAGGGAGAATCATACCGCTAGACCATCAGGGCTGGAAGCGTCGAATGACGGATCGTGAGTTGTGGTGGATGCCGGAAAACAGGCGCAATTTGACTCATAGTGTTGTGGGTGTGAAGCGGGTCACGATAGGGTTGGACTGGGATTCTACCTAACGCTGCTGGCTTCTTGGTGGGGTATCCAGATATGCAAAGACTCAGAAGGAACTTGCATAATCATCTCCTAGTAATTTTTCTAACGAGTGTTCGAGAAATGATTTTATCGCCCTGGTGTGGTTCGTCAGGTATGACAGTTGAACTTGGGGACGATGGCGTGAGGCTATTACGTCCAAACCTCACCAATCCCTTGAAGTGAGCGACGCAACTGCGTGTAAGGACGGACATTGATCGATTAAATATAGACATTATGGTTGTATCTACTATTGCTATCCAATGCTGTGTATTATGTACCTGGAATCAAGTTCTTGCGCCTTAATTGCCCAATTTTGCCGCCATACTGGATGTATTGTATGTAAAGCTTACATCCAACTTAGAATCTGCCGCCGAAAATACCCTTCAGCCAGCCCATGACGCTAGTAATGAGGTTGCTGATGTTACCACCGTTGCGGAGCTCATCAGCAATCTTGGACATGCGATCCTTGGTGGCAAGCCACTTGTCAAGAGCGGCCTGATCAGGTGCAGTGAAGCCGGTGGTCCTAGGAGGCAGAGCCTTGGTGCACTCAGTGAGGTCGTTAATGTTGTTGACACCGAGGAGAGACAGGCGGATGTACTCGCGCGAGTAGTCCTGAAGACGACGTTAGCAGGTTGGTCAAAAAAGTGAGCAAATAGCGGAAAAGCCTACCTCGTTCCAGTGAGCCTGTCCGCCCTGGCCAGCGAAGGCCTTGAACTCGGTACTGATGCGAGGGTCCCGGGAAAGGACAACGTCGGAGGCGAACTTGAAGACACGAGCGGGGGCATTGCCGAGGGTCTCCGCATAGAACTTAACGTCCCAAACACCGGGAGTGCTATCTTGCGGGTCACCGGCACGCTCGGGGTCGACGAAACGCTGCTGGCTGGTGGTGTGGGCTCCGATGAGGGCGGTGAGACCGTGAGGCTTGATAGTCTTGTTCTCGAAGAGCTCGATCAAGAAGTCGGCGGAGCCGGTGACCGGGGGAAGGAGGTTTTCAGGGCAGGCCTGGGCAGAATCCTTGCGGCCGACGTACGTGCGAACACGGGGGCCAAGAGGGCAGACGACAGTGGCGACGTTGGCGGAGAACTGAATCAGATCGGCCATGCCGATGCCGAACTGCTTGTAGTTGTTGAACCAGACCTTGGTCTGGGCGATGATCTCCTCGAGACCATGGTTTTCGATACGGGACGACTCGTCGGGGGAGAGGATGATGGAGCCATCGGCACCGCCCAAGTCACCGGTGAACTTGGACCAGCCACCGGCGTCGTGGAAGCCGAGACGGACGGCAGCGCGGGCGAAGTCGGTGCAACGACCGGACTTTCCACGGAAGACGCCCTGGAGGTCGTTGGCGATGTACTTCCAGATGCAACAGGTGTCAGCTGCGCAAGCCGCAGTGCCCTTCGCGGGCAGGTTGCTGGCTCTGCCGGAGGTGATGTAGGCATCGGCGCTCTCCGGTTCATCGCCGCCGGTGAGAAGAGCCTTGACGCTCTTGCCGACGGGGGTAAGCTTGGAGTCGTCGAGGGTGGCGAGATCACCGATGAGCTCGTTGGAGTCGAAGTCGTCGGCATCGGGGCCGTTACCGTCGGCGTCGACACGGGCGCGGATCTCAGAGAATGTGTTCTTCATGCCGGGGTAGGCGAAGACGGGAGCGACCGCAAGGGCGGCGGCAAAGAGTGTTACACGCATGATTACTGAGATTAACGAAGGTATGGAGATGTTACGAAAGTGAGCGGAACGCAGTCGATACTGAACTGGTACCGCGGGGGAAAGAAAGGACGACTACCAAAAGTCGGAAAGAAGGTGTGATGAGCGAAGGAACTGATGAGGCGTGAGGTGATCCGAAACCTGCGACAGAGTGGGCACGTCGGCTTCATTATATCCTCATCAATAGTCCAGCGGCCGAACGACTGTGCTCAGCTACGGCTTAGTCTATTCTTGGTGAGAAGAGCCATCGTGAAGCTCGGATGTGGAGATGAGAAGGCCGCCGTCACGTTCACTAACACCGGGGCGTCTCGGGGCCGTCAACGTTGTTAGTGAAGGCTTGCTTTTCCCCTCATGGCTTACTTCTCGTATTTTGACCGAGCTGGCCCGGTCCGAGCATAGCGTACTTCCTTCTGCTCCGCCTCCACGAAGCAACGCAGAAAACGAGAGGAATTATGTTGTTCGTGATTGGTCTGGCGAAACCGGTACCTGATGGTGGCGGCGGAGAGGCGTCGACGGCGAGAAAGCAAAGAGGCCTGAGTGGCGCCTATCGTCAAAGGAGCCGGATTCCCATTGTTCTACTTGATCCTTCTCACTGCTTGTTGTCAGCCAGTTCAGGATTTGTTATAAGTTGCCCAGTCAACCAGGTAACATCTTGAATATGCGATGTGAATGTAGCAGCAGCAACCTTTAGTCCCGGTTGGTGATCAGGCACTCTAAGTCTCGTATCCCATGCACCCATCATCCCATCATCCTACGAGGCATTGAGGAACAGACTGCGGGTTGAGCTGCAGAGCACATCTTAGCTCCCATGTTTTACATTGCTCTATGCCGAATCCGATGAGACACTTTCCCTGTTCTGGTGTCCAACAGTCGACGAAGAACAGGGAAAGGGCCTTTGTTCAGGGGAATCAAACGCACAAAGGACCCTTCGCAATCCTACTAAGGGGAGGATTTTTGTTTTAGCGCCTAACTCGTTCTCGCCGGAATGCAACCGCTTATCCGAAGTCGATTCTAGCGTTGCAACAGCTCTTCTTGGTATGCAAGACGCCCTGAAACCTTAGCTCGGATCTTCTTGCAATTTCGGACGCGAACGTCATCGGCCATGTTTTCCCCAGGGGTAGGAGCCGTTTTCCGTCGTCCGATACTGAACTCCAAACTCTGTCGACGGTTGGACGAAAAAGTGAAAAACCAGCCGTCTGGATGACCCCATAACTCAATGTTTATGTTCACGTTGCAGTAGTGCAAGGACTCAAGCATAGACGGTCTTATTCTTGAATGTCACTGCTGCTGACTTCGAAATCCTCTCAGGTGACTCCTCGTGACCAGCGACCCAGGTTCATCCAGACGGACTTGACTAGACTGAGACACGATCGTGCTCTCACCACCGTTGGATACCATCGTTCTGTTCCGAGTCATTCACCTTTCGATGTCAAACGAAATGCCAAGACTGCCCAAAAGAGATTGTTGGCTTGTGTCTGACTGTCTCTCATCAGCCTTGTGGCAGTCTTTTTCCACAAACTGTCATGCCAAGACTTCTGACAATTCACGACCCTGATCGGGCGTGCAACTTGTCAACAAGCTCGCCTCCAGTCTCTTTGCGGACGGTTGCTGACATCTCCCTCCCTCGGACTGGTCGGACTTGCTCAGGGCTGAGAATAATCAGCTCGGAGCACAGTCTCCAGACTCGAGCCTGGGCGATACCCTCCTGTGGGATTTCGAACGGTAGACCTCGGTCGAGGAACAAAAGTTTCTGACTCTCAAAGACAGGTGGCGGCGGCACTAGGCCGTCTTTGTCTTGTTCGCGTGTCTTTGACCTCCCGTCTACTGCTCGTGCTGGGCGCCGCTCGGTCTGATCGGCCCGCGGGGGATCGTCAGGGGGGTGGTCATCTCACCCGGTTCTCCACGATACCTCTTCTGGCGACGAGAGTCATGAATATCGTTCCGAGCTGCCCTTCTTTCGTTTCTTCATCTTTGAGGTAGAAGGTTGCCCTGGTGAAACATTGTTGTACTCTCCTGGTCCAGTTGCCAATAGCCCCCTATCTCGCGGAAGGTTTGCTCGAATCCGGGAAGAATCTCGTTTATATCTCTTGCCTCGACGTCGAACATATCGGTGCACTGAGCCGCCTCGAACTTTTCAGAGTGATCAGGCATATACGCCGCCCCGTCGAACTTGATGGCGACATTGACATTCACCTCGGGACTCTCCTCGCTCGGCGCTCTCTTGTAGTGCCTCAGGTAGCCGCCCTTGACATCTCGATTCCAGCGCATCACCTCGAGAGACGCCGTCTTCATCAGCCCGCCGTGGAGGAATGCGACGCGTCCGTCATCCGGATGATGCTGCGCGAACGAGTGCCCGCAGTAAAACCCGTCGTTCTCCGTCCCGACGCTGGTGACCCATTTCTTCGGCTTCCCGAACTTCGTCTTGAGGGCGTGCCACGCGAAGCGGAACATGTCCTTGTCGCCCAGCAAGATCTCGTTGTAGTATTTCCCCTGCTCGTTGTTCAGCCAAGACGCTAGTTGCAGATGGTACCAGAACCGCGTCTTGTCTACTAGCAGCTGTCCGCTTTCCTGCTCGTGCTCGGCCATCCGACATGGCGTGTTGAAGATCGCCCACGCAGGGTTCTGCGGTCTAGTACGTGCAATGTCGGGCCAGAACACGGAGTGGTGCTCTTGGTATTGGATCGAGTCGTAGAGCGTCGCTGGATCGAGGATGGGGATGTTGTCCGAGTCGAGCAAAATGGGCTCGGCCCATCGAGCATTCAGCAACGCCGCCGTCTTCAGCTGGTAGTTAATCCCAAAATACCCGTCCTTCTTGATGTGCACGATATTGTGAGGCTTCGATAGGTCGTTGTAGTAGATGGGCGTGTAGAGAGCATTGAGGTCGGCCATCGCTCCAATGTCCATTTCAGTGTCCCAGTAATGGATCTCGATGGGAATCGTCGATCCAAGCTTCTTCAACTGTCGCAGTATGACTTTGGCGCGCATGATTGTATCCGCGTTGCCGGCGACGATGACCAATCCCCGCCCGGAAAACCGTTCTTTGACTGTAGCATAGGGTATAACGCCTTTCTGTAAGAAATCGTGCCACTCACGGCGTCGCAGCTCGATCTCCAAGACTGGACGATCTTCGAGAACCCATTCCAGGGAGTCTGGGAACTGAAAGTCGACGAACACGTCCGCCGGCCACGTACACGACGCGCGAGCTTCCCTCTGGGAGATGCCCTTCTCGTTTATCACCGCAGCGAAGTGTGGAATGAAGTCATCCGCCGTCTCTAACTTGTGTGCATCAGGAATTAGTTGCGCCTCCATGACTGGCGATTGGACGTTGATGAGATTGTCAGCGATAGGGATTTCGACGTGATTGGGAGGGATATCGATATCGACAGGAGGGTCGCTCGCATGCTGTTCGGGCGGAGGAGGATTCGTCCATTGGTTTGGCTCTGACTTCACGTTCTCGCCGCTTTTGAAGATTAAAAAGAGAACGCAGGTGATGATGACCGCGAATATGATACGCGTCCGCTTGATGCCCGCCATGTTGACGGTGACGGATTGCCCTGGCAAAAATGACCGAAAACGCCAGCGGCTCCCGACCGGCTCAGGCGGAACATGGCCTTCATTTCAACATCTGCCCACGCGACTAGCCAAGGTCTTCAGGTGTGATCAGTCAATTTGATCACTTCAACTCGGGTTGCCGGCCTCGGTCCCAGCCATGCCATATCGCGCTGATCCCCATGTGAACGGTACAAGGATGTTCCCCCGCATGCGCAATCCGACGATGCGCCATTGCGTCGTGCGGGGTTCGTCACATCCTTGAGGCCGCCGTCAGAAGCTTGGTTTGCATCGAATTGTTATCATGGAATGTTATTGGTTGGGCCCTGGAATCACTTCCGTCATCCCGCTCCCCCGCATCATCGTGAGAAGCAGGTGAAGCACTTTGAGTGTGTCTGGTTGGTTCAATCATGGTGCCTAGTGCCGAGCCGAAGACGTCAGTGAGAGGAAGCATTGAGTCCACCATGATGTCCATTCAAGATCAAAAGAGTACTTTAATGAGGGCATGTTGCTCCTCCAAAATTGGTGAGGCCGACTGATAATTACAACTTCGCCCTGCCTTGTCCGAGGTTATCCCAGTCTGCCTGAGTGAACGGTACATAGGTTTTTCCCTTGCCATGCTTCTCAATCCAGAGAAGTTGATCGCCGCCCTCAATTTTGCTTGGGTCAACCCCTTGGTTCTTCAAGGGCACCTTGTTCTGTTTGTTGTTGTGACTGGCTTGGCTCTCGTTGAGTAGTCGGATGAAGACCGGGACGGCGTATCGCGGCAATCTAGATCGTGAAAAACTGCAAGAATTAGCCATGCCTCAATGGCGAAGAGAAGAGCAACAAACCTCAGGAAATCTGCGAAATCAAAAGACGCCTTCTTATCAGGCGCGATATCCAGTGCTGCCGCCCCTGCCTTCCCGTCGTGACCAGGAAGCGAGACACCGTACACGACCGCTTCATTGACGCCTGGGTATTCACCGAGAACCTCAGACACTTCTGCCGTAGAGACGTTCTCACCCTTCCAGCGGTAGGTGTCACCGAGACTGTCGTTTCCCATCAGTACTCGTCATGTACAGGGCAGAATGTATGGTATGTCCACTCACCGATCCAAGAAGAACCATCTCCCTTCGCCATCCCGTCTCAATGAGTCACCGGTGCGATAGAAGATGTCTCCTTTCTTCAGAACGTCTTTGACGTACTTCTTATTGGTTGCTTCCGGGTTGTTGAAGTATCCCGGAAACGCTCGCTCACCCGGGTGCTCGACAAGAATCTCTCCGCCGACCTCATACGGCATCCGGATAGCAAGTCCTGTCTTCGGATCCCGTTGGACCTCTCCAGTTTCCGTATCAATGGCCACAGGAACCACCATGTTTCTGTATTTCAGACGGAGTAATAACCCATGGTGGCCTATCGCATTAGCAAAAAAGTCACCCCTAGACAGGTTACGCAGACCCAAGGCGCCTTCTGTGCTGTTGTAGAACTCGCAGATGGTATCAATACCAAATCGTTCTTGGAAACGCCTCCACACGTCTGGACGGCACCCATTTCCAAAGCATGCGTGGATGTTGTGATCTTTGTCGCGCGGGGACGGTGGTGCGGCGAGGAGGTACCGGAGGGTCTCGCCCACGTAGACAAACCAAGTTGCATGGGAGTCGCGGACATCGTCCCAGAATGTTGAGACACTAAACTTCGGGGCCATGCATACTGTCGATCCGGACTTGAATGTGTCAGATCGGGAGCTTTCAGTATTTAGGTGAGACCTTACAAGAATCTGCGATATCATTGTGATACCACCTGTTCCATGATAGTACGGCTGCAGGAAGAGAATTAGCTGAGATCATTAAAGCCATGACACCACGGGCTACACACCATGCATATATAGCATCTCTCGCTGTCGCCGTTTGTCGGATGAAACCCAAGATCGTTCTACTCCAGTCAGTCACCGCGGTAACAAGCAAGCGTATGAGTTGGTGCTCACCTGCAGCGACAAGCTTGCGGCGGCGGCGGCTGGGAATGGAACAGCCTTGGGAAGACCGGTAGTTCCGCTGTTCCTGTCAGTCAATGTGACGACGAGTTCTTGCATCACTCACCTGGTGTAGAACAGAGCCATCGGATCGGCAGGCGTCATTCCCTTCCTAAGGCTATCATGGGGCCGCATCGGGTCCATCTGGTAGACGCGCGCTTTCTCTTCACCCAAGTTGATCACCTTGATACCCTTCAGATCGAGTTCGGTGTGTACATCCTGGTATTTCGCGGCGACCTCAGGGGTTCCGTCCACCAGTATCAGTTTGGAAGTGCTGATTTCGATGCACCCGATCAGAGCTTTGCCGGTGAGGTTGTAGTTGATCATGGCCGGAGCTGCGCCGATGGCGAGCAGTCCCACCCAAGCGAAGGCGAAGTCAGGCGAGTTCTGCATGAAGAATGCGACAAATTGTCCTGGCTTGACGCCGTACGACAGGAAGAGCTGTGCATACTGATTGACGCGGTCGTACGCGACCTTCCAAGATACGCTGCCATTTCTCGTCCAAATCGCCTCCTCGTAAGGATGTTTCTGCACCGCTTCTTCGAAGATGTAGTAGGGCGACACGCGGTCCGTCTTGACTAATATCACAGTTAGGCAATTCTCAAACCAGAAGGCTTGTTGGGCCCCTACCGACGTTATCGATGGCCTTCGTCACGGTTCCGCGGCCTCGGAGAGACTTGATGTCTTTGGAAAGGTGGTATTTGGCGTCGAGATACATGCTGGAGGCCACGCTGCCAGCCACCGCTGCTGCCGCTGCTGTGTTACTGTCAGCTTCACTGTGTTTCGCTCTAGCCGGAGGCTGAATGCAGCGACACCGGATGCTTCCGGGATCTGGTATGATGGACCGGTAGCAATGGCGAACGTACCAAGAGCCATCGTGAGTAGCTGTCCAAAGCCTTCCTCAATGCGTGATTGATATCGAACGATGAATGGCACGACACAATGCTGAAAGTAGCTGACGTTTGGTGTCGTGGAAGAAGTCTAAGAAGGCGTTGGAAGGTACGTCGGAACAATCTCAGATACGTCACGTACAGCCGGACGGTAAATCTGTTGGTAAATCTGTTATCCTCCGCTCCTCAAGGCCGAGAGACGAAGCTGGATCCTTGTGAAACGTGGGGGACGGGGAGAAGAAAACCCCGCCAGCTTCCCGCGGAACCCCAGCCGATGGGAGGACCTCGGGCTCCATGCTGGAAGAATAACTGGGTTCACGGTGTTTGGAGTCGCAGGTTGACAACGATCTGCCGTGCTCCAGTCCCAAGCTCCAAGCTCCAAGCTCCAACATCGGAACGAACGACCGGCAAATGCTCCCCTTGCGAAGCGAAGCGAGAATGCAACACAGCAGGCAGGCCGCATCCACCAATTTTGGACCTCTGGCCCACACCCAAGCGCCAACTAGCGAGAAGTAAATGTTGGAGTAAAGCGCGGGGACGCAAGACCGAGGCATGATTGGCTTGAAGATGCAAACCTTCCTTTGCGAAGTTGCTCAACATTGCCGAGGGAAATGGAGGTCCGGCACCCTGCCTATGCGCGCAGACGCGAGACGGGAAGTGGCGGAAGATCAGTCTGTCTCGTGTTTGGGTCGTTTTCATTGGGGGAACAGCGACCGGTCCGATGTCTGTGATTCAGGGATTTGCGTTCTGGAACATTGCGAGAACGAGGGAGTCGGTCGAACAGACGCCGACCTTCCGGTCACAGTTCTTGCAGTTGGTTTGAAAGCAAGTTCGCATTTTACTTCCGAAAGCCTTCCGAGATTGAGATCTATAGCCCGGAGGTCGGCTCCGGACTTCGGCCCCACATTGCTGGGTGACGTCCGGTGGCTGAGAAGGAGTCAAGGCCGTGGGCTTTGTGCCGACGCCACGAATAATGGAAGACGATGTAATCACAAAGGCCTGAAGTTCGGTCAGGTGCGGCGCTGCCATCAGTAGGCCTTCTTCAACGTGGACATCGCACAATGGAACACGGAAGGCCCAACTTCAAGCTTGAACTACACCTTTGATGTAATTCATCAGGTGGAATTCGCAAGTGTGTTAGAAGGAAAGTCATGGACCGGGACGTGGTGTCCTCTTGATAAGCTATAAGCTCCCCTTGTCGCTCCTCGTCCTCCCTTCCCTCGCCGTTTGAAACTGCCGCCAGCATTCCCCCCAGCCCCCAAGCACAAACTTCGTTTAGGGGGGGCTACGGTGAAACCGTCAGCCGGGGGCCGTGTCGTCCTCGTCGTCCCTCATCGTCCTCGTCGTCCCTCGCCGTCCCTCGTCGTTCCTTGTCTTAGTTTTCAGTTAGTACATTAAGATGGAAAGTACGAGACATTGGAATAGAATAACTTTCTCTGGGAATTTTAGGTCTAAGGACTCTTATCGCTACTCGACAGAGTCAACACAACTGATATGACGTCGCGAAGCGTGTTGCGGCCTTCGTGTTTTCACACTATCTGATGCTCTGAAGTCTCTTCAATCTCTGACTTGTAGTTTCTAATCGTTCCGTTTGGGCCAAGGCCACCATCCTTTCAAAGGCAAGTTGGGATAAATAGAATTGATGCCTGTCAACGGGTTGTCGGACTCCCAGTCATATACCACACCCTCTCCTCCATTTGTCCACGCCGCAGCCCAGCGCAAGTTGTCCGGGGTGACGTCGGTGACTCGGAAGTTGGAGAGAACGTCAGTGTTGTGGGCAAAGACTATCAGGGTCGCGGCCCAGTAGGGATTGTCTCCTAGGTCCGAGAGGAAGAAGTGGCTAGAGCATGACCAGCCGACCCTTATGATGCTGTATTGTTCATCTCTAACGTGCGTTTTGTAGTAGGTGGCGTTGAAGTTGAAGTTGGATGCGTCCCAGTGGAAGCCTTCGACCATAAGGCGCGGTAGATCGCGTACTTTGACGCGGAGTCTGACCTCCCACTGGCATCCGTTCGGCGTAGTTGTGTCCCCGCCACCTAAGGGCGAGATGAAACCAAACACGAGGTTGGGGTCCATGTCTCTCCAAGCTTCCGAGTCAACATGCTGTACTCGGTGGGCGTGGTTGATCGACTCGTATGAAGGAGGGGCATCTTCGTCGGATGTTCCGTAGCCGCTGGGCTGAGAGGCAGCCATTGTATTGAGGGTATGCGAGTTTGATATGAATAGAGAGGTTTCAAAGAAATAACGGTAAAGGCTTCGGGCTTGGGAACAGAAAATTTCAGCTTAGGGAATAGTAAGCTTCGGAAAAACCACACACGAACGGCGTACGTGTGTGTACATATACTGGAGTTCAGCAACCGGACAAAGGTAATAAGATGATTTTAGCACCTCCATGAAGGTATTCCGAGACCTTGATGAGGGCGCAGTCCTTCACTGAACTTTCATAAACTTTGAGGGATGATTTAATTGGGCAACTTATGAGCGCCCAGTATCTACATCGTGTATGATCAGATGTAGTTTGGTAGACTCGCCTGCGTATCATCAGCGTGCTGCCGCTGTCTCTGCCATTTATGCCGTAGACTCATACGGCGAAACCTCAAATCAAGTGGTCGGCAGTTTCTGTCTTCGTCTTGCCATCACACAGAGCTACAATCTTCTTGTGTGCTACCGAGATATTCCCTCAAGGGAACAGCTCTTGAGATGGCGCGCATGTCAAGGTTGGTGGCGGCACCAGGCACCAATGCATCGTTTGCAAAACTTAACGTGACAACCTTGAGCGTCTCCAATGCATTTCCGAAGCTTGTAGGCCTCAGTGGGTCACTACATTCGCACACACAAATGCGAATATAAATGCCCTCTGTCTTCTCCGCTCGGCTTGAAAACCATTTTCCTTCTGTATCATCTTTGGTAAGCTCGTCACCTGATCCATCATAATCTTCTAATTGTTCAGTTATATCACATTCGTCATGATTTCAACAACACCGCCTACGATCTTTCACAAGTTCATGGAACTTCCCCCAGAACTTCGCTACATGGTATGGAGCGAATTCTATCTCGAGCCGAGAATTTTCACCGCTGATTTGCAAAGTCGGAAGCACCTTCCTGATGACGGAGAGACGTCAGACCATAACAGCACGCATCTAAAGTCCATTCAGTTATGGAGATGGACCCTACGACCACCGGAATCTATGCGAAAGTACTACGAATCTATCGACAAAACGATCAACCGCGAGTCAAACGCTGTGGCACAACAGATTCGTCGAGAAGTATCTTTGCCCGAGTGGCACAATGCTCAAGATCGTGCCGACGAGTCGATTTGCACAACACCCTCTCCCCATACACCCTCTATTTGGAGCACGTGCGAACGCGTCTGCTTAAACTGGGATGTTGACTTTGTTACACTCAGTTTGAAAGACGACCTTCGGGATTGTCCGTCACAGTCTCGAACCTGGCTAAAGAATATCCGGAATCTCGTGATGGACGGTCATGGTGGAGTGTGCAGCGTGCGACAAGACGTCACACCCGAAAACCTCTGGCTCTGGCAGAGAAGGGAGGACTTGGAGAGCCTAAAGAGAATCCTGCGCACGTCATTAACGATGGCCGATGCATTTGTTCTCAACGAAGCTGCGTTTTTTCAGACCAAGTATCTCCTTCGGGAGGCTCCGGGTGTGCCAGAAGGGTGGAGAGATGTCATATGCGAAACGGCCTCCTACATGACGCGGTTATTGCTGACAGCTCCGCCACGGAAGCCGAGGTGGGATGCTTTTGTTGAAAAGCTGGGATCGGAACTTGGGCAGTGATGCCGGCCGAGATACGCCGTAGCCCGGGGCCGAGGTGACCATCTTTTGCCATGACAATTGGTAGGTGGAGCTTAGTGAAGGTCGTTTGTATTCCATACCTGTATTTAGTCCTTTCCAAATCAAGTAAATGTCCATGCGGCCTACATGCTTCCTTGTGATGTAGTCCTGTACCTCGCTGTTTATGCTCACAAAACTCCGGGCGGCTATTTCCAAATATCGCGAATAGGCTTAGATCAGCCAATTCGGCATTCCTCGTCAACTTGTCGAATCATTCAAGGTAATCCAACTGTCCTCAAGGCTTGCAAGTTCCGCCTGACCGTAGCGGACAAATGGCTGCCATGAGATACCACCGAGAGCGCGTCAATGACCCGTCGACCATCATTGAAGTATAAGTTGAGGGTTCGAAAGTTGACGTCTATAGGGAAAGTGGGCAACCTTTCAGCACACAGACAAAGCTCATCATGTCTTCATTCTCCAAAAAGATGAGGGGGAGCTTGATGCTCCTTGCCCTCGCTGCCAGCAATGCGTCTGCCACCTACACCGGCTTCGCTACATTGAAGACACTGTTCACTTTGTGAGCCCCAACCACAACGTTTGTATGAGCAAGCGCTAAAAGTATGCAACCAGCGGAGACTCGTACACGCGGACCGCCTTCGTCGTTGACCGGGCCCAGCCATCGGAATCAAACCCATTCGGAAATCCCACCTACCCCGGTCCTACCAGTTCCAACGGAGAGAATTGGATTCAGTACTTGACGACGAAGTACAACGAGTCGCTCCTTCTCACGTACAACTTCGCCACCAGCGGCGCAACCGTCAACACTAGCCTGGTGTCTTCGAGCGTCGATGTGGTCACGCAGGTCGAGGACAAGTTTCTTCCCTACTACAGCGGTGACTACCAGACTTGGGACCCTACAACCACGCTCTTCGGATTTTGGATTGGCATCAATGATGTAGGAAAGTCTTACACCAGCGAGAACTCGACTGATCTTCATCCGCTCATCTTCGACGAGTACAAAGGGCTTCTCGAGAAGCTCTATGACGCTGGAGCGAGGAACTATCTGTTTCTCAATGTGCCGCCCCTCGAACGAATGCCGCGAACTACTCAATCAAGCGCAGCAGACACCCGTATTCCGCTCGAGAAAGCAGCCGTGGAGGACTGGAACGGGCGTGTCAGTGACCTGGCAGGAGATCTGAGAAAGACACATGAAGATGCGACGGTCTTTCTGTACGATACCTACGGGCTCTTTGACAGAGTCATCGATACCCCTGACCGGTACACGGAGACGGCTGTCTACAAGAACACCACAACCTACTGTTCGGCGTATCAGAAGTAAGTCGACATCTTTACAGTCCAACTTGAATCGGAAATGATGTCATGGCAACTCGCTAACCTCATGCAGTGGTACACCGGAGCCGGATACCAAATGGGACAATTGTACTTACGCCGCGAATGAGTACATGTGGATCAACAGCCTTCATCCGACAGATCCCGTTCATTCTCTCCTAGCGAAGAACGTTGCAAAGTTGTTGGCTTAGAACGGAGCCGCGGCAACGATGAAGGACTCTATTGATTAGTGGGCTCTCCTGTATCTATGTAGTCTTTATATTCGGAATTCTTCAATGATCACTCCTCATCGTAAAATACGAATGCTCTGACTTCAATGCTCACTCTCGGCTCGCCCGCACCTTCAGGAAGCTCGGTGTCTTTGAAAGCACAATGCGGTACTCTCCTGGGTACTCCGGGTTTCCTGCTTGAGTCGACCTGCTTGAAAAACAGCACGTCGTCGGGCTGCTGTTTGTCCCTGAAGTACCACTTGTGCGGTGAATCCGTCGGTGGCCGCACCTCGACTGCCTCCGTGTCGTGGTCCGGGAAACGGACTGGCACGAAAACCAAGTCCGAATCCGGGATCGACCGAGCGTCGGATACGGCGAAAGGATCCCGAGTGATGGGACGAATCGGTCGCCACATCTGTATTATGTTAGCCAAGAAACAATGCCCAAGGGCATATTACTCACGTTGATGATTTGGTAACGAGGCTTCTTGAGTAACTCTTCCGCCCTGTCGCCTAGCCATCTCTGGGCAACTCCCTCGGCAGCATTGAACGACTGGTCTACATGAACACCGTACAGTGGTGCAGGACCCTTGGGACCGTCGCCGTCTTTGGGCCCACGGCGAATGATGTGTGTCATAATATGTACCAACGACGGTTCGGGACTACAGGTGTTAGATGAAACATTAATGCGTCCGATGTCAAGGGATTCACATCGCCAAGGAGAGCAGCTTACAGATCCTTGGTCTCAGACAGCACCTTCCGGCACAGCTTCTCCATCTCCGGGTAGTTGACACGCTTGATCTCTTCGTCATCATCCCAGTTCGTCACCTGACTCTCATGTTTGACATAGTGAAATCCTTGAACGTCAAGAGTGAACTCGTCTTCCCTTCCGGTTATGTCGGTGATGGTAGTCGGGATGGCAACCTTCGGCTGGGGTTTTCCGGGCGTCGGTCTGGACAAACTGAATTAGCTTTCGGGCGATGCCGTTTGTGTGCATGGAGACTTACCCTCCGATGACCATTGGCACCAAAGGAACACCAGGGTCATCGAAGTAGTTGATGGTCGTCTGTACTTGTCTTCCGGGTGCCATTTTGAAATCACAAGGTTTGTAACTTAGTCCGCTGAATCTCGACTGAAGTGGACAGACCGCAAAGACATAATAAAGCGGGAGACGCGTGAAATATGAAATGCCGATTTGCCTGATAGGGGCTCATGTGTTATCACTCTTCTCTATCACGAGTCAGGCCTTGGCAGTGACTGTCTACGATGACATGGCTACCCCGGCCGTGCCACACCGAACCTGCATCAATCTCCATATCAACGCGGGGAGCGATGAGGGGTGCCCGGAAAGCAATGCTCGAACCCAGCACTCAAGACATCAGAAGTACGAGAAAAGCAGTGTGGCACATGGGAAACGGTAGACAGAGTGATTTACATACTGGTTCTGGGCGAAGGATACCGGTATGCCAAGCTCCAGGTTTGGTTGTGCCGGCAGCAAAAGCTTGTATCCCCGACCTTTCCTGAATGCCGACATTGCATAGAGCGGGCCACTGGACTTCATGTGGATCTACGAAGCCTCTTGTGGAAAGTATTCATGAGTCGCGAACCCTCTGATTGTTACGCGATTACTCTCGTCGTCTTATCTATCGCTGATCTGCGTGGAGTTCATCTGTTGATAAACCTTAACACAAGGTAGCCCCTGCAACGTGCCATACTTCTGGATTGCTCCGTCACCGCCTCAATGATTGATAGTATCATTGGACAGAGCATTAATCCCGGCCCTCAGAGTAGTCAATCTCGGGGTAAACTTTATCGAAAAACGCCTCAATAATACCAGAGAAGGAAAATACGCTGTGTTTACGTAAATCCAGTGTTTTTGCGCAACGTCTCACCACGGCAGGCAACGCACTCGTCGGGACTTATTCATTTTTCTTGCAATTACTCCTTGCTGCTTCCATGATTCCTTTGTACTCCTCCTTATTCCTACTGATACCCTTGTGACACGATTCATATTCTCTGCTCAAGAATTTGACCAGGAAGAATAATAGTGAAGCGACATACACCTGCTTCCATAAAAGAGTGAAACCCACACCATTGGCCAAAAACGTTTAGCAAGCCTGACGTCAACGCAACATAATGAGAACGGACAACTCAATCAATCAATTCAAACAAGCCATACCTTCTTGCCCCTTCCAACGTCGAGTTCAGATCTAGTTACATCTTGTTCATCTCCACAAGCCTTGCGGAAACAACACCAGTCCTGTCTGTCAAGTTGCCGAAACGCCACGACGCCAACCCTTCTCAAACAATCCGGGCTTTCCTCCACCCTTTCGACTAGAATGCCCGACCCACCATACTCTACACGCATGTCATTAACCTCTTCATCCTCGAGATGCTGTACGTCTGCCCACTTTATGCCGTGCTCATCGATGTAAACCTTTGTGGCAGCGAGCAAAAGAAACTCAGATTCACCAGTGGCTTCTTTTTGTGAAGGCTGAAAGTCAGGATATGCCTCTATGACTGCCGTCTCACGGTTGACTCCGTCAATGACGAATTCCCACGTCTGTTCCTCAGCAGCAGCACGAATCCCGCCTTTGCATATGTGTCCCTGTACCAGAATGTTTGTCGAAGTAAGCTGAGATGGTTTGTCAGGGTTCGTTCTGCCGCCGATATCTGGGTCATCAGTGCCCTCGACTTCCGTTTGGTACATCCAGTGCAAAAACCAGTAAAATAAGGTGTAAATGACACCTCTGACCCATACTAGTCCGCAGTATAGCATGACAGCGAGCGCAGTCTCCGCATGAGCGATTGAAGTGCCCTCGACTGTTCTCTTCTTGGTTTGCGAAAGTTCAGTTGAGGCTTCTGGGTGGTCTTGAGGAATAGGTGTCACCGGAACCGTTGCACGCGCCGTGCCCAAATCATCAAGCTTCTTGTTCATAATGGCAACTTCCTCAGACCACTTGCTCTTGGCTTCTCTCTTGACTCGACCCCAAAGCACATTCCGAAACTGAAATTTGATGGATCCGCCTTCGTGATTCGTTGCGGCGTAGAAATGATGCTGATCAGGGAATCCAAGGAACCTTGGGGGTAGTTGGATCGTGCCCTTCATCCGAATCCATGACCAGAATGGTGAGCGATTTTCCAAGTCTTCTGGACGGCGTACCACCCTTCGACTCGCAACGCGCCATAGGAGCTGTTCCCCTATTCGCCTTGACCACAGCCCATGCGCATACTCTTCACCGAGAGCATCGCGAACAAGTTTCGCGATGCCCCAAATGGCAGCGTCTCTGTCTGTTGTGAACTTCGTAATATCGCAGCTAGTGTACGTACGAACTGCTCTTTCCCAAAACCTTTCAAGGGAGCTTTCGGAGGTGTTGACAAGCATATCAACGGCTACGGTAGAGTCCTGAAGGCGAAGGCGCCAATATCGGTCTATCGAGGCCGTGGTGTCGAGGGAGAGAGGGAGGCCATATGGAAGAGTCTCGCAAGCAGAGATGGTTGCACAGTCCCAGAAAATCTGATCGTGACAGAACTGGAGGAGACGCGGGGAAAGCATGCGCTCTTTTTCCTTCTTAGACGTTTCCTTTAAACTATCAGCGGGCAGAACGCTTACCTTGGAAGACCCATCCTCGAGTATAAAGACGGCTTTCTAGGAGGTCCTTGTTCCAAAGGTCTGAAGGAAATACTATCCAGCTTCTGTCGCCGAACCTTGGAGAGAAACCTCTTGCGGTATAAGAAACAGGTGCGATATCCGATGACCGTTGGCGAAAGAGTCCCCGGGTGGAAGCTTCTGAGACAGCAGCTGCAAGATTGCAAAATGAATTGCGGTAGACTTTATGCATGCGCCTTGCTTCCACTGCCCAATCTTTGGGGTCGTCCTGAATGATACAAACAGAGTCAATCCAGATATAACGTTGGCGTAGATCATGAGTAAGCTTCAGTGCCTCCTCAAAGTTCCGATTGCTGCAAATTTCATCCCATGGGATCCCTTCATTATCGCCGTTACCAGTAAACCTGTCGAAATTGCTTTTCTTCAGTTGCACGAAGTCGTTCTCGCCCCATCTGTGACTCAGTGTCATGTATGGCCCAATCACGCCCTTTTTGTCAGTCTCGACAACTGGGACATGAGATGGCGGCCAAACACCTCCTGGAAGGCCAACATCTAGAACTCGTGTTGGGATAAAGTCTTGGGTGCCATGCCGCTTGGTGCATTTCGGATGGTTGGCACTGCAGTCGCGCAACCAACGTTCCATCTGCGAAAGAGATGATACAGAACTGGTGGTAAGTCCCAGAGATTTCTTGTCGGGCAAGGCACCCAGATCTAGTCCCAAATTAGAGTTTCATATTGGAAGGTTAACGAACAAGTCTCTCACCTTTTTCGGGGAACAGATCGAACCGGACTTCTGGAAGATCTTCACTGTTTTCTTCCCCAACCATCCGACCTGGGACTGGCCGGAACGTAATCGAAATATAGCTTGTGGTTTCTCTGTTTGAGGCAGCTTGCCTGATGTTCCATCTGTATAGAGCCGCAGTGTTGTTGACATTTCCGTTGTCGAACCAGGGCTGCAAATCTTCCAGTGGAACCGCTAGTCTGGCGCAAAAGACGCAGCCTGAATCTGCCGCATCTTGAAATTCGGCTTCACTGGAGTGATGATAACCCCAGCACGTCTTTGACTCCAAGACTTCTCGTTGGCAGAAGCTGCAAATGTTCATTGTCGCCCGTGTGGTTGGTGAAATTGCTAGTAGCCCTGATGTTGGGAAACAGACGCCATCGCCGCCGATTCTAGTTTGTCGTGTTTCGATGTTCGGGTTGCCTCGAGCTGAACAAATACAGGCACGGTAGGCACAGGTTCAATGGGTGTGGAAGGAGATGATGTGGGATCCAATTTAAATCAATGGCCGCAAAGTACATCTGCGGGCTGACAGCAGGCCACGCAAACTGAAGACTTCCATTGGACCTCATGTTTCATTTATGATCCATTATTAGCAACCATGTAAATAAACGGCAAATGAGGAACTTCGGCTGACCAGCAAGGCGCTTGAGCACACTGCTGGCCAATAACTCAGTTTGCAGACTCGCTTCCCATGTGAGTTGGTGGGCCAATACAGGTAATTACTCCCATGGCTAGCTACATGCTGTTCTCTCATGAGTTCCAATTGGTATAGCAACCCTCCTCTTTTGTTTTCTTTTTTTCCTTTCCCCGGTGACTTTATTCGGCATCTCGTAATTCTCATTCACATATTCCTAGCCAGTCTCGTCCGTTTAGGGATAGGCGTCGGGACGGGTGTGGAATCTTTATCAACAGTTTGGCGGCTTATGACTAGCACACTATGACCGCAGCAATACGTATGACAGTTTAAAAAGTCAATGTGCAAAATTTAAAATTGCTCCTGATAATGAATGTCTGATAAATCCTGCCCGCGGAGTCGTTTTCATGCAAATGCTAGAGTCTTCGACCTGCCCAGTTTGCCAGGCTCACCGGGTTGAGGCTCCTCAAACTTAGATCTACTGAACTGCAAAGATTCAGGTGCGATTTCCTCCCGGGGGCGTTCCGGGGTCTTCAGGGTCTCCGAGCGCTTGATCGATTTACCAAAGTCCATCAACGAACCATTTTCATCAAGTAAGACACTATCGAAGTCGAGCTGCGATCTTGCCCATACTAATGACTCGTTGTAATCCTCCTCGGCATAGACATGGAACGCCTCGCAGTAAGCCTTGAGTGATCGTGTCTGCCCAGGCCCTATATGCAGGGCCACAAAGCCGCGAGCTGCTCGAAGCATTTCCTCGAGGCTTCTATGTGGCACATAGGCCGAGAATCGTTGCATGTCTCTCTCAGAGCCTGTATTATGTGACATTATTGGTTCCGACTGCGTCCTATTTGGCCGATGTCTCGCATTCGTTTTTGTTGGGTTCTGGAGAAGCTTGTCAAGAATGTCATACCGCAGGCATTGCCCATACTTGTAGTGTGTCACCGCTGCAATAATCTTGAATGCTAAATCTCGCCGTTCGGGCATGTCGTCCTTGATACACTGCATGCCGGAGTTAAAGAATGACACAATGTTAGGCGGCAAGGCATCTCCAGGAGGCAAGAGAATGCCATCCGCTGCTTGCAATTGGTGTACATTGTCGAGGCGGAGTCGCGCGAGACTTATGTTCCCCTCTGCTTGTTCGACGATACTTCGTCGTAATTTCGAGACAGCGTCGTGGTTTCGAGTGGACGTCAGTTCTCGACCCAGCTTGGAGTGTGGGGGCTTATTCGGACAAAGGCTATTCAGACCAAGATCTCCGTGTTCGGTCTCGAGGTCCTGGTCAATGAATTGTTGAACGGCGCGTCCTTGTTGATCTAAATAAAGTTCAACGTGATTGAAAGGATGGATGAACCTGCCGGAATCATGGCTTCAGATTAAAGTCAAATGTCAGCCTAGTTCGCAACTCGTTTGAGACAGCTGAATAAACATGTGCAAGATACACAAGCGCTGCGTCTCGTAGGATTGATGCGCAAGATTCAGGTGGAGGCGTGAAGAAAAGAAAAGCAAAGTATTTGGCTTGGTCACTCACCATTTCTCACATGTTTCCTTATCGTCCTTACAGTCTCCGCAGAGAATGTACATATAGATGTCTCCCCGTTCCGATTTCGTTTCCTCGCACGTCTCGCAGCTCCAATAGACTCGAAGGAGCTGTGAACTTCCGTGTTTCATGATACAGGAATCACACCGCGGGAACTGTGGCAAACCTTCGAGGTACTGAACTCGCGACGTTAGAAACACCTTGAGTCCCGTGGACGTCAACCGCACCACTTCGTCTTCAAAAAGCAGAGCGAGAGCAGGGCTGCATCGGTCAAAGCCATCTATGACTAGATACTTCTGTTCAAGGGTTTCGAGTCTCAGGTAAAGCGCTTCTTGTATCCATTGAATGCGCCTTGCGTCGCGATGACCTTGTTGACAAGATTCAAGATACTGTTGGTACATTGTTATGTACTCTGAATCCATGAGGACTTCTGTGTCCTTGGCGCATAGCTGGTGGAAGATACTGGTGAAAAAGTCTTCAAGGAATGCTGTTTCGCTTGACGTCACATCATGCCGGATAGAAATAGTGACGACTGGCCCAGAGAAGTCATCATGATTCTCTAACCATCTAGCCATTGAAGCCGCAAAGGATGTCTGAAGTGAGAAATTCAATGTCAGCGTGTAGAAACTCAAATCGACCAGTCTTGCTACTTTGAAAGCTTTTGATACCTAAATACGAGGTCTCGTTGCGGTTCTAACGTTGATGATTGGGGACAAGATTGAAGAAGTGAAGCCCTTACCTTTCCAGAACCGGGCCCTCCGACACACCGCAAAACCCACTCGCTATCGTATCGTAGCCAGCTTGTGACGATATTGCTCTCAAAATATCCCTTCCAAAGGGTCTCCCACGAATCCGCCGCGGGCTCAAGTCTGTCGCTCAAGGCGAAATGAAGATCGCTGCGCTGCCCAAACAGACTTCGCACGACACGGTGTAGTTTCTTCATTTCTTTGATCGTGAAAGCAGTCTGAAAACATCTGAATCGTGGAAGGAAGAGAACGAGTTGAGTTGACGAGATGCTCCTGGTGTACTCCCACATGCGCTGGGCTACCTCTTCACTGCAACGAGGAGGGAGGACGAGTAGCTCGTATCGCAAAAGATTGATCGTTATGGCAATCACCAAAGTGACAGGCGTTGTTGGGCCTCATGGAAGAGCCAGCACAGCCTGATTCTCGATGAGCACCCTTTGTGCGGGCTAATTTTCGAGCAGGCTAGCCAATACTCTGATCATGGCCTACACCACAACGACGGCACGGAAACAGGTGGCGTCAGGGGTAATTTTCAGATGCCACCCACGATACAGGCATGTCATGCATGGTCTTTTTAAAAATGGATCTCGTACGAGGCGAAGATATCATCCATCCAACGATAGACTCGCGAAACCCGCCAGGATTAGCACCACCATGCATCTCAAGGGAGTTGAATGTCTAGGGTAGCACGAGTTCCACTAGGTATACTTCTGTCAACTATTCCTAAAATCTGACGGCCTTGGCATTAATGGCACCCGAGGAATACGATGGCTACGCTCCATGTAACCCCGATCAGGCTACCAATCATGATGAGCAACAGCAAGTCATCTCATTACAACAGGCAAAGCCGCATACTCGACCCAAAACAACATCCTTGTCCGAAGAACGAGGGGAAGAAAAATAAGCTAGCTCTGCTGAATTGCGGTCAGAAAGCTTGTAATGTAGTTAAAGGGCCCAAAATCTGCGAACCTCCAAAACAGAAGTACGCCGAAGTTACCTTGATTCTGTAGTCTGTGGCGGGCGATTAAAGTCACTCAAATCGTGAGATGCCAGCAGATGTAATCGGTGCTCATGGAAAGCCTTGTGGTCAGCAAATAGGATAGCCAAGACGCAGCCGGAACCAGGAGAAATAGATTAATCACACACGTTCCAAGCTCAGCCTGCTGTTTAAAATAACTGAGGAGGAGGACGGGTCTCGAGAGCAACAGTCACAGCCTGATGAACCCAGCCAGTGGCGCCGGGCAGAAAGCAGTTGAGAGACGGTCACCTGGCGGTGACCTGGCGGCGGAGAAAATTGCAACTTCTGATCTGACTTCCCCTTAAATTTGGAAGTTAGAAAGACAAAACAACTGCACAACGCACCTCAACGTCTGTCATTACCCTACTGGTAAAAGCGGATATTGAAGCATCCTGTTTCTTCACTGTCATTCCTTATCAAGTCATTCGTTTAGCAACTTGTTCATTCATTGACACCAGACATTCTTTTCACATCCACAATGCTGCTCGCACGTCTCACAGTGCTACTCAGCCTTTGCACCAGTTTAGCTCTTGGGCGGCTGTTGCATTCGCCGAAACAGTCTTTACGAAGGGAAGATGGGTCTGAACAAAAGCCAATGTGTGGACAACTTATCGATGCTGTCAATGCTGGTAAGGCTAAAGTGCTGAATGTTCTGCACCGTTGATACTGACACCAGACTGGAAGGACAACGTGTGTTCTTTGCCGTCGAGGCATATGAGTGCCTCATCAGTGTGCCATTCCACGCACCCATGGCACTTCGATTCATCGACTACTACAACACCACGATGCAGTTTCATAGCACCTTGAACCACCTTAGGAGTCCCCCAGATGGTTACCAACAGCCCGCGTTCGATCTTCCGAAAGGTTTGGAAGATCTCAAGCACGATGTTCAGGCGGGTGTCTTCAACAATCAGTACGACTTCGAGGCAGCGCTCCAGCACCTGGTGTACTCCATGCATGACGCACATGTTGATTTGCATGCCGGCGTTCTCTCAGCTTTCTCTTTCGCGAGCCCATTCCCGCTTGTCACGGCATCTCTGGATGGCAAGGAAACGCCCAAGATTTACTTCGCAGGTAGCTCTCATCATGGCCCAAGCACAGACATACTGGATCACTAACCTGCCGTTTACACCAGATGACGTTATCAAACGCCGAGACAATACCAACGCGACCGCGATTTCGGCCATCACTCACATCAATGGAGAACCGGTCATACAGTACCTGACCAATTTTGCCGCCCTGCAGGCTTTTGGAATGGTCGAGCCTCATGCAGACTGGAACCAACTCATGGACAGCCCGGTTCAAGACATCCTTGGAGGTGCTTCTAGTATCTTTTCCGGCGCCACAACATTCTATCCCGGCAACTCTCTCAATTTCACCTTTGAAGACGCCAGCAAGCCTGTCGAGAAAACCTCTTGGCTCGCGATCTACAAAAACACAGATTTCACCGGTCCACTGACAACAGGTGGGGACTTCTACAACTTCTTCGTTCTCGGCCTGCTGCCTTCTTCTTACAAAGACGTTCCATTGCCTCCATCTTTCGGAGGGACACCAATCGATGATTCGCCGGATGCAGTAAACACGACATTGCCAACTGATGGAACCAACACGAACAACACCCAAGTACAAACCAGTTGGGAATTTGACAGCTACGGTGCTTTTCCAAGCAACCCGGATATTGCGCAACTCAATCTAGGTTTAGACGGAGGTGTCATCACGGGATACTTCTACAACGACATCTCGACTGGAGTCATCAGCATTCCTCATTTCGATCAATACGGCTGGGACATCGGCAACTTCAGTCAATCGCTCGCAGACTTCATACATGAAGCCAAAACAAGAAATCTCACGCACATCATAGTCGATATTCAAAAGAACTACGGGGGGTCAACTGGCATCGCATTGCTTCTCTTTGGAGAGCTTTTCCCCGCTATCGACCCAGTCGTGCAAAGCCAACGCCGCAGCCATGAGTTGGGCAACGTTCTAGGATCAGCAACAACAAGCATCTACCAAGAACTGGCAAACAGCACCGAGGAATATGAAGACATTACTCTGGCTCTCACAGCAGATGAATGGGTAATCACAACGCGGCTTAATGCTGAGACGGGTCGCAACTTCACCTCGTGGGAGGAGTATGAAGGTCCCCGACAGCAGCATGGTGACGACTTTTCCCTGGTAGTAAGTTTATATCCATGTTCAACAACAAGTTGGTCTTGCTCATTGACCCTGCGCCTAGGAGAAATACGATCTCAAGAATCCAACCTTTCAAGCTGCAGCATTTGATGGCTGGGTTTTCAGCAGCCTTCTTGACGAAAACGAAACGGCAAGAGAAGCGAATTGGGATCCCGAGAACGTCGTAATCGTAAGTCGAGCTCAGCACCCGACAGATTGTCATTAAACTAACCATTCACTACCCAGCTGACGGACGGAACCTGCTCCTCGGCGTGCGCCATGTTCCTGGAGCTCGCAACCACCCAAGCTGGCGCCCGTACTGTCGTCGTGGGCGGCGCCCCGAGCCCCGGCCCGATGCAGGCAGCAAGCGGCTCTCGTGGGGTCCGCTCATACTCCAATATCGACTTGGACGTGGACTTCTCTTGGGTTGGAGACCTTGACGAGACCGCCAAAGCCAGGCTACCAGCGACAAGAACTGATACTGGCATGTATGTCATCTACGCCGGGTTGAACCTTCGCGATCAGTTACGCGCGGATGACTTGACAATGCCTCTCCAGTTCCGCTACATGGCGGCGGAGTGCAGGTTGTATTTCACTCTCGATAATGTTTACAATATGTCGGCTCTTTGGCATGACGTCGCCCACGCCGCCTTCCAGGACTCCAGCCTTTGTGTCGAGGGCTCGACTGGCTACGCATCACGCCGGGGAACTAAACCTTCCAACCCCCCTCCCAAATCATCCGCCGTCGCTGTGCCTGGGCCAAAGCCCGCCGCGACATTCACTGTCGACTACGATCCGCTGTCTAACGAGGGCCTTCCCGCCGGGATGGATCAGTTTGGTCCGCGAAGCAGCCTACTCGTGATACCGCAGCTTTGTTCTTCTGATATCGGCGGTCAGACCTGCACCAACGGTGGCATGCCCCAACAAGCAAGGCAGGTCTCCTGTGGGAAAGTGCCTGAGTTTCAATGCGTGTGTGATAGCCCTTGCCGAATTGGCAACGCCATTTCAGCAGTGGAAAGCCAAAAGTCTGCGAAGGCCATCGACACTCAGAGTGCCAATCGCGATCAGCAGACTGCTGTACCGAAGTACGACCAGCGTGTTTGCCCTCTCCTCAACAGTCCAGCGGTGTGTCAGAAGAAAAGCCCTCGTCCTTCACCAAGGCCTGGCAGCCCACCTGCGGCAACACACAAACCAGTACGCCCGCAAACAAGAAGGATTGGGCGACTCGGGTTGAGGGTGTAAATGTTCCCGTTGGAAGATACAGGTTGCGTTCCACCAGCCACTCCCATTCGGCTTCAATTTCAAACCACTTCATGTTCCTTTCCTACTGAACTAGTTCTAAGTAGTGATATCTAAGAGTTAGCAACTATTTTGTAATTTACATGACTTAGCGTGCGAATGAACGCTCCCAACTGCTCTGAATGCTACCGGACAGGTAATTTTAAGCGATGACAGCTGGTTCCAGCTTACCATAATAGAAGGCCGTGTGCAGGTTTTGAGACTGGGCTTCCTTTAAGTCTTTGCACACCATTGAACTTGGTATTTTTCTCTTTCTCTTCAACACTGCAACAATATTGCGTATGATCTTTCGCGTTGAACGTACTTATCATTTGGTGTAGGTTTGAAAAGAAAGAGCAATAGGATTGATTACGTTACGAGGGCACATCACCTACAAAGTTATAACAATCTTCGCCGCAGAGACTCCTCGCATGAGGCGGTCGAACCCCTCTTGAACCAACTCCAGCCCAGTGCCAATAACTTGCGGCTTCGGTGCAGCAATATACTTCCCGTTTTCCAACGCCTCTGGTAGGAAATCACGGTAAACAGCTTCTCCCACCTCGTTTGCCATGACATCGCTGCCCCAAATGAACTTGTTCGCCACTCCGTGCCACTTACTCTTCACAAAGACCACAAGCGACTCACAAGTTACCGACCAGATAGTCGACAGCAACTCACTCGCGTTTGCAGGTGGCTTTCCTGACCCGGCAACACTGGCTTGCGCGACAAACTTCCGTCCCTTGGAAGCCGCCACAACCTCAACACAGGGAATCATTGATCCTGCGCCAATGGCTATGGCTCCTGCCGAGATCCGATTCCGAAAAGTGGCGATGATGTCCTGTACGACAGTTGGGCTCCGGTAGTCAAAAGCCTCCTTCGCGCCGAGCGACTTGAGGTAGTCGAAGTTCTTGGGCGAAGCTGTTGTGATAACTTCATAGCCAGCCCCGATGGCAAGTTGAATGGCGTTGCAACCGACGCTAGTAGAGCCGCCCCAGACCAAAAGTATTTCACCGTTGGGCTTGGAGTCGACATGTGGATGTTGCAATCCCAGAAAGTCTTTCATGAACAACCCGCAGGCGGCAGTCGATGCTCCGAGGGGAATGACGCAAGCCTCTTCAAAGCTCATAGAGTCGGGAATCGGAGTAGTGAGCTTGGACCTCAAGACGACAAATTCCTGGAAGCCACCTTCAGAGGCCTTGTTGCATCGTTTGTCGAGGCCAACGGCGTGGCCAAGAACACGGTCGCCGATCTTGAAGCGTTTGGCGGCGGCCCCTGGGCCGACTTCAACAACTTCACCGGCAACGTCGTTTCCCAGAACGCAAGGGTACTTGACCCAGCCGTAAAGAATGTCACCGGCTTCCTGTTTGAAGCAGTCGACCGGATTGATGGCGACGGTGCGGTTCTTGATGACGATCTCGTCGTCTCCTGGAGGGGTGTACGGAGCAGGTCTGACTTCGAGGGGTTTTTGCTTCTTGGCGGTAAGCCACGCAGCTCTGTTGGAAGGCATGATCGATAGTTGAACTTAGATATGGTATGAACTTATTAGTTGGGAAGATTGAGACGTGTATAATGTGAAATCGTTGGAGCTTTGAAGGGAAATAGGTCCTACTTAAATACTCCAGAAAATGGGCTGGCGTCTCAAACGGCCTCATCGGGTTTAGAGAACGCCGAGATCTGAATGCATCATAGACGGCTGTGGAAGCATATCTGATTTCACGAGATCTAGGCCATACTGCAAGTCCAATACGATCCTAAGCCTCCAAGTCCGATGCCACGATAGTTGGGCGCAGAATGGTTCCCGAATAGTCTTAGCGGCCGGCCGGCTAAGCGCAAGCTTGGGTAGGATTACAATGCCCCTGAGCAGCGCTAACCGTTTCTCGTATTAGGCATGAGAATGATTGGCTCGACCAATGAATCATTCCACCTGGAGATCGACATATAGAATACTTAATTATATATTACCTTTCCTATATTAGCGCTATTATTTAATAATAAGGATTAATTTAAGCTTAATTATACCTAATATATCTAAAACTACCAACTTTATATTTAATACATCTAGATCCTAATTAGTACCTCTATATACTATCCTATTATTATTAGGATATTAAGTAGGCTAAACTCTATATTATTATATAGCTTATTATATTATAATATACTAAAGATTAATAATAGTTTATACTCTATTTTAGTTACTATTTAAGCTATAAATAAGTTTAAATATTATTATAATATTATATAACCTATATATTATTACTAAATTATTTATTTCTTTAAAAAGATAATATCTATTATAATATTCTTATTAATATAATATATAAAAAGAATATTATTAATATAGTTTAAATAGAAGGAGATATTATTCTTAAAGGTATTAAGGGATTAAAGAGAGTTAAAGCTTAAAGTTATACTAAAAATAATAATAATAAGGGTTAATATAAAATAAGGGATATAAAATAATATTTTAAATAGATAAATAAAAGAATAAAGCTTATAATATAATCTTAATAGTAAAAGGGATAATCTCTTATAGATTAATATCCCTTAGTAAGGTTTTATTCCCTCTAACCTTAAGAGTAAAGCTATTTATATTATTAAGTATATTAAGAAGCTTATTAAAATAGAGTTTTATTCTTTTAGAATATTAAATATTAAATATATACTTATTAGGTATAATAAGATAATATTAATAGCTAGATTATAAGGGTAGCTATATTATATTGTATAGCGTATTGCATTTAATGTGGAATGCTTAAGAGCGGTGGGTTTTATGGTTTAAGACAAAGGAAACCCATTTGCTAATTTTCTGTGTTTATCAAAGGTCAAACGCAGCGAAAACCACGTTCCCAATTCTCATCGAAAATTAGGATCATGAAGATAGGTGGAAGCCTTCGGGCAGAACATTAGCATAGCCCTTGCACTAAGGATGACACGCTCAATCAAAGCGAAGACAGGTGGAACTGATCACAACGCATTAGTCGGAAGGAGAAGAACAGGGCTACAGCCCATTACCCCATAACAGCAATTCGATAAGACTTAGGGCTTCACTGACAAACTTTGCAACCACTGAGAGTATGTGTCTTCGGATCATCATCCATATCCGTGGTTGCATGGGTTTCTTGGGTTCCGGCGCCCCGGGGTGCCAAATGTGGGGCCGACCTGCCGGCCCGTTGAGTCAAGTGCTGCGGCGTTGTCGCGTCGTTTTCCGCGTTACTTTCAAGATGCCATCGCAACTGTCCTTCAACTATCACAGAAGTCTTCAAGTAGGCAAAAGTTTGTAAGAGGTCACCGCAAGCGGAGTCTAAGAAGACACAGCATCGGAAACCATTTACGTTTCTTCATCCTCCACCAAATGTCATCCATCGCATCTCGATCCTTGAGAGCCTCCCAAGCAGCAAGGGATAACGATAGAAGATGCCTTTGCTAATAGCCATTAGATGCGCCGGCTCCGCTGGCCGCTAGTTCTCTCATACTGCGGCGTTTGTCATCTTCAGCGAGGCGAACAAAGCAAATCGCGTCAACCCGTATACTTACAACAGGGTCGAATATAGCCCTTTTGAGGCTACACTAAATGAATACGCAACTGCTACCCGCCTCCTTTCTCTACGTCACACCTTCACATCTTGAGGTGACCTCAGCGTTGTTACTGAAAGATGCGGATATGGAACCTTATAGGAACGGAGCATCTCTTTTAGCTGTACTAATTTCAGCTTCTGCCAAACGGGTTGATCGACGTAACGATGCGGCCTGCGTCATGTGGCCAGATCCAGAGCCACTGGCAGAGACTATTTGAATACACAGAAGAAGACTTAGGAGTATGACAGCAGCTTAACTCGTTGTTGTCACACTCCCCGCGATGTTCATGGCTGATTACATGTTGCCTCGCAACCTAAAACAGCGCACCACAGAGCCCAACAGTAGTCCCAACGAACGCAAGCAAGGACCTCTTCCAATCGGTACGGCCCCATTCCGTAACAAGCTTCTTCAAGTCCCCGTCTTCGTCTTTCATAGCCCCAAATTGTCTGTTGATGGCCTCGTTGTAGGGATAGGAAACGTATACAGTGTATGGCACGATTGCACCGACAATGGCCGCCGCCGCAGCAAACATGAGGAATCGAGGGTTTCCACCCTTCATGGGTTCCACATATGCTAGGTAGGCGAAGCTGGCAGCAGTGCCAGTAACGACGATCTTCCCGACGTAACGGCCGACGTCCCAAGCGCGGCGCCACTGTTGAGCGATCAGAGGTGACGGCGCCTTTTGCACTGCTGGCATGAAGACGAAAGCGCCGCTGAAATAATAGCCTGGCGTAATCAGAGATTATTAACTATCGAGTCAGAGGGGAGAAATGGGATATTGGAACAAACCGCTCATGAACCCTGCTAGGGTGAAGGTGAGAGCTTCGGAAGAGACCGACATGCTGACCAGGAGACTTTTGACAAGTTGGATTTGGGTGTTAAGAGAAAACAACCTGAGGCCTACCCATCGCGGAGAGTTAATTCGATATAAATACGGCAGAAATTTAGCAGTCTTACTGGACCTTTTCGCCGGAGCCGAAAATTGCCTGCCCAAATCTTCTGAAACGACGGGTTTAGGAACGGGAAACGTAATCACAAGGCCGAGGCCACAGTCTCATGCCAAAGGACTCCCCAACACATTCGTGCAAATACACCGATGGTCCGATGAATGACTCTTAGCTGTGGAACCGAACACTGCCGTATTCCCAGAAAAACAAGACAGATTCAAAGCCGAGGGCCGAAACTGATCGGAACTCCAGTCGAAAAAAGCTAAATGTTCCGTTCTGCATTCCTGACCCAGCTACGTCAGACACGGCTTTGATCCAATCGCAGTTTACAAATTCAAAGCTAAAGCCGAAGCTGATCGGAGCTCTAATGGAACGAAGCTCCACGTTCGTCCGGTGTATTGCTTTCACTATGCCGCCTAGCCTTTATGTGGGTTAGTGACTGCAGGGACCAGCATCAACCCTGGACTTGATCCTTTCTCACACGTCTGAATTATGAGCGACTCGGTGTTCTCCTGGCTATCAACGTCTCACACCCATCGGCATCCCGACGGGATGGTTGAGGACCCAGACGTTGCCGGTGCTCTATTAGTAGAGCCTGCGCCGCACGACGCATGACAGCTCCGTTGTCGTTGTTTAGAATCACTCCTTGATATGAATTTTCGCTGTAGACTCACTCATACGGCGGACGATAGCCAGCTCTATGGAATCACACACCGAGTTCATTCACTGACCTAACTACTTCGAAAGGAATTCAAACATCGCATGCTGGCAGTAATACCGGTAACTGCACCTAAGAAGCTGGCATTGGGCTGACCTATCAGCTGTGAGAATTCTACTTTCTCATCCAGACAGTTCGGTCAAAAATCAATTATTCGGAAGTTCGAGCCAACCTAATTCTATACCATTACAATGACTAGACTTGAGGTAGTCAGTTGGAACGTCATATTCAGCTCCATGCGTGACGGAAGCAAACGGGCCCAGCCCCTGAAAAACGAAAGGCTAAACCCGCGTCCGTGACACTCCATCATCCATATTATATTGACAGCTTACGGCACCAGCAGGTTACAGCGTGCCACCCGGTTCTGTATGTACTCGATATCTATTGCACGCCCGATTTATATAGACCTGAGCCCTCAGCGCTCTCTGTAAATCGTAAGAAATGCCGAGAACCTGCTGTGTAGCCAACCAGGGAAGAGCGCCTACTTATGGACACAAATAAGACGTGTAATTCACAGTTCTAACTTCCAACGCCACACCCGCGATGGGAGGACTTCCGAGTTGGTGTGCGAGTTTCCCACTCAATATACCAATCATACCTTGAAATTACGGGGACGCTGTAAGTTCAGCTGCAATTAGCTAATGCGTTGAAATCATATCCCCCGCCTTCATTGCTCAGATTGAAGTAACTGTACCTCGCAATGAACCCCAGATTACATAGGCCGGGATGCACGGATGTGTGTCTCTTCTCAATAACAGACTATTATCAAACCAACTTTATGGTCTAAGTTTTCCTCGGAAAGCATAGTTGTTGTAGTCTTATGCTTGGAGCCGCTACTTGCCGCTACTTGTCACTCCGTGTGGCGGAACTCATTGCGACCTATTTATCTACTACTCTAGCCAACGAAGGCAGCAATCTATTTGCCATCCTTTTACACTGAGCAGCACTCCAGCGTCAGCTTCAGAGTCGAGCGAATGGAAGTCTACAGGTTATATCACAGTGCCTCCCGGCGTGTAGCCCGAAGCTTGATTGAGGAATTGACTGTCCACCAGGTCTTCATTGGATCCCTTTCGCGCCATGACCACCGACTTGAAGGAAATAGCCAAGATTACCCGAATTATTGACGCACCCATTGGGGATGTCTGGGGAATCATGTCTTCATTTGGAGACGTGGTTCTCTGGTTTCCTGGTTGCTACAGATGCTCTCTGCAGGGATACGGCATTGGTTCCATTCGCACGATCTGGTTCAACCAAGAGACTTCATACAACGGCGCGTCGAAGCCTTTGGTGGAAAGACTAGAATCCGTTGATCCAGGCACGCATACTGTTCGTTTCGGGGTTTTCAATCCTGAAATAGCTGACGACGTCGTGTCGTACGGTATTATGACCTTGGATCCCGTCGACGGAGAACGAACAAAGTTCACCTGGATTGGCGAGTCATCTCTCGATGATCAGAAAATAATTCCGGGCGTCAAGACTTTCTTAGAGGCAGCGTATCACAGATACATCGTTGCTTTGGGGGGGGAAGCTGGCGAAAGGATAGCCGTTGATGGGCTGGGTGAAGGATAAATACATTTCATTTCTCTCTACGGCCCCAAGAGATTTAGGTAGTAACAACTATTTAACTTTTATTATAATTGCTAAAGATCGATAGCAGGCTGCCTAGACTTAACAATGTACTATCTTCCATACCTTACAAACTTCTAAAGTAATTCCTATTCAGCCTAGACGTTGATTGTGAATATTGTCTAGATACATTAGTGTAATACATGGAACAGAGGGCTGCGGGCACTGAACAGCTATTTCTGGCCTATACTTGTGTTACATTGCTAAGTAGAAACTACTTAACTAACGAACGCCCAGAAGCAGAGGCTTAACCCGTGACAATGAGACAATGAAGCTACGGGCACACAACAGCGTAGTGTCTCCATGCGACATTCTCCCGAGCGTAAGCTACTGCTTCCATCATTTCATCCAGAGTGAATTCCTTCACAACAGTGCCGCTTTCAACCCCGATCCTCAGTAATCCGCACGTCACCATACCAATCAGCTGCTCGACCGTTTCCCGATTGCAAACCCACTTGGCAAGAATTTGCAGATTTCTCATGACTGCTGAAACATAGCTGAGACCCTCAAGACCGGCTGTGGTGCCGCCGCTCAGCACGACGCGACCGTTGAACTTGAGTGTGCGAGCTGCAGTTGCGAGATAGAAAGCACCCGCGCTGCCCTCGGGAGTCCAATCGTTGTAGACCTCAGCTCCGGCCCCGCCCGGTGTCCGCTGCATAATTGCTTCGTAGTCTGATTCGTCGTTTCCGGTCATCACGACGTACTGCAGACGGCTTGGATCAGCGCCAATCTTTCTTTTCATCGCCGCGAGCTTGCTCTCGCTTCGCCCGAGGGCAATGACGTTACCACCAAGGGCCAGGGCTATCTCAACGGCTAGACCGCTGAACATGCCCGACGAGGGGCCGATGATGATGGTCTCGGCAGGCTTCAGCTTTGCGGCTTCAATGATAGCTCCTGCAGAGACAGCGTAGTTTGCAATAGATTGCAGAATCGCAGGGCTGTAACCGAGCTCTCCACACAAGCGGTTCTCATTGAGTAGAATGCAATTTTCCAGAGGAACCTTGGTGTACTGCTGGAGTGCACCTTCCTTCCACTCTTCCCAGAGTTTGTAGGCACCGTCACTTGTGCCGCAGATGTGACCCTGAACAAGCTTGATGGTGGGATCATCGCGGGCCTGTACCATTGGTAGGATGTAGACAAGGTCGCCGGGCTTGAGGCGTACGGCATCCGGGCCGACGGTGTGGATGCGTCCCACGCAGGGCGGGTTTGGAATGACAGGGAGCTGCAGGTTGTGCTGCGGCAGCTTGCCATCCAGGATGAGATGCATATAGGAGGTCAGAGATGTCGCTAAATTTCGGATGATGACGGTGCCAGCAGAAGCCTGTGGCACGGGAAGTTCGACCTTGGCCGGAGGTGTACCGAACGCGGTGAGGCTCAAGGCAAGGTTTGTAGGTGTGGTAGAAGCCATGATGTCTAAGCTTCAAAGCTCGTCGATGATTGAGAAAACTTGTAGTGAATATGAGTTTTGTCTTAAGACTGAAAATACAGAAAAGATTGCTGAGATAAAGGTTCTTATTGAATCTTTAATACTCATCATCTTTGCTGCGTGTTCACAACGACATTATGGTCGCTTCTTCGGTATTCTTTTGCGCCTTTCGCGTTTACACGCCGGAAGCCGAGAAGACCGTAACTAGGGCTGCTTTCAGATTCAAGCACAGCTTACCCACACCATCTCTTCACCTTGGCAATTCGCCCAATATTAAGAATAATAGATCATGCTGTGAAGTTGGCGCCCGCTGGGCACAACCCCTGCCGGGCTAGCCATAGTTATGCCGGGCTGGCCGTACTTCTGCCGGGTAGCCGCACTTCTGCCGGACTCGTCGCAATTCTAAACTTAATTCAGATTGTGAATAAGGTCCGTCGCTTCTTTACAGGAAACCAATCCAGCCTCTAGGCCTCTAATTGGCTGGAGCTAACCTAGCTGCTATTGGCTAACGGCTAAACCCCGCCTTTACCTCCTCCAGAGTTTACCTCTGGAGTCGAGGCACCTGGTGACCTTACTCAAATGACCCGGTCTTACTAAGAATGGCAGAGGCTAGTGCTAAGATGAAGGCGTCTTCAAGACATTCAGCATTTCTCAAAGTTAAAAGAATTTCATCTGTGTATGAAGCCAGATATTCAAGAAAGTTAGGAAAGCTCTTGCTACTTGGTTTCTAAGGGATCTTCTGCCCAAATGACGAACTTGCCTCTCACCTTCCTACACCCTGACATGACCTTCCGCTATGCGACTGACACAAACCTTTCTTGATAGCGGGTTGCCCAAGCTTAAGGTGTTGGTGTTGGGTGGCTTCGCGTTCACTTAGAGGTGGCAAGTCAACCGGATTGCGTCACTCGGCAAAAGTGAGGGCGGCAATGGTCTGGGAAGAGCTCTACCTCGACCACTGCACTGTCCTTACTGAAGCTTGTCATTTCCGTCGGCAATCGGGCCAGTCGACCTTTGGATGCGATCACAATGACCAGCCGATCAAAGTGGACAACACTGAGTAGCCCAAAGTTGCGTCAATCTCATCTGTCACGAATGACACAGACGAGACCCTAGAGAGTGTCGAATATAGCTCGCGAAGGCATGGTATCCTCAGCTCTTGGAATCAAACAACGATATCACTCAAAGTTTTCACGATGGGGGATGAAGATTGGAACGGCGATTGCAACCGGTTGATAGTTGAGGCGAACTATCCCGACCAGCTCCCTTTGAAAAGCGACCCGTTATTCGACCCGCGATACCTCCGTCACGAGGAAAAGGCTTTTGTGCAATACAAGTGCCTGCCGCATCTGTTCAACACGCAAGACTGGAGTCTGGAAGCATACTATAAGAAAACAGACTGTCCTGAGGTCTGGTGACGCAGTACAAATATGGAGTTGGAATGTGTGTGAACCGCCCTGTCGAAACAGATGGGCTGGACAGAGGAGACAGCACCATCCTACGGTATGTCAAGTCTGACGGCTTGGCTAGCCACGATCCTTGGACAAGATACTTTCCGATCGAAGGATCTTGCAGGGGGACATCTATGGAGGAGCTAGAGCCTAAGACAGTGAAAAAAGATATCGAGGCATATGACTGCTTTCTCGCAGACATTGAAGCCAGAGCAGTAGCTCAGGCTTGACGGACTTGTGATGAATAAGCAGTCGCCCATCTCGCTTTTCAGAAAAAAGTGCCATGTCGTCTAAGAAAGGGGAAATTTTGGAGTTCATACAGAGGTACCTTATCGTGATCCTTGGGTGATTGGTGACAATCTGCAGCACATGCAACAGCATAAAGTGGATCCCACGATGTGAACCCATGCGAAGGAGGGGCAGTGGTTGCTTTTTCTTGATGTCAGGAGTCACGCTGAAAGGGTCGCTTCTTCCTAAGTCCGGTTTTCTCCCCTACGCAGACGCAATAATTGCTTTTTCTACCGCAGTAAACGCTACGCACAGCGCCCTCGGGTCCAAAGAGGAAAACGAGGCCGAAGTTATTTGAGGCAGGCGAATTGGCAAATGTAACCTTTCGCAGACCCTTGCTCTTACTGAAGGCCATAAAATGCCTCGGTTTCCAACACACCAGCGTCGAGCATGTTTCATCGGCCATCAACCGCAACTATTTGTTTATACTTCCACTCACTATGGCGACAAACGAAAGCCCTCAGACTCGGGGTCTTCCCTATCTCCCTTTGGAGATCAAGCAACACATCATCTCTTTGGCTTCTCGATCCACTCAGCTCTCCGTTCGCTCAGCTGGCAAGGAGCTGTTCGAGCTCGCCACGGAGCTTGCGTTCTCCGAGCTCCGCCTGGAGAACAAATGGGATTGCGAACGGCTCTTCCACGTCTCAAGATCGCCGAACCTCGTACCACTCGTCAAAAAAATCAGCTTTTACCCTTGGTTTGAATGGGTTGGTCAAGATCACTTCATCTCGTGGAGGCTTCTTGCAATCATGCCGTACATCAGGTACTTCCCAAACCTGACAAGCATCTACTTCGGAACCACGACGCAGTTCATGGATGATGTTCAGGCCGAAAATCACGGGAAGTTCCACGACAACAACTCCATGGACAGACTCGTCCAACACCTTATCTACTGTATATCGGGCGAACAAGGCGAGTCTCAGTACCATTTTACATTAAACGTCATGCGACACTATATTTCGGCGTTGGAACGCGCGGATGAAGAGGTGCCCTGGATTCGCCAAGGTCTCAATGGAGATGAGGAACAAGAGCTCCAAGAGCTAGACCCGGGACCTAACCACTACATGGCCCGTCAGGCCCGACTGTTTCCATACAGCAACCCGAGGCATCCAGCGAATGGTATATGGACACCACAAGGCCTCAACTTGCTTGATGACCCGTTGTGGAAGGACTGGAAGAATTGCCTCGGGCCTCCGATCCCGCTGCAGTCTCTCAGGATTGGCGGGCTTACCAAAGATGGCATGGCTGGATACCCAAATGATGACGCCTTGGTAAGGTTTAGGCAATCCTCAAAGTTGACCGAATTAAGTCTGTGGATGAAGCCAGATGAACTGGAGCATTCCGGGCACTTTGGTTTCAACAGACCTTCGCCCCAAATGACGAACCTGCCTGTCACGTTTCTACACCCCGACATGGCCCGGAACCTGGCAACTCTTTCTCTCTACGGAACCTCGAACTGGGGCTGGTTCCCAAGACTCGACCTGCGAGAAATCAGTCCGAACCCGAGAAATCCGCTGAAGGGCTGCCTCCCGAATTTGAGAGTATTGGCTCTCGGAGGCTTCACATTCAATCAGATGTGGCAGATCGACTGGGTCGCGTCTCTGGGGAGGGAAGGCGGTGCCCGTCAAGGACTCGAGGAGTTGTATCTTGACACATGCAACATTCTTCATTCAGCATTCAGCTACGCGCCCGACATGGACTCCAACTCTCGCTTCGACGTATCCGGGTACCCGGCAGAGTGGTCCATGACTACGACGTTGGACGAAATGGACGCGTTCGCGCAGAGCCACCTGGAGGACACGACCTTTGGATTATGTTGGCACCACATGTTGAATTCTTGGCGGGAGAGCATGACGTCGTTGAAGGTTTTCAAACTGGGCTACGGCGACTGGACTGATGCCTACATGGATTATGTCGCCGAGGCCAACTGCTCCGACTTGATGCCGTTCACACGCGATCCGCGTCTCTCGCGCCGATTCGGCCGGTATCGAGAACAGACGTTTTTGAACTACGACTGCCCTACACCGCCACCGTGTGATACGGCGGACGACGGGATGACTAGATTGTACAAGCCAGAAGGCCACCCAGATCCGTCAAAATATGTCCATGGAGTAGGGATCCACTCAACAGAGAGGAAGAAACTTCGGCATGATAAAGGCGAGTATTATCCTGGATTCGGGTACTGGAATTACGACGGCGGTGACGAAAGGCTATGGATCGCCAGATTTTCCAATGACAACTCACCGATGCGAAAAGAGGACTGGAGGGCGTTGGACAGGTTGCGCGCGGCGGTCAGGGCCAGGTCGCTTCCATTGGATGTCTCTGAATAGTTGAGATCGGTTAGCCAGAGGCTGCTATGATGGATGGAAATCAACTCACGTAAATAATGTGTCACTAATAGGTTTAATCGTAGAATTTGATATCAACTTTCTTTGAGGCTTCCCGAAACGATGCCTACTTCATGTCACTTCTCAATTCACAATTGTCGCTACGTATTTACGCGTTGCAGCTGCATAGCTCACCGGCTTCATACCCCCATAACTCATCATATTATATAGACATTACTGTGAGGGTATAACAAAACACCTTCTTGTCTGTTGTCGTTTATTGTCATCTTGTTGTCCACGTTGTTGTCGTCCGGCATCGTCCCTTTGGTGTGTTTATGCGTTACGGACTTAGCACTGCATCAGAATGCAGAGTTACGGCAGGCTTACGAGTTCGGTCTACTGATCTTTCTTCTCATGAGGGCTCGGAGATGCTCTTGACTCAAGCGTTTCATGCATGCGTCCCACGAGAAGTGAAGATGACGACAGTACTTATTGGCGTAATCATCACGTGAGACATTGATCCTTCCTTTGCGGCTACCTGCATAAACGCCGCGGACTTTTGTCCACAGCCTCAAAGATCACACTTTCCCACCTCCTCGCTCGTCTCCAAGCACGCTGACGCAAAAGTATCCGATTGCAGCCACGCGCTTGAACATCCCTCGCCGCCTGTCGGTCACAGCCCGACCTTCAGACCGTCAACATGGGAAGCCCTCGGATTCAACTTATGGACATGCCGCCAGAAGTTCTCTCACTCGTCATCTCCCAAACACCGCTGCAAACTCGGTTTCAACTTCGCCTTATCAGTAAGGCCTGCTACCGTTTAGCGACGCCCGAAGCCTTCAGGCATATCCGATTGATCGGGAACGGGGCGAAGAGATTCAAGAGGATTGCCATTACTCCTCATCTTCAACGACACGTCAGAGAAATCACCTGCGACGGAGGAGATGCTGCCGCGTGGGAAAGGAATGGCGAGGCAACAGACACGGATAACCCCTTATCAGCCTTTTTGGCCGCTCTGCCGTTCATTCGGCGATTCTCAGGATTGAGAATCTTGAACCTCGCATTCCACCGCACTCACGATATTGACAATTCGTTTCTCGAACCAGTTGCCTTGGACTGTTATTTCTTCAGGCAGTGGGTCATGCTTGCTGCGTTTCACAGCGTTCTCGGCAAGCGCGTCATTGAGGACGTCAACTGGAACCCCGACAGATATGATGGGCGACATGGACTTCTGAGAGCCTTGATCGTAGGCAACGGCATAACGTTGCCAAAGGACTGGCACTTTCTGAGAGAAGAGTCCTCAACCATCAACTTGGAACAGCTCAACATCACAAATCTGGCCGGCACAACGTTTCATGACTACAAGGAAACCGAAACCAACGACTGTCCATTCTGGAAGCGGCCGGCAGTTAAACAAATCACCTCCCTGCCAAGTCTCAAAAGCCTAAGTCTGATGATCACTCCAGACAACATGAGAACACAATTTCGAGACGAAGTTACCGAGTCTTCTACTTTCGAGTCGCCAAACGAGTTCCGCTATATCACGAAATGCTTACCGCAGTGGTTTGATTCGTCTGCTGCTTGCAACCTCACCGTCTTGTCCCTCTACTATGATGAGCTATGGGGATATTACCCAAAGTTCGACTTCCGTCTCATCAACCCAGGGAATGGGTCAGACTCAGGATTTCCGCACCTTGGAGTTCTTTCCCTGACAAGGTACTGCTTCAGCCATGAATGGCAGATAGAGTGGGTTGCCTCGCTTGGCCGAAATGGCTTACGGGAGCTTTACCTTGATGAGTGCGCACTACTTTCAGTTGCCTTCTGTTCTACGGGTCCAGAGAGGGCGGATGAAAACTCTTACGCGCAAAGCATTGACGGAAACGCGATTGCGTTTTCCAACCAAGGTTATTTACCTGGGTCTTGGAAAGGCGGCCACAGCTGGGACCCGTGGGCGGTATACTATGACTCCAACCTCAAATGGAGTCAGTTCTTCGACTACTGGCGCGTCTCGATGTCTTCTTTGAAGGTATTCAGGATGGGATCCACAGAGGCTCATACGACGTGGTCCCATGTCAAGATGACGGATTACTGGGGGAGGCCACTGCCTCGGACTGCAGTCCCTGACGGCTACTTTTTCGATAAGATCAAGACGGAGGCGCACACCAGATTTCACGATGACAGCTGGCGCAAAAGCGTACGGATGGAAGAGCTCAAGGTTCCATTCTACGTCAAATTCATGCCGGAGCCCATCGACGGCCACAATCGAAATATCCTGCCGTGGATATTCTTGCCAGCACGGCAGCCACCGTTGACTGGCAAAATTCCCGAGGCTTTCAATGACGACATCACCGCCTTAGAGATGCTCAGAGAGACTGTAGATGCACGCTCGAGGGGCGTTATTTAATTAAGGCATGCTAAAATCCCAGACAAGAATTATCATCCAGTACCTACTTCAGAAGCCTCTGAAATCCTGTTGGCCACTCTTTGGCGTGCTATTGGTTTCATGTAGCTAATTTTTCATCAGCGTTGAACAACGATAGAGAGTGTAGTTTCAATTAATTGGAATCCCATCAAAGATATTCGACCATGAATCTCTTGAAGTAAAATTACGCTGGGTCACTGCAGCACGTGTCATTTTCTTCAACTATCAGGGTTTCAACTCACACTCAGCTAGATAGCAGGAAGTTCCAGAGTCAATTCCCGTATTAGAGCAGCTAGATTCCTGCCCTTTGAAAGAAATACCATTTTGGAAGGTTCCATCGCCACGCTGTAGTGTCTCGACCCTCTTAACTTTTAACCTGACCCGAAGGTACAGAAGTGAAGACTCAAGACTGGGAACAATGCAAAACGCCACGGCCCACATGAAGAGCCCTTACCCACCAGGTACTCGTCAGGCAAAAAGGTATTCAGCCACCCAAGCTACGATTCTTATTTGACCTTTGCGAAGGTTCTTTCTCTCCCAGTTTCTGCTGAAGTTTAAGCAACGTGGCTTTGGTATCACTGTGTTTAGCAATGAGAAGTTCTCGGGAAAATATAAAACTGCTCTTGGGTCCCAACTTCAAATGAGAGAGGTGGGGTTCACTTCCACAACCCCTTAATCCCAGCTTGAGAACACTTTATCAGTAAACATCACGATGGAGTTTGCTTGGGCGTTCATTCTAGCTTGCTGCACATTCCAAGCCGTCGGATACCTCTTATTATTATCTTTGTTTATATTCAGAAAGGCACATGAGTGCAGAGGTGAGATTCTCGTAGACCAAACATGCACATGAGCTTATACTAATGATCCAAATACGCAGTCTCTACCCAAGATACAGAGTCTACACAGGAGATACATACATGGCCTTCCGATGTCAACATCTCTACCGAGATTCCGGAAGCCGAGACGATCGATTTCGACACCCCTCGCCCGGGCGCTCCCCCGTGGGAGGTCAACTTTTGCCAAAACCGACGCCACAGTCGAATCATCCGTCTCCCCGACGAGCTGCTGCTCCAGATCATGCAACTGGCCAGCATATCAGATCTCTTCATGCTGCGCCAAGTCTCTTTCACCTTTTTGCGCATCTACCGGGGCAAGGACTTCGCGCAGTTCCACATGACACGGGGGCTGTTTGGCAACGACCCGATGACCGTTCTGCGCGCCAAGCAGCGGGCATTTTGCAACGAGTGCTTCAAGAGAAGAACACTTCCTGACAGTGACTTCAACCTGGAAAAGACTCAGTATCGAGTTGGGGACCGCATAGCCTGTTCTGGCTGCATGCATACGCGGCCGAGGTCGTACTTCACACCCAACCAACGCCGCCAGTCTGCAGAGACCAGGCGGTGCATCATCTGCTCTGAAGGAACCATCCGTCTTTGCCCTCACATAACGATCCCCACGCAACACATATTCGCCAAGATTAAGGAGACAAAGCCCAACGATAATGGCGTGGCAACTCCGGAACTGGAGGTTGTATTCGAAACGCTTGAAGGTTTCGGCTGTCAGCAGTGTCCGCAATTGGCCTTAGAACGTGTAACTGAGGCCTGGAGACTTCAAGCCGGGCCGTATCTCGGACTGAAAAAGACAACACGACCAAGTGGCAGTAATTGCATGTGGATAATGGAACAGGTTTGGCAATTTCCACTCTTTGATATGCCAGAGCGAGGACCGATCACATTCCCATTTCTAAAACAGAAGTTGGAGGAATTCATAAGAAGACATGGCAATATTATTTGCCCTCATTTCAATTCTAATGGCAATCAAATGTTGCGGGCACTTGATCCTTGCCGTTGCTCTTGTCTAGGCGGAGATCGTCGAATAGGGAGCGTGGTTCCGTACAACAGAGCCGTATGGGGTACCGCCTTTTGCTTCCAGTCAGGGATAAGAGAACATCGGACTTTTTGCGACGTATGCAATAGTTCCTACAGCTGGCGAAGGGACGGTAATCATGTCTACCTGTCACGTCAATCTGTGTCTTCGGGTTATATCCGGGTCACGCAAAACGACATGGTTCTCACTCCATCTGACGACCTGATCAGGCTGATTGCTCCCTTACTTAATAACGCAGAGTCGGACGTTGAAACAAAACATATGTTCTGGTGCGAAGTTTATGATTGCAGGAATGGTAAAGACTGGACTAAGTTTCGTAGGCGGCTTGAATCCAGGGGGCGATACCTTGATCCATAGAACGCGAACAGCCCAACGACAGAGAGTGGGTGTAGGGAAAAGGGCAAACAGAAAAGACAGCTGAGAGCTCATGCAGAGAAAAGATTGGTTCCGACACTGTACACCTCTACAAAGCCATGTTCCAGACCCTGATCTCAATGAGAAACTCCTCCATGAGACTCCGATCTACCGGTATGGTCAGCTCATTTGTTCAGCGGGTACTTGCCAACAAGCCGAGGGAGACACCAAGTGATGACGACATGGCCGATGTTAAGCAGCGACAATATGAAGCAAGGGCAGACGGAAAAATGGGGTAAAAATACAAGACTCACCTTTGAAAGGAATTACATGTGGGCACTCGTCTGAGTCTGGTGCTTTCTGAAATCCGTGTTGAGTTCTTCAACCTGGTGAGTCAGGCCGGTCTTTGGATCAGTGATATTGTCGCTCAGGCTCTTCACACTCTCTTGGATGACAGTAATACTATTGCCCATACTTTCAACTCGACTCTCAGCCGAGGAAAGCCGAGCCTTCAAGCCCGTGCCTGTAGTAGTAATGTCGTTCATCAGCCCAGCCACACCTACCTGTACTGTGGTGATGTTATTGACAGCTGAGCGAAGCTGATCACCCAATCCAGTCTGGGGGGCAGTGACGTTAGATGTCAGATTGGCCAAGTTCGCCTCAACTGTAGTGATATTGTTGACAGCTGAGCGAAGCTGATCACCCAGTCCAGTCTGGGGGGCAGTGACGTTGGATGTCAGGTTGGCCAAATTCGCCTGTAGGGTTGTTATATCTGTACCAGTCGAGTGAAGCTGAGCCGTGAACCCCTTGTCTAGGGTAGTGACGTTGGCCCTGAGGCTGTCCACACTCGCTCGGAAATTGTTGTGGTTGGTGTCACATGCGTTGACGCGAGTTAGGAGGGAGTCACCGACGGCTGGCAAATTGTCCAGAACATAGCCGACGTGATCCCTCATTGCTCCTTCGATACGCTCTGTACGACCAAGCAAATTGATCACACAAGTAACCAAGTTGGGTGTGGCGACAGGTAAGCCTTGAGGCGGGGGCGTGTTGGGCGCGGGAATGCCTGCGAGATTCTCCAAAGCCACGAGTCTTCTCTCCAGGCCGTCGAACTTGGCGGTGTTGTTCTCCCAGCCCGCAAGTCGTCCAATCCATGTCAACCGACTAGTGGGCTTCATAATGCGGTCCTTCAAGAAGGTGAAGAATGATAGAAGAAAGCCAACGAAGGACAGAAAAAGGCCGATGGAGGATACGCTTGTGGACGCTTTTGCCGGGCCGTTCCACGGGTCGGCATTGGCAATCTTGAATTGCGCGTTGGACAAGCGATCAACGGATTCCGAACAACTTCGTCTTGAAGGCGTCCATCCGATCCTCAAGCTTGTCGAACACCAATGTCTCCGACCTATTGACGGACACCAACGTTAGATTGGCTCGTACATGAGGGGCACTTGAGCGTCTGGATCTTACTTGAGACTGTTTTGGACTGCGTGTTCAGTGCTTGTATCGGGAACCCGGCCGTCGAAGATCGATTCCTTTGTCCTGTTGACAGACACCAAAGTTAGCCTAGCTCGTACATGAGGGATGAGCGTCTGTATCTTACTCGATAGTGTTGTCATACACGTCGCAGGCTTTCTGGAAAATCTTCCTGGGCGTGGAGCTTGACAGAGAAGTCTCTCTGAAGTCGGACGCAAGCGGCAATGCGTGTCCAGGTCCAGTCTGAACGTTGGTCGTCAAGGCACCCAAGACAACGAAGAGGATGCGAGATAGCTTCATGGTTTCAGGGCTCAGTGCTGGAAGTTTGGGAACTGAATAGGCCAACGACGACGACGATGAAGGTCGGGAGAAGCTTGGGGGCCGAATAAGCCAACGACGATGAGGGATGATAGAAGTGTTAAATGATGGGAGAAGAGTACAGTGATGGCGATGGCGATGGATGGAAGGAAATGCGACTTGCTCTTCCATTCTTTCGTTTGAGGAGCGTACCTTCCATCGCAACAAACGAGAAGGGTCCCAACTGGGGCTTTCGACGGGAAGGTGCGTTGCTGAACCAGGAAGGCATCATGATGGAGCAGGCGCGGCAGACTGCCTTAGCACCAAAGGGCAGGAACAAACGAGCTCTCTCCGAGAAGGAAGGAGCCATCTTTTTCTATTCTCTTTTCCAACCTGGCTGTCTATGAAATAAAAGTGGTGTTTCAAGAGCATTGAATTCACCTCTTTCAGTACAAGAGTTGGCACATAATGAAGGCCTGTTGTCTTGCAATGTGGTAAATGTTGTCTGTGGTCTGTGAATGAGCTCTCCGGAGTCTATCTGTTTGGCTGAAAGGGAGATGTAAGTTGGACCGTAGATGCCTACCCACCCAAAGACGCCTACCCGAAGGCATGCATGAAGTCTTCTTGTCTCTTTGCAGAATCGAGCGCAAAGTACCTTATGCAAGCTGCCTTTGAACGGTTCCATGACGAGATCTCTTCAAGTTTGAGAGACTACGAACTCTTTTCCCTTGCTAAAGCGGGGTCCTATGCATGCAACATGTCAAGATGGCCTGGGATCAAGACAGCCTCGCCTCCTGAATGAACCCTGACGATGTCCTTTCTTGTGGCCGAGCTTTTTCCGACGTGATACGTATGTTTTCAAAGAGGCAGGAAATTCATTTGTTTTCTATGTCGTGCGTTGACGTATTCGACCTCATTGTCTGTTAGGTTCCAAATTATTCTTTGGGTTCTGGATGTGATGGGGTTGATAGAAATCACAAATGGTCTAACTAGTGGAAAACTCCGGATGATGGCTGACGGCTCTTTCAGAAGACTACAGCACTCATAGCATGTGGTAAATGTTTCATTAGGTTGACATTCTGGGAGGGGTCTATCTGGTGCTTCAGAGTAGTAGCTAGGATCGTCCAAACTCCACCGGCCTCGCGATTCCCTTCGTAAACCAATCCCAACCGGACCAGCTCACCGTCCGCCTGCCCCAATCAGCCCTCTTAGGCTCGTGATAGCGTCAACCTTCTGAGATGGGTTATCTTCGGAACAAATGCTGCGTCGTCCTGTCTTCGCTGGCTTTGACAGCGTCATTGCTTGATAGATCGCAGACGGCTCGGGCTCGGAAACATACCCAGCTTCTGGCTCCTCGTCTTCTGTGGTTGGCCGAGTTGTGTCAAGAACCTCTGAGACCTTTCTCGAAATTCGGTTACTCGCCAAGGATGGTGGAGGCGCACGCATGGAGCGAGACTCCATGGGGCTCTGGAATACCGAGCTCAGCTTGCGTGTGAGCTTCTGTAGGAGGCTGGGCTCGTCCTTGGGAGGCTCGAATTTGGGAAGGTCAGCAAAATGGGTAGATCGGGAGCGAGACAGACTTTTGCTGTCTGTCGCGCGACGGCCAAGTGGCTCCAGAATCGAGCCATTCTTAGGACGTGAGGTACTGTGAATGACGGCTTCAGATGCCCTCCTGGTCAGCTTGTGGGCGCTTGAAAGCCCATTTGTGTCGAAGATGTCTTGATGAAACAGGCTGGAATTAGATTTTACCGACTCTCGCGGCATGTTTGGAGTCTGGGGGATAGGTAAGATACCGCCAGGTCGAGCGTCAATACCGAGATGATACATATCCTGTGTTTCCCGCTCTTCGTGAATGATGCTGGTTGAAGGGCTAGCCCATTCATTGGTGAGGCGTTTGTTCAGCGGGGGGAATGACGTTATGCCTTGCTGGATCTCGTCCCTATTATTCAAGAGAGTCTTTCCGAATTTGTTGTCCTGCTCCATCTCCGTCGGATGAGCCCTCTTCGGATCGTTCTCTTCCTGGTGATTTTGCTTGGCGCTGTGCTTCGGATCGCGGTTCTCAGTCCCTTGCTCTACCTCTGCCTTTTCTTGTTTGTCCCCTATCTCGGCGTTGATCTCAGATACAAGCTGAGAGCCAATCGAGAAACCTTGGAACGAAGGTTCGCCGGTTTGGAGTTCAGAAACGGGGCTCGGTTCGTCGTCGAGAGTATGAAGCTTGACCTGGCCAGGACCACAGTCCTTGACCACCTGGATGGGGTCCTCAGACTCGTTCTCAGGATTATTCTTTAGATCGCCATCGCCATTGCCGCTCGGTACACTCTTCCGGTCTTCGTCAAGCCCTGGCCGAGACTGTTCGTTCGATCCACCCTCAGACGCTATCTTGTGGCCGTCTGTGGATCTGCTTGTGGGTACGTCCATAGCATCATCGTTTTCAGAGGCTGTTTCGCTCTCCGGGTGCCATTGAATGTTAGTAATGCTGTCTTTGGAGAGAATGGTGGTGATAGAAGCTTGCGAAGGTCGGACTTTGGCGCGGACCTGCCCATCTGACCTACTCCGGGCAAAGAATGCAGTCTGGGGCTCGTTGATAGTAGTAGCAGGGTCTGCCGCATTCGAAAGTTGCGGATCCGTGGCATTCATGAGGCAACTGGGCTTTCTGACCACCTGCTTGGCCTCCTCGACCCGCTTGCCGGACCTTTTGTGAAGAGCGTCGCCCGTGACGGTTGGGCCATGACCATGCTCGCAGATTTCCTGGACAACAATGTTGACAAGATCTTGGACTTGACCGTCGTCAAGAACATACTGACAAGAACCTCGCTGGCACGTAGAACTCGAACCCGCTTTGCCAGGAGACGCCTTCTGACGTTCGGGGTGGCGAGACAAATGATTTCGAACTTTCCGGACGATGTCATGTACTGAAATCTGAGATTTGCCTCGCAGCTTCAAGCCAGGTCTCTTTGGACTACCGACGACATGTTTCGAGCTGTTTCGTCGACTGTTCAGTTTGACAACCGGGGGTCGAGCTTGGGGCACAGGTCTGGCCGATGTGCTTGAGGAAGCCGTCTGCAAAGGATATTGCTGGGATGACTGGGACGTGGGGGTATTGTCTGGGACCGGGAGTTGCGAGAGTTGCGGGAGTCCCGGAACAGCCATGTTGGCGGCCTGCTGGGGAACGTCATAGGGACTTTGAATGTTCGCTAGAAACAAGTTAGAAAGGCACTCTTCAGAGTGACAAAAGTCAAGCTAACCTTGAACTTGATGACCGGCAGGGTTTCCAGCATTTATAGTGTCTCCAAATGCCTTAGGAGGGATGGGAATCAGTTGTCCGTTGGCATCCACGCTCCTGCATCTGGAAGGTCGGCGGATGGCCGGCGTTGCTGGCGGAGCCCAGAAAACGTTTCCGACGTTTCCATTGCTGATCAGGCTGCAGTCGGCGATGGTAGTTGGCGCAGGCGGAATAACTGGATGATGTGCCCCAGATGGCTTCCGCCGCGTCGTAGGAAAGATGACCTTTCCCGCGCAATTCGGGACGAAGACGCCAGGGAGACTGTGTTCGGCGACAGCATTCTGGGCAGCATTGGGTTGCTGTCCAGCCACCGGAGCAGCCATTTCCCTGTCCTGGTCCCAGTCCTGAAAGAAAGACAACATAACGACGATGCAGAAAGAAGATGCTGACCACAATGGTGTTGACGAAGAAGGTCGTGGACGAGGTTCAGAGGTCTAATCGAGGTTGAAGAGGGTGAAGCTTCAGTATTCACATCGCATGAAGCTGAGTAGGGTCAATACAATGAAGAGAATAAGAAGAGACCGACGGATCCAATGTCAGTTGCTGAAGTTGTTACTTGGAAGACGTCGGGGTGCAGCACTTGCTGTGTTGAGGAAAGAGTTGCTAGGGTACGGTCAGCATCGTGAGGAAGGAGTCCCCTAGGCATGGGCCGCATGGCAAGAACCGAATGAGAGCGTCCCTTTCCCTTGACGGACTCATTCGACATGCCTGACATCAAATGGAAGTTGCAGTTTCATCCATTCATGTCAGTTATATATGATTAGATAGGTACTTCCTCCAGAAAGCCATGCATGTCAAGCATCATCCGAGGAAAGCGTCATGATCGTGTTTTTTGGTGATTTCCATTTTGGGAAAGAGATCATGGTGATAATTGTTAGTGCATACGGATGACATAAGCATGTGTGGGCCAGTCTGCATGGAGACTAGCGCTGTCAGATGGGCACGGTCCAGAGCGAACCGCCATTTTGACCAATCAGAATCCCTGCGCAACAAAGGGTTTTCGAAAGCTGGATCGGCAAAATCCTCTGCCAGCTGAGAGCTTCCAACTTTTTAGATCAAAGCGCCTTTCTTTGACATTTTTCGACGGCCGACGACGACGCTCGCGAACGGCGTCTCGAGAGCTCGTTCCTTTCTTTGGTTCTGAACTTGATAATTCCTCATGACGCCCACGAGTCCGTCTGACCCTGCTGGACCCTCCGACGCCGGCAGCGCCTACACGAGGTTGCACGTTACTCCTTTCGACCAAGACCTCTTGAAGCTCGTCGTCCCCTCGGCTTCGCTGCCCAAGGCTCGCAACATCTCCTACCACACGATTGAGACCTTCCCCGAGAAGCGCTTCGGTTTCGTCGAGCTGCCCGAGGCCGACGCCGAGAAGGTCAAGAAGAGGCTGAACGGTTCGGTGCTGAAGGGTGTGAAGATGAAGATCGAAAAGGCACGCCCCGAGGAGAACTACCTCCCGGTCCCCGGCGAAGAGGAGGAATCTGGGAAGAAGAGGAAGAAGAAGTCCAAAGAGCAGGAGGAGGGCACCAAGAAAAAGCGGAAGCGCGACCACAACGTCGTCGAGGGCGTCGAGCTGCGCGATCGAAAGGTCAAGCGAGGCTGGACTGTCCCTGAAGAGGCCAAGATTCGAGAGAAGAAGAGCAAGAAGGACAAGGAGAAGAAGGAAAAGAAGGACAAGCACAAGAAGAGGGAGGAACGCTCCAAGTACACCGACAAGGAGGAGTGTCTGCTAAAGACGAAGCTGCCTGCCAAACTCCCAGCTACGAAACCGGCCGATGCAGACGATGACGATGAGCCCAAGAAGCGCAAGAAGAAGTCGCGCGAGGTTGTCATTCACGAGTTCGAGAAGACGACCAAGTTCCCGACATTCCTCAAGGCCACCAAGCCAGCGCCTGCCGAATCGCTCACCGCAGAGTTTGTCGAGGGCAAGGGATGGATCGACGCCCAGGGCAACGTGATCGAGTCGGAGAAGATCAGGAAGACCGCGACGGCGCCCGTTCCCGAGAGTGAGGCTCCCAAGAAGAAGAAGAAGCCTGCCAAGGCCCCAACCCCTCCCCCGCAAGACGACGACACGACAAGCAGCAGCGGCACTTCTTCAGAGGACGATACGTCTTCAGATGACAGCTCAGACGACGAAGAGGAAGTCAAGGCGAAACCCGTGACACCTGCAAAGAAGGCACCAGAAACATCGAAGCCCGCGCCTAAACCTGTCGACGACGATGACACGAGCAGCAGCGGCACCTCGTCCGATGACAGCAGCTCGGATTCGGACTCTGACGACGAAATGGAGGATGCAGACAAGGTAGTGGCACCTCTTGTCCTGGATAGCCCTCTGGCCGCCCTCAAGGCCGCCGATGCCTCACGACCCAGGTCGGCTGGCTCCAACGTCAGCCTGACGATCAAGATACCGACGCCTTCTACCCCGGCCAAGGTCCATCCTCTGGAAGCGCTTTACAAGCGACCCAAGCCCGACGAGAACTCGACCCCGCAGCCCCACAAGGAGGCCGAGCCTTTCAGCTTCTTCGGCGGCGGCGACAACGACGACTTGGAAGAGGAAGACGCGGCGCCGACCAGCCAGATGCCCATGACCCCCTTCACCGAGCAGGAGTTCGCGTGGCGCAACATTAGAAGTGCGGCGCCCACGCCCGACACCGCGCACCCGAATCGCACGAAGCCTTTCTGGGCCATTGGAGCCGAGGCGGACGAGGAAGAGGAGGACGAGGCGACGCAGCAGGAGATCGAGGCCACTCTTAACGCCGAGCAGAATGCCGTCGAGGGCGAGGGCAGCGGAGTGCCCGCCGGCGAGTTCCAGAAGTGGTTCTGGGAGAACCGAAGGAATCTGAACCAGTCGTGGATGAAGCGTCGGAAAACGGCGGCCAAGGAGAAGAGGCACAGGGATAACAAGTCCCGGGCGTCGAAAGCTGTATAATGCATGTGGAAGATGATACTCCATCAGCGTAAATAAAAGTTGTCCATTTCTGCCAGTCCTTGTTTCTTGTTGGGCTATCGTTGGCACCTCTACAAGTGCTGCGATAGGTCTTATGCTTTTGCCACACCCTGGTCTCATGTATGTGATCCCATGAGGCCTTGCATTTCCCGTTCCGTGAAGTCCAATACTGTTCAATACAAATCAGAAGAGTTCATCTTGTTTGATGTTCGAGTTCTTTCACCCAATATTCAAATCAATTATTATGTATGTATATTAGTAGCCGAAGGCCACTTTGTTCAAGGGCCACGCGACATTAATGCTGTTTACTCCAGCCAAGATTCGCAGACGAGATTTCCATCTGAACGAAATTACATCTTCGCATCTCTTCCGAGACCAGTCTGCCCGATAGCAAACTCCTTCCTCTCATCAGCCGACAACCTCGTCTCAGCCAACTCTCCCTGCGACCCTTCCTCAACCGTCGCAAACTTGTCGGTCTCAACAGGAACATGATCCCGAACCACAAGCCAAGTCGGGTAAACAGCAAGACCTGCCACACATTAGCAACCGGAACCCCCGTCTTCAATCCGAATCCAAACTCACCCAGAAGAATCGTGTTAATAGCCAACGGCACCCGACCGCCCTTCCACTTCCTGGTATTCAACCCAAACGCAACAGCCTGCGCGAAACTCTCCTGGCCTCTCAGCACACCAGAAAATCGAGCCAGCTCGGAGATGTTGTCCGTCTTAGTCGCCAGCAGGTAGTACAGCCAGTTCTGCAGCGCCTGGCGCGCGAAATCCCACAGCAGCAGCACGAAGAAGCCCTCCGTGAAGCCCTTGTCCTCCCAGTCGTACGCCGGCGGGTTCGCCGTGTACTTCTCCTGGATGACCCAGCCGTAGACCCAGGCGATGACGTGCCAGACGACGACGTAGTAGAAGCCGACGTTGATGCGCTTCTTGACGCTGAAGCCCTTGTAGTCGAGCAGCGTGCTCATGAGCTGCGAGGATAAAAGCGTACCAAAGTTGCTGACGAAGCCGATGAGCGCTCTTGCTCTGACTCCGAAGTAGTAAGATTGGAAGTTTCCGCTGTACTGGTTGAAGTACGCCGCCCAGAAAATCGGGAGGAGAAGCAAGATCTCCTTTCTCTTGGAGACTCGCCACAACTCCCGGAATTCAGCAGAGAAAGACTTTTCGGCCTTGATTATGACCTTGCTGCCATCGCTTCTCTGTACTTTCTCCGGTGGCGAGAGCAATAGCGCGAGTGGCACACTGACACACTGCAGCGCGATGAACACCAGATACGTCTGATATCCAACCTTGCCCTTCTTCTTCGCCGCAGCATCGTTATTCAGTGCCAAAACGATTGCACCACCTAGCAACGGACCGCCTGTGCGGAACCACAGCCAGATGTTCATGTATTTTCCTCTCTTTGACGGCTCGGGATACCCCAAAGCGATCGCGCCCTCGGAAGCCCAGAAGAGCCCGGCCGAGATACCGCAAGCAGCCGCGCCTACAAGGACAAACCACACGTTTCCGAAGCGGTTATTGCAGTAGAGACCGGCTGAATAAAGCGGGTATCCAACAGCGCCGAGGAGGAGGGTGTGGGCGAGACCGATGCGGTTGGCGATCGGTCCGCCGAAGAGGCAAAGGAAACCCATGAGACCGAAGACGAGAGCGTTCGCGGCATTGACGAGGAAGGGTTCTTGGGCACCGCCAGCGCCGAGTGCGTTCATGGCGTTCCAAAGGCCAGGGGCCATGAAGCCTGGGCTTCGGTCAGCATCATAGTTAGACCGGCGTTCGTGAGGTACGACTTACCGACACCTCCAATGACGAACGCATTGAACAGCGTTGAATGGTACCATACTGCCTTCACCGGCTCAGAGGCCGCGGCGTGGTCGCGGACCTCCGAGACCGGAGACTTGGTTGGTTCTTCGGCCATCTTGAGTTCGGGCTTGACTTGGCGATGAGACGGGTGGTGTTGAGCCGCACAGCAACTGGGCTTAATGTAATTTATATCTCATAACCCATGCTCCAGTCTCAACACGAATCTCATTGCCAGATAAAGCGCTCATCGTCAAACAATTTTCTCTAAATTTTCCTACATGGTTGCACTGCTCATTCCACACCAGAATGACGAATCTCTTAGTGCGATGTAGGATGGCCTCTGAATCCACTTGATGCCGGCAGTCTTGGCCCCCATTGGACTTTGGTGTGGGGTTTGAGCGATCTTTTGTCGGGAAATTATCCAAAATAGGGAGGTCTAAATGATGGGAACCACATTCATGGGAATGTCGCATGCAGTCTGGCCCTTGGCGAGGGTCTGGAAGTTGACCGGACTCATCTTCGCGGTTGAAGAAGTCGAAAACCGCGAAGAAGTCGAAATAGGATGAGAAAACATCATGAGGTGTGGCAAGAATGCCATGATGGCCTCATCTGACGACTTCATAATACGGCAACTTTTGATTGTCGGCAATCATGGTCATGAGAGTCTAGATGTCTAATTCTTCTATGTGGTTGGGAGTTTATAGCTTGGCCTGGATCTGACTCGTCTTCTGCTCCCGCTCTTTCAACTCTTTCCACCACTTCTGCTTCAACGCCAACACCCCGAAACCCAACACCGCCCACTCATCCTCCCACGCCGGCAACTCATACCCATCAGTCCCCTCCGCGGGAGGTCCTGCAACATCCTTCAAAAAGTCGAAATACTCCTTAAAGTCCGGCTTGATCTCATGAAACTGCGAAGTCGGCCCCTTGTACTGCAACCGCTTCACCTCCCACTCGTCCTGCTCCCTCGGCGAAGGCAGACCCCCACCCCGGTTCGCAAAGTACCGCGCCACCGCGACGGCCTGGTATTCGTACACACGGAACGAGATGGCGGCCTTGACCTGTCCGACGACCGCCAGCGAGGGGTCCGCGATGTTGAAGACGTGCTGGTAGAAACCGGCGAGGCGGCCGCTGGGGGTGACCGGGTCCGGGCGGAGAAACGGGTAGGAGAGCCGGTATCCGGTGCCGAAGTGCACCGTCTCGACGCCGTCGACTTCCGTGCCGTCTTTGAAGGTGAGTTTGACCAAGTTGTCTGGGCCGACGGAGACTCGCGTGATCTCGGGTTTGAGGACGACGTTGGGGAGTTCCCACGCGTCTTTCAGGATCTCGTTGTAGCCGCGCTGGGCAACGTAGAGAGGGCCGGAGACGATGTTGTGGATTTCAGAGACGGTGTCTGAGGCCGAGACGTTGCCGCCGACGACCACCACTTTCTACACCTTGATGTTAGCATGATGATAGCAATACTCATTCCTGTGATGACGAGACTTGCCTTGTTAACGTAGTCTTCGGGAGACCTGTACGCCTTGGAGTGCTCAAACCTCTCAGGCAAAGCGGCAAACGTCTCCTTCAACCCCGCGATATTAGGAACGAAAGGCACACCGTAGTGTCCTGTTGCCACGATTACGGCGTCAAAGTCATCTTGCCACCAGTAATCTCTCTTCTCATGCTTGAAATAATGCTGCGTCCGTCGGAGAGTGAGTCGCCATTTCTTGCCGACCTTCTCCACCCGCTCAATATGAGTGTTGAGGGTGATCAGATGTGAGAACGGCTCAGCAATCTCCTCAAGGTAGCCGGTGATTTTCTCCCACGGATGAGTGGGATTGCTCTTTCCGAAGCGGGTGATTGAGGTAGCTGAGTGGATGGACGGGAAGGGCTTGTAGGTAAAAGCCATGACCGGTGAACCGACATTGCTGTCCAGCGAGGGGTAGATGCCTGTCCGAGCAGTCACATTCTCTGGAGCTGCTGGTAGCGACTGTGGCAGTCTTGCTGGAATATCTCGAATAGGCTGACTAGAGTTTGGCGAGAATGGCTCTGGTACCGCATCATATATCCTGAAGCCCGTGAGTTATTTGCCAATGTCGTCGAAGTCCAATGTGACCACTCACCATGTCCCGCCAATATTCTCTCTCCTATCAAAGAGTTGAATCCTGTCAAAGGCCTTCTCTTCACTGAGGGCTTTCACGGCCGAAATGCCCGAAGGCCCAGCACCAATAATGGCAACGCTTGAGTAACGAGGCGCCATCACGTTAAGGAGATCTGGATCGCGTCTTCGAGATCTTTTCAATATTTCCAATGTTCTTGAGGGCTTTAATTTGTATCGTTGCCTCTCTCTCTTGGAGTTCCACGCAGCTTATATCGCCAGCTGACTGACGAATCGGTCGCGCATATGACGTGCTTCGTGGAACTCGACATGCGAAAGGCCGAAGTCCCACCCAAAGCTTGTGCTTGTCTGTGAGGTCAGCCAAAGTGAATATGGCGAAATTGTCATTTACGGTGAGGTTCTGAAAGATGGGATTGCCCCATCTTGATAGTTACACTGCTATCACATATGGAGCTGTGCGGCACGGGGAGCTCCCGCTCTGAAGACCAACATGGGTCTTTCCCCCTGTTACCTGTAGCAAAACATGATTCCATCTTTCGCATCAGTCAGACTTTACTTCCTCACAAAATCCATGATCTTCAACCAGACTTCACCTCCGTCATCGGCCGTATCGCTGCTGAATAATTTCCCACAAGGACTCCTCGCTGTCGTCTCATTTTGTTTGTACAGTCCATCGTCCGTCTCGACCAGAATCTTAACGGTCTCGCGGCTGAGATCCGGATGACCTTGGAACGTGATAAATCCTTTCTCTACGCTACTGGAGATCTCGCATCGTTCAGCAAGCGCAGTGAACCCAGGTGCCAAAGCCGTCACATAACGTTTATGGTACTTTTGCAGCAACTGGGATGATTAGATCAGCTTGCACCAGTGTGAACGGCTAAGACGAAACTTACCAGTGTATCCTTTCCAAAGAATTCCTTCCCCTCTGTGGTAAAGTTCATCTCTTCCACCGCAATCTATCCCGCCGGAGCAAAATAAGTTTCTTCTGAAATACGAAATAAAAGAGGTTAGGCTGCTAGCTTACCCTCGGTCCCTCGGCGAGAACCCCCAGGCTTCCACCGAGAGCGTAATGCACCGCCTGATGACCCCAACAGAAAGCGACTATTTTAGTGTTTGGGAGCACAGAGACTTCGCGGATGAGGTCGAGAACTCGAATCGCCCACTCGGGTTTCTCATCTTCGAGAAGGTTCACTGTTCCGCCGGTGAGGACGAACAGGTCATAGTCGGTGGCCGGAGGTAAGGCTTCGCCATCAGCCGCGCGGTAGTGGTCGACTTTCGCGTGGGAGATTCCGCGACGGATGTAGCCTGTAGTAGCATCGATTGTCATCGGGCCCCATGGTTTGGTTGTTGAGAAGTCCTGAATGATAGCAGCCTTGAATGGCTTCGGCGCTCCGTTCGCCTCAGACATGTTTCTTGGGTCTTGTCGTTTTGGCTAGATATTTGTCCCAAATGAGGAGCAAAACAACTCTATGCTGTCAATATCACCACTTCACGGTGATTATTTCTGGCCGAATACTGCTAGCGATTACGCACAAGAGCAGTAACAGGTAATTGGGAGGGGTAACGGCATTAAAGGAGTTGTAGTGAGGAATAATAGCAATAGCGGTGGTAGCTCATAGTAGTCTTAAGGAAGAAACAACCGCGAAGAGTGGATGAATCAGTCTCTCCGTGTTGGTGGAAACTCCCGGCGCGGGACCCGGGACTGGAGCCGGTCGGCGTTTTGTCCGATGGAGCGCGTGATCCCCGACTAGGTGGAGTCTTTCGGACCCATGTCCGACGCATTACTGCGGCTCAGCAACGCTGCTGAACAGAGACTCTTCGATATCTAGACCGAAACAATGATAACGAACCGCGGAAGCGTTTTCCAGCCTTTCCTATGATAAGATCGGGACCGCGCATTGAGTGTGAACTGATCGGCATACCCGCAACCGCGCTGGGTTACCGAGACCGCGCGTTGGGGTAGATGCAACCTGCTGCTAATCATCAGCCAGATAACTAACTGTTCACGGGACCAGCGCTCCTATGTGAGGGGTATCTCATCCACATTTGAGTCCCTTCATTTCACACCCGCGCGGAATCCCATTCGAGAGACAGCATACTCAATACTGTCAGCGTGACGGCACCTTTTCCAGTTGAAGCAAAGCATTCGGAGCGCATTCATCCGGTACTGTGATCTAGGAAAGAACCTAGGGCATATGTATGTGTTATCTTGCGCTTTTCTCTAAGCAGATCTGCATGTAACTGCACTGGTGACTGGCATCATGTTGTTTTATATTAATTAATATAAAGCAAGTTGAACTTACCTTTTCACTGGGGCTTTCGGACTTGTCAAAGCTGAGATCAATCTATTCACTGCCAACATGTCCTCAAATATCCCCAACAGCATGAAGCCAGAGCCTGCGCAGGGCGAGGCAGATGCTCAGAGCATCGCGAAGGGCACTGTGGAGACTGGACATACGGATATCGGCTATGAATATTACCTCCAATCCCAAGGCATGGATCCGGCACAGAGAGAAGCCATTGCGAAAAAAGTCCTCCGAAAGATTGATTTCATCCTTCTTCCAGCTGTGAGTTATTGTGGCCGAAGACATTTAATGCATGAGAACTGACCATAAATCACAGATGTGCCTCGTTTATCTACTCTCTTTCCTAGACAAACAGACGCTCAACTATTCCAACGCATATGGGCTGCAGAAAGATCTCGGTCTCGAAGGCCGCGATTATTCCTGGGTGGCATCCATCACGAACATCGGTTATCTGGTTTTCTCGTACCCGTCGAGCTGGTGCCTTCAGCGGTTTCCCATCGGAAAGTTCGTTTCGATCATGATTCTATGCTGGGGCGTCTTGCTTGTCGCCACGGTCGGGGCCAAGAACTTCGCCGGCATCATGACTCTTCGGTTCATACTCGGCGGACTGGAAGCCTGCATCGGGCCGGCATGGATGCTTGTCACGTCCATGTTTTGGACCAGGGATGAACAACCTCTACGAATGTGCATCTGGCTGGGTTGCAATGGTATTTCTCTTATGCTGGGTTCCGGAATTTCGTGGGGACTGGGCACTACGACACATACCGCGTTGGCCTCATGGCAGCTCATCTTTTTGGTAAGAGAAATCATACGTACCTTTTATAGTTACAGCATTCTAACACTCGCCATCCTTAGGTCATCGGAGTCATTACTTTGTTCTTCGGCGCCATTGCATTCTTCTTCTTCCCCTCGAGCCCAGTCGACTGCAAATTCTTCACGCATGAAGAGCGCGTGGTGTCGGTCTGGCGCGTAGCCGACAACCACACTGGTATCAAGCACAGCCAATTCCTTCCATACCAGATGAAAGAGGCGTTTCTTGAACCGCGGGTGTGGTGCGTCGCCTTACAACAGATCTCCATCGGAATCATCAACGGCAGTATTACGAACTTCATGAGCTCCCTGCTCAAAGGCTTCGGCTATGATTCCGTCGAGATCATCACTTGGCAGTTGCCCAATGGGGCATTTCAGCTAGTCTGCACCGTAATCGCTGGATTCATCGCCTCACGCTTCAGAAATATGACTGTCCTCATGAGCGTCCTCGTTCAGGTCCCGTCCCTGGCTGGTATCATCGGTATTGCCCTCATCCCGCTGGACCATCGTCTCGCACTCACAGCCTGTTGCTGGCTTCTCGGCATCATTGGCGCAGCCATCATTTTGAACTGGTCTATAGTGGCCTCAAACTTCGCCGGTCACTCAAAGCGAATGACGGTCAACGGCCTCAACTTCATCTGCTACGCCGGCGGCAACATCATCGGGCCGTTCATGTTCGACCCGGACGAGTCACCTCGGTACATGTCTGCTATCAAAGCTCTCTGTGGAGTTTATGCCAGTTGTATGTTCTTCACTGCTTGCATCGGGGTTCTTATGTGGTGGGAGAATAAGAAGCGTGACGCACGAATTGGAAGCATTGCCGGGACTGAAGCCAACGACGGACATGATGAGGCTGAGGCCAACGAAGTTGGATTCAGTGACCGCACGGATAAGGAGAATCCTCATTTCAGATACAAACTCTAAAGCCGAATCTGCATCAAGTTGCACTCATGTGTAATGGTGGAAGTTTCAGGACACATGTCAGCATTGTATGTCACTTGTGCTCCATGCAAATCCACATCTTAGACGCCTTTTCTGCGACGATTTGAAAGTAATCAACCAAAAGAGCCAAACCCATATCAAATTGAATAAAGACGAGATACTGGGCTGGCAAACGGGGGAGGTCGACCTCGTGTCGGCCACAACCCCGCATCTCCGGCTTATCCTCCGCTTATCATCCCGGATCACACCCTATCAACCAACCTGCCAGCCAAGACACCATGCAGCTTCACGGCGTACGTCAATGGAACGTGACAATCTCATCCCCGCATAACACCATCCGCTCGTCTGATTATCTTTTCCGGGACGGTAACCTTTGTCCCGATATCTGGCCTGGCCCCGGCCTCTCTCAGGCCTGTCTAATGTTATCGCGATGCTGAAGACTATCCGCCAAGACAGGGCAGATAAGTATGATGGAGCCGCAGTCAACATCGTCCGATCAGGAGGCAAGATATATGTAAGAACAGCAGTAGACTGTCCATGTTGGTCTGCAGCAGGTTCCACGCGTTCGGGCTCGTCCCGCCTTCTGGTCGGCTATTTTGATGTCGCCTCCGATAGATGCTCCTCTCCGCGGGAATCCTTATCTCGACTGCCAACAGTTGACAAGGGTCCATGCTGCGTCCGGTAATGGCTGAGGTTGTTCCGGCAGTGATATAAGCCGATCCCTCGATGGCGCCTTCACGCTGATATGACCTTGTGCCAACCGTCGTTCAAATACTGCCGTTGCCTATCTTCTTGAATCAATATCGTCTTCCACGCACTTTGAGGTGTGTGATTTTAGGCAATCATGGCATCCCCAGTTGAAGCTCGCGATATCGAGAAGAAGAACCCCATTGTGTCCGATGACAATGACCAGTCGGAGACGAAGAGTGAGGTCATCGGCGACTCGACCCTCGGTAAAGGACCCCGCATACCCACGAAATGAAATCGATATTGACATGAAGCTATGCAGTTGAGGCTGAGGCCCGTTACACGAAGCAAGAGTTTCATAAACTGAAGAGGAAAGTCGACCGCTACTTGCTTCCTCTCATGTGGCTTTGTTATGGCATCCAACAAGTCGATAAGACGGCACTTGGTGTCCAGGCTATCTTCGGTCTGCGACAGGACACCGGTCTGGTGGGCCAACAGTATTCCTGGTTGACGACAATCTTCTGTATGTCGATGTTCCGCCTCATTCCGATCTCCGATGCAGAAACCTGTGCAGCCACAGTCCACTAACATGGCTGGTTAGACATCACATACATGTGTTTCGAATTCCCCAGCAATGTTATCCTCCAGAGATACAAGATGGGAAGAATGCTATCGTTATACATGATCTGCTGGGGAATTATCGTGCTTTGCATCGGCTTTGCCAAGAACTTCACCCATCTGATTGTGCTTCGTGGTGTAAGTTGACCTTTACAAGTGAACACAAACATGAATTCTTCGGCTAAACTTGGCATTTCTGTACGCAGCTTCAGGGAGCCTTCGAGTGTTGTATCAGGTATGTGCGGCCTTCTGGAGGAAGTACTTCTCTAATCAAATGAGTGTTGCATAGCCCTGGCTTCATCCTCTTGGTAGGGACCTGGTACAAGACTCAGGAGCATGCTTCTCGCTCGCTCGTGTTTCAGAGCGCCAATGCGGGCTTTGGCGTCATCGCTAAGCTGATTATGTACGGTATCGGCGTGGCCACGCAGAACAAGGCTGGCGCTGAGCCATGGCGGTACATCTCCTACGTAAGTCGATCGAATATCATCTCAGCCTGTTTTCTTGGTTAGTTAGTCACGAAATTTTGATACTGACCGAATCTGCAACAGTTTCTTGGGGGACTCACTACGGCTGTAGGATGCGTCTGCCTTTTGATACTTGGAACGCCGTCTGAGGTGATGTGGTTGACTAAAGAAGAGAAGGAAATGGTAATTCAGCGTGATACAAACGAAAACAGGCCAAGTATGCTAATCTTTCCCAGGCAAGTGCTCGCATCAGGTCCAACAACACCGGCAACGATCGCACTGCGCTGAAAGGTTGGAAGTGGAAGCAAGTCCGCGAATGTTTCGTCGATCCTTGTTTCTGGTTTGCCGGAATCAATGCGTTCTTGAGCTCCGTTCCCAACGGAGGCCTTACGACGTTTGGTAGCATTGTCATCACCTCCTTCGGCTTCAGTAAGAGAACCCCCCCAACCCCCACAGCCTCCTGATGACAATGATTCGCCTAACAATCTGCAAAGCCAACCTTCAGGCGATTCTGATCGACATCCCACGATCCGTCTTCTCCGTGATCATTTTCATCGGTGTAGGTCTTACTTGTACCAAGTACTCGAACCTACGTCTCTGGTTCATGGCCTCCTCGGTTCTCCCGCCTTTCGCAGGTTTCATGGGCATGTCTCTACTGGATAACGATCCAGCCATTAAGTGGACTAAATGGGGTTGCTACTTCATGACCGTTCCTTTCGTCCTAGGCCTGTTTCTCGCCTGGACGTTGATTCCCAGCAACACGGCCGGCCGGACAAAGCGTACTATCACCAGTAGTTTCACTTTCGTGGGATATTGTGTCGGCAACATGGTTGGAAGTCAGATCTTTGAGGAAAAAGACGCGCCAAAGTACACCCCAGGCACAATCGGTTGCGCCGTCTGCTTCGGCCTTGAGTTTGCGCTCATCTTGACTTGGAGATGGGTCTTGGTGAGGCGGAACAAGAAGAGAGATGCCGACATGGCTTCCGATGGACTTACTGTTGAGGAGAGGGCTCAGAAGGGCAAGGAATATGGTGAAGCTGATTACACGGACTTCGAAAACCCCTACGTAAGTTGGAATCCCCAGTCAACGGAGCTAGATGCTGACGAGAGTTCAAGTTCCGATACACATTGTAGCGCACATGGTATAGAGGCCTTGGCGTTCCAATACCATATAATGCACATCTACTATCAACACGGCCTAAATATCCTCCATCACTCTTGATGTCACACTCGTGCCTTAGCGGCATTCACCAGTTAAACCGCTCAGCCCGGTTCCACAGCGGCTCCTGCCCCGAAAGTTCCCTCGAACGAACACTATCACCGACGCATCCGTTGTATAGGTTACGAATCTCTCCTCCCCAATTGTAAAAACGCTTCTCCCAACCTGCGTTTGCGTCCCACCAGCCGGGCCCTCGCGGACACTCGTCGTATCCAAAATCATACCAAGCAGTTATGTCTGCTGTAAACTCATCAAGACACCGAATCGAATAGTCTGTGAAACAATCCTCGCAGCTGCTGCTGAACTCCTTTTCTTTTTCATACATCGCTTCCCTGAATTTCCTTTCAAAATACGGATATCGATAACAGTATGGCCTATCCCAATCCAGTAATTCGTACCTGGCCGTAGACAATAGTACTTGATGCGGGCATATCATGTGTTTTCCTGACAGCTTGTCGTACATGCTACACATTCCGTAGGGATCATAGAGGTTCCATCTCACCTCCAGAAGGAAGTGACCATGAACGATCTTGGGTGTGGCTCGGTAACTCTTCAGAATAGAGTTTGAGAAGGCACGACTGTCAAGCGACATCGGTGCCATTATCTTCTGGAGGTACTTTTGATGAATGTTTCCGAGTGAAGAAAGCTTCAAAGCCAGTTGAACATGACTTTGCCGGATCTTGTAGCAATGATCCATCACGCGAACCTCATTTCGCTGACAAGCCGGCCTCCATCCACTCCGCGGTGTATCACGCCTATTGATGCGATGAAGCGTGAGACAAACTCGGCAAGCCCAATGGTTAGGCGAATCGTGAGCGAGCCGGCCCCAGAAACCCTGTTTGAGCCAAGGATGGAGATCCTGTAGCGTGGCTTTCCAGTCTCTGTCTTTGTGCGTGAGGATCCATAACGCTGCACAGGTTCGCGCCACCATGGCTGCGTCGATTATTTTGAGTTCTTCGATAATTTGCGATACCAACTCTACAGGAAGCTGTAGAATACTCGATTTCGTGTTTGCCGGGGATCCTGGGTCTTTTGGGTCTGGTTTGCGCCTACTACGGGCCTTGCGATTCCGGCGTTTTCCCATGATGAGTTGATAACTGAAGAACTGAAATTGGTCGTGACTAGTTATTGGACGTGAACACTACGGTTGGCGGCGCGGTTGATGTTAAGAACAGTTTGTGACCAATCTCCGAACTATACGGACGGTTATCCCTCAAGGTGTTGCATGATACGAGTCTTTTCCTGCCAATCTCCGAACTGAGTCAACATGGAGTGATGTTGTGTGGAGAGACCATTTCGGAGAAACCTACATCAGAACCGCTGAACCACGGATTCATTAAACTATGTTAACCATTGAATTAGGTTAACATAGATTGCTGCAAAGCTTTCCGTCTGCTAATGCTTCATTGTGCTTCAAGGCCTGGGAAGTCCGAAAGTAGAGGTCGATCGCGTGACACAAGGAGGAAAGGAATCCGTCCTATTCCACTGTGTCCTCCAGAAAACACGTAGCAAGCGCAGTAGCTGCTTTGCATCCCGCGAATAGACACAAGCCCGTATAGCTCAAGCGTTCAAGCCTTTTCACTCCAGTCAATTCCTCCCATCCAGTCGTTCTTCAGTGGCAATAGTTGTTAAGGGGCATATGTTTCTTGATATACCGGCAAAACATGAAAAGCCGTAGTGCGTCAATTACTAAGTAGACCTGCGCTGTCCGGCCGCCGCATCTTCTTGTTCTCCCTACAGAGTCTGTGTGCGTTCACTGAGAAGAGCCTCCTCTTCTGGTACATCTCTCAGTTGCTCCAGCGTTGGTCGCTTTTGCTTCAACTTGCCTTCCTCCTGTAGCAGTACATCAAGCTCCGTCGTATTTGGGATGCTCTCATTTGATATAAATGCGTCCGCAGCGTGATGAGCTGCATTTCCGAGGGTTTTGGAAGTCACAGCCGTATTGTCAAGCTCTGACGTAGACGTTGACGATGACCTGGGATGCGACAGAATAGACTTGAGTTCCTGAACAACGCTGTACAGTTCGGCCGGTGCCGTATTCCCGTTTGTCTAGTACTGATGACTCGACGTATTGCCCTGATGACTTGCGATGGCGTCGAACACCCGAGGGCTCATCTCCATTTCAACGGGCTAATGCCCACTATGGCCCTCCTTTGAGAATTTGGCTTGCCATTGCTCAGCTCTGACACGTCGCAATCATTGTCCTTCGGCCCCTGACTCGCTTTCCTTCACGTTTTTCATAGAAAATTCTGGATGCCGATGAGACATAAAGTGTTGGGAGGGCGATTCCAACGGCCACCCCTGCTTTTGCCCCTGTAGACAAGCCCTTTGCAGATGAGTTTGATGCTGCCTCGGTTGGTGGAATGACCGTCTCCGTAGACGTTGGTATCACCGTGTCGTTGAAAGTGCGCTAAACACGTTCCAGGCTCTATTATGAAAGAAGGCTCAGGGCTTGGATCTTTGCTTGGAGTCCGGGTCCTAGTCCTGGCGACTACAAGAGAAGGTCATCGTCCAGGTGGTGATTATGCTCATATCTCCCTGCGGGCTACAACAATGCGGCACGCCCAATATCACGCCACGAGACAACCGCCTTGTCAAATACGTCCTGCAGAATGAAATCCGAACTCCTCTCCAGAAATGCTTATTTCATTCCCAAGTATATACATATCCAGTCAAGTAAGTACAAGAAGTCCAAACCTACCCGAGCCTGTCAACAGTCCTCCCTTCCTCTCAGCAAACGTTAGGCCCAGCCTCCAAAGCGTCCGCAACAGTCTCAGCAACCGCGTCGTGGATGGGGTACGTCGGGTGCAGCGTGTTCAGCCAAAAGTACTCGTTGACCTTAACACCGCAGCTCTCGATCAGTGTATCCTGGGCGTCAGTTCCACTGTCATCGAAGTCAGCACATCAATCACCCTCACTATCAACCAAGGAAAAGACTCACTTCTCATACGCCTCGCAGTACGAAGTCGTATTTTTCAGTCCCGCCGTAGCCGCAAACTTGGCCGGCTCATCCAAAACCCCGTTAAAAACCCCGTTCGCATCCACAACCCACGCATTCGCACCCTCCAGCTTCTTCACGTTCCCCGCCATCGTCTTGATCCGGCCGTTAAAGTCCGCGACGTCCTCCCGGCACAACGTCTGCGCCTCCGCGTTCTCGGCAAGGAGCATCGGCGTGCGGTCCACGGGCGGCACGCTCAACCAGACGAAATTCCGCGCGCCGGCGTCGTACAGCTGCTTCGCGAGGCCCTCGTACACGCCCACGATCTTCTCGTTGAGCGCGCCCGTCGCCTCCTTGCCGTTCCAGTACGAGTTGCCCACGTCGTTGACGCCGATCCAGAAGGCGAAGACGCTGTCGCTCGAGGTCCACGCCGGGGCGGTCCTGGCGGCGTAGGACGCGTTGAAGAGCGTCTGGACCTGGTCCTTGAGGGTGAGGACGGTGTCGGCGTACGGCTTGACGAGGTCGGCGTCGACGGTCGCGCCGCCGTAGGCGAGGTTGTAGGTGTAGAGGAGGGAGGCGTTGTGCTTGACGGTGAGCTGGCCGACCCAGTTGGGCCCGTTGCAGGAGGTCCAGCCCGGGTAGGAGGGGTTGCCGAGGGGGTTTGAGGGGTTCGGGGCCTCGAGGGAGGTGTTGAAGCCTGTCTGGGAGTAGGAGTCGCCGCTGATGTTTGTTAAAATTCGCAGTTTTCACAAATCCAGCGAACACAGACTTACAAGACGAAGGCGTGCTTGATGTTAGCCCAGCCGGGCCACTCCGAAGTAGCCGTACAAGCGCGCTTCTCCAACGCACTCACGCCAGCTGCGAGCAGACCCGCAGCGAAGATCTGAGACTTCATCGTGACCTGCACTATTTACGTATCTTCCCACAAAAATAACCAGCGAATGAAGCTGAAGAAACGAATGACGTGTGAGAGAAGCAAGCCGGTGGGATGAAGAGCGGAAGATCGACGGGAATCCTGGGGGTATATAAACGAAGCTTTGAGGCCATTCATCAAGGGGGTGATGTTTAATCTACACCTTACGCCGCCCCAGAGCCCCTCAATTACCGGAAGGGAGCGAGCGAAGAAGCTCGGGGCGCCAGCAAGGGGATGGATACGGGGTCCCGGCAGCTCGGATGGCTCCGTTGGGCGAAGCGCCGGCATCTGCGTCCGAGTTGGTGGTGGCTTCATCACGGCATTTGAGATCGAGTGTGCCGGTCAGAGACGTCGGCTTCGGTGCCTCAGCGAGTTGTCATCAAAACAGTTGCGGATCTGCTCAGAATGAGCTGAGCTCATCCGAAGAGGCGTTCACCACATCTTTCTTCTCATCCGAACAGGTAACGGCCTTGCCGCCCTGCCGCGATTTGAATGCAGGTGTGGAGTAAACTCGCGTGGAGTGAAGCAAAATAAAGTGAAAGTGGGCTGGGATGAGACGGGACGAGATGGGGATTCGGAGATTGGACGTCACGTGCGCGGAGGGGAGCTTCCGTTTGCCTGGGATGGTGTTGCGACGGGAGAAGAGGGAATGATCCTTGAGGTTTTTAATATGTATGACGCCGAGTTTGCAGTTTCTCCGTCCATTTGGATGAGTTTATCGACGTTTGCGATGAGAAGATCCTGGTTTTCGGCGACTGGAGTGACTGGGAAGTAAAGAGTTATGAGTTCGTTGATGTGCGAGGAGCGACCGTCACGTCTCATTAAGATCTCACGCAGTATTTCAAGTGATGCGATGATAGTGGTCTCATAAATTCGTTAATACCCAGCCCTCTAAGAAATAGCTATGATCCGCCTTCAGTTTCGTAAGAGTGGCTCTTTTACCGTGAGAAACAGCATCCTCATCTGAGATCCGGTGTCATTCGTCCTTGTGACTCGTGTCCCATCCCAGTATTCGAACCAAACATCCTTTTTTTCTATAGGGTAATAGTATGTTATCGCCATGTAAAATCCCAAACACTAAATAAATGCAACAGGTTCCGTTTCTTCATAGATGATATCCGTAGCTCATCTGGTGATATTCATACAAATTGTCGAAGCCGCGAAGTAATGTGGCGATTGACCTCCCTAGGTAAGGGTGGCCAACATGGCACGCATGAGCTTCGGGGGAGGACCTGATGAAAGCCGTGTCAGTCAGGTTGCGACAAGAATCGATGACAAGAGAGCGCACCTTAGCGGTACTTCGGTACGCTGATGGCCATCCTACCTTTCTTGTCCTTCTCGATGCGCACCCCGCGTCGCGGCTCCTCGACCTTCTCGACCTTCTCCTCGTAAAGTACCACCGCTCCATCGGGCATTTGCTCCGCGTGTACGAGGTCGCGGCTGTGGCCGTGCTTGCGAGAATGAAGCTCAGCCTCCAGCGCCTTGATCTCGCTCCGGATGTTCTTGCGAGAACGAGAGCGGCTGCGGCGACGCTCAGCGACAGCCATGGGGCCGATAGGAATTTCCTCGCTGATTTCACGACGCTCGTACACCGTGCCAGTGGTTCCCGAGGTCGTCGTGGTGTATGAGCGGGCGGGAGAGACTTCACGAATGACAGTCCGCCTCTCCACCACCTCCTCAACGGGGGGTGGTGGGGGCGGCGCCTCGACGACTACGGGAGCTGGAGCTGGTGGCGGTGGAGCGGAATAGACTGTAGGAGGCGCGGAAGGCGGCGCGATGACGACGGGTGGCGGAGGAGGACGTTCATGGACGGATGGCGGCGGCGGCGGAAGGGCGGCTACAGGAGGAGGAATGGTGTAGATTTCTTCGTGGCGTTCCTCAATTCTGCCGGCGGAAGAGCGGGCAGCAGCGATTTCCAGTTCACCTGCATCAATTAGTTTGTGCGCTGGGAGAGCAAGAGGAGAACACCCACTTTGCTTGTACTCTTCGCTGAGTTTCAGCAGCTCATCAATGTTGTCCTGGCCGAGGGCCTTGAGGACAATAACAGTGTTACCCTGCAGAGGTTAGGCGACGGGTCGATGCGATGACTGACAAAGAACTCACCTCCTCAATGTAGGGGTATCCCAAGTCGATAAGAGCCCTCTTAGAGACCAGGCGCTGAGGGATACGGGTCTTGCCCTTCTTCGGGTACTCGCTGCGGATGGTCGTGGCACCGCTAGTGCTGGTTGATCTACTCGAGGTGCTGCTGGACCTCGAGCTGCTTCTGTGAGACTTTGTCCTCGTAGACCTCGTGGATCTGGAGACTTTCGATTCCCTGCTGCGGTCTCTGCGTCTGCGTGACCTCACAACCTCGCGCTCCTTGACCCGTTCGGGCATGTCGCGGTATTCCTCATCCCCGTAGTACCCCGGCTCGGCAATCTGAATCTCATCGTAACGCTGGGAAGGTGCAGGGCCAAGCTGTCGGGTGCGCGGCAGGGGAATAGGCACGTATGGCTGTGCCCGGAAATCCTCACGGCGGATGTCCTCTCTGCGGGCTGGAGGAGGGTACTCCTCGCGCTCGCGATCGCGCTCCCAGAAGCGAAGCGGACGGCGGTCGAAAGTGTCGAGAGAAGACTGACGACGAACCATGGTGGGGCGGCGAACTGGCGAAGGGCTGCGACGCTCGCGTTCCCTCTCGAGGTGAAGGCGGCGGTCGAACTCCCGGTCGAGGGGCTCGTCACGGCGAGGCCTATAACGATCCTCCTCGACGTGGCGGCGGTCCCTCACGAAATCATCGTCGTAGCCGCCCCGGTATCCACGGTCGCCACGGTCGTAACGCTCGTCTGAGTGGTCTCTGCCACGGCGAGGTGGCGGGTAGTAGTCATCGCGCTCTCGCTCTCGCTCATCAAAGCGGCTTCGCTCATCAAAGCCGCGGCGGTCGTCGCCGTAGCCGCGATCGCGCTCCCGCTCGTACATGAAGCGGTCGCGGTCCCAGCGTTCGGCACGGCCAGCCATTTTGGATAGTTGAAACGTATGTGTTTTTTGGGAAGCGAAGTAAAGTCGACGACGGGTATCACAATAAGTCGCAAAAAAAAGGTTTGTCGCTAATTCGGACCTAGTTGTTCACTTGTGTAGGTCCAAAGGTTGTGGAATGGTCGGGTGATGGCAGAAGTCCGTCGAGATGAATCTGGAAGAAGTGGTCGCTCGTGTTGCGGGATCCCGGATTTCCAGTGCGATGACGACACACTTTGAGGGAGAGAGCGAGAGAAGAGGGGAAAAGCGGGATAATGAGTGTTACTCAGTGGTGGAATGTTCCCTCTCTAATGCGAGCGAACCAGGCCAATAGCGCAGGTAGTGTCGGTGAAGGCCGTTGACCCGCCTGGATCCAGTGGGTTCGGATTGGATAATGGAATACCGGCGCCGCCCTGCGTTGCGTAGCGTGCGACTGGCTGCTCCAGATTCTGCCAGGGGGTAGATGTGACACTGTTTGACTGTAACAGTGGGCAGTGTCGAGAACTGCGGCGACAAGAGTGAGGCGCGGGAGGGCAGAAAGACCCCGTTGGCTGACTGGTGTAGTTGGGTGAGGTGATAAGGGTGAGAGACGGGTGATGCGATGCAGGCCGGACGGGACTGGCTGGATGACTTGATGTTCCAGTAGAAATCGAATCGTGTGGTGGTAGGCGTGGGTAGCAACCGGCCTATGAGAAGTCGATGGAAAGCCAGAAGCAGCCCGCGAGTATGCCAGCTGACCTCACCTCGCTCGACTTGTGACCTGTGGCCGATGATGGTGCTGGGTCTCGACACTCCCCAGCACCCGTTGATGGATATTCGTCGATGCTGCTGTTGCTGCGCGTCGCGTCGCACTGGCTGCGAGGTGAATCTTTTATAAGTCCTTGAGGGAAAAGATCGTTCGAGAAAATGAGGGTGGCCGGGGGAGATCGAGCGGTTTTGTAGTTTGGAATTTTGGTTGTTGGGAAAGACGGGAATTCGTGATGGTGGAGAGCAAGAGCCAAGGCAGGCCTTTCGGCAACGGAAACCGGGACAGGGGCTGCTTTGACAGTCGACGCAAGTGAGGAAGATGGTGGTGTTGGTGATGCCTCTTGGAGCGATGATCCCAGCTCGTCTGGCGTCTCTGGATGGTCCGGCGGTGTGGTAGGGCAAGATGTCCGCTGTTAGTCTTGTCAACCATGAACGGACGGCTGCTCTCCCGTATGCCAGAGAAAGACGCCAATGAGAAATCAGATATGCGTCCGAACTTGAGAACCAAAGCCTGTTTCATCGTCAGACAAGCGCTGGTCGTCAAATAGTATCCCGCCGCACAGAGGGCAATAATTGCCGGCTCTTAACAGCAGCCATCAGAGGCATATCGGCGTGGGAAGTAGAGGGCTGTTGGAGCCAGGCTACTCCTTGCAGACAGCGCCTCCGCAAGGCCCGTGTCGTTGCTTTTCGCTTCGATTCCAGCCTTTGACAATTCCAGACCCGATCCACCATGTCCTTTAGCCTCAGTGGTTTAACCCGTTTTCGCTCGATTTCCAACCTGACAGTCGCCGCTTGGGCACCCATCGCTGGGGAATCGACCTCGAAAGAGTGCTTCAGTGCCCATCGTCCCGGGACCTTCCTCCATCGACCGCGGCCTCGCTCGTCGTTGGGCCTGAACGGATCGACGGGGGATGCTGGGTGGCGGAAGGATGGGCGGGAAGAGGCTAATTTTCTCGTTTGTCGGGGCTGTCTGTGTCTCGTCCGGACTTTGGGACGTCTCGTTCTCGTCCAACATGTCCTGCAATAGCTCCCTTTCGTGCCCTTTCTTTGCCTTGCTATTCTTCCCACAAAGTACTGCGCAGCTCGAAACTGAACCCTCGCCGGCGTCACAGTGCTGTCGCGGCCCCTCGCAGCGCAGCGCCAACATGCGTTGTTGAGCTCGAGTCGGCGGGGATGGACCTGACCGCCACCATGCTCGATGACGTCGGGCACCAAATATGGCGCGGCCAGTCTGTCGGCGTGCCCATTGCCCAACCAGGCGACACGGCGCAGCGGCAGAAGCAGATTCTTGGTCCCTTAGCAGCGGCAGTGATAAGACCCGGCATGGGCTTTCGTGCTTCGTAGGAGCCCTCGATTGATTGAGCTTCTCCACCGTCAAAGCAACTTTGGGTGCCCGATGGCGGCCCTATTGGACGACTGAGGACGATTTGTGCCGGGGTGCTCCTATTTCTGGGAGTCGTGTTTCTGTGGCATTATGCTTGTGACTTTGGCATTGTCCTTTTCTGCGAGGTTTGTCAATTCCAAACCGATTCCAATCGGCTGCTGCAGGGCTGAAATGCACGTCATGACTCTGTTGGTGATGGAATTAGAATTGTTGGTGTTTTGTTGTTTTGGAATTCGCAAATTGGAAAGACTGCGCCTGCCGTGCCGAGAAGACGAGAAGCCCTGAGGCAGTGAGAGGGAGGGGATGCGTACCAAAATGCCGAGGTGCGTTATCTGCTCGCTTAGATGCTTAGGTAATCCAGATAAGAGCTCGAACCGCTGAGTGGGTCGTCCTCCTCTCCTCCGCTGGGTCTTTCCTTTGTCACCCGGCTTCTCGACCGGACTCCCGGCCGAAGCAAACATCGTTTGGCTCTCGTGTCAAACTTTTGAAACAAAGTCTTCTTCGACTGGTTCGACCGAAAGAGTCGGGGATTCCTTTCAGAGCACCGCTCGAGTCACGCAGCTCAATCTTTGAAGCACACAAGAAGAGTCTTGTCACCACGTTGGTCTGCCGACAGAAACACCAAACCAACGCCCTCGAATCAGCTGAACGCGACACGAACACTAGCACGATCCGTTGGCTTGGTATTCAGTTTCTTCGGGACTATGAAATACCTGAGTTCATCGAGGAAATCGACAAATGCCGTCTATCAGCGAACCGTTCCACGACCCCAGCTCGATAGACAACGCGGGCCGCTTCCACGTGCTACCGCCGTTAAGCTTGCCTGATTCCGGATGGAACCGTTCCCTCAATCCTTTTCTACTTCGGCTCTCCATGCCTCCCAACATTCCGAGTTTCCGACGTATGGCATTCCGAGCTGGACTCATGCATTCCTCAGCACCACAGCGGATGGTCTTGGGTTGACTGCTGTCAATCGTGAGGCGTTGTTCTGCCTGTGGACGAAAGTACTTGGGGCGCCGAATCCTTGCGAACCACCACGGTCGAGCATCCAAATCGGTATCGAGGCTGCCACACCAGGCTGTCACACCGGTATGGGGCTGTTGCGAGAGTCCATCTCAACTCCTCGTTCAACATGTTGAGCGGATCAGATTGCGATGGGAATCATGCTGTTGATATTCCTCAATCCACCTGCGGCGACAGCTGTTGGGTCGAATATCCCGGCTCTCGGACCCAGCCGCTGCCGAGATTCAGACACCGCAGGCGGCGGCAGAGAGGAGATCCAGAAGCGGGAAACCCGGTCGACGGAGGAGGAGCTCCATAAGTTGGGGAGTTTCTGGCAAGAAGGCCAAGGACCTGCGCCACGTCGGACGCCAAATACCATGCGGGAAAGCCTACCATCTATGAATCGACATCATCCTGATGGCGACCAGCACTTTGAATGCCCAGGTCCACTAGGATTATTGTTAGTGGGATCAAGACGCGTCGACTTGGACGCAGATTCACCATCAAGTCGTGTCGGCGTGTTTGCTTGCCACGGTCTTAATCCTGAAGAAGGTAGCCGTCAGCGGTCTCATTGGATGGCAAGGCCAATATCAGCCTGGTTCCCCTTGCATCGACGGCAACGGCTGCAACCAAGACTGCAATCCTGAACCATCCCATCGGATGAAGGCACAAGACCGAGAGCTGACAGACACCGGTTGCCGAAGTCGACTGCCGATATTCAATCCCGAGTCGAAACAGGAATAGAGCTCAGTCAACGTCCCTCCCCAGTTGCGCCGAGTCGAGCTTATTGCTTGATGCCAACGCGACCCATCTTCAGTAGAGGGCCTCAAGTTGAGCACATCTCGAGAGGTCTCAGCTTCTCTTTGCAGACCTGCAGCTCTGGCATACTGCATAGCATGCTCATCAGGGCCGCTAGGGTAGCTCGGTCAAATAATGGGCGAAGTGACGTTTGCCACATCATCCAAAGCACTGCTCCATCAACCACGCTCGCGTAAACAAATTACCGGCATGATATCGCATCTAATGAACATCTACGCTTCCTCCCATCCCTGAAACCAGCGACGTTGCAGCGGTCTAGGCGGATCTTTGCCCTCCTCTCCGCGTCATCCGCAAAATCGCCGTCCTAACTGGCCAACCACCCACGTCCGACGTGGGAGAGAAATGGCATCCGACAACAAGGGATCTCTCGTGGGCCAAATGCGATGCGTTCGGATTGGTCTAAGTCTTGGTACCGTCTTCCGAGCTGGTTTCCGATGCAATAGATAATGCAAGCCTCTCGGCCTGGTGGATGTTTACCCCGCGTTATGTGTGGGAGAGGCCGTCCGGGGTGCGCCATGACGCCTCCACCCCCCGAAATCCGGGGGAAAACGACAAGGGTCGTGATGAGGTAGAAATATCGGCGGCCTGCGAGATCCTCGCATGGACCCTGAACCAGATTCCTCGCTGAGTCGTGGTCCTGGTAGTTGTCTCACTGTTATTAACGTCAACACCAACGGGCATTCTTAAACTCCCAAAGTCCCGTTCGCTGGCTCTGCCTTTTGTCCCGACGAATTTTGCTCATCAGGGTCTTCAGACACTGCTGTAACACCGTCAAAATGAGCAACGACAAGCCAGTTGTCGAGAATATCGACAATATCAACACCGACATGGCTCACAGGCCATCTTCGGAGGTCAAGGACCCAGAGAAGTAAGTCAACTCGCCAGCAAATGAGAATGCGCACTAACACCATCGCGAAAGGAGCACACCCGAGGCCTTCCTCTACGACCCAACAGTTGAGCGTCGCCTACGGCTCAAGATCGACTTCGCAATCGTGCCCACCGTCAGCCTGCTCTACCTCTTCTGTTTCATCGACAGAGCCAACATCGGTTCGATCCTCGGCCTGCCACTCGCCCTGCCTAGCTAACACATCTAGGCAACGCCCGTATCGCCGGCCTCGAGAAAGATCTTGGCATGACTGGCTACGACTACAATGGCACCCTTTCCGTCTTTTACATTTCCTACATCATCTTCGAAATCCCGTCAAACATTCTCTGCAAGATCATGGGTCCTGGCTGGTTCATCCCTCTCATCACGGTCCTTTTCGGCATCTGCTCCGTCGGCACCGCCTTCGTCCACACCGTCCCCCAAACCATGGCTATCCGATTCTTGCTAGGCATATTCGAAGCCGGAATGGTAATGCTCCTTCCCTTGCGCAATTGCACATGCTAAGTGGGTCAACTCCAGATGCCCGGAATTGCATATTACCTCTCGCGCTGGTATCGCCGCGCCGAGCTCGCCTTTCGCCTGGTAAGTGATCCAAATGTCCCCCAAGCCTCACGAGCGCTCAATTAACGGGAAATTTTCGTCCTTGTACATTGTAATGGCACCCCTCGCGGGCGCGGTAGGCGGGTTGTTGGCTTCAGCTATTCTGAAGCTCCCCGGCTTCGGTAGCGTCCATTCCTGGCGCATGATCTTCGCCATCGAGGGAATCATCACCATCGGGCTTGGTCTCATCGGCTTCTTCACCCTTACGGACCGCCCCGCCTCCGCGAAGTGGCTCACCGAGGCCGAAAAGGAACTCGCCGAATCCCGCGTCCGCTCCGAGCGCGTCGGCCAGTCCCAGGTCCTCGACAAAATTGACACCCTCAAACTCCGCCGCGGCATCCTATGCCCGATCACCCTGTCCACCTCTTTCGTCTTTCTCCTGAACAACGTGACGGTCCAGGGCTTGGCCTTTTTCCTCCCCACGATCGTCAGGGGCATCTATCCTAACTCGTCAGTCGAGCGCCAACAGCTGTACACGGTCCCGCCGTACGTCGTGGGTGCCTTCTTCACAGTCCTCTTGCCACTGCTCAGCTGGCGCCTCGACCGTCGACAGATCTTCTTCATCATGTCCGCACCCTTGGCGATGGTCGGCTATATCATGTTCCTGGCGAGCAAGTCCCTCCAAGTCCGCTACGGCGCAACCTTCCTCATCACCTCGGCCGTCTTCGCCCTGGGAGCCTTGACGAATGCGCAAGCGTCGGCGAACGTCGTTTCCGACACGGCAAGAAGCTCCGCGATTGGAACGAACGTCATGTTTGGAAACATCGGAGGCCTCATCAGCACCGTTAGTATTCATCGATGCAATCAGATGAAAAAGCTGTACTAACAAATAGGTAGTGGGCTTTCCTGCCCTGGGATGGGCCGAACTATCCGATCGGCAACGGTCTTAACTTGGCGACTTGCACCACGATCCTGATTACTTCGACGGTGACGTTGTGGTGGATGAAGAGAGATAACCGTCGTCGCGAGGGCTTGATCGTGGAGGATGAGCTGAGAGGGATGACGCCGGAGGATGAGGGCGAACTGGACTGGAAGCACCCGTCGTTCAGATGGAGACCATAGATGACGAATTCGCAGTTCGCCGTAAGGCAGTGCCACGTGTAGTTCATCTCGTCTCATCTACTCACACAACATCAGAAGTCCTCCATTTGAAGTGTTCATCTAATAACATTTTCATTTCAACAAGCATCATGTGCAACTATTTACAAGAAAATGGTATCCAAAACCACCCATCATTATCCATTCTATCTACAACTTGCTCTTACCGGCGCAGCACGAGGAAGACTCCTCCTCGAAGGCAAGCTTGCTGACCTTGTCCGTCGCATCCAGCACGCCCTTGCCGGCGGCGACCTGGCTCGGCGTGCTGGCGTAGCTCGGCGGGACGTCCATGACCGGGTTGTTCTTGAAGAAGTTGCGCGGGCGCAGGAGCAGCGTGATCGGCTCGACGGGCATGATGGGGAAGTCCTCGGGCGCCGGGATGTGCGTGACGCCAAAGGTGTGCCAGAAGACGATGTCCTCCTGCTCGACGGGCTCGGAGCCGTCGCCGATCCACTCCGGGATGCCGGCGGACGGCTCGCCCGAGGTCTGGGGCACGTGGCGGCCCGCGGGCCAGAGCTCGTCGTCGCGGTCTGTGGGGTTTCTGTTAGTATGTGAAGAAGTTGGGATTCGGGAGAAAAGACGTACACTTTGTGACCATGACCGCGTGCCTGGCGAAGCCGGCGCGCTTCCACACCAGCGAGCCCTCCTTGGGCAGCAGACCGGGCACCTCCCTGCTGACGAGCTTGTAGGAGGCGGGCTTGCCGCTGTAGGGGTGGATCTTCTCGGTGTTGCAGATCTCCCAGGTGCGGCTGGTGGCGCCGTTGTAGTCGGTGAGGGACCTGCCGGTGGTGTCGAGCTTGGTCTTCGTGGCGCCGAAGGCGTTGCCGTAGTAGTTCTCGGGGGAGCCGACGGGGGCGTCGGAGGGGACGGCGTCGACCATGAAGACGGTGTTGCGGGGCCCGTCGACGTTGGGGTCGATGCGCAGGCAGAAGAGGTGCTGGTGGTTGTGGGCGTTGACGCCCGGGTAGACCTGGGTGCCCCAGCCCTTGGTGTCCTCGCCGGGGTTCATGCTGTAGGTGTTGAGGATGCCGGTGAGCTTGATCTCGGGCTGGATCGTGCCGTCTTGCTGTGAGGCTGTTAGTCTCGGCTGCCATCAGAGCAGAGAGAAAGGGAGTCGGGGAATGACTTACGTGGAAGATCCATTGCACGGCGTACTCGTAGTTGGCGGCGGTGAAGATTTGCTGGATGATGAGCTTGCGTCCGCGGGTGACGATGACGGAGTCGTCGCGGAAGTCGGTGTGCTTGAAGAGAATACCGCTGTCCTCCTCGTGGATGCAGATGGCGTTCTTGATGGTCCTCACGCCGCCGTTGCGCGTGGGGAACTCGGCATCCAGGTAATGGATCTCGCCCTTGCAGTCGCAGCCGAGGGACAGGCTGTTGGTCATGTAGCCGGCGCCGTACTCGCCGAGGTCGAAGGCGTGCTTGCGCTGGTGGGGGTGCTCGGGGTTTCCGTAGGGGACGACCATCTCGGCCAGCGAGAGGCGGTAGAAGATGGGGCGGACGTTGCCCTTGTCGTTGTAGGTGATGTTGCTGAGGACGATGCCCTCGCGGTAGTTGAAGCCGATGTGGAACTTCCAGTTCTGCCACTCGAGCTCGCGGCCGGCCATCTTGAAGCTGACGCCCTGGGGCTGGGTGATGTTGATGGGCTTGAGGTCGCGGCGGTAGCCGCCCTGCTTCTGGATGGCGGCCGGGTGGTAGTCGACGGGGGCCGTCTTGTTGAGGGGCCGGCGGACGTTGGGGATGTCGATGGCGATGATGGCCTGCTTGTCGGCGTCGTAGATGGGGCAGAAGTCGAGCGGGTACTGGTACTGGCAGGTGTCCGGGTCCGGGCGGTAGTACATGAGGGCCTGCTGGAGGCGTATGGTGTTGCCGTGGCGCTCGTCGTAGCCGATCGTCCACGGGTCGCAGTAGACCTTGTGCATGTCGGAGCGGGGGATGCCGGAGATTTCGCATTGCTCGATGACCTTGGGGTCGGTGCGGGCGATGTGCTCGACGAGTTGGAGTTCCTCCATTGTGATCTGGCCGGGTTTGTCAGAGGGAAGTCAATTGAAGGGAGGAGAGAGAAGTGACTGACGATGGGCTGGACGCCTTGCATGAGCTCCCACTTTGTGATTTGGCCGGAGGCGAGATCAACGAAGCCATCGTAGACCTTTCCGCCCTTTGCGATCACGACGACGTCTGCGACGCGGCGCGGGAGTGGTGTTGCGGAGGGCGAGGCGAGCCATGCTGTCAACTCGGCCTTGCGCGGCTCGTGGAGGGAGACAACGTTGAAGAAGACCTCGCCGTGCGCCTTGGTGACGACTGCGATGGCCCTCTCGATCTCCGCGGAGGAGAGGGGGTCCAGAGGGTGTGGTGCCATATTGTGTGTTGTGATGTGTGTATGTGTGTCGCGGTCTTCCTGGTCAATTGACTTGGTGTAGGAAATCAACACGAATGACTGAGGACTGAGTACGGCTCCAATTGAGGGACGGCGAGCTCGAGATAAAGCTTATATCCACGAGCGCGACCACAGCTTCATGTGGCCCAGACTGAGGCCCCCTCACCGAAGCTGGGATCGATACGCGACTCGTCCCGCCACGGACAGCCGGATCTGGTAATTCACCCATCTGATACTCGGGAGAGCTACAGATTCCAATGACCAAAGGCACTGTAAGCCGAAAGGAATCGATAAGGTCATTGGAGAAGAGATCGGGTGGAGATTGGAGAAGGGGTCTCTTTCTTTGGTCGGGAGTCTGATAAGAGCTTCTCAGCAGAAAGAGCTTGGGGAGTCCCGGTCGCAGGGCGATGGTCTCATTCGTTTGGCCAGATAGGGATCGTCTCGAACACGTCGTGCATTGCCGCGCCTCCAGGCAATTGGCCAGTCATTCTGGCCATAGCAGAAAAGAAGACCAGGGAGCTCCAGGTTAGCTTAAGCGCAGCGCGGGGAGACGACACAGAGATGGCAAGAAAACAGGTGAGTTGGTGGGGGGAAAGACGAGACGAAGGGCTGGATGGGGAAATGCTACACGATAAGCTCCCGGGTATCTTATCGCGGGTGGGGTATCACGACCCCACCCGCCGGGACCGGAGCGCGCGGTCTGCTACGGCATTTTGCGGGGCTGATCGGGACAAGGATCGGAACCGGTCTCGCTCGCGCCTCGTCGTGTAGAGTTTCCTATTTGGGCCTTAGGGCGGCTTCAGTGCTGCTTGTTGAACGGTTTACCTAACACCAAGACTTACCAGCGGTCTCGATAGGAGTTGGGAGAAGCAATAGTCCTGGCTTAGACAGGCTAACGCAGTGATAGCATTAGCGAGAGGCGACCATGAGATGATATAATGACTGGGCGTATTGCTCTTCTTTAAGTTTTAGATAACCAGCAGGACAAATCTTGCATCATCTTGGTAGCTAGCGTCGTGATGCTGCAAGTTGGCTAATGATGATTTCTCATGGCAATCTGCAATCGTAATGGCCGAATTGCTGTCGGCGTTAAGAAATCGCAAGTAATGATGGATGACGTCAGCAGAAAAATTGCGGGAACGCGGACTGTTTCTTTACGCGCCGAACACCATCAGCCACACCGTCCGACCTCCAATTTGACCTCCATCTACCCATGCCTAGCATCAGCCTCAATCAGATCTTGCCCATCATTGGAGAAGCTGCTTTCTTCGGCCTGATATCTTGACCTCCAAGGCTCAATTGCAAGTTGAGTCACAAGTAGTGAAGAGTCATTGAGGCAGCACTGCGTCGCAACATAAACTCCACGCTCGTCCATCCGCGTGCTCCTACTTCCGACTTACACCGTTGATAACCAGACGACCGAAGCTTCCAGATAGGCGGCAGCTGCAACTTTCATATCAGATCTGCTCCGAACACCCCACACAACCCATCTCACCTACAGCGGGTAACCACGAGGCGACCCGGGGTCCTCGTCCAAGCTAAACATGGCAAAGCCTTCCCCGGCTTTCGCGACCCCCCTGCCGCAATCCTCCCGGTCCGAGGTGCTTGAATGGCAGTTCCCGAAGCCCCATCAGTACACCTTGGTCGGCAAGTCCCGCGCAGCATGGCATACCAGCTTCGTCATCCCCCAGCTCAACATGCTCCTCGACGCCGGCCTGGTCGTCAACGACTCTCGCCCGAAGCACATTTTCCTCACTCACGGACATACAGACCACTGTGTAAGTGAATCCTCTTAGAAAGATAATTCATAATCGCTAATAGCTTAACAGCTGCTCGCTCCCGCCTTCACAAAGCGTGAAGACCCACCAGACATCGTCTGCCCCGTCGAGATGAAGAAGGCCTTTGACAACTTCGTCCTCGCCAAAACACTGCTCAACCGCGGCGGGATGTTCACGAGTGATGACGCTCAGTCTGTAGGACTCGAGCTGGATGGCAAGGGCGTCGACGAGGAGGGCCGAACGGAGGGAGAAAGAGCCTTCCTTCGCACTCACACCACCATCGCAGTCAAGCATGGCGATGAAGTCCCGCTTCGTAAAGTGAAGGGCATGACCGCCACGGTCTTCAAGTGCGACCACAACGTCCCGAGCGTGGGATACCTTTTCTCGACGACCAATCACAAGCTGAAGCCAGAGTACACATCCCTCGCAGGCCCGGAAATCAAGAAACTGCGTCAGTCAGGTGTTGAGATCACGGCGCCTGTTACGACACCCATCTTTGCATTCCTTGGTGATACGACTGCTTCAGTGTTGGCTTCTGAGCCTGAGTGGTTGAAACAGGGGGTTTCCGTGGTCATCACGGAATGTAGTTTTCTGTATGATGAGCACGACGCGCAGGCCGAGAAGACAAAACATACGAAATGGAAAGACCTAGAGAAGGTGGTGCGGAAATGGCCGAAGACGACTTTTGTTCTCATTCACTTCAGCATGCGGTACAGCAACAAGGACATTGTGGAGTTCTTCAATGGATTGGAAGATCCGCCGAAGAATATCGTTGTATGGGCTGATGGGCAACCAGAGTAGAGCCAACGAGTATATGCATTGAAGAGGGTTTGATATAAAAGCATCAATAGAACTACAGGTCATATGTAAAGGTCAAAGAAAAGCTATACGCCTAGACTCTTTACTACTGTTGTAGGTGCAGTGCCAATGATCGAAGCTCACACGAACTCGTCTGACAGATAGACCCTTGACGTACCCATGTAGGTACCATACATATGTAATGCGGGTACGCGCAAGTCTAGGCACAGGGCAGAATCTCAAGTTGCTGACACAAGTGATTGGTCGTGGGCTGGCCAATGGGTGGCGGTGAGGCGGCATCGAAATCAGGCTACCTATAGAAACGCCTCCGCGACTTGCGCATTTGCGTCAAGTCGACATGATGCGGGGTATAATCGTAGTGACTACAAAACACGAGGCATTTCACCCTTCCTATGGAATGCAAGGGTGCACGTGTTTAGTCTCTCCCCCGTCATTCACAGTATCTTCACCATGGACCTCGCGTACCAGCAAGGCGATCCATATCTCTGTCACTTACAAAAGTCTCTGGGTTCAAGTGAGTCGGATGATTCTGACTACGAACAAGGCAACCACTTCCCCTCCTGCCTGCCCCCAGAAACCGAGATACAGAAGTTTGAACCGCTGCCCGAAATTCAGGTGGGAAACCTGGTCGATTTCAGCTTCGATACACTCTTCAGAAGTCTTTTGGAGAAACATGACATCGACATCGGAACGGATCCAAGCCAGCGTCCTGTTTGGACCAATGACGGCGCGGTCGATTCCGCAAAGCAGAATTCGACTGCTTCTTCAGTGCCTCCAGCAGTACTAGAGGTATCCGAATTGGAAAACACGATCAAAGAAGAGTATGAACCGAACTTTGGCAACCAAGCCCAGCAGACCGATAGACGTCGTCAAGACCAAAGATCCTCTTCCGCCAACGAGTTTTCATTGCCCTCAAGATCCTCAACATCCATGAGGCCTGAGGAAACCGACATGGAAACAGATGCACCAATGATCGCCCGTGCACAAGCCCAGGCACCAGGAAATAGGCCACTGGGACGTTTCGGCCGGTTAGTTGAATATCAGCTGGGCATCTTGGAAGTACAGCAAACAGGGGCAGGTTCTCCTCATAATCCAAGAAACGACCAGCGCGCTGAAATAGGAGGACCTGGGGATCGAAGTGTGGGTGGACGAAGGAAAGCCAAAAGGCTTCGCCCTGAAGTCGATGACTATGACGATTCCGGCGAGGCCCCAGACCGGGACGGCCCCGATTCGGATTCCCGAAAGAACGACACGCATGAAAGGCTGAGGATCGCCTGTCCGTTTATGAAGCGGTTTCCAGCAGAGTTCTTGACTCGGAGAACGTGTGTTGGTCCCGGTTTTGATGGCATGCATAGGATGAAGTAAGCCTCGAGCGACCAATACCTAACATGGGCCGTACATGCAAGTTAACGTCTCATTTCAAGGGAGCACCTCAAGCGAAAGCATTTTAGAGAACATACTTGCCAACGATGTGGCTCGTATTACGACTCAAACCGTCTCTTACAAGATCATCTTAGATCGCCTGAACCGTGTAGACTACGTGAAGTGTCCACGGACATCGGCTTCATGACCCAACTTCAATGGGATGACATCAATAAGAAACGACAGGGAAGCAAAACTCCCATTCTTGAAAGATGGAGGGAGATATATGTCATTGTTTTCCCGGACGCTGACGAGTCTTGCATACCAAGCCCATGTGAGTACATGTAACAGCCAAAATATGGCAATTACCTATTTGTTCAAACGAACATCAGCTTACCTCCGTTACAAGACTTTGAAACAGCGGAAACCACGGATCGGCCAACGACACTGATAGATCCTAAAGCATACGAGACCTTCATGATGGAGCACTTGCCTTCAAGAATCATTATGAAATTGACGAAAGAATTCGAGATTATGTCAAGCGAGGCAAAAGAAAGGCTTGCAAATATTGTGCAAGAGGAGTCGTTGGGTACTTTAAAAACCTTCGTGCTACTAAAGGGTGCCAACAGCTTAAACGACTTGAGCAGTGCGTGTCTCCCGGCTTTTGATACTACGTCCTTCGACGATAGCATCTTCAAGGACGTTGAAATGTATGGTAGCGGGGATCAGTTCGACTACAGTCACCCTTTCCTGGGTGAAGATGAGTGGGAATCCAGCAGAGGAAAGGAGCCGCAGCCTTCAGATTCTGGGTACGGGTCACTCCTTTGATTAAGTATTGGTAGAGGGGGTGTACGGAATGTTGCGGAAATGATAGATACCCATTATCTGCATAGAATACGGAATTCGCATAGAATTGAGTTTTATTAAGCGTAGTGTGCAACTTGAAAGGAGCGAGACTGCATCAGTGCAGATGAGGTAAAATCTACAGACGCATAAATGTCTGAAGCAATTTCGACTGATCGAAGTGTGCTTTCTATATAATTAGGATTAAACAACTAACCCGTGTCCCCGGCGAACCCGTCAAAACGTCTCGTCAGCTGCCATCCTACTCTTCCACATCTTGACGCCGTTTGTCCTTTGACCTCCTCCTATGGCGATCAGGAACGCGGCAGTGAATGGAGGTTTGATGATATAGAGGGAAATTCCCACATTGAACCCTTTCTGAGGAGATGGAACAGTTCAGTCGTTCGCGGGGGTTCGTTGGTTGAAGAAGAGTCTGGCTGAGTATGTAGGTCGCCGGCCTCTGGGTATATCCGTCTGTAAATCATGGTTCAAATAATTCCGTAACTTTCTGTGAATCGAGAAGCCTCTTCAGTTTCTGTGAAGCTGGGTGTGCCGTGAGTGGCGGTCTCGGTCACGCCAATCGAGCCCTCCATCCCTCATCTTTAAGACATGAGTGTCGCGAGTATTGTCGCACCAACGGCGACGGAGAGAAGGCCAAATTGCGATGCCGACTGACGGCCGGCCGCATTGACCGGAGATGAGGTTGAGATTGGGCCGACCGTGGGAGGCGGGTTCCAGGGGTTTCCACCACCGCCTTGAGTCGCCGAAGCAGAAGAACCTCCTGCACCGCCCGAGCCCGAAGGGCTGACGGTTGCTGTCGCCATCGTCGAGCCGATGCCAGAAGGCGACGAGATGCCCGAGACCATAGATCCGGAGACTGTTCCGACAGCAGCACCTGCGCCGGCACAACCACAGACTTTGCAGCGTTAGTATTAAAGTACAGGAGATGGATTGGTTTGGATGTCGTCCTCGTATATTCCGAAAGAAGACCAATAACGCAGGATAACACGATGATTGATTTGAAGACCCAAGAAAATGAGCGACTTACCAGAGGAAGCACCGTTGATAACAGCCTGGAACGACGCAGCAGGACAACCTGTTGCCACACAAGGCTCAATGGCAGCATAGAGTGCCGCCTCCTTCCCACATTGGCATCCAAAGTCGAGGCTATCGCAGCCGACGAAAGACGCGCCTTCGAGGAAACAGCTTTGCGCGCAAGAAGGGATCGCGGTGACGGCCACGCTCGCACAGTTTTCCGCGGCGGCCGCACCGCTCGCCAGCACTAGCACGCCGGCGACGAGACCAACAACGTTCTTCATCATGATGTCTCTTTGTCTTCGATCCCAAGAAGAGGTCGTTAAGCGATTGTGATTGGGACTGGATTGGGAGATGGTGAAACGAGAGATGCTTCAAGGGGTCGTTGTCAACTTGAAGATACAGCGTCCAATTCGTTCGTGGGAGGAGACTGGGGGAGCTGGATGCATGCAGGAGTAGAATGGTGACAAGCTTTTCTTCGAATGGATAGAAGAGGGTAGGACTGGGAACGGGGAGCTCAAGGGTAGTCACGTTATTTTGTTTGCTTGGGTCAATGTTTGGACATGACTAGAGCTGGGCGATTCGAGCTTGTCGACGCTCTCAGCTGCTCATTCGCAGCCGCCTGTCTGCTAGCTTCCTCGGGGACGACCATCTTTCTCCTCTCTCAAAGTCGACTTTCACATGTGGTTCCCAGCCGACGGCTCTTCGGCATGAGGTCATGCTAATACGGACACATTGGGAATATCATCACTAATACGACGCGGGTGGAGGGATGTCACCCACACCCACCCACACACAACCAAAATTGGACCGACGTTTCTCTATCGCGCCCAGCCATTTCCGCCCAGTCCGCTTTCCCCCGCAGTTACCCCGGGCTGCCGGGGTCGGGCTTGCTTTCCGATACGGGGCAAGACGCGGGGGAAGCGACAGGGATGGCCGAGGAGGGTATGGCGCTGATCTTGGACCTGGAGCTACCGCAGGTGCGTTCTTGTTAAGCTTTTTGGGCGGGAACGAATCGTTTGTCTGATGTGGGTGTTGGACGGACGAGCTGTTGGACGCTGCTCATGTCGGGCGAAAAGACGCATCGAGCTATTCAGGCCGGGATGGTGCGTGAAAGGGAGGGGGACACAACCCTGGCGATGTGATTTGCTGTGCAGGTGATAGGATGGCTGAATCCCTCTTGAATGAACCGAGGCTGGGCACGAGCACGCGACGAACATTTGATCATGTTCTTGTTGGGTTTCCAGCTCGTATTGAATCTCGGTGGTGGTGGCACTGCTCGACGGCGGGTTGAACGATGTCTCACAGAGGCGGGCCAATCAATATTCTAGAAGCTCTCTCGCCTTAAGTCAGCTTACAGCTCTGGGTCTACTCACCGGTAGATTGGTTTAGCTGATCGGTGCTAGTGTTAGTCGTCGAAGAGGCTTGATGGTTGGTGCCAGTCAATTGGGTAATCCAACGAGGTCCTAGTCGTCTCTCGCAAAACACTACGCTAGTGTCCAGTGATCCTCATCGTCTCTAATCCATCGATTGGATAACAGGCCGATATCAAGAGCAAACATGATTCAGTTCTTTGATCCACAATCCTCAAAACACACGCAAGCAACATCCCTTCAGACCTTTGTGGCTTGAAACGTCGTTTACGTGGTGGTTCATCTCATGCTCAATTGCCCCAACTCGTTTTTGAGCGATTTTCACAGATACGCAGAACCCTGCTCAGAGAGGTTCAAAGTTCCTTGTTTATCGAATTTTTCTAATTGCAAAGTGGTTCTTCATATTAAACTCAGATTCAATGGCGCCATCAAGCACGACTATTCGACAACTAGCTGGAGTCTCTGGAATGCTTCATGACGACTCCCTCGCTGTTTATCATGTAACATTAGCCAAGTAGTTGCAACATAGTACCGAGGTATGCCATTGAGTCTGAAACACAAAGATCAGTCGATCTATTTTGCGGTGAATCTCGAACGCTTATGGACTTGTCGGCGTTGATAGCTTCGTGGATCTGCACGACATACGCGAGCCCATAACAACTGATGTCTCCCTTACCCTTGTCCTGCTTCCGGCTACCGTGCTTAGTGTAGAACAGCTCGTACAGAATCCAGTGCTCCGCGGTGACCAGACTCTCAAAGTGATTGAACTTGCCGTCATTGAATTCCCTGCGGAATCCGTCCTCTATCCTTTGTGCCTGCTCAGGTAGACGTGTCTTCTCCACCTATTATTTGTCGACGGTTGGCCATTGGCGCTTGCCTCAGGTCTCGCAGAGGTACTTGCAGACATCAACATTACCCTCGCGGTTCCACTCGTTAATGTTGTCGTTTGTCCGTTTCTTGGTTTTGTCGATCCATGTTTCGAATTGAGCTGTGATCCCTAGACCGTCTACTTCGGCGTTGGATGGAGGGATTGGAATCTCTGTAGCGGGCGACCTTGGGACACTTGGTATGAGTCTTATTGGTATGCTCTATCGTCTGTACCAAAAGGAGATTATAGAGGGAATTGCTGTCAGCGCAATAGCCGTGAAGGGAGCCATAGTCGTAAACAGCCTGGTGAAGACCGTCTTAGCAACCAGCCGGACGCGCACAAGAATAACGACAGCTGGCAGCTGCCCAACATTCACGGATGCTGTTCTGGTAAGTTAATTATCTATGGAACTTACACAGATCCATACTAATTGCGTGTCCAGACCAGCCGCGATGCGGATCCAAGGAATGCTAAAAGACGAAGGGAAAGAAGACGCCGGTTCTCTTCATCTCCATCAGGGGGCCCAGCGAAGTTTATGACAGGGTGATACCTTAGGAGCCTTTCAATATACAGCCAAATCTGCTGGGAAAGGCTGAACAGGGACCCTATGACGGCTGTGACTGCAGCCATCATGTTCTTCAGCTCATGAGCTTCCCAGACAATAAGCCGCAGACCATCTTCGATTGAACTCACGATAGCCTTCCGGAAGAGATTCCTGTATTCCCTCCCGTTACGGGAAATGCATACTGCAGTTCCGGCAAGGAAGGTTTGGAGAAGAAGCTCTTTAAAAGGTGCGAGAGTTTCTTCCTTGCATTGAGTCCTTTGGTCTTATCCTGACGTGATAGTACTAGACTGGCGTCAGATTTCTGGTATACGTAGACAGTTTTCATGCTGGATCATGGCGTTGATCGATCTTACCAACATTATCTTCAACCGTCAGCTGGTCAGGTTACGGTGGATGGTGAAATGTGAAAATACTTGCGAGCTGATTTTCATCAACGGCTTTGGAGACAACTCAGACTGTAGGTTACAACTTTTGACTGCAAAAACTTGACATGAATAGTTGACAGGCTCGCCCTAGGACAATAAAGTTTCGAAATATGGCTTCAGAACCCTCGAGTGTGGGAAAGCATCCTTCGCGATCAAGATCCCGACAACGTGCCCAAAGCCGCATGATCCAATGACGAAAGCCCGGTCTACAAAGCTACCGTCGGTGGCCCCAACGCATCCAAGTCAACCCTTTATGGCGATTTCTGCAACCGGTTGAAAAGCGGGGAGATCATTCCCACATCGGCGATGTACGCCTATGGATACGAATTCATCCTCTCAACCACTTCACACGCAAGCACGGGATGTAGAGAGAGTGACTGCGATCAGGCATTCGGCACTATAATGGATAAGTGCGAGAAAAAACGTCAAAACTCAGATATGCTGTCGACTAAGGGCTGGTTTGACGCCGGTTGCATAGTCTATAGCTACGATCCGTCGAATTCTATTGAACCCTCCACCGAACACGTCGATCTGTAACAAGGATTCTGACTGTATCAAATGGATATGCGATGGTGGTAAGAAGGCTTTCTGCATCAGCACGAAGTTGGGAGACCCTCTTACGAAGTACTGCTCTTGCTCGAGACGGCATTCCGTCCACGCTGTTGGAGGCTTGCATCCAGGAGAAAAAGCCTTGCATGTTCAGCGATAAGTTCATCCAAGTTTGTGATTACGTTTCAATCCCCCTGGCCGTGTTCATTATCTATAGCTTTAGCCGCCCTGCCCGGTCGTCGTGCAGCTCATAGTATTGCAAACATGCATGCAAAGGCTGCAAGTTGCGGGTTTGACTGCAAACCTGAGCCACTCAGATTGCCCCTACTACGCTTGAAGACGCATTAAATGTTGCGAGGTGGATACGGTTCATCATTTAGGAAAACGAGTCGCAACAGGCCCTTGTAAACCAAGACTGTAGCTGCAAGAACGACCAACGAGAAGCAGCACCAACAGGTGATGGATTAGAAGACTGCGGGGTTGTTCTGCTGTCGTAATATGTTATTTGATCCCTTCATATCCTCGCCTCTCCTCTTCTTTCACGTTAGTAGAATCAATCATCTTAAGTCCTGTCACTTGGGTGGAAGTACCCAAACCGATTCAACTGGTACAAATACAACACAGGTATAGTAGATTTCACATTATTCGCAGAAGATCAATCAGCTAATTCGTTGGAAAGTCGGAAGGCCTTTGCGTCCCAGCGATCTAGAATGAATGCAGCAGTTGGAAATGACTTCGCGGCGGAGCCTTATGGACACATAGCCATCGACGACGACGATGGCGTTCAATCAGTACGTGTCTTCGACTTCGTACATTGGAATTTTTGACTTGACTGAACTGCTGATAGGACGGTGCCTCTACCATCGACGACAGAATGTAAATAGGGAGTAGACCCTAAGATGGCTTGGGCTTGACGTAATGAGCTAACATCTCGCATTTGTAGCTCTTCATACACTGCATCTCTGTCATCCTCCGTTCTTGACTACCCCACCGAGCACGGTCGTCGATACCATTCCTTCCGACCTGGTGGTATGTTTTGTCTTTGGCCCCAGGCCAGCTGTTTTTATCGATTCTGTTCTGACGGTGTTGTTAAGCTTACATTCTTCCAAATGACGAGGTACGTTCTAACTTCCAGCACCTCACAGCTTGACTAACTCGTCATGACTTTCTAGAGTGAGTTGGAGCGGCTCGACTTCTGCCATACCTTGCTAGTGAAGACAATCGGAGACAGGCTGTTTCTCGCTCCGGTTCAACCGGCGAAGACTCAAAGAATCCTTGACGTCGGCACGGGAACTGGTATTTGTTAGTCGCCTATACCCTGATAGTAGTGACTCTACTTCGAGGATGTATTGCTAAAATATTCAGGGGCCATTCAAATCAGCGATTTATTTCCCAATGCGGAGGTACGTCTTGAATTTGCTGTTCATCAGCCAAAGAAACCACTTTGCTGACGGAGCAGATCCTCGGCAATGATCTTAGTGCTATCCAACCATCTTGGTATTACCAG